CGACTGTCCGGAGAATCTGAATCGGATGGAATGAATGTAAGGTATCAACACTGATGCGACCGGTGTGCAATGGCGGCGAGTTCACATGGCGAGCAAGCAATAGGCATGGAGTTGCCCGGATCAGGAGAGTCGAAGCTTGCGGTTGGGGGAGCGGACGGGGAGCAGAATAACAGCTTGCAAAGGCTGCTGATCAGAGGATTTGCTGGCAGCAAACCACGGCTGCCCAGATCAGCGGCTGGCAATCTACCCAACTATGATGACGAACCTTAACAAGAACATTGGTGTCGTCCTTGAATATATCCGAGACGGCGAAGAGATCACCATCGCTCAAGCCAAGGGTGATGCATGCGACCAGAAAAGCGTAGACCATTTTCTTGCATGCATTCTGGCTTCCGAGCTCGGCGAGGGGAGGAACGACTATCTTGGGCTGGACTTCGGGAAAATAGTTGGCGAGGATGCACAGCGGACTGCCGAAGCGCAGGAACGGCCAGAGGATGTGGATGGGATTGACAATGTTCAAGGTGCCGTCCCCAAAGGTCTGTGCCAGGCCCGCAGGGAACAGGAGTGGCTGTAAAGGGGCAAAGGCGTAGAGTTGCTCGATGGTGGCAACAGATTGTTTGTAGAGCGAAGTGGTTTGAGGCAGGCCCAGGGGGCCAGGCTGGACAGACATGGCAGCGACAACAGCGAAGGCGCTCTACGTTGGTAGAAGAGTCGGGTCAAAGTGGCAAAGACGGTGAGCGAGGGAGGGTTGGAAGTCAAGACGAAGGGCGAGGGGAAGCGGGAGGCGAGACCCAACGTGCCGAGCAAGCAGCAGGAGAAGGGCCAGATGGGGAGGCCAGGTGTCGGTTGAGGGGGGCGGAGAGGACGGGCAAAAACGCAAAGAGAGCAAATTTGGGAGGGACACTGTGGAACGGCCAGCAGTGTCTGGTGGTGGGCGGGGGATGAGCGGCGAAAGGAGCCACCTTCAAGGATGAGACTCGAGAAGCACATTTGCTGCCGTAAGCGGGTGGTGTGGAGGAGCCGGCGAGGAGGGGTGGTGGTGGCCGATGGATAGGTGGACGACGCACAGGGGGTCTGGTGGGGGAACGACGCACACCATGAGGGGGGGGGACGGACAACGTATCCCGACTGCTGCAGTGAGGGTGTGGATGTGGATGTGGATGTGGATGTGGATGTGGATGTGGATGTGGATGTGGATGTGGATGTGGATGTGGATGTGGATGTGGATGTGGATGTGGATGTGGATGTGGATGGGATGTGGATGTGGATGTGGATGTGGATGTGGATGTGGATGGTGTGTCGGGGGTCTCCCGATTCGTGATCTCCAATCGGACACTCAAAATGCAATCCTCCATCCGAGCTGCAAGCCGACTCGCTGCTCGGGTCCTTTCTCCAACACCCACGACCCGCGCGCCCGTTGGTGGTCGATGGGCCCAACGGAAACCGCAGCGCCGGATCTGCTGTCGATCGGTCTGCTCGCACATTGCCCAGGATGGAATGCCAGCCGCCCAAGCGCGATCATGTCGGAGAGCGGGCGGCTGGAAGCACGGTGCCATCGTGACCGCCAGCCGTGGCCCGCACAAGCATGGAAAGACCACGAAGGCAACGCCACAAGGGCAGCGAAAGGAAAGCTTCAGGAGAGTGGCCAGGAAACGAGAGGGCGATGCTGTGTGGGGCTGGAGGAAAAGACCATGTTCGACCGTGCGGCATGCCTGGGTGCTGCTGAATCCTGGATGCTGAATCCTGGATGCTGAATCCTGCGTGCTGGATGCTGGATGCTGGATGCAGCCAGGCATTGCAAACAGCCGGTCGCAGCATCACTTTCCATATCCGGTACGGAGGTCGCACAGGGCATCGCGCGGCCCACAGGGTCTGCTGCATCTCCGTTCATTTGATCGACGCGCGGCGCGGCTGTCCCTGTGCGCCAAGCGCGCGTGCCCTGTGGGACAAGGCTGCAGAAAACGCGAGGACGCGCTGGACCTCAAACAGCGCGGGCAGCCCGAAGCAGCGCTTGACAACACACCACACAGCGGAGCGCAATACAACATGCAGCGCGCACAGCACAATACTCCACACCACACAGCACTCGACAATACAACACAGCACGCGCCTCGCTGCGTGGCCCCAAACAGCGCCTTGTTGCCTTGGCCCCCAACCCACCCAGCCCTTCTTCCCACACACAAGCCTCCTCCCCTTGCCCTTTCAGTCCCCAGCCTCCTGCTGCCTCATTACCCCGCACCGGCAGCCAACGGCCACTCTCCTGCTTTCTCTCCCGCGGCTCCCATCCTTCCGGGCTCACTTGCCTCCCCATTCCGACGGGCCTGGTGTATTCTCGCCCCCTCGCGGTCTTTACTCCCGTCTCCCAAGTCGCTGCGTCCTGCCCAAGATGTGCTTCGTCTTGGACTCCAACTCCATCTGTGGCCCCGACTTCAACGGGTACCAGTTCTACAGCACCGATCAGTACGCCAACAGCGCCGACTTCAACACCTACGTCTCGGCCCTCGTTGTCAGCGTCCAGAACGTCACCACCAGCTTCGTCGGCACGAGAGCGTGTCTGCCTGCCGTCTCCCAGTCCATCTCGAACCAGCTGAGATACCAGCTCTCGTCCTTCTGTGGCCGAGTTGCCTATCTTTCTTACAACGGCTCGAACGCCTGTCCCCAGACGAAATCCCCCCCGCCATTCCTCTGTCCGGACCAGTGCAAGTTTGCCTACACCACTCTGACCACCGTCTACAACGATGTCAGTGTCTGCCCAGCCACCACCAGCAGCTCGGCGATGCAGTCCCGCAACCAGAGCATCAACAACGTCATCGAGTACTGCAACAACGCCCTCACCCTCCAGACATCCAACCCTTCCGTGCAGTGCTATGCCGGCGCCCCTCTCGAGGTCAGCAACAGCGATTGTGGCTTCAGAGATCAATCCAGCCGAATTGCTGGCTGCCAGCTCATCCCCAACGATCCCTGCTGTATGGCCCTCAACGGCAACAACAACACAAACAACGGCAACACTTCCGGAGGCAGCCCCATCGGCATCATCGTCGGCTCCATCCTCGGCGTCCTTGCCCTTGTCGGCATCGTGGTGGCCGTCTGGATCGTCCGCCGCCGGCGTCTGCAAAAGGCCTACAACTACCAGACCGACTACACTCAGCATCAGACCTATGCCTCCACTGGCAACTCGAACAACAACATTCCAATGTACGCCCAGCGCCGAGATGTCCCGCCTCCCCAAGCACAGCCTCATATGGAGCAGCAACCTCCCGCCCAAGCCAACAAGGCCGTCAACCATCTGAGCTATGCCCCCAATGAAAACCAATTCGTCTCCACCCCTCCTGAGCGCCAGAAGGCATACCCAGTGCCCAGCGCCATGGCTGCCAAGACCCCCAGCCAGCAAGCTCCGCCTGCCACCCAGCAGCATTCCCAGAGTGCACCCCTCAAGTCGGCTCTCTCTTCTCGTTCCCAGCAACCAGACAGCCTCTCTGTACTCACATCCGTGGGCGCTGCTGCTGTTGCCCAGGCTCCTCCGGCCTCTAAAGCTGCACCCGGGGCTGCCGCTGCCTCCATCGAGCTCTCTCAAGCGATTCCTGGGGCCACTGCTGCCCAGAATGTCATGCGAGTCGTGCACCCCTATGCTCCCACTCTCGCCGACGAGCTCGAGCTCGAAGTCGGCCATGATGTGATTGTGATTCGATCCTTTGATGATGGCTGGGCTCTCGGACTGGTGCCCACCACTGGCAAGCAGGGCGCTTTCCCCCTCGTCTGCGTGGCCCGGCCTGAAGATGTGGTCGCCTTTGAGCTCGCCAACGGTGGCCAGCGGTTCTCGACCGCCACCTCGAGCGACATCCAGTTCAACAAGCGTATGTCGTCTCAGATCATCTCGGCCGAGGACATTGAGGCAGTCGCCAAGATGGTTGTCCAGCAGCGCTCGACGATGATCAATGCCAACGGCGAAGGTAAAGCCCAGAGCCCATTCGCAACGCCGTTTGATGAGTAGACCCTCAGGCTTTAACTTGTGCCACTCGGCCTGTGCAGCGATGGGGTGCAGCAAACACCCGTCTGCCTGTTCGGTGGTGTCGGAAGGCTGACACCCACGACATACGGGACTCTGAGTCTAACCCGGCCTTTTGTCGTCGGCCCCGCGCGCAAAACTTGGATGGCCGTAACTGAGTCGCCGACCTTCTTTCTTCTTCCATCCTCGTCCCGTAACGTGTCCCTATCTGTGGTCTGACATCTGTTGTCAATATTCACTCATTCCCCCCCCCAACTACTCTGGTCGTGTCCTCTATCCCTGTATGCTTGTATGTCTGTCTTTGGCTTGTCACCGTTTTAGTGCGGCTCCAATAAACAACGGGGGCACCCCGGTTTTTTGAGCATTGACCGATTTTGTTTCGTTGCCCAGAGCCGGTGCATCCTTACCACAACCATTTGGCCAACCCCAGGATGCGATCCACGCTCCTGGAACAGTGTGTCCCGAGATGAACCAGCCGATGCAGTCGCGGCCCTGCACGCCCCTCCCCGCAGCCAGATCGTATCACCAGGGATGCTCGGTGCTTCTGTCCCGACTTGGACGTGTGGTTACACCGCTCGACAGAGCAAGGAAAAGCGGAAAGGCTGCCGAAGCCTCGCCAAGCAGCCCGAGCCCCTGCCAGCACCGTCACTGTCGTGCGGGCTGGTCTGCGCTGTTTCTCATCCTCTCGAATCATATCGCATCGCACCACATCGCATCGCATCGCATCATCGCATTGCATGCCCTGGACTGCAGTTCTCCCCAGTGCCCCGCCCGACCCGCTGCAACATTCTCTCCCAGCCCGCTGTGGCTGTGCATCCCCGAGCGCGTGAAGGCGCGTGCCGCCCTCTCCCGGCTTGTGGCCATGCACGGGTCCTTGTCGCACAGTGCTTTTGACTGTGTCGCCGAGGCCGGCTGACCCCAGGACGCGCCTGCAACCCAGCCGGCCTTGCCCCTTTCTTGCACGAACCCAACTCTCTTGCTCTTGGTCGGCGCTGCTTCCTCGGGCTTGACGAGCCTTGGCCCTCTCCATCGCTGCCTCTGTCGCCCCTGCTTCGTCTGCGTCGGTGCCCACTGGCTCGGCGCTCTCACTCGGGCCCCTCACCACTGTTCCGCGCCAAAAGACCCAGAGCTGGTCTGCTCCGAACATCTGCGCTCCGGGCTCGACTCCGAGATTCCATCCATCCTTTCCCATTTTTGTTCCTCCCTTCCCTTCCCAGCACCAATCGGCTCAATGGCTGTCGCTCACTACTTCCTTAGATATGCAATTGCAGCCGCGCTCTTCGCCGTTGCCGCCGATGCCTTCTGCCAGACCCCGGGCGCCTGCTTCCCGCTCGCCGCCAACAACATCTGCGGCTCTAGCTTTGTCGGCTATGGCATCAACAGTCTCTACTTTGACGAGTTCCCGGCCACGGGCGTCAACACCGACACCTTCAACCAGGTCATGATCCAGCGCTACGAAACCATCAGCGTCGTCGCCGACAACTTCATCTCCAACAAGGGCTGCTCGGCCTCGGCCTCGTCCTTCATCTCCCAAAACTTCCGCTACCAGCTCTCGTTCTGGTGCAGCGTCATCATCCGCGACAACATCATGCAGAGCAGCTGCTCGTGCCCGCCTCCGGCCGGCAGCCCCGTCCACGGCCCGGCCCTGTGCACGGCCCAGTGCCAGATTGCCACTGCGAGCGTCCAGTCGCTCCTCAACGACCCGACCACTTGTCCTGCCACCTCCAACACGACGCAGTCGCAGGGCCGGACCACGACCCTGGGCACCTTCCAGACGTACTGCTCGACGACGGCCCCGGCGGACCTGGCGACGCCGAATGGCGGGCCGTGCTATGCAGGCGTGGACCAAGACGTCCAGTTCTGTGGTGAGTTGGCTGCACAAGCAGCTCGATCGTCAAGGATGCAGGTGTGTGCGGGCAATGCCAGCGGACATGTCCGCTGTGTGTCCATGCACATGTCCATGTGCGTCGATGCATATCTGCATATTGAGCTGGAGTGCGCTCGCTTGGTGATCCCACCACCTCCGGCGCGAGCACGGCCGAGCACGGCCAGGCACGATGGCAGTGGTCTTGACCAGTTTGCCAAACTGACCACCTCGGTTGTTTCTCCAGGCTTCCTCGATGCCACGGACATGGCCAACGGATGTAGCTCGCTACCGAATGACCCCTGCTGTGCTTCCCGAGTTTCAGGCCATCCGACAAACGGCACCGGCGTCACCACATCGGCACCAACCACACCATCGCCCTCAGTCCCCAACGGAACCCCAAGCAACATTGGTTTAATCTGCGGGGTCATTGTCGGCGCCCTCGTATTGCTCGGAGTCATTGTCGGGTTCTTGGTCCAGAAACGTCGCCGAGCCTCCCGAGACCCGATGTATGTGCAACATCCCACCGAGAGCCTAACATACAGCCAGTACTTGCAAGATCAACGACACAAGCAAGACATGGAAGCCAGCGGCACGTATTCCTCTCCAAGAGTCGACTATTCCGAAATCGAAATGGCCACCAATGGCCTCAATGACTCGCTTCGATCTCCCCTTCCAACTGCCTCTATGCATAATTCCTCTCCTGCTTCTGGAAAGCAGTCCCCGTATGTTCGACCCACCCGAGAGTACACGCCTACTCCTCCACCCCCCGCCGCTCCCCCCAAAGATGAGGTCCCCAGCCCCGCAAGCTACGGATTCCGGATCACCAGCCCGCCGCCCCAAGGGACCCCGGTCTCCAACTCAGCTGCCCCAACAGCGGTATCGACCGAGCCGCCGCCCCATCATCAAGCTGCCCGGGCCCGTCCAGCAGCGGTCGCACGAGAGCTTCCCCCGCCTGCTGCTAAACCTTACACAGCTCCACCTCCGGTCCGGATCGGCCAGGTCGCGAATTCGCCACAGCATCCCGAGCCGACTGTGGTGAAGGTGGTTCACCCATATGTCCCCAGCATCAGCGACGAGCTGGCTCTGAGTGTCGATCAGGATGTAATCGTGATCCGCTCCTACGATGATGGCTGGGCCATGGGCCTCATCCCCAACACCGGCAAGCAAGGCGTCTTCCCTCTCATCTGCACACTCCCTCCCGAGGACTATGCCGCGCTCCTCCAAAACTCGGTGACCGAGCCGGGCTCGTACAGTTCCCTGGGCGAGCTGAGCGTCCTGAGCCAAATCTCATCGCGGATGTCATCGCGTCTGTTGGACGAGGAGGATCGTCATGCTATAGCATATTCAGGACGAAACGGCATAGCGCCCATCCGTGCTCCCTCACATCAGCCACTGCCATGAGCTCGGTGATGTGTAGGCCCCAGTGAGCAAGCCGTGAGATTGTTTCCCGTCCTGGTTGTTAATCGCGTTGCTGATGGTTTGGGAAGCATACACTTTATTCAGAAAAAAACGGGACAATATAGCCGTTTCCATGAACATGTAGTATGTGCTGTGCTTGCGTCAAGCAAAGCCACAAGAAATAAAACAGATCACTTTGGCAGCCTCCGAGTGAAGACCGCCGGTCGCTCTCCGGTCTCCACAATCGACCTGCATACTGTGATCATGTTGCGCGCCGCATTGACGTCGCGATTCCACACTGTCCGGCAGCTGGGATTCTTGCAGCTCCTGACAAAGTGGGAATTCGCAACACTGGGCGCATCGAGTCCTTCCAACCGAACTGGCTCCAGGCACTTGGAGCACACTTGCGAGGTGTTGAACTCGTTCGTCGAGACTACCTTGACGCTTCCATGATGGTGATTGGGACGGCGTCGGTGGTGCTCGAATTGCTCAAAGTACTGAGCAAACCGCTGCCTCCGAGGGCTGGATGCATAGCCCTTAGTACATGCGATGCAGCACACCAGAGTGGTTGATGGCAAATGCCACCGAGACAGACTTGTGCTTCATGTGATTGCGCTGGCGAAGCGGAGCACCCTTCGGTGAGTATCCGTAGAGAGGGAAAATGGATCTCCTGATCCCTGTCTCGTCGACAAAAACGAGCCGTCGTGGGTCGATGGAGCGGACCTGGTCCCTGAACTGTGCCACTCGCTCATCCAGTCGCTTGGACTTGTAGAGGTGTGTTGCCCTCTTGTGTGAGAGACCTGCTCGGTGGATGGCAGTGTGGCAGAGTGAGAGTGATACTTTCCTCTGGAGGATGGACTCGAGCTTGCATCGCAACACAGGACCAGTCTGGAACGGGTCCTGTTCAATCAGGGTGCGGATGACTGGACATGCCTGCTCGAAGAAAGTGGATCTGCGAGCTGGGACCCGGGATGGGTCATCCAGCTTGCATCCTCGGTGCCATCGATGGATGGTGCTCTTGGATACACTGAATATGGAGGCGACCTTACGCAGGCTATGGATGAGGGCGTAGCATCGCAATGCGGCGGTGCGAAAGTCGGATGTGTGGCGAATGGTCATGGCCAGCGCGCGATCACATTGGGAAGCATAATATTGAATACACCCCGGCCGATCTCCTGTGGCGACGATCGACCGGCAAACCGACATCATGTTTCGCGAGACATTGATGTTGCACTTCGCAGTGTAGTGCATGCATTCGACCCTCAGGGCAGCGCCATGTCGAGATGGTGTGGTCAAGCGAGTTGCTCGCCATGTGTTCCGGGCGTGGTCGTCTCCGGTGACCGAAGGTGTATTCAGGATCCGAAATGGTGACGGCCCTGAGCCGATCGCCTTGATACCTTCCGAGTGACGACCGTGGGCCGCTCTCTGGTCTCCACAATCGCAAGGCAGCGATGCAAAAGCCTAGTGCGCGGTGGATGGCCATGGCCGCTGACGTTGTCGTCCATCGCAGGTGGCAGTCGACGATGGGGCTCAAGCCGGGGTGTCAGATGGCGAGAGACCCATTGCCAGCGCCTGGATGCGCTCAAGACGAGTCTGGACGAGTTTCAGGGTCCCGTTGACGACGAACAGGCGCTTACGGGCGAGACTCAGCCGAGCCACGGCCGGTTCTAGCGCAGGCGGATTTGCATCAGAGAGAAAAAGCTGGAGTTCTGCGAGAAGCGAAACGAGCCGATGTGAATATGGCATGCACGACACCTTGCAAACATATCGACCATCCGAGATGTAGTGCCACACTGAACAGGCCATGCCTACCTGCCGTCAGTCGCTCAATATCCTGAACAAGCTCGCTCTGCGACCTTCGCAGCTGAAAGACACGCATATCCAGCTCGAGGAGCGATGGGACCAGAACGTCGACAAGGCTCTTGGACAGCGTCTGGGCGAGAGGCCCGCTTGGTGGTTGGACTGCCTCCATGGCACAGCAAGGTAGGATGCAGAAGCAGGTGCCGGTGCCTGCCGAGACGATTCAGGTCGAGACGGGGGGGGGAGACGATGGATGGGCCAAGAAGAGGCTGGCCTGTTTGCCAGCAGACAAGCACCGAATGCAACCGGGGGGCCAGGCGGGGAAGCGCCCAGTGGGACAGCAAGACAGACTTTTTTTGCCGCCGCGGACACATCTCGGCCCTCGGCTCTCTGATCCGCATCTGCTCGCCAGGCTGCCGCCGATCTCCTCCAGCGCCGCCCGCTCAGCAAGTCTTCCAAGCCCGTTGCCGCTGCCCCAACACCGTCCACCTTCTATCCACATCCTCCACATCCGTCTCTGTCTGCGCCTCTGTCTCTCATGAAGCAAGTCTTCTCCGCCCTGGACGTCGCCGCCTCCGTGGCTGATCTCAAGCTCAAGCTGATTGGCTTCCGGCTCCAGAACGGTATGGTCCCTCGGGCGAATGCCTCAAACACGCATTTGCTGCTGCCGACACCATTAGCTCGCCATTTGGCCCCCAGATACCCATGGCGCTGACCCCTATTCTTGGCATGGCAGTCTATGATGTCAACCAGAAGCTCTATCTTTTCAAATTTGCCAAGCCCGATCACAAAGAACTGCTGCTGATCGAATCGGGCATCCGCATCCACACGACCCAGTTCTCGAGGGAAAAGTCGTCTGCTCCGTCGAGCTTTGTCATGAAGCTCAGGAAGCATCTGCGCACCCGTCGCCTGTCCGACGTGTCGCAGCTCGGATTTGACCGAATCGTAGACATGCAGTTTGGCGATGGTGAATTCGGTAGGCTCCCGCATCCATGGTTCAGGAGATGATGTCCTGTGACGCTGAGGCTGGATAATGGCATCGTTTAAGCGGTGGTATCACGGACGCCGATGGCACCGATGGTGGCAGTGGTGCTGCGGACGTCATCAACACAACCGATACTGATGCCGAATCGAATCCCACACTCCCGTCTCTCTCCAAACCGGCTGTCTCCGGCCAACAGCCTACCACCTTATAGTCGAACTGTATGCATCTGGTAACATTCTTCTGACGGACCATGAGTATCGCATCATGACCCTGCTGCGTGTCGTCGAGCTCGATGGCACAGCTATACCCGGAAACAGGGCCGACGACGCCCGCTTTGCCGTCGGCGAAGTCTACCCGAACGTCTCCCGTCCATTCGAGCCCATGACTGAACTTAAACTGCGTTTGGCGCTCGAAACGGCCGAGGCCAACGAAAACGCGGCCGCCCAGCTCGACCAGCCCGAGGACGCCCCGTCGCAGTCCGTCGAGAAGCAGGATAAGCAGGAGAAGGGCAAAAAGAAGGGAGGCAAGCAGCCGCCGCAGCAAACCAGTGCCAAGCATCAGACAAAGAAAAGACCTCAGATACTCACCCTCAAGCGGTTCCTTCGCGAGCATTTCTTGCAAATCTATGGCCCAGCGCTTGTGGAGCACGCCCTGGCAGAGTCGGGCCTGGATCCCAATCTCGCGGTCTTGAAAGACCTGGACACCGCGAGCGGGTCCGTCCAGCTCGACTCCTTGCTCGCTGCCCTTGTCAAGGCAGACGATGTTGTGCGCTCATGCAAGAACAGTCCGCAGAAAGGATGGATCATTTCCAAATCCCATGCAAAAGACGAGAGCAGAGATGATGCCGGGGAGTTCGTGACCTATGAGGAGGTATGTGCTGAGTACTTTTCTCGCTCCATCCGCAGCAGCATGGCTGTGTATACGGACAAGCTCTTGACCCCCAGCGGTATTGACGATGGAATGTCTGTCCCTCCTCATCAACGGCATGCAGTTCCATCCGGTGCTCTTCTCTCAGTTCAAAAATTCGCCGCACAAAGAGTTCCAGGGCTTCGATCACGCGGTGGACGAGTTCTTCTCAAAACTCGAAGCACAGAAACTCGAGCTGCGCGCCCGACAGGCCGAGCAGGCGGCGGCCAAAAAACTGGCTTCCGTGAAGGCGAGCCACGAGAACCAGGTGCGCGGGTTCGAAGCTGCGCGGCAAAACAACGAAAAGACGGCGCTGGCAGTCGAGCTCAACCTGGAAAAGGTCGATGCGCTCGTCAACACCCTTCGCGGCTTCCTGGCCAGTGGAATGGATTGGGTCGATCTTGCCGAGCTCATCAAGGAGGAGCAGAAGCGACAAAATGAGCTGGCGCTGATGGTACTGCAGCTCAAGTTGGATGTTGGCATGGTCACCATCGGCCTTCCAAACCCAGATCTGGCCGATACGTCGTCGGACGAAAGTGGAAGCTCTAGCGACGATCTGGATTCGGACGATGACGACTACGAGCTCCAACTCGCCGCCAAGAAAAAAGCTTACGAGCAGAAGCTAGCCCTGGTTAAGAAGCGGCGTGACGAATCGCTGATCAAGTTGGACGTGGACATTTACGCCTCGGCCTATGCCAACGCCTCGCGCTACTACGAAGCCAAAAAGCTCGCCATCGTCAAGCACACCAAGACGCTCCAGGTCGCTGAGAAGGCGTTCAAGTCGGCCGAGCGCAAAATTGCCATGGACCTCAAGAGCACCCAGCAGATTGTACCCTCGATCAGTAAAATTCGCAAGCCCCTTTGGTTCGAAAAGTTCCTGTGGTTCGTCAGCAGTGAAAACTACTTGGTTGTCGGCGGCCGCGACGCAACCCAGAACGAGATGCTTGTGAAGCGATATCTCCGGAAAGGAGATGTCTACATCCACGCCGATCTTCATGGAGCCGCCTCTGTGATTGTGAAGAACACTGGCGCTGGGCCAGATGCCACCAACGCTGCCGGAAATGATGACTGTCCGATCCCGCCCACGACGCTTTTGCAGGCCGGCACCATGTCCGTCTGCCAATCCAAGGCATGGGACGCCAAGATCGTCACCAGCGCCTGGTGGGTATATGACCACCAAGTCTCGAAAACCGCGCCCACAGGCGAATACCTAACCACGGGCAGCTTCATGATCCGTGGAAAGAAAAACTGGCTCCCGCCAATCCAGCTCGTCTATGGCTTTGGCATTCTCTTCAAGGTCGATGAGAGCAGTGTTGGTCGACACTACTGGGAACGGCGGCCATGGGGACGTGGCCAAGACCCCGGGAACGCCCCATCTGCCAAGTCCTTGGATGGCGGAGAGCTGCCGTCAGCGACCGATGTCTCGCTTGGCCAAGAGGAGGATCGAGATGAGGATGTTGACGAGCAATCGGTGATGATTGGTGGAGGGCACGCCGTAGACCAAGATGCCCCCAATGACGACGCCGGAGACCTTGCCGACGAAACAGAGGATCCCCAAGACGAAACAACCGAGCTCGAGGCCGCTCAAGCGAACGATACCCTCGGGCAAGGCCAGCATACCGCACCTGATGCGGATGATGAAGCGAGCTCAGCCACCGGGACATTCCCGGTCGGCTTGGACAAGTATAATCTTGCAGCTCTCGGCGAGAGTGCCTCAGATGACGCATCTACACAGCAGAGCGCAACGCAGTCCAAGCGATACCTGTCGGCCAAAGAGCGTCGCAACGCCAAAAAGAAGCAAGCCCAAGGGATCGACGCCACCGATCCAGAAGACGTAGCGGATGCAACCAGTGCGAGAGTCCAGAGTAAGGCTCGCCAGGAAGCTCGTGCGACTCCGTTCGAATCCAAAGGAACATCACCGGCGTCCAAGACCCCGGTTCGCGGCAAGAAGGGGAAGGCGAAAAAGATCAAGGACAAATACAGGGACCAGAGCGACGACGAGCGCGAACTGATGATGAAGCTGCTTGGATCCAAGGGCAAGGCGGGAACGGTAGAAGCCAAGGGCAGCCAAATCGCCAAAGCCCAGACAGCGTCCAAGGAAGGCGCGCGCAAGCAGGAACACGATCAAACCGAGCAATCTGCAGCATCCTCCCTAAACAAAGCTTCGACCGCTTCCCCAGATGGCGATGCCGACGCTGAAGACGAAAACGGAAATGAAATCGAAATCGAAATCGAAAATGAAAAGGATAACGAAACCGACGAAGAGCGCAACAGCGCCGATGGCACCAACGCAGATGGCACCACCGCTGACCGCGACGATATCGACGAAGTCCGCCGCCTTTTGGAAGAAGAGAACGTGGCGCTGTTGGATGACGACCAGGCTTCCAATATGACGTTCCTTGACTCGCTCACCGGCCAGCCCCATCCGGACGACAATCTTCTCTACGCCATCCCGATGTGCGCTCCATGGGCCGCACTGCAAAAGTTCAAGTACAAGGTCAAGCTCCTACCGGGATCGCTCAAGAAAGGCAAGGCAGCCAAGGCAGCCATCACCTGCTTTATCGCCGCAGCAAATGAGGAGGCAAAGGGGCGCGACGATGCCGTCACTGCTGCCCTCAGCCGTGAAAAGGAATGGATCAAGGCCATCCCTGAGACGGAGTTGATGGCACAGATACTGGGCAAAGTCAAGGTGATGTCGACGGGTGCAGCGGACAACAAAAAGCAAGCCAAAGGAAAGAGAAAGTAGGCTTGAACAGATTGGTCGCTTCGGGCCGATCGTCGAGTATACACGCCCGGCGCAGCAAGTTCAAGCTGCCAATCTTACGAACAGTCTCTGCGAATGAAACAAACGTTGCCAAACTTTGCTTGCAAACTGGCCATGGGATTTGTTACAGCCCCAGCACACATCACAACACGCTTCTACTGGAGTGAGCAAACTGTGGGAGTATCGGTATCGGTATCGATATCGATTTTGGTCTTCATGGGCAATCAACAACGGAGGGTGTCAGGGCGATGCCCACATCGACAGCGGCAATGAGACGGCGCGTCTACGGGTGGCCTGCGTTTACTGTTGAGACGGACATGTATTCAAGAACCGCGGAGCAGTAAATGCAAATCGGGGCGATAATTCTGGGATAGAGGAGTGCCCGTGCTTTGAGAGTTGGTTGAGGCTCAGCGTATCACACATTTACCGGTACCATGCGACCTACACACAGTATTCTCCTCCCCCCCCCCAGAGGCCGATGTGGTGCGCACATTCGTTAGCGCCCCTTGAGATGCTATACACTGATCTTCTGACTTTCTGAAGACTTTTCCATCGGTGCGGATTGGTAGTCCAAAACGTGCAGCTCCGTGGGCTTCTTAGGTATGGACTTGACAGACCGCTGTACACGGCGCTGCTGGTGAGGGAGGGTACTGTAGTTGCGCTTAGCGAAAGGAAGCCCGGGAATCCGATACGAAACGTCGCCGCCCTTCACTCCGGGGACCACGAATGGGCGATCTGGCAGCGCGGCATGGGCACGATTCGGGGGGTATTCGTGAAGGTTCAGGGGCAGCTGGTGCGAAACCGGCAGGAGCGAGTGGCGGGGCTTCGATGGGGTCAGTGTCGAAGACCTCTTGGTGACGATAGCGAGCTCACCCGTGGCATGGCCCGCGGAGGCGACGGAGCGATTGGTACTGGATGGGCGGGTATTATTGCTGGAGGGGACTGGTGGGTAGCCCGAGCTGCTTTTAGGCTGAGCGCTGGGCTGACGGCGGCTGTATTCTTGCCAGTGGACGCTTCCAAGATACCGATAAGTCTCGTGGCTAGGACGGGTGCCGCTGAACGAAGGAGCCAGCGGCTGCGACTCAGCGTTGGAGGAGAGTTTGGCGGTCTGTGTGTGAGTCGTGTGCTGTTTGAAAAACGACTTTGCTGGAATGGCGGTGGGGCCAAGGTAGATGGCCTCCAGAGCAAGCTCTCGCTGATTTCGAAGCTCTCGAACGAGGTGGTGCCGGCGTGCAGGCGTTTTTTGGATAGGAATGGACTCTCGAGTGATCGGAAGCGGGTGGGAGTACGGAGAAAAGTTGTCGTCAGGCGCGCGATGGGCGAACGCTGCCATCGAGTACTTGTTACGAAGCCAGATGGTCAAGGGTCTTGATTCCAGGCCAGGCAACAGTGGGCCGGGATGCAGAGGCAGCTTGGCTAGCGGATGCTGGGCAATATTGGTCTTGGTGCACAGGACAGCGTCCATTTCATCCCCAGACTCAAGCGTTGGTGTGCCGACTGGAGAGCGTCAGACGACAAGAATGCCGTTACAACCGGAATTAAGGTCGGTATCGACAGAGAATCGCACTATCGCATCAGCAACAAGCCCGACGATGGTGGAGGGGGGGGGTAGCTCAAGCTAACCCGGAATCAGCCGAGCGTGGTCAAGACCAGATCGCAACCCACCTTCCAAAGCAAAGCCTGTTTGTCGAAGGACTGTGAGTCGATGGCCTGCCCGCGATTTTCGGGCATCATATTCCATGAGATGGAGGGCGTTGGAAGGGCACACCGCGGGCTTGGTAAAGGACACTGATGACGCCGATGCGGCCTTGCCTCCGCCCGTAGGAGACGCAGACGGAAGTAGATGAGAGTGGGATGTCTGGTCCCCGCCTCCATCAAGGATCCCGGTGGCACTTTTGTCCCCCGGAGTTGATGGATCCCTCTTGAGGCGAGTGACCGGTATCGGCAGCCAACTCGGCCTGCTCGTTGGTGCAGACTGCCCGGCCTGAGAGCCGCCATTGTTTAGCTTCCGAAGCGGTACCATGGACGAAATGGGGATCGGAATCGAGCATACGCTTGGATCCCGGAATGATGGCCGCAGTGAAATGTCCTCCTCCGGCTGAGGAGTCTGAAACAGGGATGAGCTCCGCCTATCATAATCCCCGGGCTGCGAGTCGCTGGGGAGATCAGCGTTCATCGACGGTACAGGGGTATCGAGCTCGGCAGGTTGTCCAGTTGTGTCTGCTGAAGTGTCGGCCAACGCTGCGGTGGGTGGATCGTCATTTCCGCTATCTGCAACTTGAATATCATTCCATCCATATCGCTGCGGCGCATCTGTAGCTGGGATACCGCTGCCTTCATTGACCGAGGCGACTTGGTTGCCGGAACCCAGAGGCTCGGCAGCGAGAACCTCTACTGGTTTTAGTTCTGAGCTCAGATGAGGGTTTCCACTTATCGGGCTATCAACTGCGGTCAAAGTAACCTTGGCAGCTCCTTCGAGCTCACCATCGACAACTTCCCCCGAGTGCTCGGGATCGACTACCTCCAGGTCCTCTGCGACAGGCTCGACTTGGTCGTCAACGACTTGGCTAATGCTCACGAATGATATTTCTTCTGAGCCCTCGACTGAAGACTCTCCTAAATATCCCTTCTGTGCTGGCTGAGCTGACTGGGCTAATGCGGTGGTCGATAGCGCCTGCAATGGAGCGATGTCAGGCTGGGATGCAGTGGAGCGAACCTCATCTGCAGACTTCCAGTGAGGCGCTGTGTGGGGCTCCCCCAGGAGCGCGGAGGCCTCGGCGTTCCCAGGGCCGTCGATGGTGCCGACCTCGGTTGGTGCAGATTCTTCTAGCGGAGGATCTGAGGGCGCAAAATCGCCGGACCCCAACTCGTTTGGTATATACTCGACGGAAGCCTTCGGGGATGAATCGGGTGCGTCGATATCGGTTTGTGACGAGTATGCTTGAGTCGTATCCATCTAGGCGGCCATACAGCGACGATGCAGGCCGGGACGGTGGGAGGAGATCAAGGACTTCAATCGTAATGCAATGCGATTCTATACGGCCACAGTGAATGACAGGGTGAGTTGCCCCAGGGCTTGCTGAGGCTGCGATCGAGCAAGTGCCGGGAGGACGCCCACGGCGGCTGCAATCGAGCCATGTCCAGCAGGGTCGCCAGAGTGGAAGCGCATCATACCCGGTCCTGGAGCCTCGGGGAGTGTGCGACCTTGCCAGGGCACTGCTCGGCGTAGCTGAACAATAGACGGAGCAGATTGATGAGGAAAGCGCCGGATTTTGCTCTCGCTGCGGGGTGCGGGGTGCGGGGTGCGAGGCAGTGCCAGACAGCGAACTTTCCCACGGGCTGATGTCAGCATCGGCGGCTCGAGCCAGGGGCCGCGCTGGCTGCTTCTTGGCTCGAGCCGTCTGGAGCCCACACACACACACGCATGCCTCTGCGAAAAAATTTTCTGGGCTCTGCGTTCTGTCAGATCAGCGACCCAGATCGATCTCGACCAGCGTCGGCCAGCATCGACCGGCCTCGAACACCCCGACAAGCCCGCTCTCGGCCATGCGCTTCGCCCTACTCCAGAACAGCCTGTCGCTGCTCCAGAACCGGCTGGCTCCTCAGATCCGCGAATCGGCATCTCGATGGGCAAGCTACTCCACAGCCGCCTCGGAGCAATCCATCCGTCGGCCGGAGAGCCCAGCCCCCACCATCCCAGACACCCCTGGATCCGCCCTTGCGCAAGACCCGACCTCGGCCGATGCCTGGAACAGCCGCTACGTCGTCCACATTCTTGCCAACCGCAACAACACCATCGCCACCTTGGCCAAGCGCGACGACGGAAAAGTCATCTGCATCGGTACGGCGGGACTTTGCGGGCTGCGAAAAGCTGCCCGAGGAACATCGGACGCCGGCTATCTGGCGGTTTTGAAAATGACCGAGTTGGCGGCCAAGAAGCTTGGCGAGGACGAGCTGAAGCGGGCCTCGTACCACCTCAAGCTGAAGATGTTTGGCCCGGGCCGAGAACAGGCCTTCCGCGCTTTGCAGAGTGTTGGCTGGAGAATCTCCCAAATCACGGATGTGACCCCGGTCCGTCACGGTGGAAGTCGTCCACCAAAGAAGCGGAACCTGTAATCAATCATTGCTCCCTCCTCTCTACGACACAACCCTGCGCACTCTCCAAAACATTGTCTGCTGGGGTCGCCACTGCCGCGCTTGGTTTGGTGCAGCGGATGATGCAGCGGATGATGCAGCGGATGATGCAGTGGATGATGCAGCGTATTGCCCTACGATCACCGCAACGAAGCCTCTGGCACGGAGCAGCCCTCGACCACAATGCTCGATACGTGTGTAACCCATTCGCTTGCGCTGTTTTGTAATCTCACGCAATATACGATCGCCTGGGCTTTTGCATAACCAATGACGTGTATACCCAGCATCGGGACAGTGGAGGTCGGCAAACGCATCACCTGCCACACAAAGTACACATGAAACAAGCAGAGTCGGTGCAGGGGAAGGAATATGACATCGTGTCCCGAAACATGAACCTGTCTGTTGAAGATTCAAACAGCAACTATCATTGCCGACTGGAGTGCAGGAAACATCGACCTCGTGAGTCTGAGCGCTCATTGATTACTGGTACGAACAGCTGTCCAAGGACAACCTCCAGTGGTAAGCATAGGCCCCCGGATGCTAGAGAAAAGCCCTTGACCTTGTGTGAGACACATTATGGACGGGCGGACGGCTTCGGCAAGGATCGCTGAAGTGAGCACTGCTCGGTCCGGCCATCTCACGGACCTCAGTGTCCCCGCATTCGCCATGAGGATCCGATTCGGGAGCAATGTCAACCCAGGGCTTTGGATGAGGATAATAATCCGAGGACACCGCCGGTGGCCGCTGTTTGAGTCCGGTCTTCCACTGACGATACGATTCTGTGGCCGCCTGCTGTTTCCGCGTGCGACACTCATGCTCCTTCTGTAGCTGCAACAGGCGCTGCTGTTCCTGGCTGTCCCGCAGTCCGTTCTTGTGTCTGATCCACAGCTTGAACTGCTCTTTAGCTCTTTCACGGCTCTGCTCGGCCTTTTTTGAGCTTTCGAGCGCAACCTTTTGCTGATATCTGCGCTGCTGTTCGAGCCGGTGCTGTGTACGGACCGATTCCTCCCGCTTCCGCTGCTTCCAAGCATCATAGGCGTGCAAAGACTTTTGTTTCTTTTCCAGGATCCCGGCAACAGCCGAGGACGGGAGGTTTTCAAGCTGCTTCAGCAAACCAGCCGGGTCTCGAGCACAGTATTCGGGTGCCATCCCGCTGACCGCGGCGGGAATCGGGTCCTGACTCGATGGCAGCCTGGGCCGTGGAGCGCTGCAAGATGCAGAGGAAGGACTCATGATCTTATCCACGGGCCGCTCACCTTGGTTGGGTTGCTCGCGAAGCCCAGTCGAGCTGGTGTGGGATCTTGCTGACGACCGGCAAGCTAAGCGCTGGACCGATGCTGCCAAGGGATCGGTTTGGCACTGAGCCACAGAGCATCCGAGCGATGTCGCTGCGCCGGCCTGGACCCGCTTGGATCGGCGCCAAGCTTCAAACGCTCGCTGAGGCCTTCGAGCATCCTCGATCGATGCGTCTGCAATGTACTTGCATAAACGGTCCATGTCTTCCGAGGTAAAGCCAGCCCTGTCCTTTGGAGGGTGTGGTTTCGGATCGGCCATGTCGTCCGTGGGAACCGCCGGAGCGCGCTCCTCGCGGTGACTTGCTGCCGCTGGACCGAAGTCGCCAAAGGCATGGACGGTCGACCTGGGCGATGCCATCGATACCAGCCACTCCTTGCTGCAGCTGCGGTTGACTGGCTTGGGGCCTCGGGTCAAGTTCGGTGGCTGCGTGGATGCGGGCGCATGACCGTGGGATGGTGCAAGCGGGCTGGTAGACAGGGGCGACTCGAGAGCCGTTTGCGATCGAGACGGAGGGAGGGAGCTGCAGGGATTGCGGGGTCCTGGTGGATCGGCATTGAAGGGAACGTCCGCGATACGAGCAGGCGGGCCTGGGTGCTGGGGTTGTTGAGGCGAGTCCACGAGGTGTTCTGCGCCAGATCCATGAAAGCCGAGGACGGCAGCAGGAGCGAGAGCGAGAGGGGAATCGGCAAGTGGAGGCTCATAGTCAAGGTCCTCGATTGCAAGCGACGGACCCTCGTCGCCATCGCCATTGCCATCGCCCTGAAGGCTGTGTTCCCAGACCGAACTATAGAGATCTTGCTCAAAGAGGCTGTGGGTGGCCCTGCAGAAGGATGCGTCCATTTCAACGAGTTGGTGGCTGGCTTGACGTGGAGTGATAGAGGATGTAGATGGAGTGGAGGATGTAGATCGTGCAGACGAAGCGGGGGGGGGTGAGAATGCGGGTGATCTGTGATGAGCCCGATCAAGATCCTCATGGCAGCGCCCCGCCACTTTGCGTTATCAAGACTCTCTAGCGCAGACCCAAGGAAATAATTTGACCCACTTGGTCGTTGTTGGCCGGGTGTGATATGATCCGACTGCGCCGTGTTTGTCAGAACGAGACGATGTGTCCCATTTTTTCTTCGATACGCTGCAACGTCTGGAGCAATCCATCACCCATGAGCCCGGGCGATTCCAGCTTTTGGCGGGCGAGCCATTTTGCTCCTGATCCCCCGCCCGCCCGTTCGCAGTTCGATCGTGGATATGTTTGATGGCCCGTGCTGATCAATCCTCTGCCTGCGATGCTTGAGCGACTGGGGCCGAATCAAGTGTTGTGGATGGCGAGCGTCTGCACCCCTCCCCCGCCGATATTCATCTGGCCCACATCGAGCCGACAGTCACCAGCCGTGAGGGACCGGAAAAAATTGATTGTGTATTCACAAACCAGAAAAAGAGAGCATCCAATGCTCGCAAAGGAGATACAGGGCTGTCCTGGTATTCTTGCGAGAGCTCTGCCCCATGTCGAAGGAGGGGAAACAAAAGACAGAAGGAGACTGTCGAAGGAAGACAAATGAAGAAAGAGATAAAGAAAAGAGGGGGGGGAGACAGCCAAAGAAACGAGCGAGGATCGAGCATATGTACAATATTCGGTTGTGTGCGTGTTATCACTTGCCCATCGTTGGCTTCTTGGGCCCGAGTGACAGTGAGCTCTTGGACTTGTGGCTCAGAGATCCAGCAAGATTGGCACTCCTTCCGGGGCTTGCTGAGGCCGACAACGGCGGAAACATCTCGGCCATCAGCAGTTGCTGCTGAGAGTCTCGACCAACAGGCCCAGGCGACAAAGCCATGGCACCCTGTGAGCCCGAATGTTGGTGCGGAGACGCGTAGAGGGACTGATGACCCATCGAATTGGCCACATTCACTCCCATGCTCATGGCGCCAAAATTGATTGAACTACCGTGGGGATGGTAGGTGGGCATGGAGACGGCCAGGCGGGGATCCGATGGTCCGTAGTTTGTGAGCGAGCTTGACTGATACAGATTGGCATGGAGTGACTGTTGTGGATGTTGCGGGTGCTGTGGATGCTGTTGATGCTGCTGTTGCTGTCCTTGAAGTTGAGGCGCCAGCTGCGACTGAGGCGTCTGGTGCTGCTGCTGCTGGTGGTGCTGATGCTGATGCTGTTGTTGTTGTTGTTGCTGATGCAGGTAGTATTGATGATGGTTTGACGGAGAGAGCGGCTGCGATATGGCGGACATTGATGCCATCGAGCGCACCTGAAGGCTGCTATTCTCGGGCGAGCCGTTCATGATCGACGACCCCGACAACGCATACCCGCTGTTCAAACCCATGCTGCTGCGCTTGAGGCTGTTGGCATGGTGGCCTCGGCGACTGCCACCCCCATTCAGCGACGAGCCCATTCGTGAGCCACCGGAGGGGGACACGCCAACAGGGACCGTTTTCCACTTGAGCCAGGCGCAGAGGCAAAGATGGTCTGAAGGGAAGTGCTCGGCCGGAAGCGAGGGCAGGCTGCGGAGGTACGAAGGCTGGATTGGAGGGGGTGGGCGGGTATCGGCGACCGGAGCGGTGTCCTTCGGGGGCTCCTCGGCCGGAACTGCGGTCGCAGCACTGTCCGCAGCATCTGCGAAGCCCTTCGCAGCATCGGTGGCGGCGGAATCGACTGGTGCAAAAATGATGTCCGAGGGCTTTCCGGCCTCAGACTGCTGCTGTTGCTGCTGTTGCTGCTGTTGCTCGATGGGTTGCGCACTGGCCTCGCTGACTGAGACATCGCCACCAACAGACTGACTTTCGTCTCTGTCTCGGACCTCGGTGCCGTCCGGATTGCGTTCCAGTCTATCTGCTTGAGTACTCTGCAGCTGGCTTCTCTGGTGCTTGAGCGACGGATCCTTTGGCGGCGGGGGCGGGGTGCCTTCGAGCTCTGTCAGCACATCTCGGATCGAGAGTGTGCCGGAGGTGTATAGGATGTGGTCGATCACGCCTTCGAAATCGGGGGTTTTGTTGGTGTAGGGTAGATCCTTGCGGTCGTACGCCGAGGCAAGCTTCGTGCCGTGTCGGAGGAGCTGCGGCGGATGCGGGTTCTGGCCAGTCGCGTGGTAGCCCTGGCCGTTCGAGGAGCCTGCGGCCGCGGCGCTGATGTTGTTCGGAAGCGAGGACGACAGGCCGCCCGGGTGGGATGGAGGCCCAGAGGACGCACCCACGCCTGTCACGGTCGCAATGCCGCCGGCGATGAGAGGACCGCCGGCTGGAGTACCAACCGAAAATCGGCCAAAGTCTTGCTCTCCAAACACAGCCGATGGCACGACCTTGCCCCTGACCAGGAAATCGACGACGGGCTCGCCAAAGCGGGAGTTGAGGTCACCGGCGATGACGGTTGGAATCTCGGGGTTGACCCGCTCGAGCCACTCCATGAGCAACGCGGCTTGGAGCAACTTGGTATCCGTAAACTTTGGGTCCCAATGCAAATGGGTGTTGACAACCCGGAGTCGAAGTGCCCGCGCATGGCGGTTCTGGAAGACACAGATGATGGCAATGTTGGGGAACGGGGCCAGCCGTGACTTGAGGGCGGGGCTGGCGTCGAGCGGAATCTGGTCGTTGTAGGCGAACGCTTGAACAGCCAGTAGCTGGAACCTAGGAACGGCGGGCAGATAGCAAACAGTGGTCAGCAGTGGCTCAAATAGTGGTCGGCAGTGGCTCAAATAGTGGTCAGCAGTGACTCAAATGGCGATATCGGATCGGGCGAGATTCGCGCAGAGCCACCAGCCGGGCCAGACGCATCGATCATTCGCTGGCAAACATCCAACCCCAAGACAGATTGTCGGTCATGAGGCCACGGCACACAGCAGGCACAGTTACCTAGACTCGTTGTAAAATATCGCGCAGCCCTCGGCAGAGTGTTCGCGCTTCTTGTGCTGGAAATGACCCTCGTAGCCAAGAGCCTGAAGCTCGGGAAGGAAAAAGTCCTTAAAATCGCGCGGGGGAAGCTCTTGCAAGCAGATAAAGTCTGGCGAATAGAACGCCATCTCTTCCAGCAGCTTCTGACGACGGTGCTCCCACTGTAGCCATTTGGGGTCCGTCTGGTGGAGCTTGGTCTCATTGCAGTACATCGGGGCCAGGACATTGTACGACATGACCATGAAGTGACCTGCATTTGAGGGAAGGCGGGGTATTATGGACAAAGACCGTCAAGAGGCACAAAGGACGAAGCGATATCAATATGCGAGCCAAGAGGCGATGCGTCACAGCCAGACGCAACCGATGGTGCTTTTGCGAGCCACACAGGAGTTACGACTGGAGCCACACAGGAGCTACGGCTGGAACTGCTAGAGATACAAAAGAGTCATCACATGGCCATCGGGTGCATCTAGTACTCACGGCTGTCGACCGTCTCGAACCCTCCATTCTTCCACTTGCGATGAGGCACCACCAGATAGCCTGATACCAACGGATTCATGGCGTTAGGGGCTGTACTGCGGGAGTAGGAGCAGGAGCTGGAGCTGGGACCGATGTCTTGCTCGAACCAGGGGGGCAAAGTCAGTGCCCATCCACTTGCAGCAGAACAGTACTCACCCTCGCGCTGGGGCCAGTACACGCTCTTTCGCATCCACCGCACTGGACATCCGTCTTCGGCTTCGTCCTTGGCGAGGTGGGCAAGGATGGTGCCGCCGCTGCTCCGCTCGTATCCGCAGGCGTCGAATCCTTCGCTGGGCAGATCATCGTCTGAGGAGAGAGAGGACGGGTCGGCAGCGGGAAGGGAGTTGTGGATCGCAGGACGGAGACCAAACGACGAGGCAGCCGAATTCCAAGACTCGGTCGGCAGCTGCAGGCTGCGGCGATTGAGTTCGACTCGCGGAGCTGAAAGACCCAGAGCGGACTGGGACGGCGAGGAGATGGCGATGGGCGCAGAGCGACTGATGTTGGATGTGCGCTCAAGGGAGGTCATGCGACTCAGCGAAAGTCTGGGGACGGAGCCCTCCAGGTACCCGGCGGGGTCGTCGTCGATGTCGAGGTCAAACTGCAGGTCGGAATCGTCGGCCATCAGCGATTCAGGGATTGTGGTTGCGGGCTTTTGGATGACGAGCGATCGGCGCAGAGGGACGGACGCATGCATATGATCGGCATCGGCGTACATAGACGACAGGGCAACCGACGTTGTCGGCGACGCGGGGTTGAGGAAGAAGGGCGCCCCCAGCGGCGATAGAGGCGACCTAGAAAACGAGAGCAGGCCACTGTGGAGCGACGCAGGGCCGCCACCCATGAGGTTGAGTGAGGCCGTCATGCCGTCGACAGAGCGGGTTTGGTGCAGCGAGTGCGGCGCAGAGTGTCGGTGGGTGGCCAGGGTTTTTGGTTCCTTGATGCGGACGGTCTTGACGGTGCCGGTGATACCAGGGATGAAGGCCATGTCGGCCGGTCGTTTGGAGCACACAGAAAACGACATCATAAACTCCATAGAATAGCGAAGGATGGGGCCGTCGGAGAGATGGGGCCTTGTGGGGGCATGCTCGAGGCGGACCATGCCATGAGGGAGGTTTGTGCGATAGTACGGGAACGACTCTCGGGGTACGATCGTGTGTGGATAGGAACTGGGCTCTGGAAACAGCTGAAAGGCAGGTTCTTCGGCGGAGGGCCTTGCACGCAGACTCGGATGGGCCGTTGTGGCCTGAGGACTCAGAAAAAGCGACCTCGGGGTGCGAGTCGGGAGGAGCTGAAGGGGATCGTCCTCGTCTTGAGCCGATATGATGGAATTCGACTGGGTGAGCGGGCCCGCCAGGAAGCTTGGGAGATAGGCGTGCAGATTTGTGTCGGGATTCGGAAGGGAGGAGACGGCTGCCCTGGAATATTCGGGGTAATCCTGGGCGGAAAAACCAGCGGAACGAGTTAGGAATCACAGGATGAGAGGTCGGCGCTGTGGGATCGGCATTCGGGGACCAGCGCTGTGGGACCAGCATTCGGGGACCAGCCCTCCAGCAATAGCCAGCAGAATGCGTGTCCGGGCGGCTGTCTAAACACGAAGCTGGTTGGCGCCAGGGCAGACAAAAGTCCACACAACAATGGCGCCACGTCCATCCAGCGAAAAGCGGGATCGCAAAAGGCCGCCGTCGGGGGGGTATGGGGATGCAAAAGGAGGCGGAGCAGAGGCGAAGCGGCGAGAGCGCGGAGGTGGCATCGGGCCCTCAAGCATCCCATAACACGGAAGAGCAGATCCCCAAGGCCACAGGGACGGAGGTCAGCCGGCAGTTGCCAGCAGCGAGAGCCAAGCAGGCAGCGGCGACAGACAGCGGCGACAGAGACATGGTACACCACATACCGTCGTATCTCGCTTTCGAAGGGGAGATGCCAGGCTGTCTTCAAAGGCCAGGAGATTCATGCCCTTCAAGCCGGACGCTTCGTCGAGCGAGAGGCCGTATCCGTTGCTTGATCGATGGTGCAGCACCCGCGACGAAGGCAGAAAAAAGTCTGGAGCGTGTCCATAGAGGTCCAAGTGCAGCATGCAGCAGTAACAAGGGTTGAGGCAGCAGCATTGCGGGAATCGAGCATGGGAACAAGAGACATGACCAACCGGCACGGTGGAAATGAGTATCATGGCATGAGTCCTGATCCATCAGGACCATGCGTGACACGCGGGGCTGATCAACCGGCCCATGGTCTGCAGGATACAGCAGCGCCAACAGAGCCACGACCGAGGGGCCTCAAGCGAAGCCACCAAAGGGGAAAAGGGAACGGAATCGCATGGCAGGTCTCGGGAGAGCAGAGACGACAACACGGGAAGGCAGCAGGCCGGGTTGCCTGGTGCATCCATCATTACCGTGTTTGCGATCCATCGGAACGTGCGGGTGTTTGAGAGCAAAGTGGATCGAATCGTAAGGGCAGCGGGATCACAGCTCGGAGCGAATTCCAGGAGCGACAGACGCAGCGAGCGACCGAGGCAGAAGAAGAGCAACGGGATGGCGAGAAGCGGAGCCGGGATGGAGGATAAGGTGCCAGGAAGTAATGAATCTGGCTGGACGGTCGCGAGGCGGTGGCGGCTCGAGCAGGTGGATCGACGGGAGAAGGCGGGCCTGATGCAAGCGAGCCAGGGCCGGAGCGTTGATACGGAAGCTGGCGCTGAGGCAAGGAAAGCACGGAGGCCTTGGCCCAGGGCGGACGGGAGCGCGGAGTACAGCAGACAGCGAGCGCCGCAGGGATGGACAGCAGCAGCAGCAGCGGTGATGGCGGCGACGACGACGACGACAGCCAGGACGAGGAAGGCGCCAAGAAAGACTTGCGAGAGAGGATACAGTACTGGGCGGGAACGAACGATTGCAGGAGCAGAAGGACAGGAGAACGGGACGAAGGTCGAGCCGATGGCCGAGTCGATGGCCGAGTCGATGACCGACGGACGGGGGGAAGGGCAAAGGCCGAAGGGGAGAGTCGGAGGCGAGAAGGGGCGAGAAGGGGCGAGGAGGGGGGAGACACAGGAGAGAACACCCCGAGAACGCCCTGTCGCATGGCGGGAGAGAGCGTCCGAAACCCAGCGAGAGCCCGGCGAGACTTGCAGCGAGATGCCCGGCGAGAACGCCGTCAGCGCCACACGCACACAGTGCTGCACTGCAACAACGCGGGTGCGCCGGTCACACCGCTCCTCGCCCTCGCCCGGATTGCACAATCGCGCCCACCGCACTCCGTCTGTGCTACCCCAGGCACAGCGTGATCGGACATGCAGCCAGTGTGCGGCTGGCCTGGCGCTGCACTCGAGCCGGATGCATCCGCCGTCGTCCGCGTCGTTCCCACGCCCCACTTGCCCTGGATCCCCAGGAACCACATCGACTTCCCAGAAGGTCTCCGTATCTAGAAGGCCCTCAGCCCCGAGCCAGAGCGAGCCGCCTTGCCCGTGCCTGGCCTTCTGTGAGTCCGGCCCGCCTTCTGTCCAGAGCCACCCCCAATCACCAGCAGCCCCGCTGTCTTCCTCGAGTCACACACGCACTTCCCAGGCTCCAGAGTTGCGCGGAGCTCGTCAATCGATCTCTGGAAACTTCTGTCACCGCTCAAACCTTGCCATGGGTCCTCGTCCAAGTCTGTTCTGCGACAGTATGCATGTCTTGCTTGGTCATCCTTGCCTCCGCCTCATCAAAGTGGGTCGCCCATCCTCTCCGGTTCTTCGACGCACTCTGCACTTCTGTTCTGGATTCTATGGATCTGCGCCATCCGACGTGCGCCCCCATTCATACCGCGCTGACTCTACTGGAAAGAGCAGGCCATTGCATAGCACTCTCCACCACCTCAACTTGGCGCTTCGGCCAGCCTCTACCTGCTCTTGAGCCCCGAGCATCATCTCTTTTCACTCAGGGGGCGTTTCCTCTGCCGCAACACTCTTTATCAGCCCCCAGCTCGACCCTCGCCACCGCAAGTCTCCATCAGCAGGTTCACTCGGCTCACCGCTCTGAACCACTCCTCGAGTGTGCCCAAAGCGACATGGCAGCTTGCGACGAGTTTAATCCCCAGCGTCTCGACACCCAGAGCCTAGAGAACGACTTTATCCTCACCAACAACTGCATCGACTCGGAAGGTTGGGATGGCAATCGATCTCTTGGACACGCTGCTGGCCATCCACATGCGACATTAATCTATGCGACGCCTCAATTCCACAGGTCGCTTTGTTCTCTACTTGATCAACTGCATGCTCTTTGCGCTCCTCTCGACCGTGGGCTTCGCCACGGCCGCCTATCGCATGTGGTTCCAAGACGGCTTTTCAAAAACCACGCCGTTCCGCATCCTGCTGATCTCGGCAGTAACATGTCTATGTACGACCACCGCCTCATCCGCTGCCACTGCCATATTGACTTTGATGTCTGTCCTTTGCTAACCATGCCAACCATTTACCCGTCCACGCTCTCATCCTCTGTCCACGGCTGCTGGCTCGTGCATCCCAGGGCTGGCGATATCGTGGATAGTCATCATGTCCGGCAAAGCCTCATGGATAACCCCGCTCTTGCGCGGAATCACACTGGAAGGAGTCAATGCATTTCTGTGTCTCAACATTTACTCCAGGTGAGCTTCCCAGGGTCTCGAGGCGAGAGAGCAGGATACAAGTGTCGACATGGTGTGGTCGCATTGGCTTAACAAAACTCAACCATTTCAACAAACGTACCAACTGCTTCAACTACCACCTCGACCAACTGCTTCCACCATCACCGGACCAACCGTGACCTGGGCCAACCATCCTTCTCATCAACCACATCAACCACATCGACTGCAACAACCGCATCGGCTGATTACTCGCTCACATGGCTCCACGATCGACTGCAGTCTCCACATCGGCGACGTTATCCAGTCATTCTCGTCGTCGCTGCGAGCCACGTCGCTCTATCAGTGGACCGTGCTCGCCCACACCATCGGACGGATCATGTTCTGGTTCTGGCTTGGCTCGAGCGTGCTTTTCCTTGGCCTGCACTCTCTGGCCGCCTATCTCCACTATGAATCCATGATGGTCTACCAACTGATGGTCATGGCCCTGTGCTTCATTGTGACGACGATCTATGTCGGCACCCTCGGAAGCCTGTTCTACATCATGGCCTCGCGGCTGGTGTGCATCTTGAACGACGGCCTGACCACGATCGAGAGCGACATTTTCGAAACCGCCGAAGCCATCGCCAAGACCGAGGCCTCATGGAAAGCACTGGCGCAGCAGAGCATCCTCGCTCCGACGCCGGCTCTCCGGTCGGACCGATCTGCTGAGGTGTCCAAAGCCAGTCCGGACTATGAGGAGCTGACGCTGCTGCACAAGGAGATCAAGACCCTCAACACCAAGCTCGAGCTTCTGCGGGCTCGCTGGCGGGTGCTGCGAGCGCTCGCCTCCAAGTCGGAGCAGTCGATCCGGGCCGTTTCGATCCTGTGTCTAGCCGTCGGGGTGCTGCTGACCCTCGGGGTCGCCGCCTGGATCACCATCGCCGTGTTCCAGGAGATCACCGGCCCCACCGCAGCACAGGTATCCATCTCCCTGATGGGCGGGCGTTCGGGTGCGGCCATTCTCCATGGGTCCAGCTGGGTCTTTGCCCTTGGTGATCTCCTGGTCTATTTTCCGGGTTTTGCGGTTGGCATGTGGTACCACGGGCTCCATCTGATTGCAAGCCCCGTCGGCAACCAGGTGCGGCCGTGATGGGCTCGCTGGCGATCTGAACAGGGTCCGAGATACAGCCCACTCAAAGCAAATCGGGGCATCTGGCTTTAATTTGGAGCTATTGCATGTTGTGGACACTACAGTAGGTCCAGAAAGAAACGGGACAGTTCCTTCCTGGCTTCAGATGTCTGAAACCCGCTGACTGACTGTAGGCCCAGCGGGTAGGCCATGGCATTGCACTCCTGTCTTCGTTGGCAATCGAGTGGTTTTGGTTGGTTTGGGAAGCATGGTCTTGAATACACCCGATCGATCTCCATGGACGATGATCGACTGGCATACCGAGATCATATTCCTGGCTGCATTGATGTCTCAATCCCACAGCGTATGGCAGCTTGCACAATGCAGGAATCTCGACCACGAGGGCTGGGAAGGCAGCGTCGTCATCGGGATCGTCTGGAGGGGGTGCTTGGCTGACCATTTCAGCGACCGAGGCAGAGCCAGAGGCAGGGCTGCTGTCGACTCTGGCTGTGCACTTCTTGGTGAAGGGTCTAACATGGTTGGTCAATCCACAGGAGGGGCATGATTTGATGGCGGGCTTCTTGGCCACAGGAGAGTCACTGGGTGATCCTGGGTGGGGTCGGGGGGTGTCTTTCTCTTGGGAGCCATCCGGCGAGAAAGCGTCCTTGATTCACAGATCCATACACTTTATTCAGAAAAAAACGGGACAATATAGCCGTTTCCATGAACATGTAGTATGTGCTGTGCTTGCGTCAAGCAAAGCCACAAGAAATAAAACAGATCACTTTGGCAGCCTCCGAGTGAAGACCTCACGTCGCTCTCCGGTCTCCACAATCGACCTGCATACTGTGATCATGTTGCGCGCCGCATTGACGTCGCGATTCCACACTGTCCGGCAGCTGGGATTCTTGCAGCTCCTGACAAAGTGGGAATTCGCAACACTGGGCGCATCGAGTCCTTCCAACCGAACTGGCTCCAGGCACTTGGAGCACACTTGCGAGGTGTTGAACTCGTTCGTCGAGACTACCTTGACGCTTCCATGATGGTGATTGGGACGGCGTCGGTGGTGCTCGAATTGCTCAAAGTACCGAGCAAACCGCTGCCTCCTCGGGCTGGATGCATAGCCCTTAGTACATGCGATGCAGCACACCAGAGTGGTTGATTGCAAATGCAGCCGAGACAGACTTGTGTTTCATGTGATTGCGCTAGCGAAGCGAAGCACCCTTCGGTGAGTATCCGTAAAGAGGGAAAATGGATTTCCTGATCCCCGTCTCATCGACAAAAACGAGCCGTCGTGGGTCGATGGAGCGGACCTGGTCCCTGAACTGTGCCACTCGCTCATCCAGTCGCTTGGACTTGTAGAGGTGTGTTGCCCTCTTGTGTGAGAGACCTGCTCGGTGGATGGCAGTGTGGCAGAGTGAGAGTGAAACTTTCCTCTGGAGGATGGACTCGGGCTTGCATCGCAACACAGGACCAGTCTGGAACGGGTCCTGTTCAATCAGGGTGCGAATGACTGGACATGCCTGCTCAAAGAAAGTGGATCTGCGAGCTGGGACCCGGGATGGGTCATCCAGCTTGCATCCTCGGTGCCATCGATGGATGGTGCTCTTGGATACACTGAATATGGAGGCGACCTTACGCAGGCTATGGATGAGGTCGTAGCATCGCAATGCGGCGGTGCGAAAATCGGATGTGTGGCGAATGGTCATGGCCAGCGCGCGATGGTTTGAGGCAACAAAATACTTGTTCAACGGCCAAAATCCGGGGTGTCCTTTTTTATTGGATCGGCTGTAATGAAAGAATAAACATCGACAGCAAAATACAAAACAACCAAACAGAGAGCGAAACGGTGGGGAAGAAGGAAGGAAGGAAGGAAGGAAGGAAAGAAGGAAAGAAGAAAAGAAAGGACAATAAAGAGAACATCAAGACAGGAGTATCAGCGTGCACCAACGAGGGCGTGTACTCGGAACATCAGGTTTGTCGGTGGCTGCAAAGGAAGATTGCGAGAGCAAGATCGAGAGAGAGACCGTGAGAGAGAGAGAACGAGTGATGAAAAGAAAACGACAGCACAGAGGAAAGGGGAACGGATGGGAAAGAGGAAACTCATATATATAAAGGCGGTGTGCAGAGCACGCGAGAGCAAGTGCACTCATGTCTCCAAAGCGCTAGATAACTCTGCTTTGTTGGTTTGGTTTGATTTGGTTTGATTTGATTTTTTTTACATGGGACCTTCCGTCAGGTTGGTAATAGTGGGCGAGACACCCTGTTGCTGAGGCTGTGCTTGCTGCTGCTGTTGGAGCATCTTCTCAACCTCTGCAAAGCGTTTCGATAGCAGGTACTGTTAGTCAGAGGCCATCGGACTCAAGCAACCCGTGGGATTGTCTCAAAGGAGCGGTTTGCAGGTATTCACGCAGCCCGATATTCACACAGAGCGGTGCCCGTCGCCATGTCGACAAGATAGAGGGAAAGCATGCAGGGGGGGACCGAGGCGGTGGGAAAATCACTCACTCGCAATCAGGTGCTTGCCATAGGTGTACTTCTTGAGCGAGGCCAGGTGAGGCTTGATCTTTTGGATCAGGAGCTCCTTCTGGTCGCCGTCCACAACATCCAGCATCTTCTGCACCACATAGTTGGCGTACTGATCCTTCATCATGGCAACAAGCGGAGACGAGCTACAGACGACATCAGGCGACATCAGGCGACATCAGGCGACATCAGACGACATCAGGCGAGAGCGGGTCAGCGTCGATGAAAGAGCGCGAGACAGTTGGGGGTGCAGGCGACGGGGGGGGGAAGGTCAGGAACGGTAGCGCAGACGACCAGAGCCAACATACCCATCCGGCTTGGTCTGGACAACTTCTTCGATGAGCAGCTGGCGGTCTTTCTTGCTGCCGTGTGCAACGCACTTTTCGACCACGTTGCTGGCAAACTTGTGCTTGCTCATCATCAGGACCTGGCCCCGCACTTTGTTGACGATGATGGCCTTGTCCGACGGCTTGCCGCGCTCGAGGACGTGCTGGATCACATAGTTGCCATACTGATCCTGGATCAGATTTATAGTATAGCGGTGCAATTCCTCAAGGAGCGGCTGTGAAACGAAGGCGACGGCCAAGGCATGTGTGAGCGACTGCGCGACACCGAGGGATGAAAGCAACTGCCTCGACATGGCAATTGGAGGGGTGCACAGACATACGAAAGAATCGCCGTCAAAGGGCCCGGCAAGACGCAGGCGTCGAGGGCCAATATACATACATTGGGGATGGCCGGATTGTCTCCGCCAATGATCTGGTTGCGCTCGTCAGTCGAGTGCTCAAAGATGCGCTGGATGACGCGGCAGCCATACGGATGCGTGGCCAGCGAATAGACCTGTCCGTGGAACGCATCGACAATGAACTGGATGTGCTCGGCGGGGACGCGCTCGATTGCCTTCTGGATGACATGGTTGCCGTTCTGGTCCTTGACGCACTTGAGGACGTTACCGTCGAGTTCTCTGACGAGCACGGCCTGCTGGTCAACGAGGACGTGCTCGAGCGCCTTCTGTACAACTCGACAGCCGTACATCTGCAGCGAGAGCGAAAGCACATGACCCTCCATTTGCTTTGCAAGGATCTGCTTCTGGATTTGGTTGCCTGTCGCCACGATGGCGCATTGGCTGTCAGATCAACGACCGGGCGAATATTCTCCCACCTCGTACGGCCGAGAAGCAGCCGGGCAGCCGGCAGCCGGCAGCTGTGGCCGACTCCACCGCAAGTTTGCGAGTACGTACCATGCTCAAAGAACTTTTGGATGACATAGTTGCCAAAGACGTCCGTCATCAGCTGCAGTGCGTTTGACAGGATTTCCTCAAAAACAAGCTGCTTCTCCTCGCTACTGGCCGTTTCGAGCTTCTGCTGGATGAAGCGCGAGCCATGCTGGTCGCCGCTGAACTCGACGATATTGCCGACAATGTCCTGTAGTTGTTGCAACGGCAGGAGAGTTAGGCAGCTGCCTGGCCGCATAACGAGTCGGGGGCTGGAGGCCACACAGCCACAGACAGGAATGCAGGATACATGGTGCGGTGCGGCACATACCCGGAGCTCGTATTTCTTGTTCTTGTTGTTTCGGAACTCCTCCAGCAGCGCGCTTCGGATTCCATGTCCTGGATCCGAGGGAATGCTGGGCTCCTGAGGAGGGATCGGTGTTCGTCTGCTTGGACTCAACGGGTTGACTCCGACGTACGGCGAGCTCGGCGAGGCCAGGGAACCATTGAGGCCCATGAACTCCTTTCGCATCAGCTGATCTGGGGTCTCGCGGTACATCTGCTGGGTAGCCAGGAATCGTATCCGCTTCTCCATCAGGCTGTTGGTTCTGGTCACCGTCGGGATGCTCGGGGCCGTGTATCCGCCCATGTAGTAAGCGCCAGAGTTTTGCTTTGGTACGCCAAGATCTGCACACAAGACAGGCGGGACATGGGCGACATACGAGTAAGTCATAGCCCCATGGGGTCCGAGCTGCGCCTTAGGCACACCATTGTGCCACCAAGATAAGCAGTATGTCTCACCTGAGCCTTCCTCTGGATAGAATCCGCGTGTCTTGGTTTGGCCGGCCTGACGGAGCTGGTATAGATGGCGCTCTGGAGGGCGAGGGGGGGGGAGCAAAGCATGGGGGTTACATTCAGCACCATAGCAAACACTTCTGGTCATCTATAGGGGAGAGACGCTGGACGAGCAGTCGCAAGAGCCGTGATATCTACCTTTGGCGGTAAGGAAGGCATCGCGGTTGGGGCCGGCACTGCGGATGTTGCGGTCGGGGTACATGCGATCAAAGGCTGTGTTGATTTTCATGGGCTTGTGGGAGGACCGCATCTCCATGTTGTCAGCCTGGGAAGAGGAAAGGGAACAAGTGTTATCTACAGGACACAGATCCACAAACATCGTACGGCGACGCTGTGTTCATTGTGGCCGCGCTGGAGCTGGGTTGGAGCTGAAGCTGGAGCTGGAGGGGGCGTGTGTACGACAGCACCACAGTGTCATCGAGCCAAACAGTCACATTTCCAGCCACTCGGATCGGCGCCACTCGCGCAGAGTCGACTGATCTCATGGATACAACGTACACGTACATCGCTCAGGCTCAGATCGCGGAACTGTGCCGACATGTCCAAGGGTGACATGAAGTCGCCAAAGCCCGATCCTGGCCCAGGGTGGCTTCGGATGCTGTGGAAGCTGGAAGGAGGTGTCGATGCCGAGCGCATAGGCGGAGAAATCAGCGAGGCAGGATCATCCCGATGGTCGAGGGCGCCGAGCAAAGAGGCCATACGGATCTCCTCTTCATGGTGTCGGTCGTCGTAGTCGTGGTAGATTGTGTCGCGGGGGAGAGGTTCGTCATCGAACTCGGGATCGGGCATGCGATATTGAAGGGCCGAGGCAGGGCGGATGTACTCGTCAGGAAGGTCGGCCAGGGGGCGGCGCTTGGACGGGGACTGGGTCTGGGATCGTGGGATGTACTCGACGGTGCCCCAGGGAATGGAGGGCGCCGGTGCGTATCGGGGGCGAGGAGCAGGGGCGCCATAGGCATCCATGTCTTTGATGCCTGAGTGGAAATCGGAAGCCAGGGGCTGCAGCGACAGGAGCAAGGAAAAGCAAACAGAGTCAGTCCCGGGGGGAAAGCCACTCTGGAATCACGCATAGCGCCGCCGAGAAGGATGAGCGGAGCAGGAGATGCGGGCCAGCCAGCCGGACGGCTGAAAATGCAAGCGACTGCGCTATCGATATTACCTCGTCGGTGGGGTAGTGGCGCTGGTCGGACAAGTCGTCACCGGGGGAGCCGTAGAATGCGGATGGCGGCGGATCCATCAACTTCCGGTCAAACTGTGAGCCAGGGAGCTCAGGGTACTTTTTGGGCAGACCGGCGCTCGGAACAGACTCTTGCGGCCAAATCTGCCACGAGTTGAAGGGGCTGGGCGAATAGCTGGGCCCAGGAGCCGAGGGAGTGAGCGGGGCCGAGGGAAGGGCCATCGAGGGATCCAGCCTGGGCTGCGGAGCATAGTATCCGTAGTCAAGGTTGAGGCGAGGATCCAGGCTCGAGGAGTCTGGCTCGGCGAACTTGAAGCCGTCGAGCTGTGAGGGTGGCGCACTGCTCGAGCGACCAGGGTCCATCGTGCGGGAAAAATCAGAGTCCCAGTCCAGACGGCCTCTCATCAGCACAGCGAGCTGGAGACAGCCACGAAGCGGGCAAAGACGAGTGTATCCAAGCCAAGGGTTGGAGAGAAACAGACCACCGACGATGACGACGAAATAAATGAGGGACCGGGGTTCGGTGGGGAGTAAGGTGGGGCGAGGCAGCCGAGCCGAACCGAGTTGCCGGGTCCGTCGCGACGACAAAAAGGAGTCAGTTCGCAAGAGTGCAGCCAGCATGCAAAGAGCGAGAGGCAGCAGGGCGAGGTGGAGGCGGTGGTGGCCGGAGCGGGTGGTATGTGGAGGGGGAGTGAGGGCGCCGTGGGTCGGGGAGATGAAGGTGACAAGGCCGAGGAGACGGGTGGGAACAACCAGCGAGCCAAAGGGCAACGGACGGTACAGCACAGAGGCCGAGGAAGAAGATGGACCGGGAGATGATCAGACGGACTGGTCAGACGATGGCGAGCGAGCGAGCGAGCGGACAATGATTGGCGGTCGACACCGGATCGAGAAGGGCTTTGGCTGGACAGCAGCCAGAAGGTGCGAACCAACACCAGCCGCAAGGACCCACCAAGGCCATCGCAGGCATGGAGAGCAGCATGGAGAGCAGCATCCACAAGCATGGAGAACGGCATCTGAAAGCGGGTAGCAACTGCGACAAGAAAGAGCGCAGACGCATCTCTCACCTGGCCATGGGGATGGTTCTTGGCTTTGGGTTGAAAGACATTCTCATCCATTTTGGGCGGTATCAGGGCAGTATATACTTGAAGAGGGATAAGGGCTCAATGAGAGAAAGGAATTCACAGGGCTCGAGCAGAAGAGAGCGACGACCAACGATGGAGGACGTAGTGGAGGGAGAGGAGGAGGGGGGAACTGGGGTCCTTGTATTTACCAGACAGTGGTAGATCGAGATTAGGCGGATGATCGTTAGGACATCGAGCGGGCAATAGGGACAACTCGGCAATAGAAGAGCAAGTACGGAAGCAAGCACGGAAGCAAGCAGAGGGACAGAGACGGTGCAGGAGTGGAGGCGATAGAGATGTCGACACCGGTAAGGAGGTCAGGGTCGGGGAGGGGAGGGGAGATGCAGCAAGGAGGGGAGATGCAGCTGGGAGTGAGAGCGAGAGAGAGGAGACGGCGCCGGTCGCAGAAACAGGGTCGGCAGCTCTGCGATGCGGGCAGCCCGGTGTGCGAGGCCAGAGGAAGCAGGCAAGGGAAGGGTGTTCAGGCAGGGCGAACAGCGTGAAGTTGCACCTTACTTTTTAAGGCAGCACAGCTCGACAGCAGCAGGTCGTCCGATTCCAAGATCCAGATGTCAAAGAAGGAAAGAGATCACAAAAACGAGGAAGAGGGGGGGGGAGAGGATCTTGTTCGGAAAGTATGAACAGGCAGGCAACGGGGAATGGACGGGCCCAGGGAAGCACACAGGACGGGGTCGACAGCAGGAGAGGGACGGAAGGCAGCGATGGACGACAAGTACAGACGCAAAAGGGCACGAAAGAGAGCGGGAGCAGCAGCCGGGACCCGTTCTGTCGAAAGAGAATATATGATATAAATATATATATAGGTATGTATACAGTTATGTACAGATTAAAAAGAAAATGGGGGGAGACGATCCAAGCAAGTTATGGAGTCATTTATTGAAGGAAGAAGGCAATGGCAACGGCGAAGGCGACGGAGGGGGATTGACAGGAGGGAAGGGAGGGAGGAGGGAGGGATCAGAAGGCAGCGCTGGCAAGGCTCAACTCGGCGGCCAGCCTGGAAATCCTGGGTTGACTCGGGTGGGGAGCGAGCGGGAAGGCAGCTGATTGATTGTCGAGACCAGGGAGGCGAGCGGCAAGATGTCCACGGACGAAGGACGAGGGGGAAAAAAAAGGCTGGAGCCAAAGGAGGCGAGGCCCGAGACAGGAAGACCGGTCGGCGACAGCCAGAGGCGAGAGGGACACTCTTTGTTGCCGCCAATCCAGGCACTGCGACGGCCCGCAGAACGCAACCGGGACAGCCGACAAGCAGAGAGGACACAGGCAGGCAGACAGACGGACAGGCCCATGGGCGAGCGGGGCTGCGAGCGGTGCTGCGATCGGCCGATGCGATCAGCCGATGCGATCGGCTCATGCTTGGGATCGCTCTGTCTGAAAGTAACGTCGTTAGCACGGACTGACTATCAGAGACGGCCGAGAACATCTCGTTCTGTGCACGCTCTGTGCACCGAGGCGATTGGGCGGCCTGTGCCAGGCACCGAGAAGGGGGCCGTCAGAGTCACGAAGCAAAGGCCAGGCGGTCTGCCTGCGGCCGCTGCAGTCGCAAAAGCAGCACCACACTCGGCGCCAGAGATGCATCGCTGGCCCGCAGAGCCGCAGCGCAAATGCAGCCCGCACCATGGCCACGATCACAGCGGGCGCTGGCCAGGACGAAGCCGAGGAGGCTCCGTGGATGCTCTCGCTGCATATCGCGGGCATGTCGCACACGCCATCGCAAAAGGAAAGGCTCGAGGCGTCCGCTGTGTTGATTGCGCGAGCAACAGAGCAGAGCCGGCTGTCGGACCCATGTCCAATCCAAGCTCGATCCAAGCTCGATCCATGTTCGCGGTCGAGAGGCCTCTTCGCCGGGCATCAGCGCTGATCGGGGGTGATTCTGGCGGCCAATATAACGCTGCTTGCCGAGCCGTGCCATGGACCGGCCGGGCGGCAGCATTCGCCCATCACCCCGGACCGAGCCGTGCGCACAACATTGCGTGATTGTAAAGTGCCAGAGGGGAGCTCATCGCATATGCTGTATTGATCGATCTGCTCTTGTTCCCGGCATGGCAGGTAGATCGGATGCGGCCGCTAAACAAAGATGTCACAGGACAAGAACAAGAACAGGGTCCCAAAGCCTGAGATGCAGGAGTTGGATTAGCGGCCAGGATAACATGTCTGGGGCAGACAGGACTAGTCTGCGGCTGCACTCGCTCATCCAGCTTACCGAGCAAAAGCGACGAGGGAAGGGCCAGCGACAACTCCTTGACAAGGTTTTTGGACGACTTGGCGCCGATCTGGGAGCTGGGATAGGAGAGAAGCACGGTGCATGAGCATCGCAGTCACAGCCATGTCCACCGCCTTCTACGAGTCCACTGCCTTCCACGATCCCAGTGCGGCTGGCCAGTGCCAGACGAGCAAGACCGTAGCCGTTTCCGTTTGTCTGCCCGACATGGGCGATCCTGAGTGCAGAACACCCACGCTGGCTGTCCCAGTCAAGAGGACGGCACCACTGACTCCCTGTCCTTTCGCGAATACAGAGGCACTTACATAAAGAACGACGAGGCGAGGATGAATCCCAGCAAAAGCAGAGAACCCGAGAGCGGAACAAAGAGCGACGCAGGCACCGGGGGAGCGAATGCCTTCAGGTCGGCATTGGACCAGGAAATCTAGAAACCATCGATGCAACAAACGATCCAGGAGCCGATGTGAGTAGATTCGGCGGGTCGTCGGCCGCCGTTTCGAGGTGGCTATGGTCTGGGTGGCCCCACGGCATCGGGTGTTGGACCAGCCCCATTGGCAGAGACAACGGCATCTCGTTGCTGCCGTCCTGGGGAGTCAAGTCCAGCGAGTCGCTTGCCGCCTACTATCGTTCAACGGGAGTCATGGAGCGCTGGCCCATCCACATGCACTGGAGTCTTTGGAGCCACGTCGTTGGGGCCATCTCGATCGTCCGAGTGGCGAGCACGGGTGACCAGCTTTCGTCCAGCACAGCAGCTTCAGGGTTGACTCGGAGCAGCTCGTTCGATCAACGCCATGCAGCTGCCGCAACAGGCCAGATCCCGCGGCGATAGGTTCTCGACTCATCAGAGGCATCGGTAGAGGCTCACCAGGTTTACAGGAGCCAGCACCGTCGACATGGCGTGTGTCTGCGCTATCGCTGGATGTCGCTGCGTTGGAAGGGGAGGGGAAAAAGCGAAATCTCGGGGGTTGCGGGCTTGTGCCTGCCATTTTGTGCATCCCGCGCTTTGATCGGGTCTGGCCGCTTGGCTTTTGAGCTGCTCCCTCCCTCCCCCGGCTTCTCAGCTTGCCTGCCAACTAACCGGCTACACCAACGGCGCCATGGCATCCAAGCAGATCCTCGAGAAGCTCATCTCCGGCCAGGAAGCCGCCCACCTCGTCGTGCTCCAAGATACCACCAAGCAGTCCCATCTGCCGATCTTGCACGCCTTCCTGTCGAGCTCAATCTCCCGGAAGCACGGTCTCGTCCTGGTCTGCTTGCAGGACCCGCCTGCTCGGCTGCTGCCGCTGCTGGGCAGCTATGCAAATGCAGTATGCATCGACCTATGTTCTCAGCTCCCGTCTTATGCGGCTTCCACCAAGCCTGGCCCACAGTTCGGCAGCGTCAAGATTCGGCCTGCACTGCCATCGGAACTAGGGGACGTGCTCGCATTGGAGCTGAAGCAACTCGGTAATGTCAATGCTCCAAACGCAAATATCCGTCCAGATTCCAGTCTTGCAATCCGCCAGATCGACGGTGGCTCTGATGCTGCCGCTTCTCGGATCCTGCCATCTCTCCCAGAGTCGCCCAAAACCACTGTCCTGTTCGACAGTTTCAATCCTCTGCTCGACTGGATGCCGCTTTCTCTCATCGCCGCCACGGTGAAGAATCTGGCGTTCTGTACGAACGGTAAGGGCATCGACGGGCCGACACCTGTTATCCCAGGGTGCTGATCACCCTCATCGTAGTCACGGCCGACACCAACTCGATGGAAGCCCGCCGCTTGACCCAGCTCACTCCAACACCCAACCAAGCCAGACTGCCAATCTGCATCTCCAACGCATCGCTAATACATGTGCGCTTCGTTGGCCATGTCAGATTCATGTCGGGTTGTCCTGCCGATACACACCGACTCGCTTCCGGAGACCAAAACGCTGCTCTCCATCGAGTCGATCCTCCATCAGCACATGAGCACCCACATCAAGATTCTCCATCTCAAAACCCACCTGAAAGCCATCAGCGATCCGTTCGACAAGAGCATCAAGCGAAGCCAGCTGGAGTTCCAATCGGTCGATGCCAATGCCCTGGAGTTCATTGTCGACCTTGAGTGGCGCAAACGATCGGGCAAGGCCATCAACGAGGTAAGAGACGTCCCTGGATGCACATGCCCGTCCCTGCCATCGGATCTCCGCACGGGCGAATCCTGCTCGCCGATCTGAACGAAGGCTGACCGATATTCATCGATTCTCGCGGCATTCAGTTGTCGCTTGTCAGGTGCGGCGAGGCCAGCAGCATCACAATCTCATCTGCGGACCACCTGAAGCCTGCTCCGACACCAGATGCGGTCCAGCCCAACCAGTCGACAAAGGTAAGGGCCGGCGACAGTCCAGCCAACCCAAAGAAGAGCAAATGCGGCCGCGAGGGCAGGAGGGCCGTTCATGGTCAACAGCGGCCCCTACTCCATGACAGTCGCCTCGAGACTGAATTGATCCATCCTACTAACCAACCAACCAACCACAGAGTGACCCGACGGCCAACCTGTCCTTCAATCTGACGCTGACGGATGAGCAGCGCCAGGCCAAAGACCAGGTCGTATTGCCATATCTGGAGGCCCAGCATGAAAGCGAGTCGACTGGAGGCACGATCCACTACGACCCGGACGAAGACGATGACTTTGACGAAGAGGTAAGCCACTACCGCGACGACAAAGGCCAGGGCTGCCATGAGCGCATTGGTCGAGCCGGCCATGGTGCTTCTGTCAACTCAGCACTCCGCAACGTTGTCGACCACGGCCCAACGATGCGAGCCCTGATTCCATGCCGATGATTCCTGGTTGGTGGGATGGCTGGGACACTCATTCCTCGCCTCCACCGGGCACCTCTCGCCTCCACAGGATCCCGACGCAGATCTGGATATCTAGTTTATTGTGACAATCCCGGTCTGTCGGTCAATATCGACGGGACAACATCAAGCCGCTCTATCCCTGCGCCGAAAGTCGAAAGCTTTCGCCAAGTGGGCGACAAAATCGGGGATGGTCGAACAGCAGCACAAGGAAGTGCTCGTTGGCAGGACAGTGGGCTCGTTGACAGAACAGTGTGCACGGCAACCCCCCCCCTTGAAATGGCGAGAGGTCATCAAAGGTTCCATGATGAACTTGCCGGCGCTGTGTCCCACGTATGCAGAGCCAGCCCATGCCAGTCGACGGTGGAGGGGGGCGAGCCAGAGCCTGCCTAGTGTTGATGATCATGGCTCGAGCATGGGCCATCGCCGTGCGAGTGCGAGTGCGGATTCGGTCTGCGGACATTCTTTTTCCGGTTTGGATTTCGCTCGTATGCGTTGGGCCTGCGGGGATCGTCGTCCGAGTCCGAGTCAGACTCTTCTGAAGAAGACTCATCAAAGGCGCGGTTCTTTCTGAAGATACAGCAGACTGACCCGTTTCGTCAAAGGGAAGAGAGAGTGAGAACGAGCGAGCGAGCGAGCGAGGGTGTCTTTGGTTAGCACCGGGAGGGACACTTGCTTGCGATCACTTGGCAGGCGGAGGGGGCAAGGACTCTTTTCGCCTGTAGGCTCTCCCCGCATTGGCGAGACCGAAACAAGACCTACTTTTGCTGCTCTTTTTCCCCATTCCCTCGTTGTCCTGCACGGAGGCATCCCACTGGACCCGTCGGTTTTCCAGCACGCCTCCGGTCAGCATAATTGTGCCGACGATTTCGTCCTGGACGGGAGCAGATGTCAACGCAGGCTCGACCAGCGTTTGCGAACCCGACACAACGGCCGTGGCTGTTCGTGCGGCACTCTGCGTCTGTAAGGAGCGCCCGTTCCGAGGTGATTCGGTTGATGCCGAGGCCAAATCTCGGTGGCCAATATCCGACATTGTGATGAAAAGAAGAGGGCTGTCCCGGGATAGCGGCCAGTGCGGCAGCGGCAGATGAGGCTGGATGGGCTTTAGTGGGTGTGACGGAGCAATTATCTTTGACTATGCTGGATGCGAGGGGGCGATGGATGCGATGGATGCGAGAGAGCGATGGATGCGATGGATGTGAAGAGCGACGGCGACGGACGGTTGCAAATCCGAGCAGCGTGTTCCAGAGCCGCATTCGAGCCAACGATCCTGCATCAACCAAGGCGACAGCCAGGGATGCTTGTGCTCTCTGTCCTTGCATCAGCCCCGCTCGCTCGCTCAGACATGCATCCAGGCTGGCTGGTCGGCAGACGGCTCGGCCAGCTTGATCGTCACAGTCGTGTCTCCATGGGTCACTTCAATACCCAGATCCTCGACTGCCTCCTTGAGGGCCCACATGAACCTCGTCCGGCGAGCAGCCTTCTTTCCGCCGTCCTGCCAGTTACTCTTGTGCTCCAGCACCATCGTCACCCACAGCGACTTGCGATCCACAAGCTCGGAGATGGTGATTTCACAGGCTTCGCGAAAATCGCGGCTTTCTTGGCCCAGGAACTGCAGGATGCGCTCTTGCAGCGCGAGCAGCTTCTCCTTCGGGGTCGTTGCAACCACGGCGAGCTTGATCTCTTCGAGCTGATGGCCAGACCGCCGGATGTTGAAGATGTACTTGTCGATAAGGGTGGAATTTGGGACGTATGTTTCCTTGCCATCGACCTTGCGGAGCACGGTGGTGTTGAGGCCAAACTCTTTGACGAAATAGGCGTCTCCGTCAAGCTCGATGCGATCGCCAATGTCGTATGGATGCGAGACAAACAGAAAGATGATGTTCTCGACCAGGCGCTTAATCGTTGCGCCGACTGGGTGGGATTGATGGCGAACCAGACGAGCGCATGAGTAAACAGCACCAGCGGGCTCGATCCGACTGAAAGCCGACAAATGCTCGAAGCGAGATAGAGGAGTGCGCGGGGATACTCACTCGCAAACAGGACGCCGGCCCACACCGAGATGGCCACGGTCAGGAACTGCGAGGTATCGATGCTCCAGATGCCCAGCCACAGAAAGACGGTGATGATCCAGACAAAGAGCTTCATGATGTTGTCCAGGGTCGAAATGGCCTGCGACGAGTCCCTGAGCGACTTTTGGATCGAAGCCCGCTCCTTGAACACATGCACAATAATCTCCTTCATCTCGGACTTGCTTATGTCGCCGTTACCATCCTTGTCGAAGAACCGAAAGGCCGCCTGGGCCTCCTCCGGAGAGTCAAAGTACGGCTCAAAGTCCGAAGGCACCAGAAGCGAGGCGCCGTCGTGGCGGAGCGAGAGGAACAGCGTCTTGGCAAGGACCTTGGCATCGTGGACGTTGCGCAGAACGATGCCCGCCGGCATGCCGAGCTGCAGTCCGACCATAGCACCAATGGCGTGCGAGAGACCCGTCATCACGTTTTTGAAGAGGTTGGCCTTGGATGTCTGAGGGGAAGCATGGATGTCGATGCTCTCGTGAGACTTTTCGACGCTGGCTGGGATGGTGACATCTCTTCGGACCTTGCGCGACTTGTTGAGGTGTGCAAGGACAAGGAAGGCATCTTTGTTGGTCCGGATTCGGTCTCGGTAAGCTCGCTGGTGGTCGGTGTCAGTGTCGGCGGGGAGCGAGGGAGATCATGAAATGCAGAGGTTGATTAGTCTTGCGCCGGTCCGGGTATCGTCGTCTCCATTGTGTGCTCGCATCTGCGATAGAGTGCCGTGCATTTCCATCGCCCCTGCCTTTGCAATCGCACCACTTGCCCTTTACCTTGTGGAACGAAATTGCAAAAACTTGCAGCAGGAACTTTTCGATGCACCATACGATCGAGGCAGCCAGGATCGAGGCCCAGATCAGCTGTATGATCTTTTGCCAGTCGTTGTTTGGGTCGATGTGCTCCGTAAAGATCGTTCCCCAGGTGATCGAGCCTATGATGCTCCACTAGATGTCAGGATAGATCTGTGGTGTCAGTACGGCGCTGTGTGGTTGTATTCAGGGCGATCCTGCCAAGTCCATGCGAACTCACCATCAGCCACATCAGATAGGGCCGCAGATGAGTCACGTAGTTGATGATCTCCTCGACTTTATTGGCGTAGACGTTCAGCTCCGATGCATCCAGCAGCACATCGGCAACATAGATGATGATCTCGGGCACGATCCGGAGCAGCCATCTCAAGCCAAACCACGCTTTTGAATGAAATGGCACAGGGAGTCAGCAAGCAGATGCGAGGGTCGTGCTCCTAACATGCATGACACTAACCTGTCCACATAATGACACCGTAGACGCTGAATACAAAGACCGGGTATTGGCCGATGGAGAACCCGTTGGTGGCGACCTGTTTGTTCCAGGTCACGCTGGTGTCCGCTGGGGACCCGTGGAGTTGGGCGAGTGCAGGGTGGGCAGAAAGGAGGATGGCAAGGGAATGAACGGCCAGCGACGAGTCAGTGGCATCCTGGCGATCATGGCACGGGCGATTCACACGGCATCGACAATCGCACGACGATGATGGAGATGGTGATAACGATGGCGCGGGTCGTGTGGATCCAAGCCATGCTGCTCGCAAGCAGATCCTGGTTCAGATGCAGAGGACGCATTTCAAGCATGGGCATGGAGTCTCCGACAGGCGATTGTTCCCGTCTCCTCGTCGTCACATCTTCCCACGCCCCAGCTCACACACACTTGCCTACAAAAAACAAATACGATATGATCCCAGGGATCATGATCACGGCGTCGCCGATGACGATGTAGGCGACATCACGGACGGCAGCTGGAATGCGGTGGCAACATGCACAGCAGCGGCCAAAGATGGTTCTGGCGGCCTTTTCCTGCCGTTGGATGGATTCGTATTCTTCAGTCTTGTCCCAGTCGAACTCCCCCTCGGGATTGACCTGGTCGGGAGACTCGTTTGCAGCGTCGCTCATCAGTGCACAATCGAACTGATGCCGCAGTGAGTGTGGGGGCGGATCGGCGCGATCGGTCCTGAGCGGCAGCGTCGAGTGCTGGGATCGCCGCTGGGATGATGGCTCACTTGCTGGGATAAGGAGGGGGGCAGGGTGCCAAAGCCCGCGCAGGTCGAGATCGGATCTGCCGCCCATGAGGCCGCCCGCAAGCGGAAGCGAGGGGGGGGGTAACTGGAAGCATAGCCAAAACGAAACGAGATAGTTGTCAAGCACGAAGGCATGCACCACATCGCGACATCAGCGTCAATCGACCGCCGCTACAGGAGATCGGCCAGATGTATTCAAGACGATGCGCCTGCCCATCGGCATCAACAGATGTGATCAGCAGGCTTGAGTCGCTGATACCAGGGAAACGGCACATTGTCGTTTTTCTAGAACAAGCTGTATTACTGGCAATCCAATAAAAAAACGGGACACCCGGGTTTTTGACCATTCATCGAATATTTTGTTACCCAATGTTATCGCGCGCTGGCCATGACCATTCGCCACACATCCGACTTTCGCACCGCCGCATTGCGATGCTACGCCCTCATCCATAGCCTGCGTAAGGTCGCCTCCATATTCAGTGTATCCAAGAGCACCATCCATCGATGGCACAGGATGCAAGCTGGATGACCCATCCCGGGTCCCAGCTCGCAGATCCACTTTCTTCGAGCAGGCATGTCCAGTCATTCGCACCCTGATTGAACAGGACCCGTTCCAGACTGGTCCTGTGTTGCGATGCAAGCTCGAGTCCATCCTCCAGAGGAAAGTTTCACTCTCACTCTGCCACACTGCCATCCACCGAGCAGGTCTCTCACACAAGAGGGCAACACACCTCTACAAGTCCAAGCGACTGGATGAGCGAGTGGCACAGTTCAGGGACCAGGTCCGCTCCATCGACCCACGACGATTCGTTTTTGTCGATGAGACGGGGATCAGGAAATCCATTTTCCCTCTCTACGGATACTCGCCGAAGGGTGCTCCGCTTCGCCAGCGCAATCACATGAAACACAAGTCTGTCTCGGCTGCATTTGCCATCAACCACTCTGGTGTGCTGCATCGCATGTACATCCCCACATCATTCAAGACACACTCGATGGTCGAGTTCTTTGAGCGAGCGAGCTTCCCAGACGACTCTGTGATTGTGATGGACAATGTCAGCATGCACAAGACAAGGGCTGTCCTGGACTGCATCGAGCGCCGAGGATGGTCAGTGATCTTCACCCCACCTGCCTCGCCCGACTTCAATCCCATCGAGAACTTCTTTGGGATTGTGAAGCATCAGTACAGGAAGGCAGCAGCGCTGAATGCGTCTGAGGGGTTCAGAGTCGGGATGGTGACCCTGTTTGAGTCTGCCGTGCGGAGAGTGCTTCCGGACGTCTTCCCACGGCTGATTGAACGTGCGATGCGCTTCTGGGGTTGAGTTCCCTCCAATCAAGCCGCCGTTCTCACGTTCACATCCCTGGCTTGAACCTCTCGGCGATTTTTGAACAGGGTCACTTCCCCAACCAGCCCGCGCAGACGGGTTCCTGCTCTCGGGTATAAATGCCACACCTTCGTCCTGCTGCTTTCTTCCCTCATCTCGCCTTGATCTGATCATCGCGCTATTGTACGATAAAAAAAAGTCTCTGCTCTGACCAGTACCACTGGCAGGCATCCAGCATCCTCTGTCCCCATGCCTCCGAAGCGCAAGGGTACCGGTGATGGCCAGCCTCGGCCACCCAGGCCCAAGAAAGCCAAGTCACAGTCGGAGCCTGTCTCTGGTTCGTATTCTGACCCCACGCATGCTTGTTCGTCTGTTGCTCCGTCGCTCACCACCACTGCTTCTGCAGATCCAATGGATGTCGATCCCACCGAGCCTGGTCCATCTACTTCCTCGAGTACCGGCAAGCGATGTCGCCAGTGCGATGGCACCGATCACGAGCGAAGCAACACCAACAGGTGTCCCGAATATCACCCCCTCAAGAGTTCTGTCGTCCCACTCGTGGATGGAAGGTCATCCGCCCCTCAGTTCAGCTGCTTCAAGCAGACGATGGATGGCTGTTGTCTCAATCCCGCTCTCCGCGACAAGATCCAGGCCACCGTCGAGGCCATGACCCAGATCCAGTTCGAGGCATCCAGGCTGCTCAACCTGCACATCCTCCGGTGCATCGAGCAGGATCTTCCCGTCCCCGTCATCTCCAAGTCCACCCCTGCTTTCATCCGCCAATGCTTCAAGATTGTCGAGGCCGATGCCCTCTCGCCGACCGGGGACAATGAGAAATACAACGAGCATCTGGTCGCTTCCTTTCGCGACTACCAGACCACTCGGCACGCAGACCTGCCTCCGGCCCCTCGTCTGCCTGATGGTGCTCACAGTCAGCTTCTCACCCTGGCTGTCAACGCCTATGCCACCAACTGCACCACCCACCTCAACCTGGCATACTGGCGACTCCTTCGCCGCTTCTGCGCTGCCGTCTTCCCTGCCAACAAGCACAAGCACGAAGCCATCGAGGCCTGTCTCGAGCTCTTCGAGAAACCAGGGCAGACTCCACCCAAGGCCGATCTCGAGTTCCTCTATCCAGACTTTGGCCACGTCCTGGACGAGTTTCGGTACAGCAGCGACCAGGACCGCTTCCGGGCCCTCCACCGCCTCTCACACCATGTGGGTCTCCTCGCCCGAGACAAGATGGTCGACAATGTCCACAAGTGGATCGACTGTGACATACCCGCCCTCCAAGTCACCGAGCTGCAGCGCCAGGCCAAGCTGGACGAGCTCACTACCCAAGGCATTCCCTCCGACGACAAGAGGTTCACCACGGCCAAGTCTGAGCTCGGCACCACCAAGGCCAAGATCAACAAGCTGGCATCCAGGATCAACTGGGCACTCAAGCAGCTCGCCGTCGACACTCCTCCGGCCGTGTGCACGATAGTTCCTCTATGCACTGCAAGGGCCAAGTATGTCAAGATTGACACGGTCACTCTCTGGCAACTCCTTGACACCGATCATCGTCTTGACCTCACCTGGGACATGCTCAAGGAAGAAGGTGAGGACGGTGTCAACAACCAGGATCGTCTCTGGCGCAGCTGCTTCAAGCTGCGTAGTTCCCTCTTCCAAGAGCGAGTCAGGGACAAGAAGCTGTTCAACTACGAGATCAGCACCGATGGCATTGGATGCACCATCGGCCTCGTCAAGTTTTTGCGTCGAACCGATCGCACCGAGACCTCCGAGCCTCCTCCGACCGCCGAGCAGCGCATCCAGGAGCACATCGGCGACCCAGACCCCAACCGCACCACTTGGATTGGCATCGATCCTGGAGTCGGCTCCATCTTCACGGCGGTCATCCAAGCACCGGGCCACCAAGACGAGGTGGTCTCGTTCTCCAATGGTCACTATCAGCACATGTGTGGCCATACGTCCAACACCAAGTGGCACAATATCATGAAGTATCGACTCAGCATCGAGACCTGGATGTCGACCACCCCCTCGCCCAAGGTGTCGTCCTCGGAGGCTTTCAAGGTCCATCTCACCCATGTCCTGCGACCGGAGCTGCGAGTGCAGCTCGACTTCCACCTTGGCAAGAAGGCCCGCCACCATCGCTTCACGGGCCACAAGAGGCGCCAAGTGGCCGTCGACAGGATGTGCAAGGCCATCGACAGGATGTGCAAGGCCGTCCTGAAGCACGCCCCGATACGGACCGATGTGGTGATCGCCTTTGGCAATGCGTCATGGCGACAGGGCAAGGGCTATGCATCCAGCCCTCGGAGGCAGCGGTTTGCTCAGTACTTTGAGCAATTCGAGCACCACCGACGCCGTCCCACTCACCCTCACGGAAGCGTCAAGGTGGCCTCGACGAACGAGTTCAACACCTCGCAAGTGTGCTCCAAGTGCCTGGAGCCAGTTCGGTTGGAAGGACTCGATGCGCCCAGTGTTGCGAATTCCCACTTTGTCAGGAGCTGCAAGAATCCCAGCTGCCGGACAGTGTGGAATCGCGACGTCAATGCGGCGCGCAACATGATCACAGTGTGCAGGTCGATTGTGGAGACCGGAGAGCGACGTGAGGTCTTCACTCGGAGGCTGCCAAAGTGATCTGTTTTATTTCTTGTGGCTTTGCTTGACGCAAGCACAGCACATACTACATGTTCATGGAAACGGCTATATTGTCCCGTTTTTTTTTCTGAATAAAGTGTACTGTTGTCAACAGCGCAATTCGAAAGGTGAAGGAACAGCCCTCCTTCCTAGGAGACTCGCTTCTGCATCAGCGCTCGGGTGGCAGCACACCGCAGAGCATCCACGGACGGCAACGCTCCGCCGGGAGAACGTGGGGGGAGAGCAATTGGTGTGGCCAGTACAAGGATTTGCAGCGTGGCCGCACTTTGGCAACCTTGACAACGCCGGATCTACTGCTGCGAGGTGCGCTCGACCCAGACGCGGGCGTTCCGGAACATCCTCAGCCAGGCACCGTCCTCGCCCCAGCCGAAGCGCTGGGCGCCCCAGGTGTTGGAGATGCTTCGGACCACGCGCTCGGGGTGAGGCATCATGATGGTCACTCGGCCATCGTCATTCGTCAGGCCGGTGATACCAAAGGGACTGCCGTTGGGGTTGAAGGGGTAGCGATCGACGCCGGCCGGGGCACCGTAGTTGTCGACGAATCGGCAGGCAATGTTGCCGTCCTGGACCGAAGTCTCGAGACTCTCATCCGACACAAACTCGGCGCGGCCTTCGCCGTGGGCAACGGCGATGGGGATGCGGGTGCCCTCCATACCTGCAAAGAACACGCTCTTGCCGTTGACGATCTCGACGGTGCACTGGCGGGCCTCGAACTGCTCGCTTCGGTTGCGCAGGAACGATGGCCAGTTCTGGGCACCGGGGATGATCTCCTTGAGATTGCTGAGCATCTGACAGCCGTTGCAGATGCCCAGGGTGAAGGTATCTTTGCGGTTGAAGAACTTGACAAACTCGGCCCGAGCGTGCTTGTTGAGGAGGATGCTCTTGGCCCAGCCAGCGCCGGCTCCAAGAACGTCGCCATAACTGAAGCCACCGGGGCAGGCCAGGCCGACAAACGAATCGAGCGCAACAGAGCCGTTCAAGATCTCGGTCATGTGGACATCCACGACTTCAAAGCCAGCCTTGTGGAAGGCCCAGGCCATCTCGCCAAAGCTGTTGACGCCCTGCTCGCGCAGAACACAGACGCGAGGCTTCTTGTCCACAGGGGTCTTTTCGATGATGTGGGCGGCAATGTCGTCGCTGGGAGAAAAGGTGGTAACGGGGTTGATGCCAGGATCGCGATTGTCCAGGATGGCGTCGTACTCGGCCTTGGCACAGGCGGGATGATCCCGGAGGGCCTGCATCTTGTAGGATGTGGCACTCCACATGCGCTGATACGTCACCCGGTGGCCCGACAGGACGGTTTCGCCCTTGGATCGGATCTGGATGGCGTCGTTGCCAAAGGCGTTGACCTCACCGAGGTCATGGATGTGGCTGATGTCGAAACCGCATCCATGGAAGACGGCCTTGACCTTGGCCACATCGCTCGAGCGCACCTGCACCACGGCGCCAAGCTCTTCGTTGAAGAGGGCCGAGACCGCATCACCGGACTGGATCGCCGAGATATCGGCGCTGAAGCCGACATGGGCAGCAAAGGCCATCTCCAGGAGGGTGGTCAGGAGACCTCCGTCGGAGCGGTCGTGGTAGGCCAGGATCAGGCCCTGTCCGTTGTTGTCGCCGGTGGAGCGGGCTTTCTGCAGCGCATCCCAGAAAGCCTTGAGGCTCTCGGCCGACTCGACATCGGGGGTGTCGGCACCGATCTGGTTGTAAACCTGGGCGAGGCAGCTGCCGCCCATGCGCTGCTTGCCGTTGGCCAGATCGATGAACAGGAGGCTGGTGGGGCCCACGTTGGTGCGCAATTCGGGAGTGAGCGTACGGCGGGCATCATGGACGGGGCCGTAGGCGGTGATGATCAGACTGAGCGGGGCCGTGACGGATTTTTTCTCGCCGCGGTCGCTCCACTGGGTCTTCATGGACATGGAGTCCTTTCCCACAGGGACGGTGATGCCGAGCTTGGGGCAGAGATCGAGGCCAACCGCCTCGACGGCCTCGTAAAGGGCCGAACCTTCGCCCGGGTGGGAGGCGGCCGACATCCAGTTGGCACTGAGGCGGATGGTTGCGAGATCCTCGACATTGGCTGCAACAAGGTTGGTCAGAGATTCGGCAATCGACATGCGGGCGGCGGCGGCAGCGTTGACAAGGGCAGAGGGAGTGCGCTCGCCCATGGCCATGGCTTGGCCGGTGTATCCCTCGTAGCCAGAGGCAATGATCGAGACGTCGGCAACGGGGACCTGCCAGGGGCCAACCATTTGATCGCGGGCAACCAGGCCAGTCACCGTGCGGTCGCCGATGGTGATGAGGAACGACTTTGAGGCGACGGTCGGAAGATGGAGCAGACGCGCCGTCGCCTCCTCGATGGTGGCTTGGGCAGGCAGAGCAAAGGACGGGAGAGCCTTGGGCAGGGTCGTGGCAACGCGATGCATCTTGGGGGGCTTGCCGAAGAGCGTCGACATGGGCAGATCGATTGGGGTGTTCTTGAAGAGTGAGTCCTGAACAATCAGGCGCTTCTCGGCGGTAGCAACACCGACGACGGCAAATGGGCAGCGCTCGCGCTTGCAAATACTGGAGAACCGCTCGAGGTCGGCCGGGGAGACAGCCAGGACGTATCGCTCCTGGGACTCGTTGCACCAGATCTCCATGGGGCTCATTCGCGGGTCGTCGCACGGCACATCGCGAAGCTGGAAGATGGCACCAAGGTCCGAGTCATGGACCAGCTCGGGCAGGCCGTTGGACAGACCGCCGGCACCAACGTCGTGGATGGCAATGATCGGGGTCTTGTCTCCGAGCGAGTTGCAGGTGTCGATGACTTGCTGGCAGCGGCGCTGCATCTCCGGGTTGTCGCGCTGGACCGAGGCAAAATCAAGCTCGGCCGAACTCTGGCCCTGGGCCATGGACGAGGCCGCGCCGCCACCAAGACCGATAAGCATTGAGGGGCCGCCGAGGACAATCACATGGCATCCTGGTTGGATGGGCTTCTTGAAGATGTGCATGGGACGAATGGTGCCCATGCCGCCGGCAATCATGATGGGCTTGTGGTAGCCACGGAGCTCCGAACCCTCCTGGGTCGGAATGCGCTCGAGGTAGGTTCGGAAGTAGCCAGTGAGATTGGGGCGGCCGAACTCGTTGTTGAAGGCAGCGCCGCCGAGGGGGCCCTGGATCATGATATCGAGGGACGAGGCCACATGGGCGGGCTTGCCGGGGTTGACGCTGGTTTCCCAAGGCTGTGTAAAGTCGGGGATGTTCAGGTTGGAGACGGTAAAGCCCGTGAGACCCGCCTTGGGTTTGGAGCCCTGTCCAACGGCTCCTTCGTCACGGATCTCGCCACCGGAGCCGGTGGAGGCGCCAGGGAAGGGCGAGACGGCGGTCGGGTGGTTGTGGGTCTCGACCTTGGCAAGGGTGTGGATGTGCTCGGTGGTGGTGAAGTAGACGTTGCTGTTTTCGGGGTCGGCGGCGAAGCGGGAGGCGGTGGGGCCCGAGAGCACAGCGGCGTTATCGCTGTAAGCCGAGAGAATGTGCTCGGGGTGCTGCTTGTAGGTGTTTCTGATCATACCGAAGAGCGAGTTGGGGCGGTCGGTACCGTCGATGGTCCAGGAGGCGCCAAAGATCTTGTGGCGACAGTGCTCCGAGTTGACCTGGGCAAACATCATGAGCTCAATGTCGGTGGGGTTGCGGGGCTTCTCGCCGGGCTCCTTGGGGTTGATGAAGGCGTCAACGAGATAGTCGATTTCGTCTTCGGCGAGAGCCAGGCCCCAGTCCTTGTTGGCCTTGACCAGGACGTCTCGGGGGGATTGCTTCTGCTCCACAGCAGCCAGAAGGTTGACCGAGTTCAAAAGCTTGGGCTGGCCGCTGCTGAAGATGAGGGTTTCGTCGGGAACGTGTCGCAGAACAACCTGGTGTGAACAACCAAGAGCCAAGAGCCAAGAGCCAAGAGCCAAGAGCCAAGAGCCAAGAGCCAAGAGCCAAGAGCCAAGAGCCAAGAGCCAAGAGCCAAGAGCCAAGAGCAGAGGAGGAAAGCGGGGATGGAGACGATGTATCGATTGTGGTAGTCACCCAGGCAAGGGCATCGAAACCGCCGCCGAGAGGGATCCGCGAGAACGAGCCCAACAAACGAGCGCCGATGCAATCGACACAAGGTTGGGCATATCAACGAGCGATGCGCAGTGCATCGATTGCGGATATGAAGTGCATTGATGATCGATATCCGGCGTGAGCCACCGACAGGTGAGCAAGCCACGCGACAGAGCAGACACGAGAAGAGGAAAGCGTCAGAGGCGGCGCATGAGCAGCGAAGGGCATCCGGTCCGATGCTCGATCGCAAGCAGGGTGGGTGTGGGATTCACCCAAGAAGACCGAGCAGCCAAAGGCAGCCCGACTTTGACAGAGGCCAGTACCTGAGTCATCCGGTCGTGAATCAAGTCAGAGAACTTGGCGACGTCGGCGTCGGAGATGTGCTGGCCATCCTCGACGTGAACAAAGAAGGCGATGCCGCGCTCGATGCGCTTGACCTCATTCTGGAGACCGCAGGTGCGGGCAATGTCGGTGGCCTTGGACGACCACGGCGAGATGGTTCCGGGGCGAGGAAGGACAAGGAAGAGCTGCCAGTGATCGTCGGTCAGCTTGCCCGTGGAGGCGATGGCAGCGAGCCACTGCTGCTCCTGTGGCGACAGAGTGTTTTCGGAGATGGAGCCGTATCTGAGCAGCAGCTTGAGATGGTCAAGGATCTGGACACGCTCGGGGGTGCCCTCAGAAGGGAATTGGGCCGAGGGAAGGACCAGATGGACAAAGAAGGCGCGAACATCGGCGGCAGCGGGCAGGGCCGATTTGAGAGACTTGAGCAGACGATCCTTGCGGAAGTCGGAGAGGGCCGAGGAGCCGGGCAACAGAAGCATCTTGGAGAACGGATGGACTGGAGGCAGGGACGAAGGGCGTTCGGCGAGGGCGAGATCGGGCGGGGCCAGGCAGTGCAGGCACAGACGGCGATGCGGGAAGGACACCGAAGAAGAACGGCGGAAGGCCAAAAAAAAAAGTCGGCAGATATGGGCGCGCGGCTGCGCACACTCACACCGGCTGGAGATGCACTCGAACCAGGATGTGTGTGTGTGTGCGGTGTGTGTGTGTGTGCGACATGTGGGCCACTGCAGATCCGAAGTGCATGCGCTGCTGGACGCCTGCGGGTGTGATGCGCATAAGCCATGCACGAGCCATGCATAAGCCGTGCATCGGTGTGTGGGCCGATATGCACATCGTTGTGCGATGTGTTTGGGCCGCTGGATGCATCGCATCGGGCGAGCCACACGCAACCGACCCCGCAGCCACAGCCCCGCCCCGTCTCGTCCAACCCGGCCGCCCCTGGTCAAGTGACGTGACAGCGCCGGCGCCTTCCGGTGCGCCCCCCGTGACCGCGCGGGTTAGGGCTGTGCGCCCTCGCCCTGGGCTTTTCATGTGTCGGCGCTCATGTTCATGCTGCCTTCACATGCCGCGCTGCCGGCCGCTCCGGTCTCCGCCGCGCCGCAATCGGAGGTATAAATGATGCCGCTGCTCTCTCTCCCCGCCCGACGCTGCTCTGTCCTCTACCGGCAACCCATCTCGCAGCCCGTTCTCTCGCGGACCGCCCTCCATCTGCTCCATCGCATCTCTCACCGTCGCATCCCACCCGTCCCACGCCATGCACTCCGTCAAGACCGTCGCCGGCGTCGCCATCCTCGGCCAGGTGCCTCCCCAGTTCGCCCACATTCTGTCGCCACCTGCACAGCAGTTCCTCGTGCATCTGCACAGGTATACCGCCGTCTCCAGCCACATGCCCCTCTGGCACTCGCCTTGCGACCTCAGTCCCCGCCCCATAAATGTCGCGTTCCGATGCTCACGTTTGCCTCTTTCTTAATGCGTTGCAGATGCTTCGAGTCCACTCGCAAGGACCTTCTCCTCAAGAGAAATCTGCGCCAGGAAAAGATAAATGCAGGTTCGTCTTGGCTGGGTCTCCTTACCCGCATTTGCTACGCTGTCGGGGCAACCACTCCTGCGACAGCCACACATCCGGCTTACACATTGCTCCGCTTCGGGCACCAGGTGTTTTCCCCGACTTCCTCCCTGAAACCAAGTGGATCCGTGACGACCCCACTTGGAAGGTATGGCAATAGTTTGGCCACAAGAGTCTGCGTAGCCTCCTGTTCTCACGGCCACTCGTAGATCACCGGCCGTCAAGCCCTCGCTGCTGCTGATGAACGCGTCCTCATCCCCCTCTCATGCCGCACACCAGGCTGCCCCTCCTGCGCCGGGCCTCATCGATCGCCGTGTCGAAATCACGGGCCCGGTCGACCGCAAGATGGTCATCAACGCTCTGAACTCTGGTGCCAGCACCTTCATGGCCGATTTCGAAGGTGCGAGCCCTGGCCATCCCTCCCGTTGCCGCACAATCCCACGCATCAGTCTATCACTATCCCTCGCTGCCCATCTGTCAAAGCCAAAACTCACCTCTGTCGCTTGACTCTACAGACTCAAACGCTCCCACCTGGGAAAATAACCTGAGTGGCCAGGCCAACCTCCACGACGCCATTGCCCGCAACATCACCTACACGGCCCCCAACGGCAAGTTCTACAAGCTCAACTCTGGCAAGATCGCCACCCTGATCGTCAGGTAGGATGCAGCTCTCCGAGAGACACATCACTGCCGCATGGCCTGAGCCTCACAACCATCGCAGCTGCTGCCCCGACTATCATCGGTGCTTGCTAAATCGTCTCTGCTCGCTTGCTCTCACGTTGTAGACCCCGTGGCTGGCACATGGTCGAAAAGCACTTTTGCGTCGATGGTGAGCCCATCTCGGCCTCGCTCTTCGACTTTGGTCTCTACTACTTCCACAACGTCCACGCGTCGCTGAAGATCGGCGCTGGACCCTACTTTTATCTCCCCAAGCTCGAGAGTCATCTGGAAGCTCGGTGAGTTGTACTGCGCTGTCGCACGTATCCATTGTTGAGCCATGCTCTGCTGCCTCCAGTCCTTGCCCCACCCCGGCTCCTTTGATTATTTGTGCTTGCCATCGACGTACTGACGCCGTGTTGTGCCGCATCGCTCGGCCCCACCAGTCTCTGGAACAATGTCTTCAACATGGCCCAGGACCTGACTGGCGTCCCCCGCGGCACCATTCGCGCCACGGTCCTGATCGAGACCATCATGGCCGCCTTCGAGATGGACGAGATCATCTTTGAGCTGCGCGAGCACTCCTCCGGTCTCAACTGCGGCCGCTGGGATTATATCTTCTCGTTCATCAAGAAGCTCCGCAACCACAAAGAGTTTGTTCTGCCCGACCGTGCCGATGTCCAGATGACCACCCCGTTCATGGATGCGTACGTCAAGCTCCTGATCAAGACATGTCACAAGCGAGGCGTTCACGCCATGGGTGGCATGGCTGCCCAGATCCCCATCAAGAACAACCCCCAGGCCAACGAGGCTGCCTTGAACAAGGTCCGCGCCGACAAGCTGCGTGAAGTCAGCGCCGGCCACGACGGCACCTGGGTGGCCCATCCCGATCTCGTCAAGATCGCCTTGGCCATCTTCAACGAGCACATGCCTCAGCCCAACCAGCTGTTTGTTCGACGCGACGAGGTCCAAGTCACAGGCAAGGATCTCCTGTCCATCGCCGGAATCGGCGGCGGCATCACCGAGAAGGGTGTCCGGGGCAATATTAACGTTGCCCTGCAGTACATGGCTGCATGGCTGCGTGGCTCTGGATGTGTGCCCATCCACAATCTCATGGAGGATGCCGCCACGGCCGAGATCAGCCGATCGCAGCTATGGCAGTGGGTCCGACACCAAGCCAAAACTACCGACGGCCAAGTCATCACCCGCGACTGGATGAACCAGAAACTGGAGGATGAGGTCCGCGCGTTGCTGTCCAGTGCCTCTGATCCGGCAGTGCGCCTGTCGATCGAAGGTGCTCGCGACTACCTCGCCAAGACCATCCAGGGGCAAGAGTATGTCGACTTTTTGACGGTAAGCAAACCTGACGACGATGAATCCTCACGGCCACCACTCGTCCCCGCGTAGCGATGCTTCTTGAGCTTGGTTCCCGTTGCTGCGCGACAGATCCTGGAAGCGACTCTGATCGACTCTCTTGTCTCGTTTCGCCCTGCCCACAGACTCTCTGCTACGACTCGATCACGACCCTGCAGAAACCACACCACAAGCTGTGAAACCCCTTGATTGCTAAATTGGCTCTCGGGCCTGCATCGCCTTTCACATCTCTAGTCGCACACCGCATGGTTGCAATTGTTTGATCGACTCTTGGCCTGCTCTGCTCAAATATACTTGGCGCATACGCGAAAGCTCAATATTGGGCAGCGCCTCCTCAAGCTGTGTGTGCAGAGCGGTTTCATGGCTCGAGAGAGAGAGTGTGTGTGTGTGAGTGGGAGCGAGAGCCATTCGGGTCGTTTCGGACCAGATTGCATCTATCTGTATGTGCACACATTGGGGGAGCGTGTGTTGTATTCAGAGCCTAGGCAGCGAACGAGCCACAAGACTATTTCGATGGTCGCACTCCGAACAAAGGCACCAGATATCCAAACGGTGCCAAGGCTTCGTCGGTTGAGACACATAGCTCGATCCGTTGGTATGGATTCTGGTATCGAAGGCGTTGTGCTCCCTCGACAGGGTCCTACGCTTCAAGCGCGCTGTTGATGACCATACGGATGGCCGGATAGACCACGCAGTACTCCTTCTCGCCCTTGCGGTTTGCTTCGTCAACGTACTGTCCAAGGCACTTTTCAAGCAGCAGTATGGCTTGTTTGGGCTCCTGTGCATCGAGCCATTCGCTGTACTGCTGCTCCGACCAGTGGCAGAAGACCGTTGGCAGGGGGATCAGCGGGTGGGCTCGTGTGAACAGATGATGGACGAGAAGGATCGGAGGGATGGCCGAGATGGGTTTGGAGGTCGATATCTGGCCCAGATCCAGGAACAGCAGCGGCCTGGCCGACAGAACAGCCCGCTCCCGGCATTAGTTACACAATCAGCGTTGCTGAGTGGATTGCATCCGCTGACGCATACAGCTCCGCTTCTGTGCCGATAGAAAGGCGCACCAGCGCAAGAAACAGACTTGGAGGCGCCGTGATGCAACCAGCGCACATCATCAGCAACTCTCCCCACACTTTCTCCCACGACTCACTTGAACGCCTTCAAGGCACGATAACAGTCGCCAATGTCGGTCTCGAGCCGCATGCCCGTGCCCGAGAACCATTGGTTCAAGGCAAACTCGAGCTGAGTGAGGTCGCCGGCCAGACGCAGCTTGCCGGGCTCGCTAGCGATGGGAACGATGCTGGCATGTCGCAGGAAAAACTCGACGGTGCGCTTGCCAACCAGTCTCATCCAGTCTTGGCGCTCTTCGCCGCATTGATAGCGCGCGAACAGCTCGCGCTGAATCCATCGGATCTTGTTGCTAAGCTCGATGATGTATGTCCCGACCGAAGACTCGGAGCGACCCAGACCCGAGGAGGCGACGATCCTGGTAGGAACGATCATTTCGGAGACAAAGAGTTTGAGATGGAGTAGTGAGTGGCTTCGCTCGAGTCGGGCTGCAATCCACAGATGTGTGCTCCTCGCGCATCACAGGCATCTGCTCATCCCCTATCTTTGTCCATGCCGCCGCCGACCTGAGCCGCCACTGCAACTCACTTGGAAAAGTCCTCCTTGTGGATCTTCATGATGATTCCTTCAATGTCCCTCATGACGGCGATCAAGAGGGGCCCCACAATGCCTTGGAACAGTGCATGCGTTTCCTGTACATTCCAAGTCAGTCAATGTGGATGTATCGGAACCATGCGTCACGAGATACGCAGGCCGTGCGCTCCACAATGCGAGCGAGAGCTTTACCTCGACCGTCTCTCCTACGATGTCGAGCAGACCTGGCTCTGTGTACTCGCTCATCACCACGGCCCAAAGCCCCTCCTTCAAGGCATACAGGCAGTTGGCGATTTCCGCGTTCAGGATCTGGGCTTGGGTGGCGGTAATGAGACCGGTGATGCTAAAGGCGTTCGAGTCCTTGACCGACTGACAAGGATACGGGATTGACAGGTACATCAGCTCCGTGTGTCGTTATTGAACAGCGCGGTGCACATCCGTTGTGCTGTGGGGCTGAGACGTAGCCATGGAGGCATCTGCATCCCCGATGAGCCACTGTTTTCGACGTGCGCGGCATATAGATGCGCAGCGGTAGTCGCGGCGACCCTGGGGCCTCGACACTCACCCACAACTCCGACTTTTTGATGTACAGATTGAGCGCCTTGGAGACGTTTTTTCCAACCAGCTTGAGAAGCCTGGTGTCAAACTTGGTCGCCTCTAGCTCGCTGGATACGACGCGCATCAGCCGCTCGATGTCGTCTCGGCTCGGCACTTGCTTCGAGCTGCCTCCGGTGACGGCGACGCCGACGAGGGGTGTCGATCCGAGTCTCTCTGGGAATGCTTGCTGGATGGGCTCGAGCAGACGAGTGAGAGAGCGAGACAGATACGAGGCTTCAAAGGAATGGAGAGTCTGGCTCAGCAGCGCAAACTCGGGGCTTTATCCAGAACCACGATCGGTGCAGAGTGTTGGTCAGCGATGGGCAAGAGAAATCCACCGACACGATGATGCACTCGTGTTGAGCTGTATGCGGTCCAAATGCACGCCGTGAGCGCGATATCGGCAACGACACGACCAAGCGCAGCGGTGGTACCTGTCAATATAGCCCTGGCCCTTGATACCTCCGTTGGCAACATCGATTCTCAGGAGCAAATCATGGAGAAGACGGAGCAGCTTCGGATATCCATTTTGCAGCGCATTCTGGAGGTTCTGTGAGCCTGAGATGCCCAGCAATCGACGGGGAGCATCGATATGGCGTTAGGGGGCGAGGATGGATGTGCGAGGGTCGTTAATCAATCAAAGATATGAACATCTCTCTCCTGGCGCTTGTGCCATCGTGTCTAGGGCGCCAGAGAGTACTTACTTTTGGTCGAAAGTCGGAATTCGCGCTCCATCGACGCAGCCAGACTGCGCCAGTAATAGTGAAAAATGTCGCCATCGAATCTCTGTGGTGGGGAGTTGCAAAAGTTCGCAGAAGAAGCGCAATGCAGACGGAGAAAATGAGGCAGTGGCCGGACTGGCAGCTGGAAGAGCTGCTTGTCGGATACCATGCAAACAGCCCATTGCCTTGGGCTGCCGATTTGACATTGGTACTTGCTGGGGTGCGACCAGTTTAAGCCGCAACAAGAATAGAACGACTCCATCCCCAACAGCAGCTCAGCGTATGCTATCCATCACCCATTGTCTCGCCAGCTTACCTCGCTCACAGTCTTCAAAAAGGAAATCTGCGTGATGGCATCCCGTTTACGAGACAGAACACGCTCAAGGAGATAAATCTGCCAGCCCACGGATTTAGCAACGCAGCCAAATGAGTCTTGATCATGACGGGGCGAGTGAAGGGAGGGGGCGGAGACGATTTGCCAGTGGCGAGTGACTATTGAATGAGATGGGCTGCTTGATTGACAGGAACACACCCACCTTGACAGAGCTGATGTAAATTTTGTCAAATAGGCTCTCGAGTCGTGACCACAGCGCACTGCTCCACGCAGAAGGATTGACTGTTCCAGGTTCGGTGACTCTGCGCACCCCAGTGGATGGTGCAGAAGCTACGGTCGAATCTAGATCGTAAAGCCAGCGCCAGCGCCGGCGCAAACGAGATCAACAGAGTTCCATGAACAAATAGAGTCGGTGCCAATGGGGACTGATCCGGCTTGACACTGCGACGCATGCAGCGAGGCAGCAGGTACCAATGAATCCGAGAACGACGCAAGTCCTGGCTCGCGAGGGAAGCCGACGCACAGATCGATAACAGCACAAACGCATGATCAGAGCAGTACCAACCTTGATTGATGAGCTGGACGTCCAAGCACTCTTGTATAGCAGCCGATAGATCGCTAATGAGATGATCAACAACCTCAACCAGCTTTGATCCCAGTGAGCCAAGGTTGTGGAAAATCTGCAAGCCCGCGCTGATTTCGCTTTGGTTCTTCATTCCAACAGCATGGATTGGGTTACGTTGTAGTAAGCACATACACATGTGGGAGCGCGAAAGGAGGCCAGCCCGATCCTCGTCGTGACAACAGGGCCGCTGGGTGGTCTAGGCATCGATCTCTGAGCTCTGCCGATCTGCCGATCTGAAACTGAGGCACCACCAATCGCTGAGCAGAGAGGGCCTACCTGGCTGGTCATGCCGTTTTCAATCAGACGGTTGCCCTCCGAGAGGAGCTGCTTCTTGACAGCATCAATGCCGGCGATTTCCGCATCGATAGCATCGATTCCCCGAATGTCACAGTCTGCCAGGAGGCTCTCTGCATTTGTCGACCCAATGCACGGGCGTTTGAAATCCAGAAGGATCAGTGACGGTTTGGCCCAACCAGAGCACCGCAGCATCATCAACCTGGGTCCTTCGGCTGTCCATTGGTCCACCACGAACATACAACCCGGTGCGGAGATAACTGACCCAGTTCGCAGACCGAGGAGGCAGCGCTCGAATATTCTTTATCGCCCCCAAACATGTGAGCGTTCATGCGACGCACAAGATGCAGGAACCTCGATGTCGATCGGAGCAATTCTGAAGTCGCCTGAAGCCGCTCGACCTGAAGGGTTCGGATCCGGATCTGCTCGTAGGGCTGCTGGACGCTGACTCGCAATCTAATGGCGAAAGGACGGGCCGCGTTGGAGAAACGGCCGGGAAACTAAGCGTCTAAGTTCCAGAGGCACAGGGCCATGCCACTGGGGGTGTGTGCTATGGCAAAGCTTGGACTCTCCAGAAAGGCGTGCCGATGACATCGCCAGGACTCGCCGGACCATCGAGAGAGACGCTGGTTTGCGTGGGAGGGGGGGGAGCAAATCATAGCCCTCCTGTTCTTGTCGGTCAGCCGTTGGCTGCAGCTTCGATCGCAGCGATCACACATTACCTGTCGAACGACTTGTTGAGCGAAGCCATGCCGGCCTGCACCCGCACCATCACTGAATCGAGCTGGTCGAGCTCGGTGACTTGGTGGATCAGATCCTCGTAGTGATGCGTCACTTGCTCAAAGATCTGTTTGTTGAGATGATCGAGATTGAAACTGAGCTTGGTCAACGCCGTCGGCAAGTCCATGCCATGGTAGAGGCTTCCCTCAGGCGCATCCGCGATGAAGTTGGCGTATTCCATCGCATCGAAGGGCTCGCGAGTAAAGTCAAGATACTCTGTCCATGGATTCCATTGACGGATCGGAATGAGGGTTGTGTAGATGGAGTAGGAGGCATGCCGGGCAGCGGGGATTTAGCAGAGCAACCCACGGAGGCAATGCAGCCAGCCATCGTCAACGAGCACAAATGCATCTGCAGCCGGCCGCCAGGGACGAAAGGGGGAGGTGCCTCCAACAGGAAGCGAGACCGACCTTCATTTGCAAGAAGCGATCCTGGTCTCTCGCCCTCGGGCAGAGACGTCGCCGCGGCCATGGTCAAACGTGGTCTCTATGGCCTGGATTGGTGTGTGTTTGGAGAGTGCTTGGCGACTGTGTCGAAGGCGGGGAGCAGACCAGGGTGCAGCTGAATGGGCAGGACAGATGAGGGAGGAGCAGAACCAGGACGCCGCCCAAGGACGGCCCTTTCCTGGCCGCGTGCGAATCGACATGCCCAAGGCGACCGAGAAGCCATCTGTGCTGCTGCCAGTGCCGGGGCGGTTTGTGGGCGGGAACGAGGCCCTGGTCTGCCACGATGGGAACCTCTGCACAGGATCGATGGCATCCGCTTGTGGGAGGGCAAGAAAAATGTTCTCGCCGCTTGAAGCCCCCGTTTGTGTCGTTCTACCACCACCAGAGGAGTGGGCATTTCAACCAAGACGACCCCGACAACAACGACTGGCATCACCGACGACGATGGGACGCCGTAACCATGCCGCGGTGGCGGACGATGGGTGCCATCAAGTAACTGGATTGTCGCCCACCAGCTCCACTTACTGCAGTCCGAGCATCCTGGTGGACCCATGCATGACCACCCTCTCTCTCTGGGGATGGCGGCCATTATGGATGATGTGTGTGTATTGCCATCCAAAAGTGGATCAGTCAGGGCAACCCGTACATGGTGTGCAGAATGTAAACAGTGAGGAAGATTCGGGCGGGAGAACATGGGCCACATCTTAGCGGCCATGCATATCGCAACTTGTGGGAATCGGCGGCGAGACGGGAAGCAGACGGGGAATGAGGTTCCGGCCATAGAGCTGATGTGAAAGTCTTGCTTGGATCACAACTGCGTCACAGCCGGAGCAGAATGAATGCAAGGGCTACCATGTGGAGCCGGCGGTGAGAGGTTCAGTGGGCGACATTGATGGGTTGCTGCTCGAGAATGGCATGCAGGGAGATGCGACGGTGGGAGCCTCCAGGAGGCAAGCTGCGTCGGCGTTGGGACTTGTTGGCCAGGCCCAGATCGGTGTCGTCGTCGGGCTCTTCGTAAAAAGCCTTGTTGGTGATGGACAGCTCGTTGGAGGACGAGGTTGAGGACTCGGAGCGGACGGTGGCGGACGGAGATCGGATGGAGGCGGGGATGGAGAGACGGCGACGGGGGATCTTGCGCAAGATGTTGTTAACGTTGCCTTTGCTGTCGACGATGGTCGGGAAGCTGCAGGGACAGAGCGCCGCCAGGGACGAGTGTCAGAGAAGGGATGAAATTGGAGGGAGGGCATGGATCGGTCCTCATTGGCACTGCGAGATCATCATTGGCACATCGAGAGACGGCTGCGATGCAGGATGGGAGGCATCTGGCTCGATCATATTCGGGATGAATCACTCGGAGCAGCGATTACTGAAACAAGCGCAAGGTGCAAAAGGCGTACCTGGCACTGCAGCGCCACGAGCCGTCGACAACGAATTTGAAGAGATGATCCTGAGTAGTGTCGAGAGGAACGCTGACGATGAATTCTTCGGGGCACTCGGGGTCGTGCTTCATCTCGATGGTTTGCTGCCAGTTGTCGAAGGTGCCGGTGAGGAAAACCCGCTCGCCACCGAGGCTCCACCTGAATTGGACGGGCAACGAGGCGGGGATCTCAAAGATGGCGGCAGGCGGCTGATGCTGCTGCTGCTTTCCTTCCGAGAGCATTGGTGACAACGAGTGCGAGGCGGATAGATGGAGTGGCTGTGAGGGATGGTGTGGGATTGTGACGCGACTGGAGGTGATGACGATATCCGCTGCGAGATGGGAGCAGATGGGATACGATGCCGAGGATTGTCGCTTGCCGAGGATTGTCGCTTGCCGAGGATTGTCGCTTGCCGAGATGGAAATGGAGGCGTCTGGGACGGACCCAGGCGGCCATATATACACCCGCCGGAGGAGTCTGGAAGGTACTGCGAGGGACGAGTGATTGGCACAGTGACTTGATCTGAGTCGACGGCCCGATAGCGCTGGTGGCTGTGGGGGCCGCTTCCGGACGAGGCCGAGCCGTGTCTGGCCGGGCATTGGCCTTGTTGGGCGGCGGCGACAGCAGCGGAGGCGGGGATCGGCTGGACCAATGGGCGGGTCGGCTGTGGAGGGGACCGTTCTGTGTCGGCGGTTGGTGGTTGATGCTTGGATGATTGACGCTGTTGGGCGCACATCGGGCCCACGCAACAGCATCGCAAGTCCAAAAGCTGGCGGTCTGAGAGAGCCCCGACAGTGCCCAGAGATCAGCTGCCGGGGGGATGCGAGGCAGGACGCCGGGGCAGATGGCGACACCATGCCCGTTGATGGTTGTTGGTTGTTGCTGGCTCAGCAGCTGTGGCGGCAGCCCACACGGCGCCGGCACCACTCCGCGCCGGCCACCCAACCGGACGATAACGGCAACCCTTTGGAGTGGTGAGCAGCCGGGTGCCGGCGACGGGCTTTGTTGCCGACGTGTGGCCAGGGCTCACAACTCGTGCGGCTGACTGAGGAGGCCGGGCCAGCGACGGACAGCCAGGCGGCCGATGTGGCCTCTGGTCGCTCTGGGTGCCGAGGAGCAGCAGAGGCAGAAGCAGCAGAGGCAGAAGCAGCACAAGCAGAAGCAGCAGGACCCAGGATCTACCCTTGGCAATATCCAGACAGCATGCCCGTGTGTTGTTGACCAAACGAGCAACGCAGCGCCCCGCCAGCAGCATCATGGCCGTCGATCGGGCCTGGGGGTCATAATGCCCTTCATTGAACTCGCACAGTACGCAGGTGACGCCGCCAGGTGAAGACAGCGAAGGAGGGCGTGGGACGGGCGATGTCGTCACAGCCGCCGTGTGCTGGGTTTGCATTGGGGCAGCTGGACATGGCATGGCTGGACATGTGTTGGTTTCCAGGATGCGGGAGCAAGGCGGACTCGGGCCGGTGCTTGGATGCGGCTGCTGCCAGCGGGTAGCCTGGGATTGGCGCTAGCATGTCCGTGGTGAGGCAAGGGCTGGGCACGAAACAGCAACAGCCGGAACATGAAACGACAGCCGTCTGGATGCGGAACAACAGTGATCTGGACTTGGGCGAACATGAAACAGCGACTGCACACACACACACACAGCGAGAGCACACATACACAGCGAGAACATTCTCGCTCGGCGAGAGCACCCAGGCCTGCATTGTATGGAGCTGGTTTTGTCGCGCGGCGATTGGCCCGTCGAGACACCGCGGGAGCACAGGCCCTCCCAAAACGGACAGCCAAGATGGTGGCGGTTCCGTGTGTCCCGCCGGAAAAGGAAACGCATTGGTGGTGCACAGGCGACACGACGCGTCGCGCGGCAGCACAGAGCAGCGCGCCGACACCCGCTGCTGCGCGTTCGTGACTGCAGGCCAGCTCACGCTCCGCCGCGGCTACTGCACAGGGACCCACAGCAACAGTGGTGCAGCTGCGCCAACAACAGCGGCACCCGGCCGCCAGCAGCAACCCACTGTAGCAGCGGCGCGCAGCATCGGCTGGTCGCACACACAGCCCGTCTCGGCTGTCTGTGCCGCGTTGCGCTCTCGATCCGCGGCGAGACCACTGGCGTTCTCGCGCAGCTTGTTGCCGCACTGCGTCTGTGCTCTCGCCGGCGCGCTGCCCTCGCTCGTGTCGCCTCGCCGGCCCTCGGCCTTGGATCTCCAGCATCCATAAAAGCGACTTTGGCCCGCTCGCATCGAAATCACAGAGCAAAAATTACACGCTTCACGATCCCTCCGTCGCCCATCTCGCCTTCCCCCCGGCCCTGCTTCTGGGAACCGTCTTGGAAGAGAGAGATACAAAGCACTTGAACCCAAGACCGAGACTCTCCCGAGTGCCTGCTGCGCGGAAGACGCTGCGCTGATCTCACTTGTCCTGCCTTCGTCTGCCAGTCTCCTCCCCCCCAGCTCGCCAGCTCGTTGTTAGCCGCTGCCCAAGTCTCTTTCTCCCTGTCTCTTCCTAGGCGTCGCCTCCACTCCCCTCACCAACACCCTCTGTCCTTGTCACCGAGTGCTCTCCCGGTGGCATCGCCTTGATTCGTCCTGCTCGCCTCTGGTCGTCATTGCTTGCTTCCCCCTCCGCTCTCCCTCCATCTGCTGCTTCCGTCGCTGTCAAGTTCGCCAGCCCAGCGCCATCCGCCACTCTGTCTACAAGCACCGTCACAGCAAAGCTCGCACCACCACGTCGCCAAGCTTGGTTCTCACCTCATTGCTTATGACCTTGGTCGCCGGCTTCCGTTGATCTGTCAATGTAGGTATTTGATTTCCACGAGGGTGGTGTGACGAGAGATATCCTGTGTTTCATATCCGTGGCCGCTCTCGACAGAGTCTGTCACTGTCAGATCTTGACTGTGTTGCGTCCGGGTCATGTCGGCCATACGGTATTCGTTCACACGGCGTCGGTTCAAACAGGCGATGCATTTCGCCGACCTTGACGTGGTTTCTTGGCGTGGTCTCTTGACGTGGTCTCTTGATAGCTTCTCTGGGCAAACGATATTATCCAGTCGCTAACCCATCGTCGTCCTCTCTTGGTTTACAGTGCTGCTCCATTCCCTGGATTGAAGCTGTCCCGCTCCACCATCTCACCCAGATCATCCTCCCGCTCGGCCTGTCTTTCCCTTCGGCATTTGCCATTCCCTGTCGTCGTGTTGTCTCCCCTCTGTGACTGAACCTTCGCCTGCCCCCCGCCCATTCTCTCCCCTATTTACTCTTTTTGGCCATTCGTTTCATGCCCCCTGCGTTGGATTCGAAATCAAACTCCACGCTTACGTCTTCCACGCCGCCCACTGTTACCGATAACTATGAACACCTGAAGTCGATAACCATCCCAAGTCGCCCGGAACCCCTGACTCGCCTTCCCACCGCCAGCGACTGCTCCGCCTCGACACCAACCACCCTCTCACCGCGCACCCCGGAACAAAGCCTTCTGTCCTATGATACCGATCGATCGCACCGCTCCCCAGACACATCCTCGGACTTTTTGACCCACACCCCTCCTCTCAGCCCCGCCAACACTCTCCCCAGGGCGTCTGCCCGTCAGGCCTCGATCAGCGGCAGCAGCGGCTCCTCCATGTCTCGTGTGCCCAACGCAGCCGGCTTCGCGTCGGCCACTGTGCCTCGCCGTGCGCCGCTCGGCCAATCCCGGAAGAGCAGCTCTCAGTCCTTCCGCAAACGAACCCAGTCGAGCCCGGATATCTCCAGCAGCGGCGACATGGCCCAGCGGCTCCAGACGCTCGCTGCTGCCCATGCCAAGCTCCTTCCTGCCCGCCCCTCCGCTAATCCGCACGACTCCACCTCCAGCTGCGACACTGACGACGAGTCTGCCAAGCGCAAGACGCTCTACAAGACCGAGCTCTGCCGTTCGTGGGAAGAAAATGGCCACTGTCGCTACGGCGCAAAGTGCAAGTTTGCTCACACCGAGAAGGAGCTCCGCCGCGTCGAGCGTCATCCCAAGTACAAGACCGAGATGTGCAAGACCTTCTGGGAGAAAGGCACCTGTCCCTACGGCCGACGATGCTGCTTCATTCACACACAGGAGTTGCCGGAGAAACTGCCCGATGGCGACGTCTCCTATGTCATCCGCTCCCCCGACCAGAGGCCCGTTGGTCGCCCAATGGTTCCTCCACAGCAGATCGCCTCCCAACGCGCACCCAACCTGCACGCTCGCCGCGAAAGCACAAAGAGCCTCCACGAAGACGACCACATCTCGTCCTTCCGCGCCGGACGTGAGCCCTTCCGCAAATACTCGCTCAGTGCCTCGACTGAAAGCCGCATTCTGGACTCGGTGGCCCGCGCGCACCAACTGCAGCAGGATCAGGCCGGCTTTTATCCGGCTCCTTCTCTGCCTGCGTCAACGACAGACGACTTTTACGGAGTGCCGTCCCTGGTGACGCAGTCTCGCCCCCGCGTCGACACTATCTACCCGTCTTCCCAGCAGGCATCACCCCTGGCTCTCGTTCCGGTGCTGGAAGATGAGGCGACCGAACTCAGCCATCATCTCACTGGCTTCCGCCTGACCGAAACCGACGGCTATCTCCCCGCGTTCGGCAAGGACTCCTCTGGCTTTGGCTCGCTGGCGTTCCCGGCCGACTTGGATATGTCGTCGTACTCGGTCCCCGACTATACGCAGCCCCCGAACTCGGCTAACCCAGGTGGTCTCCGCCGATCTCGCTCCGTCAACCATCAGCCTCCTCAGACCCTGATGAGAGCCCACACCATCCATTCCGTCCAGCCAGTCCCGCCACCGCAGCCACCACAGTCGACCAGCTCGGCGCCTTCGACCCCGATCCTTCCTCCATTCTCTCGCGAGCGCACGCGCTCGGACGGCGGCCAGCTGAAGCAGCCCCTCATGAAGGCCTTTCCCAATCCGACCCATCCTCTGTCTCCTCCCACCTATTCGTTCCTGAGCCCCACGTCACTGACGCCTACTGCTCCCTTCAGCGGCTACCACCCCGACGACTGGGCCTCGTCACCATTCGCCCAGCTGGCACAGGGCCCCCCTCCTCCGCTCCCCAACCTACCGGCGGCATATGCGCAGAACCACGCGACCCTCTTCCATCGCAAATGAAAGCGCCTCCGTGGGTGGCTCCGGCTGTTGGGCTGTCCGTCTCCCTCCCTTCTTTCCTTGTTTGGTTTCCACATACAACTCCATACAAACCTCTGTCTTGTTTTCCTTTTGCTTTTGACACTTTGCACTATTTATTGACAACTCAGGGACATCCAAGTTTCACGCTCCCCTCCTCTCTCGCCTTTGTATTTTATTGAATCGGATCCGCAAGGCCAAGGACGCTGTTTGCGCTCGCCCCTGCCGTTTGCCATCCGCATTCACACTCTCACTTGCTGTTCTTTTTCTTCTTCCAAAGTTCCTGGTCTGTTGGATACCTCGGTGCTTCTTCTGGGCAGTATCATCGACCAGAAAGGATCTCCCGCTCCCTTCCCCCCACTCCACCTTCCTAGGCCCCTCCCCCTCCCTTGGTTTCTTTTCTTATACAAACTCAGTTTTGCACGACGGGGCCTTGATCTTGGATATTTATTTCCCCTCCCTTGCCTAATACCAAATCCTATTCTATTGTCCAACACGCCTTCGCCTCCTCTCCTCTTCGATTCCTCTCCGCATTCACCATTCCGCTTCCCCCTCCCTCCCCCTCCCTCTTCATCTGCCCTCTGGCCTATCAGCGGGGAAGAGAAGAGGCCAAAGATTGTGTCTGGCACAGCGCTTGCTCTCGATTCCTAGAGATCACCCAGCCTCCCATTGAGGCTTCGGCGGCTACTTTTTTTTTTTTTCCTTTCCTCTGGTCTTTGAATACACACCCGTTGCAATGACCATCCCCGACAATGTCGTTTGTTTTGCGCCCACGATCCCTTACGCTGCGGCACAGGCCCATTCTCGCGGTTGTATCCTTGGAAAATATACGAATATATGTGGTATCTACATCCAATGCAGCCTCTCCCTGGACACGGTTTGGTCATGATGGGCGATGGATGGGATGGGTATTCGGCGATCCGGAGAAAGTACTCAAAAACAGAGGATCCCGTCTCGTTTTGTACATATTGCTGTTTGCCATGCCCAAGCAGATTTTGAACGACAACCCATTGTGTTTTTTCCTGCCGCCCGCGGCTCAATCCGGTGCGGTTCGTGCCTGGCACTCCCGCAGCACCCAGTAGCATCAACAGACCATATTCTCTGTGCTCAGGTAGCCTCCTAGCTTACGAGCTTTGATCGATTGCTTGGTCGAGCTGATGTCGGCCGCGCGAATCAGCCTGAGGTTGGCCAATCCAAGTTGCTCGGACTGACCGTCTCTTGCCGTGCAACAAAAGGAATTGCGATTGTGGCCCTGCCAGCCCGCCTGAAAGGCGTTCTGTTGTCGATTGCTGCTGGCCAGACGGCGACGACGACAACGGCCTGTCTGCTTCTTTGCTCGGTTGCCTTGTATCTCTGATACTCTTTTGTCATTTGGGCACTGTCAGGTGCAGGGTGCTTCTCTGGTACATTCCATTGATCTTCGGATTCAATCCCCACTGTCCTCACACCAGGTACATTTCCTCTCGCTCTCCCCAGCTGCATTTCCTTTCCGCCACTCACTCGCTCCACTCACTCGCTCCACTCACTCGCTCCTCGCACATCTCTGCTCCAAACCCCGCCTTTGATCGACGCACCTGCCTCTCGCCTGTGTCTATCCGATACACCACCGCTCCTGCTCTTCCATCCCCCCATCCCTTTCCAACCCGTCCTCGGCTCCGACGCTCGACCCTTGCACTCCCCAGTTCTTGCTCCTTCCCCTTGTGTATCGGCCATCGTCCCCCACTCTTCCACCAGCCCTGCCTTTCCCACGGCTCGTGCTCCTGTCTGCCCGACCTTTAGCACTTCGTTGCGAACCAGCGCTGTCGATCCTACCGACCAAGAAAGTCATGGACAAGGTAGGCCCCCCCCCCTCGTTGTCGATGCCCGATGCACAGGCATCCACAGGCCACTTGCAAACCGGATTTCTGCATCCCTTGGACTCGACATTGTCGCAATCCACCATCGCCGTTCCCAAGCATTGCGTTTTGCCCACGCCCACCACCCCGTTTCTTGGACTGCGTGGATTCCCATTCGCTGTCCCTTGCTAACTTTGCTCCTCACTTTCGCTGGCCGCATGCCCTTCCATCCATCGGTCCGGTCGTGGTCCACAAACCTGCGTCGCTCTCTACGCCCTCGGGACTAACAGCAGTCAGCCACCCTCTCCAAGGCCTCTGAGCCCCCTGCCCCATCCAACATCGCCAATCGTCCCGGGACGCCGGGTTCAGCCGAGGCCAACGGCCCTGGGCAAGGCATGCTCCTCATTCGCATCGTCGAAGCAAAGAATCTGCCTGGCTGCTCGTTCTCGGATAAAGATCCCGCCAAGCTTCCATATTGTGTCATCGAAGTCGACAAGAACGACCTCGTCGTGCCCGCCAAGGAAGCCCTCAACGGCATTGTCACCTGGCAGTACCGCTCACACTTGTATGTTGCTGCTGCTGTTTGTTACCTTGAGTACCAGGGCATGGGGGATGTCCGCTAGAAGCGTTGATATCTCTTTCGGCAAGCGCTTGTGACCTAGAGCCTCCTGTTGGGCATCGATTTGTCGAGCCGACGCACATCCACGGCCGGGCTTTGATTATATCAAAATAGTGCCATCGGGTCGATCTTACCTCATTCGATATTCATCTTATTTCCTTACAGCGATGTCAGTCGCCAATGCGATATAACTCTTTCGGTCTACCACAAGACTGCCGCTGGAGACAAGATGCTTGGCAGCGTCGTCGTGAACCACAACTTCACAGACCAGGTAGGCAGTCTCCCCCCCCCCAAGGAATGGACAGTCCTTGGTCTCTCGGCGCCACGAGCAATTGAGTGACATTTGTCTAAATTATCCCTGGTGTCGTGACTCTGCTCGCACCCATAATCCCCGGTCGTCTGGCATATTGAATCGAACGCCGACCAACATTCAAATGACTTTGTCTAGAACCTGAACGATGGGTGGTATGCTCTGACCTCGCAAGACGATGGCAAGCCTGCTGGCGAGCTCCACCTTCAACTTGTTTTCAAACGCGCGGCGGTATGTTAGGCTGTCTGGCTGATATCGATGTGGGTGCAGGTTGCATATTGCGCGGCTTAGGCCCGAGTATTTTGGGGCTACAGATCCGGACTGTGGCTACAGTTTCTGTTCGAGCACCCATGTATCATAAACAGAGGAACCAAGTGCTTGTTCTGCCCTCATCACAAAGGGGCACACCCAGCCGGTTGTGTGATGCCGGGTCCCTTCTTCTAGTACAGCTCACTGCCAGCAACGGTTTCTCTCGTCTGGATAATTACAGAAAAAGCCAATGTCGATCGAGGATTTTGATCTTCTCAAAGTCATTGGCAAGGGAAGCTTTGGCAAGGTCAGTGGAGGTGCAGCCATCGGTTTGCTGCGGATGAGAAAACGGCGTCTCAGCTGTTAGCATATTCGCGCTCGGTTCGATAACAGCACTTGCGGCAACTCTTGCCATGCATATATGCGACATCGATGAATAGGTCATGCAGGTTCGCAAGAAAGACACAAACCGCATCTATGCCATGAAGATCATCAAGAAGAGCCACATTGTGGAGCGATCGGAGGTCTCCCACACCCTGGCCGAACGCATGGTCCTAGCCCGGATCAACCACCCATTTGTCGTTCCCCTCAAGTTCAGCTTCCAGAGCCCAGAGAAACTGTACCTGGTGCTGGCCTTTGTGAACGGTGGAGAGCTCTTTCATCATCTCCAGAACGAGGGTCGGTTTGCCGAGGAGCGGGCCAAGTTCTACACGGCCGAGCTCCTGACCGCTCTCGAGTGTCTGCACAACTACGATATCATTTATCGGTGAGCACCTCCGGAAGCTGAAGCGTGGGGGTGTTTTGGCGACATTCGCCAGGCATTTTTGTCGAGGTCGTGCCGGCAGTGATCCGAAAGCGACCAAATCCTGCCACAAGATGCTGCCGAAGCTGCACTGTGCAGTGACAATCAGAGCGATGGACACAATCGCATCATGTGTCTCGGTATACGACACCGAGAGCGCCGTGTGCTGAGAGTGGACGTCGAAGGGTACACAGCCAGCTGGCTCGCCACTCGATTGCCTGACTGGTTGATTCCCTGTGTTTGTTGCGGGTACTCCCAGTGACCTCAAGCCCGAGAACATCCTGCTCGACTACACCGGCCACATCGCCCTCTGCGACTTTGGTCTGTGCAAACTCAATATGAAAGACGGCAACAAGACCAACACCTTCTGCGGTACGCCCGAGTATCTGGCCCCCGAGCTGCTCATCAACAAGGGCTACACCAAGGTCGTCGACTGGTGGACCCTGGGAATCCTGCTGTACGAGATGCTGGTGGGCCTGCCGCCCTTTTACGACGAAAATGTCAACGAAATGTATCGCAAGATCCTGTCAGACGAGCTCAAGTTTCCGGACGATATGAGCTCGCAGGCCAAGGACATACTGCGACAGGCAAGTCGGCCGCATCAAACAGACTCGGGTTGGCGCACAGCGAGCAAGCAGCTCGACCGGTCGTCAGGGTTCGTTGCAGTCATTGACTCTTGGCTATTGATGAATCTCTCAGCTTCTGAATCGGGATCCGGCAGAGCGTCTGGGCCGCAACGGACCTGAAGAAATCAAGCAACATCCCTTCTTTGCCAACATCAACTGGCAGAAGCTATATCTGCGCAAGTACACTCCGCCGTTCCGACCCAATGTGGTATGTGGTTGTCTGGAGGAGGGGACGAGGGGGATGGGAGATGTGGGGAGGAAGAATGACAGAAGCGGCTGCCGCCGAGGAATTGGTAGACTTTTCTGGCGGCTCGGAAGTCTGGCGATGTTGTTGGACTCGACGATGCCAGGCCGGCGCCTTGGGTCAATCACATTGTCCCGGCCGAGCCTATCGATCTGCTCTCGAGCGCAAAGGCGGGCTTCAAGAGAGTAGTTCAATTCCTGATTGCACATTCACGTCCATCCGCTCAGGCCTCGGCCACCGACACCTCCAACTTTGATACCGAATTCACCTCAGAAATTCCCATGGATTCTGTCAGCGAGGGCTCGGCACTGTCCCAGTCGGTCCAGCAGCAGTTCCAGGGATTCACCTACCAAGCGACTCAGGAGCATCTGGCAGGAAGCTTGCAGGCCACAGGCTCACTTATTGCACCCTCCCGGCTCGGCGGCGCTCTCCCCAGCAATCGCCCGACCCAGCCGCTGAGAAAGTGAGATTCCCACAGCATGTCGTCGGTAGAAAGCACACCCGCTCTCTGTGCCCCACCTTCTGGGTTGCCCCACAGAGCGATTGTTGCAGGCCCGTCTGGCTCGGCGCCCTGGTGCTGCCACAACTGGAGAGTAAATACACTGTGTGCCTGCATGTATATTCCAAGCCTCTCGGAGTGCAGCCTTATGGCAAAGGATACCGAGATTGTCTGCTTCTTGGCATCTGATGGCGGTTGGCTTTCCTGACGAGAAAGGCGATAGAGCGCACGGCTTCGGTGGCGCCTGCATCATGGTCGATACGAGTGACCAAAAATGCATCGCATCTGCTTTCTGGATGCAATCAGCGCGGTCGTTCTCGGCCCGTCCGGGTCGAGCGGACGCTGTGGTGATGGAAAGAACCGGGAGCCGCATGGGGGGACGGATGCTGACCGAGATTGGCTCGCACTTGGGTCGTCTGACCGCATTGCTCGCCTCGCACCGGCGCCGAAGGCCATGGCCCTCAGGAGAATGGCAGCATCCTGGCCTCAATCGCTCGGGAGGTTAACCTTCGTCAACCCCACCGCCAGCCTCTGCAACTCCCGCTGCCAGTTGCCTGCTCGCAGGTGTCGCCCTCGCGCAAGTTACAGCTATTGTGGTTTGTTTTTCGCTGACCTGAAGACGTCCGGCTTGCAGCTTCCATTTGCCACGGCCTCATAGGCAGCCCCGACCACTTTTCCGACGCCGGGCATCCCAACCAGCCCTCTCATCCAGAGCCCACGTTTCGTTTCCACCGGACGACGCCGAGCGCACCGCATCCCTGCACGCTTTCTGCGACAAGCACCAGGTTTCAGCATCAGAGCACCAGAGCACCAAGGCACCAGACTCCCCAGGCTTGGAAAACTTGCAATGGACGGCTCGCCCCCACTCTACACCCGCAGCGAAAGCTCGTTCCAGGGCAGCCCGTTCGTCCGGTCGCCAATCTCAAGCTCGCCCAAGATGCTCAACCTCCCTGCGCTTTCCAAGATTTGCATGTCCAAGACCCACCAGACACCCGTCCTCACGCTGCCGCGTGTCCGATGCACGCTCTTCTCGAACCCCGTCATGTCCATGGCGGCGTCGGTCCCGGCCATGACCTGCTCGTATGGCTCGCCGCTTTCCCACTCGCTGGTGCGGGACCCCTTCCTGACGGGCTCGCCGCTGCTTCCTATCCAGGACTCGGTGTACTCGTCATGCCAGCAGCGCCCCTACGACCAGAGTGTCGTTGCCGAAGGCAGGCTGGAGTTCTGGCAATACTCTGTCGACCTCGACACGAACCTGGTACGCAGCTGAATCCGCTTTCTGGCTTCCATGACGTGCCCGCGACAGCGTCGTCCTGCTCATCTCCCTCCGTTTTCGCCGTCTCCGTGGCGACTCTGACTGATTCTGACCTCTGACTTCTGGCTTCTGGCTTCTGTTTCGCGTTGACATGGCGGCCCGTGGATAGATCATCATGGCCATCGAGGGCTTTTACTCGGGCCTGCGTCATCCGCTTCTGGCAACCGACCAAGCTTGGCGGCTCTGGGACCGCAGTTGCTTGATTGTACTGCTGCCACTGGACGAGTTCTATGTGGTTGAATTCCTGCCGGCACCGGTGGCGTCGCTGTGCTATACGCTCGACGACTGCCTCGGCCAGGCCATGAACTACCAGGTGATCCACTCAAGCCAACTTCAGCAAAAGTTCGAGTGCGGCTACAGCTCGGCACTGGAGTATCTGTGCATGCCCCAGAGCAAGGCTGAGTGGCTCGACAGCGTCCAGCTGCCTGAGGCAGAGCTGCCGTCCGACGATACCTACGAAATCCTGGATCCGATCCTGCTCGACGTCGATCAGGATGACTACGACATGGGGCTCGATGCCTCTGCCGAGCTGGCGTACCTCCACCGCGACGACTGTCGATACGATTTCCTCGCACTGCCGTCGTCCTATGAACCCCTGGACATTATCCCCCGTCTGACCGAGCTCTCGGACCAAGGCGATGATGAGATGATTGTGCTCGGCTTTGACAACGGCGATGGATTTGCCTTGACGACACCAAACGAATCTAAAGAAACCGACGCACCGCGGTTGATGCCTGGTGTGAAACTCAAGACGGAGTAGTGCCCAACCTCGCCGATCTTGCAGCGCGTACCGCTGGGTGAAAATCCTCTCTCTCTCTCTCTCATGGAAATGAACTTGATGCTTTGCATGAACAGGTGGGAAGATGTCGTGCTGGTGCCTCTCAGGAGCCGGAAGAACGAGGCACGGTCAGGGAATCTGGTGTCATGGCGGCGACGAAACACATACGAGGTCTACAAACTATGGAAGGAAGAACAGGCGATATTTGTATTTGGAACATTGAACGCAGTAAATCGAGACATTCACAGAGCACCACAGCTCACCCGAGCAAAGAAAGGCTGTGCTCGAGGCTCCTGGCTTGCTGCTGGGCGGGGTGTCAATATCGTGTGTCATCAAAAATGGACAATCCATCCCCGCTGCCTCGCCGCCAGTTGTCGGCAGCACGTCCTATCAGCTCGCTCGCGCCTGACCTGGCAGCGAACGATCTCACGGGCATGAATGCATCGGATGCGAGTGCATCTGCAAAGAGTCTCGGTCTTGCATCGGCGCAGCCCGCTCCCGCCAGCCAACCCAGGACGGATGGGCCGGTATGAGCTGCCCACGTGACGCGCCTGTTTCGCTTTTTCTTTTTCCTCCCTTTCCAGATCCGGATCGAGCCCGTGCTTCCTTTCTCGCCTCGATCGACTGCCGTCGCCAGCGACCGAGCCTGTGCCGACACCGCACTCTCTCTCGCCACATCTGCATCTGCATCCGGATCTGCGTTTGCATCACCTGCAGCCAACTCGACTCTCCACCAAGCACAGCGCCGCACCGCCATGGCCAGCCGAAAGCCCGTCCCGAACCTGTACATGTTCCGCAACATGATCACCTCCAAAGTGCTGGTGAGCCCAAAGTTCCAGTTGGAAGTAGGTATCAAGCCGATCTGGCGCATTTGAATCATAAGTCGCTCGTAGAGAGGAAGGGAGAGAGGAGGGTATATATGCCGATGAGAGAGTGGATTCAGCTCGTTCCGGCTTGAATTGCGTGATTCCGATCGGGGAATCGCCCAGCACCAGCAGCCGGCAATGGGACCTTCTCCATCACCCCGAGCCCCTCGACGCTGAGCGACCCGCCATCCGGATGACATATTTTACCACTCGGCATATATGAAATCGACTCGTCATTGTGGATGAAAACGAGTGGCAGCCGAGCGGCGATGTTGGGATGCACCGGTTTGGCACGTCGAGGCACTCGCAAATGTTACTAACCCCGTCTGTCTGTCGGGCGACTCATGATTCGAACTCTGATACCTTGACTACTGCGACGAACAGCCGACGCTCCTCCGACAAATCGGCGAGCACCGCCCATCGGCAAAGATCCGGGCCGATCACTGGGTCCCGTTTGCGGTACTGACAGGCCTGCGAGCGCACACGTCCGCCGAGTTCCTGGCGGATCGTATCGTCGCCGATAGTCTCTTCAAGAATCCGTTGTCGAAACCGACTCTGCCGCTCCGGGGATCGGAACAGTACCAGCCCTGGACGATCCCAGAGGCCGTCCGCCAGCGAACCATCGAGCTGTGCAAGTTGCTGAACTCGGAGGAATTCCAGTCCCAGGAAAACTTGAGCGATGCCTTGACCGAGACGGACGAGAGCGCACAAGAGTTCCCCCGGTCGCTTGAGCTGCACTGGGAGCGCGACGAGTACCAGCACGTCGTCAGCGATGCGGACGTGGAGCAGGACCAGGACCAAGTGCTGATGTGGCCCATGTTCGTGGACCACAGAAAGCTGAAGCTCTTGCGGAACCGATATCCGGTTGTCGATGGACTAGATCTGAAGGGCTTCCGTCTGATGCCGACCAAGCAGGAGGCCGAGCTCTAGACTGCTATATGCTCGGTAAGCCTGAACATCCTGTCGACTCGGGCACAGAGCGCGGAAACACAGCAGCCTGCTGCGTTGATGCATCGATTTCGGCTGGGTCTGTTGCCGCTCCATGGCAATGTGGAACCAGAGCAGGCACTTTGGCGTCGATGCTTTATCGATTGCGATTAGTCTCTGCGGCGACTCGCTGACACAACTTGCAAACGCACCGCTCCTTCCGCCTCCGACTTTTCAGCTACGCTCTGCGACAATGGGCTGCATCGCATTGACCACGGAGTGTGTATCGATCTGGTTGACTGGCGATGCAGAGTGGCCCTCTGGCAGATCAACAACACGATGCTCCATTTCTCACGATGATCTGGCCTGCTACATCGATTGTGGATCCCCTCGATGGCTAAGATAACTTGGCTCGCTGTCACGGTTGGTTTCTGGACGACTGTGGGAACGGCGATTGCTTTTGAGGCTGGGGGCGTTTACTATTGAGGCCAGAGCGGATCCGGAGCCAAGTATATTCTCTGGCTTCTGAGGCACCGGACAAGCCGACGACAATTACAGAGACTTGCGACAAACTTGGACCGGAAGCCAGAAGAAAAGGAGGGGGGGAGATAAGGTACACAGTACGAGGGCGAAACGAAGGGATTCCAGGGGCAGACAGCCCGTATCTGAAAGCCAGCATATATAACATTCACACGGACAGAAACACCACAGAGCCAAACAGGCGAAAGGGGGGGGAGGAGGTAATTCAAAGACAATCGATTGACTGGTTCACCGTATAAGGGGGGGGGCGGTAGGGACAGAGTCTATCATATATTCTGTTTAGCCATCAGGCGGTGGAGAGAAAAAGGTGGGCAGGTCACGGCAGAATAATAAAAGAACGGGTCAAACTGAAAGCAAGGGAAAGGCAGCAATCGAGGGTGGCAGGGTTTGCACTCTAAGCACTTAGTGCTTCTTGACCGTGTGGTTCTTGCCCTGCTTGTTGCACTTCTTCTTCTTGTCGGCGTAGGCCGAGTGGTACTGAAGGGCAGAAGGCGAGACGTAGTCGGGCTTGTTGTTGATGGTGTCAACATAGTGCTTGTTGTTGACCTCAGTCTGACGCACAGTATAGGGATCGAGATGCATCATCTTGATGTAGCTGTCGGGGAGGTCGTAGGGGTGGCGGATGTGCACCAAGTCGGTGGTGTCGTTGCCGGCAGGGGCATAGACGGTGATGTTGGGGAGGGGCGAGTAGACGGGAGGAGAGGGCTTGACGGTGGGGCTGGCGTAGCTGATGGTAGAGGTGGCGTTCAAACAGGCGGTGGAAGTGGCGTTGACCGAGTGGCTGATGGTGGCAGTAGCGTTGGAGTAGCCCGTGACGGTAGCGTTGACAGCGCTGGTGGCCGTGGCGTTGGAATAGCCAGTGATGGTAGCGTTGACAGAGTGGGTAGCAGTACCGTTAACGTAACCAGTGACGGTAGCATTGATAGCGCTGGTGGCCGTGGCATTGGAGTAGCCAGTGACGGTGGCATTGACAACGCTGGTGGCCGTGGCGTTGGAGTATCCGGTGGTGCTCGAGGCTGTCGAGGGAGCAGCAGTCGACGAAGCCATATAGGAAGGAGCAGCAGTCGACGACACCACGTAGGAGGGAGCGGCGGTGGCCGAGGCGCTGGAGTACGACGAAGCGACGGTCGAGGAGGTGGTGTTGAAGCAACCGTAGCTGCCAGGCTCGCAGTAATCGGCTCTCTTGACGAGGAACTTGCTGCCATTGGGAGGGGGGATGAGCTGCAAGAGGGCATTCTGGAACCACTGCTGCGAGGCAGCAACGGCGCTGGGAAGGGTGGAGCTGGTGGCGGTGGAGTTCGGGTTGGTGGTGTTGGAGGTGGCGGTAGGGCTGATGGTGATGGTGACCGAGCCCGAAACAGAGAGAATGGGGGAGGCCGAGGGGTTGCCACCGGGGCAGGTGAACTTGTTGGCAGCGAGCCACTGGTCCAAGGTGCCCGAGTTGCTGTAGGTGTAGCATCTGCCGGCGTTGTTGAGGATGTTTCGGGTGTCAATGACATCGTTGACAACGTTGGTCCAGGGGCCCATGACGTCGTTGACGGTGGCCGCGACAGCGGGGGTGTTCAGGGTGATCTGGCCGTTGTACTGATGCAGGTACTGGGGGCAAGCCTCCTGCCATCTGGACCAAATCTTGTCAACCATGGCGTGATGCTGGCAGCGGTTGAAAGCGAGACGTGACATACAGCGTTAGGCGAGGACGAAGTGACTGCGGCTGCAAGCAAAACTTGAGCAAGGAAAGTCAAGGCCGACAGCGACTACAAGAGTAGAGCCGGGAAGATCGCAGCAGGCTGACTTTGGCCTGGCGCCGCATGACCTACCATGAAGAAGATAGGGTCGTTGGTCGAGGACATGGGGGTCATATCGCCGTAGGTTCCGCCGATGATGGTGTGGACAGATCCGTGGGGACTGCCTTCGATGGCCTGGTGGAAGCTGTCGTAATCCGTCTTCTGGTTGATCAGCGCACCGATAGAATCGGCACTCCAGAAAGCAGCACCTTGGATAAAGTTGCGCGAGAGGCAGAGGGGCTTGCTCATCTTGCCACGGAGCGAGAGTCTGTCGGGGACCCAGATGCCGTTGGGGTTGGAGGACCAGCTGGAGAAGGCGCCGGTAGTGACGCAGTAACTGTCTCCGGAGCCGTCACCGCCAAAGGCGTTGGCAGCGAAGAGAACGGAGGAAATGGGGCTCTGGGAGTCGCGGGTCCTGGGAAGCGGTTCGTCGATGTTAGCCGGCAGGATTGGCCCGAGAATCGCTCCGGGTATTGCCCCGAGGAACGGCGATGCTGGTGAATGGGCATGACAGGATCGAGGCCTCAAACAGAGATGCGGGTCGATGCGCTCCAAAACAAACGAGCCCACCGAATCAACAGACACCAAGGGAGACATACCAGTCCCAGTAAGGGAGGACGATTGTGGGATCAACCGACAGCAGAGCAGCCTCGTAGTCGAGGAGGAGCTTGCGGTGCCATGGGAAGAATTGCGGCTGTTCCAGAAAGACAGGCGGTGTGGGGTACGAGTGAGCGACGAAATTACTCCCCCAGAGCGATGAAACTGCTCCCCAGAGCGATGAAATTACTCCCCAGGAGCTCTCAGCAAAGCGGCTCGAGGAAACCAGGCACCCGGCATCACAGGGCAGACAGCCGGACGGCCCAGGTTGTCGTTCCAGCGCACAGCGACCCCGAGCCAAATGGCCCTACGATGGCAGACCGGCAACCTGGCGGTCGTTGCGCGGGGGCTGTGCGGGGGTATGCGGACAGAGCACAGCAGCAAGCGGTCAAGCAGGTTGGGTCGTCGGTCGTACCTGGCCGTGAGCGGGGATGGCAGCGTTGTAGTGAACGGTGACGAAATCGTCGTAGCCCATGACACTGGGGTTGGTGGAGCCGCTCATCGGGCGGGCCTTCAGCTTGTTCACGGCAGCGAAGAAGCTGGAAATCTCGCTGGGCGAGAGCTCGTTCCACTCCTTGCGCACGACGCACTGGGCGCTGACAGAGGATGTGGCGAGCGCCAGAATCACGGCAGCGCCGGCCAGAAGCAGCTTGACCATTTCGATATCGGTGACGGTTGCTGTGGTTGCGGTGGTGGGTTTGGAGGAGATGATGGCCAGCGTCCCGTCGAGCGATGAAGAAGAGTCGCAGCGATGTTGAGCGCCGGGTGTGATCCAAGGCGGCTTCAAGAGGCGGCGTCGAGGCAGGCGAAGGGGGACCACAGAGACAGTGGGGCCGCGGCGGCTTGTGCTGGTGCGCGCGAGGCAACGCCCACGGGACAGCCCCGGCGCACAGGGCGCGCCAGGCCCTTGCTGGCCAACGCCCTGTTTGGTGCAGAGCCACGGCCTGTGCGACACCTGCCCAGCTGGCACGCGACATGTGCGACCCTGGATGAGTCAACACCACAGCCTCTGTGGCCCACTGCGGCTGCTGACCGCGTGGGCCGTGCGCGTGTGTGCGAGTGGTGCCGTGGCTGTGCCGGCCCGCGCGTGCGCCTTGGGGGCTCAATCGCAAAAACACCGCACCCTGGGTTGCGCTCGTCACCCGGGTGGCTGCCGGCGCCTGCCCTTCCGTCGCACAGCCCTGTGGCCACGGCGCGCTGAAGCTGTGGCAGCACACTCTGAGTCGACAGGACAGTCTGCCGCTGTGCTGCAGCGTCGCTTCGGTGGCGCCCACAAACACGCACAGCTTCGGCAGCGATGCCACCGCTCAACGGCAGAGCCCAGGACTGCCCAGGGCACATGTCTGCCTGGTCCTGCCTGGTCGTGGTTGCTGTGTGCTGCCGGGCAAGGAGAAGCAAAAGAAAGAACAAATCCATTCTCTCGCGAGCAGCGGGAACAACAGCGTCGATGCCTGGCGTGGGTTCGATCGGGCTATGCAGCCAGATGCGATGGTGTCGGCGAGGTCGCGCTGTTTCCCACGCATCCGCGGACCGAGAAGCACTCGCTGCCCGGCCCCTGCCCTCTGCATCAGCGCTTTGCATCAGAGAATGATGTAGATCGGCACGTGGTCGCTGGCGCCATAGGCCTCGCTCCGGATGTTCGAGTCCACGATCGACGGAAGCAGGCTCTCGCTTGTGACAAAATAGTCCAATCTGCAGCCAGTTGTGTTGGTCAGTGATAGGTCCTCGTGTCGGTGGTGTGGTGTGTTTTGGCTGGGATGTCGTCAAGCAAAAGCAGCTCCGTCCAGCAAAACTCGCCTCAAGCAAAACCCACCTCCATCCCAAAAGCTTCTTGCGACAGTCAAACCGGAACGAGTAGTAGCTGTAGCGGCCCGTCTCGTCAGGGTGGAAGTGTCGGTAGGTGTCAATCAGCTCGGGCTTGGTCGACAAAATGCGGGTAAAGTCCGATCTCTCCGTTGGCGTGAACCCAGCCGTTCTGGATAGCCGAATGAACAAACCATTTCGTGAGTATCAAGCGACCTCGCGGACAGCTCATTGCAGTTTGGCGGTATTCGTCACAGCGTTCGTCACAGCGTTCGTCACAGCGTTCGTCACAGCATCCGCCACAGCTCGATGCAGCCCAGCGGCGCTGAACGCAAACCAACAGGTTCCGCGCTCATCTCAACATACTTGTGGTTTGTGGCGGGACGAGCCAGGTCAACCTCCTTGTGGGCAACGTTGAGATCTGATCGTCCGCAAAATACCGGTGGCAAGCGATATGTCATTGCACCGATACCGAGCGATATGCCATTGTGCCGATAGCGAACAACAGGTCCTGGAATCAGCTCTTTGCCGGCCAGCTGCCGCCGAGCACCGAACTCTCCCGAAACGTACCTCCAGTCCAGATCACTGGCTTCTTGGCCTCCAGCTCACGCAAGTACTTTTCCATGGCGGCACTGTATCGCGTTTTGAAGTCCAGTCTCTCCAGCTTTGATCCGGCATTTGGGATGTACGAGTTGATGAGAAAGTACTCTGGGTGGGCCAAGAAACTCGTCAATCGGACTGCCGGCCAGCTGATGAGGTGACGGCAGATACTATCCCGACTAGCTTGCTCCTCTGGACTTGGCTATGTCTGATCAGAGCGGCTGTTTCATGAACGCCTGTTTGCACGGGATGGCTCACCTTTGAACTCGGCGGTAATGACACGCCCCTCCAGGTCAAACTCTTTGACGCCTATCCCGTACGTAACTTCGATGGGCTCTTCCTTGGAAAAGATCCCGACACCAGAATAGCCCTTCTTGGTCGTGCAGTGGCTCCAGTAACTGTGAAGCACATTGAGTTAGTTCCTGAAGCCGACAATCTATCGGTTGACTGCTGCACAAGATCCGGGTATCGGGAGCCAATCCCGTGAAATGTTTCAATCTGCTTTCGGCGACTTTGGCCACGATCGAGGCTCGAGCAGCGGCTCAGTAATCCCTGTCGATGACTCGGTCTGAAGCCATGGTCCGATCACATCCGGGCCGGATTATGATGCCGTATCCTCGCTTTGCCCGTGGTCGACTCTTACCGATACGGATACAGACTATCGAACACAGACTTGGCTGGATCTTCGTTAAGCTTGGTTTCCTGCACGCAAAACACATCGGCGTTCTCGGCCTTCAGATACGCCTCAAAGCCCTTCTTGACGCAGGAGCCATAGCTCGCCATGTTGTACGACACGATCTTGCGCTTGCCATCGGGCGTCTCGGGAATGTCGTAGGCCTCGGGCATGGCTGTGTTGTTCGGGTTGGGCGCACACTTGGCATCGCTGGGCGCTGGTGTGGCTGCAGGAGCGTCGGCTGTGGCCGGAGGATCGACGGACGGGCTCTCAGCCGCGGGCTCGCTCTTGGCTGTCTTGCCTTTGGGCTTCTTGGCCGGCGCGTCGGATGACGCACTGGGATCCGTCTTTCGCTTCAGGTTGCGTTTGGTCATGGCGCTGTCGATCGGCGCTACAGGCGGGAGTGATGGGATTGGGCTGGGACAGAATCGGGATCAAAATCGTCCCAGTGGCAGCAGCGTTTTGGAGATCGGTCCAGAAAGCACGGGCAGGATCGAGATTGATTCTGCGAGCCGGAGCTGGGAGCAACCCAGAGCCAGGGTGCGGGCGCTGCTGCTTTGCAATGCGCAGTTGCTCATCATCCCGCCTCTCTCTGTGCCCTCTCGCTCCTCGCCGAGCCCCAGCCAGGACGGATCGCACGTGATGTGTCCGGTGTCCACGTGTCGATGACCAATTACTGCCGAAAAAGGCAAGAGGGGGCTATCGCAAGCAGCAACCGCCGGGTGGACAGCTGGCTCTTCCGCCCTGAGACCGCCCGACCGCCCGACCGCCATTTCGCCATCGTCATCACCGCCCTCGCCCCGCACGGTCGTCTGGCTTCGAAGCGAACTCAAAATCGGCATTATCGTCGCCATCGCCACTGCCAGCGCCAACCAGCATCAGCACCAACCAACATCACCGCCGGCACAATACGCGCGACAGACACCACAGACACCGCTGGCAACAACATCACCGCACCCGTGAAGGCATTTTTACAACAACCATGACCGGCGTGCATTCGCTCCGAACAATCGAGTCGCAGCTGCAGGGGGTTCACCTCAAGGAAAATGGAGCGGGCTCGGCAACAAACAAGGTACGCATTCTCCCGTACGAATCGTAGTCCCGCTGGCAGCCATTCTGCAGCCACGGCAGTCGGCAGTGCCTGTGCTGCTCGGGTATTATCGTAGTGGGAGCTCTTTTGGATGGAGTCTCGAGCTAGTATTGTCCAATGCTTCGAAGGCGCCGGACGTATATTCCCACAGCATCGGTGTCTGGACAAACCCGAGGACACAACAGTGTTGCTGAGCGAGGCATTCCAGAGAATCCGATCGGGTGTTCAAGCCGGCGACGCCTGCATCCTTCTTACCCAGCACCGACGATTCCACCCAATGCTGACTGCTTCGCTAACGCTAATCGTCCCACACGCATGGATTGCAGCAGCAATCTACGCGCACACGCCAGGTCAAGCAGCCAGCAGCATCGGCGTCGTCCACCCGGCCTCCATTTACGCGATCTACAGCGACGGCCAATTCGCAGGCCTACGGCTCGGCCTCATCCAAAGGCCCGCTGGGTGTGCCCAAAAAGTCAAATCTCTCCAAGCACGCCCCCGGCCCATCGTCGTCTGCGTCCGAGCGCACTGGTGGCTCGAGGCCAGCTTCGCGGGTGCAGACTCAGCCGGATGTCATCATCCTTGACGAACCCCAGCCGGAATCCTCGGCCTCGATGCGCATGCTCCCCCCTCCAAGCCTCGCACCTCAGCACCAAACCCTCCTCCAGCAGTCACGAAAGGCGGCTCCAGGATATTCGACAGGATCCTTCGCTGCTACCCCTGAGCCAAGCCTAGGAAACGGCAGTCTCTCTGGCAGCAGCTCCTCGAGCGGATCCATGGCCTTTATGCAACCCCAGTCGCAACCGCAGCTCCAGCCTCCCGTCCAGCCCCTCCCTCAGCCACTACCCCAGCCTGAGCAGAACGGCTCGACGTGCTGGTCTATCGACGACTTTGATGTGGGCAGACCTCTTGGAAAGGGCAAGTTTGGGCGGGTGTATTTGGCTCGCGAGAAGAAGAGCGGATACGTGGTTGCCCTCAAGATCCTGTTCAAGACCGAGATTCTGGAAAACAAGGTCGAGAAGCAGCTGCGTCGCGAGATCGAGATCCAGTCCCATTTACGGTATGGCCGAAGCCACTGTGCCCGCATACATTCGTGGTCTTGGAGCTCGTCATGACGTCGTCCCGAGCTCTAGCGCTCCTGCAAAGCGGCGGAACCGGCGGCGGTGCTGACCATGAACATCGCCCACCTGCTCTCGACACCCACAGACATTACAACATTCTGCGTCTATACGGCTACTTTTATGACGCCAAGCGTGTCTATCTCATCTTAGAATATGCCGCCGGAGGAGAGCTGTACAACGAGCTGCGGAAACAGGGCCGGTTCAATGAAGAGAAGGCCGCAAAGGTGAGTGCTCTATCCAAGCCGATCAACAAGCCTGTGGTGTCAGCGGCTCTTCCAACTGACACTGCTGCCGCATCCTCTCAATTGAATCAGTATATTGCCCAAATGACGAACGCGCTGGGATACCTGCACTCCAAAAGCGTCATCCATCGAGACATCAAGCCGGGTGTGTATCTGTGCTGCCGATGCTGCTTCTGGGAGCTATTCCAGCGCATAGGGCAGAGGCCTACGGACTGTCGCAGAAGGAGACAAGCCAGCTCAGGGGTGGTTTGCCCGCCGACGGACTTGCATGGCGACTGACATTCGAATTCTTTCACGGCGATAAAGAAAACATGCTGCTTGGCATGAATGGAGAAATCAAGATTGCCGACTTTGGCTGGTCGATCCACGCGCCCAACTCGCGGTATGTACATTTGAATCTTCCCGAGTGTACTTGTGTTCGCTGTGATGCGATGCGGCAGGCGCTATGGATGCAGATCGATGATCCGATCGTTTTCGCGGTTTTCTTGGCTTCCAAGCTGACCCATTCCCAATTCTTTGGCATGCATCCGCTCTCCTTCCTTCACGCAATCGGACTGAACATCCCCGGCCTATCATTCCCGACAATGTCGCTCTCTCGACTGGTGCATTGGTCGATTGCAATAACAGCCGTACCACGCTGTGCGGCACACTCGACTACTTGCCCCCCGAGATGATCGAGGCTCGCGACCATGATGCTGGAGTGGATCTGTGGGCCCTTGGTGTGCTCTGCTACGAGTTCATCACTGGGTCGGCGCCTTTTGAAGAGCCCACGGGCAGCTACAAGGCCACCTATCGGAAGATTGTCAAAGTCGACATTTCTTTCCCGCCGCACGTCTCCGACGAAGCCAAGGATCTGATCATGAGGGTATGTGCGAATCGGTCGCCTGCATCCCGCCGACCTGCTCTAGCAAGCCCCTTTTCTGAAACAGCAGGCGATGGATAATGGATGATGGATCGATAGTGGATGCGATTGGCGGACGTATTTCTGTCCGTGCCTGCAGCTGCTAACGACATGCGCATCTTGGTCGGATCGGCGATCCAGCTGCTGCAAAAGGACTCGGACAAACGGCTGCCTCTCAAGGATGTGATTCGGCACCCATGGATCCTGAGATACAACCGACCCGAGGAGCTCGGACTGATCGGCCCATCGTCTTCAACGCCGCACTACTGCCCGCAGTCCGTGTGGAACTCGGCCACTGCCAAGGATGCCCATCGGATCCCCGATGAAGATGACGACTGAGCTGCAGGCGAGCACAACGATGCTAAACCCCGACACCGGGGTTCAGCCCGAGCCCCTCCCTCGCTTTCCTTTTACTCCATCCCACTTTCTGTTCTTCTTTTTGGATTCTGCCCGGCCCGCGCATACTGCATACTGCTGTGGGTATGGTGTCGACCCTGGCTGTGGCGGGAAATACAGACCGAGCCGAAAGCGAAGTGATATTGCAGACACAGCGTATGGCTTGGTGCGGTCGTATCCTCCGTACCCATACCGCTACGAGATTATCCGGATCGGTCGATCAAGTATCCAGGATGCACATTCGTCGGTCGCATTCGTGCTGTCGTGAGCGCCATTCAGACCCTCTGCCGCTTCGGGGTCGAACGATCAGGGAGGCTGGGCAGAGCACGACGGCCCTTGGTGGTTCTGTTCTCCCGGTTGCAGAGGCTCCCGCCCGGCCGATTCAGCGGCCACTCCAAGACATCTCCTGGCCGATGCAAGTCCCGCCAGAGGGGGGATCTACACCACAGGGCCTGTCGCCGGCGCCAAATCCTCATCGAATCAGCGGCAAAAGGCGGGAAGCTCGTCCATCGACCAGGGGGCGGCTTGATCGGAGGGCGAGCAATCCATCCATCGTCGGGCCGAGCAGGGATGGAGTCGATATATAGGCGCGAGGCGCCGAGTTCCAGATGCTTGAGCATGGCGGTTTCTGTTCAGGAGGCCGATCTCTTTGCTGCCCGCACAGAAACCCCTCCAGCGACCGCCCCTCCCCTCTCTCCACTGGCTGTCGTGCTTGAGGCTCCTGCTGCCCATTCCAGCCGCACACTCTCGGCTTCTCGAATTCCGGCGTCGCTGCTGCCTTTCTGGCGAGCATCCACACATCAGCCCACGCCGGTCTCTGGCCCGCCTCTCCTGCTCCGATTCCGACTCGGCTCTGATCCTGATTCCGATCCCATCGTTGACTGCCGTGTCCGGCTGCCGCACGGATGGTATCCTTTGGCCAAGTCGAGAAGCAGGCTCGGCGGTATACCCGCTTTCGCGCCCGCTATATTGTCTACGCCGTGCTGCTGGGCCTGTTGGTCTACACGGTTTCGTTGGTGATGCAGTCGACGACGCTGTCGGCCACCAGCGAGACTCGCCGCTCAGCCAAAACCGAGCTGAGCGCTTCCCGCCAAAAGGCGCTCGAGGGCAACGGCCTCGATCCATCCAAGGGCTCGTCGAGGACCCCGCATGAACACCCCAAATCGTCGGTCGGCTCGACCCACAGCCGTCACGACCACCACGACACCAAGGACAAGAGCCCGCCGGCCGGGGCCGAGAAGGCGGCCGATAGCCGCCAGGTCCTGAACCAACCGGTACCCGGCATGGGGCCTCAAAAGGTCGATGGGCAGCAAGAGCAGGCAGCCGAGCATCGCCAGCAAGCGCTCGGAGGCAAAGAGGAGCCGCCCCCGGAACGAGCCTCTTCGCATCGCAAGCCAGTCCCGAGCGCCGAGCCCGAGACCAAGTACGCCGAGGTGTTCATTCCCAAGCGAGATATCATCTACGATGGCAAATCGGCGGGCAAGGGGGACCTCTCGTACCTCAAGCGATTTGTAGGGATCGCCAAGGACAAGCAGGCTAAGGGTGAGCAGGCGATCTACTGTGCAATCTACTGTGCTATCTACCATGTGTTTGAATTGCGTTGAGCCGGCGAGGTGTGATTCGACTTGATGGGGATGTCGGAATCTCTGCTTGCCGTCATTGTGCCGGGCTGGAACGGCAGGACCGATTCATCTGACCCGGGCTCCGTACTTCCTTTGGAACGGCAACGACTGGCAGTTCTCCAAGCCTCGTACTCGGAAATCTTCCCGGACATCGGCAGCGAGCACCTCGTCGACGCCACCAGCAGCAAGTTTATCGAGATGTTCGACCAAGCCGATGAGATTGCCAAGGAAATCGACTCGCCCCTGGTCGAGCCGACGCTGCTGCTCCAGCGGCGGGTTCCAGCGACGGACCTATCGCTGCTGGGCCGCGACAACAGGCTGCCGGCAGGCACCCCATCCAAGCGGAGGGAAAAGGCTGTGATTGTGGTTCTTTGCCGCAACAAGGATCTCGACGACATTCGCCGGACGATTCGCGAGTTTGAGGACCGGTTCAACCGCCGGTACCTCTATCCGTACGTCTTTATCAACGACCAGCCCTTCACCTCCAAGTTCATGGACTTTGTCTCCCGCTCGACGATGGCGCAGACCGAGTTTTATCTGATTGACGAGGGCACCTGGGAAGTGCCTGGATGGATCAACCAGACGGCCGCAGATATGGCGCGCGCCAAGATGGAGAAAGACGGCATCATCTACGGAGGCAACCTGAACTACCGTCACATGTGCCGATGGTAAGCAGAGCGTGCGAAGTGTGAGTGCGTGGGAATGTTGGTGGTGGTGAATGTATCGTTCCCGCACTCCAGAGCTTGTACAATAACGGACAACGATTGCCGAGCCTACCTAACGAGCACCGTGATGCTCACAGGTACTCGGGATGGTTCTTCCGGCACCCCGCTCTGGCCAAGTACGACTGGTATTGGCGAATCGAGCCGGGGGTGCACTTTTACTGCGACATCAACTACGACCCGTTCGTGTACATGGCCGATAACAACAAGCACTATGGCTTTGTTATCAATCTGCTCGAGATCCGTGAGACCATCCCGTCGCTGTGGCCGATGGTCCAGCTGTTTGCACTCAAGAAGGGGATCGATACGAGCCCGCTGCTCAAGTTCTTTGTCAATGAGAAGGGCGAGTACAACGGATGCCACTTTTGGAGCAACTTTGAGATTGCCCGGATGGACCTGTGGCGCGATCCTCTCTATCTCGAGTTCTTTGACTTTCTCGACAAGTGGGGCGGCTTCTACTACGAGAGGTAGGTTGCGTCGCACACAAGCGAGCCAAGCTGCGTCGAGCCAAGCTGCGTCGAGCCAAGCTGGGTCGAGCCAGACGACGAAAGTTGGCGAGCACGACGGCGATTTGGTGTCGTCCATGGGATGCATTTGAGTTTGGCCGGTGGGTTATTGGCTTGGATGTTCGAGTGTCCGCGGTCACCGATGGAGGCCGTGCCAAGTGTCAAAGTGCAGCTCGCTGATGCCCTCCCGTTTCATGTGTGCTTGACCACTGCGTTCAATCCAGATGGGGAGATGCACCCGTCCACAGCATTTATGTGGGCCTGACACTGCGCAAGGAAAACGTACACTTTTTCAACGACATTGGCTACAAGCACGAGAGCTTTGGCCGATGCATCGACGAGGGCGACCTCGAGTACATCTGCCACTGCCCCAAGAGCGAGAAGAACTTTGATGTTTCGGGAGGCAGCTGCCTCGGTGCGTGGCTGGCGTACCAGGAGGTCGATTGGGGCGTCCGAACCTGCTGGGAGTGCGAGTTGACGACGGCGTATGTCAAGAATTCCTGAAGCCACGGCATGCGTCTGGTTGAGGGCGCGGCGATGCGTTCCATGAACATGATGTCGCGTCATACAGTCGGTCCAGAAAGAAACGGGACAGATCCCATTTCGGGCTTCAGATATCTGGAGCCCGCTGACTGACTGTAGGCCCAGCGGGCAAGCCGTGAGATCGTTTCCCGTCCTGGTTGGCAATCGAGTGGTTTTGGTTGGTTTCGGGAGCACAGTCTTGAATACACTCGGCCGATCTCCTGTGGCGATGATCGACTGGCATACCGAGATCATGTTCCGTGAGGCATTGATGTCTCGATGTGGGAGTGTGGTGGATGCATTCGACCCTCTGCACAGCTTCATGGTTTCTCGATATCAAGATGGTGCTGTGCTTGGCCATGAATGCGATGAGTGGTGGGTGTATTCAAGTTCCAGAAAAACACACTGTCCTGGTTAAAAACGGTGTGTCCCATTTCATTTGGAAACGATGTATTTTCATGCGTTGAAGGCTTCTCTGCTTCGGTTTTGGTCGAGTTCGTTTCGACTGCGAGCCCTGTGATTTGCCGGTCGATCGCGACATGGCTGTGGCGGTGGAGTGTGTGTGTGGCACGGAAGGGATGTGCGCCGCGTCGGCACTTGGCTGTGTTGCGCCAGTGGCGCGCCACACGACGCGCCTGACAGGGGCTGCGCACGACGCCAAGGCGGACTGGCTGTTTGTTGTGGGCCACGGGCCGACGCGCCGCAGCTGTTTGGCGTGCCGGACAGTGGTGTGTGTGTGCATGGGGCGGGAGGCAAGCTGTGCGGTGGGTCGGACTGTGCGGGGCCTTGTTTGTGGACAGGCAGTACAGAGCACAGCACGGCCAACGCCATCGCAGCAGCCACAGCAGACGCGCCACAGTGGCAGTCGACACAGACTGTGGCCGCACACAGCGCCGCCGCTCGTCTCCTTTGACGCATCGCTCCTCTTGGCCGGTTGGTTTCGTTTGGTTTCGCTTCGTTTCGTTTGGCTTCGTCTCCTTTCGCTTCGTCTCAGAGTCATCTCGGAGTCATCTTGGGCTTGTCTCGGACTTGTCTTCAACCCTCCTTGGACTCATCTTCAACCTTCCTTGGACTCATCTTCAACCCGCCTTGGGCTCATCTTCAACCCGCCTTGGATCATCTTGGACTTGATCAATCCCGTCTCCAGCTCGCCTTCGACCCGGCCGCTCCTGTCTTGGCCGCTCTCGCCGTCGCCTCCAACCCAAACTCCCCGCCCGCCGCTGTCTCCCGCTTGGGCCTTCATCGTCCTGCTCCTCCAGCACCACCACCGGCTTTGACCGCCAGCCCGGCCCCCCGCTGGCTCTGCCTCCTCCAGTCTCGTCGATATTCGCCACCGCCGTCGACTCTGCGCCCCTCACTCTCGCAACCGCACCGGCTGCCGACCATGTCGCCATCGCATCCGTCCTCCTTCCGCTCGCTTTCCCGGGCCTCCTCGCTCCTGGTCTTTGCCCTCTCGATTGTTCCGGCCGCTGCCGAGATCAAGACCCTGACTAGCCCCGGCTCGTGCCTGGCCCTGACCAACACATCCTATCACCTCCCCGCTCCCGCCAGCAACTCGACCTCCATCACCTTGTCCACCTGCTCCAACACATGCATCGTCCAGGGCAAGGCTGTCCTGCTGATCTCCAAGCCGGTGTGCTTCTGCGTCGACGCCACTGACCTGACCTCGTTCTCGGCCGTCAACGATGCGGAATGCTCAACGCTGTGCGATGACCAGGCCCAGTGCGGCAACACCATCTTCACCCGCTTCAGCGGCTACCAGGTCTTCACCAACGTCGTCAACATTTCCATCCCCTCAGCACCGTCGTCGACATCGGCAGCACCCCGCCCTGTGACAACCATCAATGTCTTGCCCGGATCCGACTCGAGCAAGACCGTCGTGCCGACCTGGCTGATTGTCGGCGGCTCCGTTGCCGCAGTGCTGTTTTTGTTTGGCGTCGTCTATCTGATCCGCCATCGCTCGCAGCAGCAAAAGCTACATACCCTGCCCCGCCTCGAAGCCGGCGTCCGCCCCAAGAGAACTCCGGCCGTCGACAAGGTCTACCTCATCGACAAGTATCTCCCCGCAACCACCAACATGATCTACTCGGTCATTACACCGTACGAGCCACCCGCATCCCGCTTTGACGAGATTGCCATCCAGCCCGACCAGGTCGTTGTCCTGCACAAGCACTTCAACGACCGCTGGGCCCTGGCCACCAACATCACCTCGGGACAGGTTGGATACATTCCCATGAACTGCCTCATCTCGGATGAGCGCTGGATCCGGTCCAACTTCCCGATCCCCTCCCGGGAGGACTCGATTCTGCACTCCAACACCCACACTCAAGCCAACCGAGGACCGAGTCGTACTGCTTCGCGGAGCAGCAGCCGCGCCGAGCTGGTGCGGTAAACCATCCCTGGATAAGGCATTCAAAAGACCGCTCATGGGTATCTGCCCAGCCCTCTCCTCCATGTCTTGGTTGTCTCCTGCTCCTGCTCCTGCTCTGTGTTTGATCTCCCGTCCCTCGTCCCCGTCTCTGTCCTTGATGCTGCTTTCTTCTCCGAGCTCTTGGTGCTTGGGCTGCTGTTGATTGACTGCCCGTAGCCACGACCCTCCCCCCCTCGTTCGTTGTTGCTCTGCGATTGCTTTCCTCTATCTTTTCTGCAGCCAAGGTCTCACATTTGAGTTTACTCGGTTCCTTGCTCATATTGCTGCATAAACCACCCCCCCCCTTTTGTCTCTTAGAAATGCATTCCCACGCGAGCCGCATGGCCCGAAACACGCTCGCCCGCACTCCCACGCCAGCACTGCGGTCCAGGGTTGGAGTGGCCTCAGATTCGGACCGAGATGAAATGATATCGGGTTATCTGCAGTGATGCCGATGCTGTGCCTGCGGCTTTGTGAGAGCAATGCCATGGTGATATCGGCTTGAGCAGCAACGATATTGCGGCCCAGACAATCGAGCGATCCGACGATCGCTTTGCCTCCTGCCATGTCCAAGCGAGACAGTGGCCTCCTGATGCACTCATCAACTTTCGACCTTGCTTCTGAAATGGCAGTATATTGTGCTCGACGGATGAGTCCAATACGAAGCCGGGCCATCCCACCATCAAACGAAGGGAAGGCAGGACAGGCACGACAGGGCCGATTGGAATGAAAGCGAGATCCCAGCTTTCGATTCGCTCGTGGTGGTCACCGAAATGGGTCGCCATGGTCACATCTGTCCTCCGAATCACAGTGACGCAGCCATCATCGGCAAGCTGTTAGCGTATGGTTCCCAGCAAGCTCGAATGTCGAGCTGGCAACAGACAGTGCCCTCCGCGACTGCCGTCGTCACGACTGTGAGCCTTCCTTGAACGGGGAATCCTTGCGGGCATCGGAGATGAGCTTGTCAATGTTCTTTTCCCGGATGGCCCTCTGCTCGTTGGTCGATAGAGAATGGTGATCAGCACCGGCGACGGCACCGCGGATGAGGGTCAAAGCAAACCGCACACATGCACAGCCGCCTGGGACGGTCGTCAAAGCGACGATCCGTCCTTGCATCCTCTGCGTCGACCGCCCGAGTCGATCCATTCATCTCCTCCAATGTCGGTCGCATGTCAGCCCGGGCTCCGATCCAGATTCGATTCGTGAATGAGAGCAAAAGGCTCCTCGGCCATCCACCCACCCAGATGCACGCCTTGTAGAGCTTGAAGACGTCGTCGCAGCTCTCGGCCTCGAGACCCTTCAGGAATTTGTCCGAGTACCATTTGTTGAAGCAGGTGTCGTATTTTTCCTTGAGCTCCATGCACTCGGGGCTGAGACTGGCCATGGCGATTTGTCCCGGCGGGAAGGTGGGAAGCGACCGAAGGGGTGTTTGGGGAGTCGCTGATGAAGGAAGAGGAGCAGCGATGCTGCTGGCTTTGATGGATCAAAGGCAAATCAGGTGCGCAGGCGGCAGCCATTTTGTAGCTGGCCAGTCTGCAGCCGGCCTCGATGCGGCTGTCGATTCGCTGGCTTTGGCGGCGACCTCCGATCCAGCACTCATCCGTCTTGATCTGCGGCAAGCGATTTTGTCCAGGGTGCACCTGGTGCCGGGGTGTGCTGGTTCTTGGCGGCGAAACTGAATGCAGCCGGGCAGTCGTCGCTCAGGTCTCGAATGGGGCTTGTGACTCCTTGGATGACTTTGCCTTCCATCAACAAATCGCTCGTTTCACTTTTGCCCATCCGCCGCCTCTCTTCTGCTCACCCGTCTCCTCACTTTAGTTCGCCCAAAGCTTCGTTGTAACCGCCTTTCTTTGCCCATATCGCTCCCTTCGCTCCCTTCGCTGCCCCTCTCATCCTCCCACATCACTCACCATGGCCGCCAGCACCAACGACCTCTCCTCGTCTCTCGATGCTTCACAGCCAGCCCTCCTGTATCCAGACATCTTCACAATCGTCTGTTTCAATGACAGCTTCCAGCTCGCCCTCGACCACAGCACCATCAAAACCCTGCTTCGAGTGTCCAGACGGGCAAGGTCTCTGCTGAGCTCCAAGCTGGCTCGCTTCCATCGCTGGTGCCAGAAGGAAGGACTGTGTCATCCAGACGGACAGATGCGGATCGGCCTCACGCCCAGCGACCAGATCGCCCTCTCACTGCATTGCAAGGAGAAAGACCCAAACGACCGATCCTGGCTCGTCGTTCAGGCAGAGCAGGGAAGCGCCCCTGCCTCGTATTTCCTGGCCCGCGTCCTCCAGATCGATGTCGACCGAGGTGGAATGAGGTGGATCGAGTGGAACGCCAAGTTGCAAGAAATCTTCCACCATCTGGAGACGGCCTCCAGCGCAAGCCATCCAATGGCACAGTTCCACCTGGCCGAGTGCTATCTCAACAGAATTGGAGTCGACCAAGACCAGATCAGGGCTGTCGAGATGTACCGCAGTCTTGCAGATTGTGGAATGCCACAGGCACAAATCGCCCTCGGTCGATGCTATGAGTCAGGCGAAGGTGTCGATCAAGATTACAACACAGCCATCGAGCAGTATACCAAGGCTGCCGATCAAGGCTGCGACAACGGACGCCTCCGCATCGTGTTCCTCCGTGGGTGGTTCTCGTTCACTGGTCATGGTGTCGAGCAGAGCGACGAAGATGCCCTCGCTCACTGGCAGCAAGTCAGCACCCAGTCCACCGATCCAGTCATCAAGTCGATCGCCACACACATGGTCGGCTGGATGCACTATCTCGGCCGGGGTACGCAGCAAGACCAGCAGAAGGGCATCAAGATGATCCGCGATAGTAAGTCAAGCGCATTCAAATTTGGAGAGGCTGAGTGCCTCTATGGGTGGCCACTGGCACCGTCCAACTCACCCGCATCTCGCGAGTTCTTCAAGCTGTGCCAATTGGGATTGGACCACAACTGGCTGTGCAAGCACCTGACAGCAGTTTGTCTGGTCCATGGATTCGGAACCGCTCAGGATAAGACCAAGGCGGCGGACATCTTTGAGCAGCTCGCCCACGATGAGCACAGCGAAAGTCAGGCCTGGTTTGGTGGTTGCTACGGCAATGGTCTCGGGGTGCCGGAAGACGAATCGAAGGCCTTCGAGTGGTACAGCAAATCAGCAAACCAAGGCAACTCATACGGCCAACTCGGGGTTGGTTGGAGCTACTACGACGAAAGTGGGGTCCCCAGGGATTTCGCCGAGGCTGTCAAGTGGTTCCGCAAGTCTGCCGAACAGAACAATCGAGATGGGCAGTATGCCCTCGGCATCTGCTTCGAGAATGGCGAGGGTGTGACCGAGGATATCGACGTCGCCGTATTTTGGTACCGCAAGGCTGCTGAGCATGATCAGCGACGGGCCATCAACAGACTCAAGTCTATCGGCAGGTGGCCGTGATTCATTTACTCTTCCAAAGACACACAATCAACAAGCGAATCGCAACATCCGCACCGATCCTCGCGAATACGTCACGTTTTTGAAAATACACATCCAGTTTGACCAGCTTCCGAATCACAGTCCCTTTCACGACTGACCATCGGTACATGGTGGCTGTTTCGGACTACATACATGCACTGCGAAGCTGCTCGGAGTCGAGTCACTAACTCATTGCACACTGATTGATTCATGTCGCCACAAAGCAATCGCCTGGTTCTGGGCATGCGTGAAAGCCCACCCACCGACGCCAAGTTCTCGACAACTACTTCGAGAACTTGGTTTGACACGCCCGCCTCCACAAGCGCGTCGATGAACCCAAGGCTCAGCGATATCCAAAATAGTCCCGCAACCGACTCGACCACAAGGGAAGGCATCTTCGAGGCAGCGCGGTACCGCCACCGGGACTCCTTTTGCAGCCAAGCTATCCGGCCGACGACATTCGGCAGACAGATCGACCGAGGCAGCCAGATGGTAGAAAGGCACCCCGATGCGGATGGTCTTCTTGGAGCAAGACCAAGGATCTCGATTTTACCACAGAGCTTTATTTGCAATGCACTGCTGGCGAGATTGTGTACGAGAAGCCAGCAGCTCGAAGAGCAGCGGTAGATCGAGGAGCAGCGGCAGGTCGATGAACCATCCGCGCCGGTATTGGTTGCCTCGTTCTGACAAGAACAGTGGATCAAGTGAAGGAAACGCAACAGCAGGGGCGAATTAAAGCTTGCGGGCCTGCTTGTAAAAGTTGATGAGTCCGTTGGTGCTCGAGTCGTGAGTGTGGACGGGAGCATCGCCCGAGAGCTCGGGGAGGATGGCCTTGGCAAGCTGCTTGCCGAGCTCAACACCCCACTATAAGGAAACGCCGGCGGAATGACAGTTGGATTAGCACTGGCTGCCGCAACTACGAGGATACAAACGGAGGCGCAATCGACAAAGCGCCTGGGGCACCGTCCAGCAATCAGGCAGGATGCAATCGCCCGGCGCGGCGCGACCATGCAATACAGAGCAGACTCGCACCTGGTCAAAGCTGTTGATGTTCCAGACGATGCCTTGGACAAAGATCTTGTGCTCATAGAGGGCAATGAGCGAACCCAAGTTGCGGGGAGTCAGCTTCTGGTAGAAGATCGAGTTGGTGGGGCGGTTGCCGCGGAAGACCTTGTGGGGGACCAGGTTCTCGAGAGCCTGGCCGTGGATGCCCTCCTTGACGAGCTCCGCGCGGACCTGCTCCTCGGTCTTGCCCTTCATCAGAGCCTCGGTCTGGGCGAAAAAGTTGGAGAGCAGGATCTCGTGATGGAGGTTGTCCGCGATGGGGTTCTGGGACTGGACGGGGGCCAAGAAGTCGGCAGGGATGACCTTGGTGCCTTGATGAATGAGCTGGTAGAAGGCATGCTGGCCATTGGTGCCGGGCTCGCCCCAGATGATAGGGCCGGTAGAGTAGTCGGTGATGGGCACGTTGTCGCGGGTAACGTATTTGCCGTTGGACTCCATGTCGCCCTGCAGATATCAAGGGATACGTGAGTGAGAGAGCTCGACCGGGATTCGACGCAACAAGCGGCTGCAAGCTTGGCAGTACATTCATAGCAGTGCGATGGAAATTGCAGCTATAGTGTCCGGATTGCTGCCATAGCACGGCCCACGGAGTCAACCACACTGGTGTCGCCGCATCCGTCGACTGTTGCACAATGGGAGCTGGCTGTACCTGCTGGAAGTAGGCGGGGAAGCGATGGAGATACTGGTCGTACGGCAGGATGGCCTGGGTCTCGGTTCCGTGGAAGTTGTTGTACCAGATACCGACGATGGCCAAGATGGCGGGCAGGTTCTTCTCGAGCGGGGCAGTCTGGAAGTGGTTGTCCATGAGGTGGGCACCAAGCAGGAGCTCGGCAAAGTTGTCGAAGCCAATGTAGATGGCGATCGACAGGCCGATCGCGGACCAGAGCGAGTAGCGGCCGCCAACCCAGTCCCAGAACTCAAACATGTTCTCGACCGAGATGCCAAAGGCTGTAACCGCCTTGGCGTTGGTCGACAGAGCCACAAAGTGCTTGGCGACATGGGCAATCTGAATTGGCAGCGACGCCAGACCAGCCGACAGCAAGAGAGCAAGGAGCACAGACAGCGTGAGCAACCGTAGCAGCAGCAACCGACAAACTCGCAGCCAGGGCATTACGGGACAGCCATAGTGTCTCTCAATGGCAATGATGGCAATGGTGGCAATGATGGCAATGATGGCGTCCGACTGACCGATCTTGTGCGCAGCGATAAGTGTCCCTGACAGCCGAGCCTCAGATCGCCGGCCAGTTGGCGACAAGCCACAACACGCCAGCCGCTCGATATCTCGCGATAAATGCACCACTTACGTCGCCGGCCTTCTGCAGGAACCAGTTCTTGGCCGAGGTGGCGTTGGTGATGGTCTCGATGGTGGTGAAGGTCTTGGAGGCAACAATGAAGAGTGTGGTTTCGGGGTTGAGCTTCTTCAGGACCTCGGCCAGGTGGGTGCCGTCGATGTTGGAGACAAAGTGGACGCGAAGATCGTCTTGGGCATAGGGCTTCAGGGCCTCGGTGACCATGACGGGTCCCAGATCGGAGCCGCCGATGCCGATGTTGACGACGTCGGTGATGCTCTTGCCGGTATAGCCCTTCCACTCACCCGATCGGATGCGGTCGGCGGTAGACTTCATCTGGGCGAGGACCCGGTTGACCTCGGGGACGACGTCCTTGCCATCGACGAGGATGGGGCGGTTGGAGCGGTTGCGAAGGGCAATGTGGAGGACGGCGCGGTTCTCGGTGGTGTTGATCAGGGCACCGTTGAAGGTCTTGTCACGCCACTCCTCGACACGGGCCTCACGCAGGAGATCGGTGAGGAGGGCAAAGGTCTCCTCGGTGATGCCGTTCTTGGAGTAGTCGAGGAGGATCGAGGGCTGCGACTCGCCGGGAGCGGTAAAGGAGGCACTGAACTTGTCGAAGCGGGCGGGATCTTGCTGGAAGAGCGACAGGATGGACAGATCCTTCGCACCCGAGTCGTAGTGGTGCTGGAGGGCCTTCCAGGCGGCGAGGTTCGAGGCGGCGACCATGGCAGTGAGCGGGGGGGGGATGCTTTTTTTGGGGGGCGGGAAGAGGCGAAGACGCAGACGGCAGAGATCTTTGGGGCGAGCGACAAAGGACGGAGCGGAGGCGGGCGGTCCGTTTTATACTTGGAGGAGAGGGGAGGATTGCAAATCTGTGCGCCGGCTTCCCGAAGGCGCTCTTGCGCCGACCCTATCACGTAACGCGATCGGCCAACAAGCCAGGGTGACCCCAGCGGCTGGCGATAAGCAGACGGGGCCGGGGATGCAGACGGAGACGGGGCCAGGGTGGCGTCAGCGCCGACAGGTGGTGGCATTTGCGGTATCGACGTCGGCGGCACTTATCGACTGTGGTATCGACGTCGGCGGCAACTTTGACATGAAGACACCGTCGGCATCGGCAGCAGCAACGTCCACCCCACACATCGGCGTGCGTTGATTGAGATCGATTGCATCCGCCACTCGCCCGGTCGCTTGTACTGCCAGAGTTCCCGCACCCAATCTCCTGCGGCTGGAGTTCGTCGGCTCACCCTTGCCCCTTGTCCCGGCACTCAACAACGCCTGCGAGGCAGATACCATTGAGCAATGTTTCCGGTCGCCAAGCAACTCTTCAAGTCCCGAAACGAGCGCCTGGGCGACAGGTACTCTCTCGCTATGCCCGAACGCCAGCGACTGAGCAGCCCCGTAGCATATGGACTTCATCATCTGGACTGCGGGATGCCGCCATCATCGCCCGTCGCAAGCACATCCACATTGCTGCCCCTCATCTGCGGCACTCAGCCTTCCAGACAGCCCATACCTCCGTCCATGCCGCTCCCCCGCTCTGCCCCAACGCCATCCGTATCCCCTGGCAACGCGCTTCTCGCCTGACCTTCTCATGCATCTGTGCCTTGTTCTGTCGCAGGGGGCCCAAAAATGGCGTCCAGTATGCCGCCGTCTCTATGAGCACGACTCCCCGTAACATCGTGAGAAAAGCGTCCATCGTCACCAGCCAAGACGAGCCGCAGCCAAAGCGCCTCATTGATCTCTGCCAGGTTTGTCGCGGGCGCTCCTCCATCACCTTTGGGGCTTGATCGCGCTTGTGTTGTGTAGTATCTGCCGCTAGATACTATCCATCGTGTGCTCGTCCACTGACTTGCTCTGCCCACAGGACAGCGATATCGAGACCTTGCAAAAGTTTTGCAACCGCCACCGCCGCTTCCTTTGCCAGACCATCAACTCGCCCATTGACCAATACGGCAACACAAAGCTGCATCTGGCCGCCCAGCACGACGACTATCCGCTCGTTTGTCTCCTGCTTATCAAAGGCGCCAATCCCAATGCAAAGAACCGAGCCGGCGCAACACCGACACTCGTGGCCAAACGCATGGAGTTCCGCAAGGTCTTCCAGCTGATGGAAAAGTTTGGCGGAATCCTCCCCCTCAGCGACCACCCGAAATCCAAGGCGCTTTCGAGGAGCAAGAGCCATGGGCCAATCCAGCAGCGGGAGGATGTTCGCGACGAAACCGCTCCCATCAAGCAGGCGCGCAAGCGAACCAAGAGTGCTCCGCTGGCAAGTCTCGACGATGAGGAGCCAGATTCCGCGAGCGCCACAGCCGAGCAACAACAGCAGCAGCAGCAACAGCAACAACAGCAGCAGCAACAGCAACAACAGCAGCTTCGAGACGCATCGGAACCGTTCTCCGGCAGGAGTAAAAAGCACCAGCAGTATCAGGCAATATATGATCGCCTCGAGAAGACTCTGCCGTCCAGTGCCCTGGATTATTGCAATCTGGGCTACATGGGCCTGACTCAAATCCTGGTTGAATATGGCAGCATGGTCAACATCAACTCCGCCGACAACGACGGATGCACTGCTCTCATGAAGGCCGCGTATCAGGGCTACTCGACAACAATCTCTGAGCTGCTCAAAACCGGATCCAAAATCGACCAAGTCGACAAGGAGGGCAATACGGCGCTCACCTGGGCATGCTCTTCGGGCAAACTTGAGGTTGTCAGGATTTTACTCCGCGCGGGATCCAACCCAAATGGCGAGCGCGCCGAGAGCAAAGCCGGGCTGTTCTCGTCCACGCCACTCATGTCCGCATGCTATGGTGGCCACGTCGAGATAGTGCAAGCATTGTTGGACGCCGGCGCAGACATCAACCAGCGAGTAGGCCCGAGACGTGGCCGCTCGCCCTTGATGATCGCCGCCTGGATGAAGCACAAGCATGTCGTCGAGCTCCTGGTGCGGAGAGGCGCAGTCGTCGATCCCAATCCGGACGACTGGCTCAAGAAAGGCATTGTCCTTCTGAACAAGATTCGCAAAAACGAGGATGCCTGGCTCGATAGCTGCGAAAACATTGCCAAAAAGTACGACTCTTCGGGAAACCTCAAGAGCGGCCTGATCACATCTGGGAATCGCCGAGAGAGTCTGAAGGACCGCTTGCTCTTCTTTTCGGCCGAAGATAACGACGAGGTCGTGTCGCTGACCGAGATTCTCAAGCAGCCTGTGCCGGCGATGCCCGAGTCACAAATCTCGATTCAAGTCAGCGATGCGACCTCGCCACAGTCTTCGACTGCGACCAGCGTCACCAGTCCGGCAGCGCCTGGTCCTGCGCCTGATGAACCCGAGTTGAGTGTGCGGCGACGAAATCCCCGACGCAAGAGCAACTACCGCCTGGGCATGAACTTGGAGGTACGCTTTTGTAGAAAGCTGGGAACGAGTATCGTTCATGTCTGGAGGGCAACGAGTGGATGTCACCCTGGACTGAGACTGGGCGATCGATCTTGAGAGGGTTTGGTGCAAATCCTTGGCCCAGCGTCGGGCCAGCACATGACGCCTTGCTTAAATACTGGAGGCCGAGCGTTTATGGGTGCTAGCCAGCAATGCATTATGGGTGCTAGCCAACAATGCGCTTATGCGTGCTAGCCAACGATGCGTCTTTGTGTGCTAATCACCGATGTGCTTGCCCAGAAACTCGCCGGACACAATCCCGAGATTCTCTACGACCTGACGACACACATCCCAGAACGTGGAACCGAGCTCGACAGTCTGTGGGTGGCCGTGTTTCAGTGTGTCATTCAGTTGGTAATCGCAGTTAACAAGAACATCAAGCACCAGTACATTTCAATTTCGGCCTTGGCGATCCATCACTCTAGTGAGTTGATCCGACACGTTGACGTCCTGAGCAAGCAGACACCCGGACGCGGCGAAGGAGAGCTTTCGTTCTTCACAGCCACTCCGCTTATCGACAGCATCAAGTCCATAAGCAAACGAATCAACGTCGAGGACTCCAAGAACCTCATGTACGCAACCCGAATCGCGATTGGCGTCTGGCCGCCAACCCATGCTGCGCTTGACATGGTACGATAGCTAGGTGCATCAGCCAGAGTAGCTCGCTGGCCAAGACTGCGGTGTGCAGTGGGTGGCTCGCGGTAAACTTGGCAAATATCATTCTGAATCGGGCATGCCATCCACTAGATCAAGGCTGCAACCACGCTCGGGAAAGCTTGCAAGCAGCTTGCTGAACTTGCCAACCTCACTGGGCGGTTTATAATCATCGACAAGCCGATCATCTTGGATGTAAGTGCACCAGAACTAGGAAGAGCGAATAGACTTGGCATGTTGCGGCCCAAGTCGGTGTTAGTTGTGGCTAGTGTCTCATCCGCAATGACAAGGTGAGGCACGCACTGACGAAGTTGCAAGCGACATGCGCGCTGATGCCTCGGCACTGTGCTTGCATCTGCTATTCCACAACAGCCAAGCAAAATGGGCGAGGATACGGTGTCCGATAGCAAGGACTCCAGCGTGCCCAACTCGTCGAGCATCCAAAACTATGACGATTACAAGAGGATCAACGATCTGAGATACATCGAGCACATGTCCAAGTCGTGCGAGACGCCCGAGACGCACGAGCTCTCCACGGCCCCCGAGATCGACTACGAGTCTGCATTTTTGTCGACGCTTGATCAACTCCTTCTCGAGTTTGTCAACGCCGTGGCTGACATCAAGCGGGTGTATGACCAGCACATGAAGGAAGAGTTTGTGACCGTAACGGCCTCGGCCAACCAGCGCGCAGATTTGCTGATCGAAGAAATCAAGAACAGCGACATTCTCGCCGAGATCCCTCCTGATCTTAGCATCAGTGCCGAGGAAGCCGAGGCCATCGAGTCACAGGGCATTTCACTCGAGATCAGCGCCTATCCCTGTCTGATCCAGCCCGTTTGGAAACACGCCATCGACGAAGTGCAGGCTTCGTCCAAGACCTTGATCATGAAGGGCAAGTTTGCGGCCGGTATCTGGCCACCGCCATACGCCAGCTGGGACATGCTGCAGAGCACAATCCCATGCTTGATCTCGATGAAGCGACTGATTCTCCTGACGCGGGTGCTGATCTCCAAGGTGCAAATCGTTCTTGGAGAGGATCGCAAGAAAATGGAAATGTGGCGTCTCGAGTGTCTCAAGAACGAGCGAGTCAAGCAGATGTTCCAGGTCTGGGCAACACAGATGGGCACAGCAGAAGGCGAAGAAACGGAAATGCTCGAGAAGGCGCCAAGTCTCAGCCGTCTGATCTCCGAGAACGATGTTACGGATGGCTTGGAGATTGAAATATCGCCGATTCTGAACGATCCGATTATCCGCGGAGGCAAGCTGAGCAAGCTGATCGATCAGCTGGCGCAGCTCGAGATAACAAGTGCGTGAGATGCGGGACGCAGCATGGCCGTCGTTGTCGTTGTCGTTGTCGTTGTCGTTGTCGTTGTCGTTGTCGTTGTCGTTGTCGTTGTCGTTGTCGTTGTCGTTGTCGTTATACCTCAGTGTCGCATTGCTGAGCCACTTGCGCTGTGATCACGTACGGCAAGCATGTGTTGCAAACTCACACCTATCTCTCTTTCTCCTCTCAGGCGAGTATACATCTGCGTTTTTCCTCACCCACCACTCGTTCACGACATCGATCGAGGTCCTGAATCATCTTGGCAAGCGCTACGAAACAACTCCACCGTACGGATTGACCCAGCAGCTTTTTGACGAGTACATCAGCCAGAAGCTTGTTCCAATGCGCCTGAGGTGAGTCGCTTGCGGTATTTGTCAACTCGTGCCGGGTTGTCCACGGCCAATTCGTGCAGGTGTGAAGTTCGTGCTATGCCTCGGGGCAATGCGCATCGCTAGTATCGCAAATGGACCCATTTTGATCAAATGCGACTTTCAGGATCTGCAACGTCATCAAGCTGTGGATTGAACGACACTTTCTCGAGGACTTTGGTGAAAACGAGCTGTTACTTCTCAAGGTCCGCGACTTTATCCACACCAAGATTGCGGTGGACTTCCCAAAGGTTGCAACAGCGATGCTTCAGCTGCTCGAAGAAAAGGTAGGCGATCGCCAGAGTGCTGCAATCGACGCCATGAGTGAGTATACGGCGGCTGTGGTTGATGTGGTTGATGTGGTTGATGTGGTTGATGTGGTTGATGTGGTTAATGTGGTTGATGTGGTTAATGTGGTTGATGTGGTTAATGTGGTTAATGTGGTTAATGTGGTTAATGTGGCTGCTGTATTGCTCACAAGTTATGTGATACATTAGCCATTCTTAGCTTGCTGCAATAATCATTGTAACCATGGTAGCTGCTCGATCGGATCACACTCACTCAGTCGCATCACTCGTTGTCACCGTCACTTCCAGATCGAGGTCCCCTATGCTTTGTCAGAGCCACAGTCGAATCCAAACGCACTCGTCCCTAAGCCGATTCTCCCTCGTCATCCCGACCTGCATTCGCTGCTCCAAGCTGACCACAGCGCCTTCCTGGAAATCGATCCCATGGAAATGGCACGCCAGATGACTCTGATTGAATTTGATCACTTCCGTCATGTGCAGGCGTGGGAATGCACCGATCAGATCTGGGGCGACAAGCGAAAGAAGGAGCTTGCGGCCATCTCGGCGCTGCAATCTCGTGGCAACCTCGCCAGCATCAAATCGAGCGCCGGCATATCCAGGATGATCAAGCACACCAACAATGTAACGTACTGCGCTTGAACACTGTTGAATGGTGCTTCCGTCCTGCCCGTTGCTTGCAGCAGACTCCATGCCGTCCGCCATGTCCCAGAAATGCCCCCCGATCCTTGCCCGTGCGCTGACCCCTCCTTTCCCAGCTTACAATGTGGGTGGCAAACTGCATCATCACATGCGAGCCCCTCAAGCCGAGGATCGGCGTGCTTCGGTACTTTGCCCAATTCGCACTGGTAGGTATACAACCAAGAGCAGCCGCTGTCGCAAGGACCGCTCGGGCGGCGGACTCACTCCAGCTACTTTCATGCCGATATGCTTCGTTCAGTACTGCAAAGAGCTCAACAACTTCAACGGAGTCACCGGTATCGTCGCGGGGCTATCCATGGCGCCGATCAAGCGTCTGAAGAAAACATGGCAGGCAGGTTGAAGTGGAGGCGGTGAATCTCTCGCTGAGGTGCCTTGGGCTCGCCTCAGAAGACCAATCCGCAACCTTGCTGATCCCATGCGTCTTCTCTAGGGATTCCAAGAAAAGTTCCCCAAGGTTCATGATCAATACGAGGACCTGGCCGACCTCGTGAGCCCCAAGGGCCAATACAGCAACTACCGAAAGGCGCTCAAGTCCATGAGGCCGCCGCTGATTCCATTTCTTGGTACGGCCACAGCCTCATCATTGGCAGAGACCGGGATTTGGAGTGGAACCTGGTGTGGCGCTTCCCTGGGGTCGCTCTGGCTCGTCAATGAAAGCGCATCGCATCACTCCAATGGTAACTCGGACTGGCTCTCGCTGACGATTGGATTCGCCCCCAACCACAAATCAAACCGGCTCCCATCACCAAATCGGCCACGGCTCCCGCCAAACCAAATGGGGCCGTAGGCGTATATCTTACGGATCTGACATTTGTGGACCTGGGCAATCCCTCGTTCTTACCCAACTCCAACTACATCAACTTTGAGAAGCGCCGTAAGGTATACGAGATCGTCAAGGAAATCCTGGGGTATCAGAAGGTGGCGTACACATTTGCCAAGGTGCCAGCGATCATGGAACTGATCATGGGGCTCGGGTCGCACTACGACGATCGGACGCCATGGAGCGGGCGGAGCGGACACTCGCTCATGAACGAGGACGAGCTCTATGAGCAGAGTCTCGTAATCGAGCCGCGGGAGGAGGAAGACGACGACGAGGATGACGAGTGGTAGAGGCGGTGAAATATAGACAGTGTGAGTCCCAAGCGGAGCCGAACCGGCCGAGCGATAACAGCAGATGCCCAGCAACGACAAGACGGGAAATCTTCGGTTAACGCAGTATGAACAGTGTTCCCGCTGCTGCATCGATCGGGAGGGACGGTGGAGGGAGGAGGGGATAAGTACAGCAGGCCATGGCCGATGCACAGTTGCCCGTGATGCTGGCCGAGCTGCATGGTGGGCGGGCTGCGGATGACTGTGGTTGTATTGAGCCAAGGAAAATGTCCATCACTGCAGCGATTTCTGAGCTTGCTGCAGACCCTCGTTGAAGCGCTGGATAACGAGCACGCTGGTGTCCAGGAAGCGCTCGACGCAGTTGGTCAGACAGACTGGTTGATCGGCGGGGCAGATGAACGGAGATCAAGAAGCCGACGAGATGGCGGCCGCGTTAGTTTCGAGTGGTGTCTGCCTTTGAAAGACCCTATGTTGACCGCATCTGTAATGCCGTTGGCGATACAGCATATCGGGCAGCGTACCTTCGTCAGACTTGTCGGTCTGGGACTTGATCTTCGTGATGCACTTGTCCCTTTTGGTGCAAATTATCCGCGATGAGCAGCAAGTTCTCGAAGTGAATTCATGACAAACATACAGAAAGCCACATGTAACCACCATGGCGTCGCCTGTGGCTGATCGAGCCCAAGGCCGTGGAGGGCTGCAGGCGAGCCGGATGCGGATTCGCAATGTCCTCTCGGCTTACCAGCAGATGTCGGTGTAGTTGTGGACAGCGGCCTGGAACTCGGATCGCTTCTCGACAACCTGGACAAACTCCTCGAGCTCCTTCTGGTGGACGGGATCAAGCCCGGCGGACAGCTGTGACGGGGCACTCATGGCGATGCTTTGGTGGGCCTGGCAAATGTCGGTGATGAAAGCGATGAAGCCAAGAACACAACTGAAAAAGTCGCTGGCGCTTGAGCCCGTGGTCATGTGACAACCGCGGCCTGCGCCACACTGTCCAGCCAGCGATTCCCACAGGCAACCGGGACGATCACAATGCTTAGGACTGATGGGTTCTCGTTACTATTGTGGGGACTGTGACACACAATTATCCATTACAACGATGGGCGTCCAGGGTCGCTGAGAGAGGAGACTGAGAGGGAGCTGAGAGGAAACCGAGAGGCAACGGGTTCTCATTGAGCTGATCCCATCGATAGGTGCGCTGCTTTCTGAAGCAAGCACAGCGACCAACTTACTCTTCTCTGGACGAAATAGGGGCGTGTCATACGAAGCATGGTCGATTAGATAGTACAGCTGAGTGCAGCACACCGAAGCAGAAGCTCTGAATCGCACTGTCTGCTGAGCCTGGGATGCTTCAGTCCTGGTATGCATCGGGACTTATCATGGCCTCGATGGTTCTCTCGAGGATCAGGATCGAGCCATTCTGTATGGACTTGCTGGCAATCAGCGCCTTTAAGCTCGATGACGTTGGAAGTGCCTGCCCCTCGACGTTGAACAGCGATAGTTTCTGGATGGATGCAGAGGACGTCAGCGGTGATGTTGGACGACTACCTATGCATAACCAGGGTTGGGCTGGAGCTTTGCCTGGGATACCAAACGCACCTTGTCGGGCTGCGAGTTATTGAAGTTGGACACCCTTCCGGCGTCCGCGATCTTGTCGAGCACTTTTCCGATGTTCCAGTCCTGCATAGATGAGAGTCGCAACCAATGTCAGGCACATTCGAAGACCACTCAAATGGACACTGGCTTCAGCAATTTGCCTGCGCGGCGAGCGGTCAATGGGATCGGATTTATCCTATGCAAAGGAATGCGTGGCACTTACTCGGTGAAAGTACAACGGAAGGCTGGGCTGAGGCCTCTCGAGGGGAAAGAAAGCCCGGAAGTACACTCTATTGTCGGCGGGAACGCTGGAGTCGCCCTATCGGGGCGATTGTAGTATTTGAGCGCCACGATCCTTCTGCAGCACGCTGGCCCTGGCTTTGACTGTAGCTCTACATCGAATGTGCATACCTTTGCGTGCATCTTGAGTCGCATGAGCTCCACCGCGGGTGACGACCGTTTTGCTTTCTTGACCGGCGGGGAGAGCTTGGCCGTCGGGGCTCCAGGCTGGATCTTGTCGGATATGAGTTGTTGAATAGCTGTCTTTTTGTCCTGTGCAGCCTTGGCATCGAGCTCGATATTAGGGCAGGAGTGGTCTGGTGGATGTCGATGGCTGCACCAGGCAGTATCAAAAAGGTCTGAAGTCAATACATGCACGACCTTCGAAGCGCTGATGCCAGATTGCGTACTTGAGACAAAACGGCGATCCGCATCGGCGGCACTTGGACGCCCACAGCTCGGCGACAGTGCATCCTGCAAAGCTGCAGGGAATCTTGGCGGACGGTCGGGCCGGAAGAACGTGATCGATGCATCCAGACTTTTGATGAAGCTCGACCTGAATACATGGGATAGCAGCCGGGTGAGTCAACTGGATGCTTGCTCGGTGCTGAACGGGAAGCTCTAGGGAAAGGGCGACATTACATAGGTTGCTGGGTCTTGGTCTTCATCGACTTTGAGGATGTTTTTGCAAAGCGGGCACACTGGCAGTGCCCTCTGAGCAAACGAGCCCATCACGATGCCGGGGATTAGGAAAGCGCATGTTTGGATCCGGTATCGAGTGTCAGTCGAGATGGGTCAGCTCGCCTCTCTGGATGCGGCATCGTATATTGTGCCTCCGTTGGTAGCACTCGGATACTTGCATCTGTCGCCTCCCACTTTTCGCAGCCGTGGGTCTGAGGATGTCGGTGGTCAAGACTGTGCGATAGGGGGGAGGTCAAGGTACAGGCCACGGACAGGAGGCAATCTTGCTCGGATGGGAGTGTTTCGACCAACAGTCTCACCAGTATATCGCATGGCAAGCCGAGCATGCAAATGGCAGAAAGTCTGGTATCGAGACGGCAGAGGATCAGCATAAGCAATGGATCTCGACATGGAAGCTGGTCGAGCGGCGATGATTTCCGCGACCCGCTTGACGCTCACCCAGGCGGGCGCACGCCGGATGCGAGCAATGCGATCCTAGATCCATCTCGAATAGCAGAAAAAAACGGGTCGGGATTGTGTCTTGTATAGATCAGATGCGTTGGATATGCGTTGGATGCGCTGGATATGCGTTGGATGCGCCTCGATCGACTGATCTGATCAAAGCCGAAATGGGACCATCGGCGAGGCGGAAGGCGGGATCGGCTTTTGGCCACCCCCACGGACTGGGCGAGGGCCACACACACACCACCAGCGCCGATGCGATGCGATGCGATGCCATGCCATGCCATGCCATGCCATGCGAATGTGCACATGTCCCCTCTCTAACCGGCCCCGCAGTGCTGGCTGTCCAGGGCGTCCAGCAGCAGGGCCATGATGCAGGCGAGGGCGTTCTTGGTGAGAGCCCGACGCGCTGCGCATTCATTACCGGATCGAACCTGATTTTTTTTTGTTGCTGGTTCCTCTGCTCGTCTCGCTCGGCCGTCCTGGGCGATCCCACATTCACGCCCCAGGCTCGGCCAACGCACTTGCCCACCCGATCTGCATCCCAACCCCCCACAGCACAGCACAGCAGAGCCAGCATGGGTGCCCGAGGACACCAAGCGTCAAAGAAGCAGAGAGATCCCAAGCCCATTTCGGACGCGGCCGTTGCAAAGCTGCGTGTCCAGAAGGGCTTGCCGCCCGAGGAGCTCCCCGAGGCCCCCAAGACCGTCCGCCAGCTCAAGAAGGAGAAGAAGGCTCAGGCCATCGCCAAGGCCAAGACCGAAGCCAAGTCGAAGCCAGCACTGCCGGCCAAGGCGTCGCAGAAGCAGCAGGCGCAGATCCAAAAGCCAGGTGGGTCCTCGCTCCTCCCCGTTGCTGCAGTGAGCAGACTCGCGGCCTGCATTTCGGGAGAGGGGAGGGAGGGCACGCCTTACTCTCCGGATCTGGCAGATGCCGTCCTCCATATTTTGTGGCTTGCACATGATCTCGACTAGTCGAATCGCCGACCGTGCTCGTCCTGGAGGTCCATCGGATGCTGCCACGCACACCACCTCCACGGCAGACCAACCACAGCGCAATACGATGGACTGCTGTCGACTTTGTCGCATCCTTGTTCCTGCACGAGCTCTTAAGCTGGCTTTGTTTCAGCTGTGTGTTGATCGTTCACTCTCTCCTCACCCGCTGCTCCATCACGGATACTGCTTCTACAATCTATGGATTCTCGTGGCTGCTCGATCCCTCAAGTGAACGCAAAGAAACAGAAGAAATCGGAACCCGCTCTGTGGGACGATGCTGAAGTCGAAGACGACGACGACGCCGGCATCCTGAACGGCGAAGAGGATTGGGAAGACGAGGACGAGGACGAGAATGCGGACGAACTGGCTCGCTTCGATGACGAGTCCGATGACGAGGCCTTGCCCCCGACCAAGAAGGCCAAAGTCGCCAAGAAGAAGGAGACAAAGGAGTCCGTTATTCGTGATATCGAGAACGCATTTGGCATGAGCAAGAAGATGCTCAAAAAGCGGGCCAAATACGAGCCCGAGGAGGACGAAATCGAAGAGGACGACGACGAGGGCGAAGAGGACGACGATGATGACGAAGGCGTCATGGTCAGTTTGCCCTGATCGTAGCAAGAGTGCTCGCTCGGGTACGATGGGCCATGTAAGTTGCCAAGCGAATGGCCACTGATTTCCATTCGCGCATCCCAGAACGATGAGTTTGACGACGATGAAGATGAGGATGGAGATGAGGATGAGGATGACGAAGAGGACGATCAAGCCATTGCCAGCGGCTCCAAAAAGATCCAGATGGACTTTGGCGACGAGGACGACGAAGAAGACGAGGACGACGAGCTGCCTGTCGAGCGAGAGGCGCGCGAGCTGGATCGCCAGGCGCAAGAAGATGCCGAGCTTGCCGAGGCTGAGCTGCAAACCAACATTGAGCAGCGGGAGAAGTTTGTGCTGCCCTCGGGCCAGGAGATCGAGAAGGAGGGCGAGTCGACAGACGATCTGGGAGTCATTCAGACAAGAATCCAGGAGATCCTGCGAGTCCTCAACAACTTCAAGGATTTGCGTGAGCCCGGGAGGTAAGTCCGGTTGACCGCATGAGCTGCAAAAACCCTCGGTCCTATCAAGGCCATTTGTGGGATTGATGCCTTTTTCATTTGGTAACTGCTCACACCGCTTATCTGCCGATCATCCGCTATGCTCCAGATCGAGATCCGAGTACGTTAGTCAGCTTCTGAAGGATCTCGCTCAGTACTACGGCTACAACGACTATCTGATGCAGAAGCTGTTCGAGCTGTTCCCAGTGTCCGAGGTTTGTGGCATTGCCTGCATGCTCCTCCGTACACAGCAGCCACTGGCGCGAGCTTGAACTGATCCCGCTTGGCGCACAGGCGATCGAATTCTTCGAGGCCAACGAAGTCGCCCGTCCAATAGTCATCCGCACAAACACTCTCAAGACCCGCCGCCGCGACCTGGCTCAAGCGCTGATCAACCGCGGCGTCAACCTCGAGCCCATCGGCAAATGGAGCAAGGTCGGCATCCAGATCTTTGACTCGGCCGTTCCAATCGGAGCGACCCCCGAGTATCTGGCTGGGCACTACATGCTCCAGTCTGCCAGCTCGTTCTTGCCTGTGATGGCGCTCGCGCCTCAGGAGAACGAACGTGTGTTGGACATGGCTGCCGCTCCGGGAGGCAAGACCACATACATCGGTGAGTAGACTGAGCTGCGAGTCCCTCGGCCGCCACTTTTGGCGAAAGAGCGGTGCACTCTTGATACATCAGCGCTTGCTCACACTGACGCCACACTCCTATTCTGTGTCGATTTGCTCGTGCAGCCGCTCTGCAAAAGAACACAGGATGCATCTTTGCCAACGATGCCAACAAGGCTCGCTGCAAGTCGCTGGTGGCCAACATCCACCGTCTGGGTGTGCGAAACGCCGTGGTTTGCAACTATGATGGCCGAGAGTTCCCCGGTGTGATCGGCGGGTTTGACCGCATCCTCCTCGATGCCCCGTGCTCGGGCACAGGTGTCATCAGCAAGGATCAGAGCGTCAAGGTCAACAAGGTATGGGCTTGAACCATTCTTGAGTGTGCGCTCCGGTGGCTCAACAAAGCAGCCATGCCGTTTCCATGCACGATGCTTATTGGATCTGTCATGATATTCCGCTTTGGCTTCCGTGGCTGGTGCTAGTCCGAGGAGGACTTCCGGATCATCACGCACCTTCAAAAGGAACTCATTCTGGCAGCGATCGACTCTGTCGATGCCAACTCCAAGACCGGCGGCTACATCGTGTACTCTACCTGCTCGGTAACGGTGGAGGAGAACGAGGCGGTCGTCGACTATGCTCTGCGCAAGCGCCCCGGAGTCAAGCTGGTGGACACGGGCCTGGAATTCGGCAAGGAGGGCTTCACAAGGTTCGTCCCAGCTGCTACTGATGTTGGCCATGCAGTAAATGCGATGGCCCAGCGGGTCCATGAAGCACTGCCTTCCTTTTTGGGGCCCCGAATCGTGTTCCAAAGGCAGTTTGCTATCCATAATGTGCTGGCAAAGTGTGCTCATGGCATCTTCAGCGCAAGAACGGATCCTAAACATAGTCGCTAACGATGCAACTTGTGGATTTCCACCACCGATGCACTCCCGTGGCATGCGGCTCCGTCATTCATCTACCCGCTCCCAACTCCTTCACCTTCCCTCCGCCCTGTGACCGCGGTGGCCTCGTTTTACTCGGCGATGGCTGCAGCTTCCGTGGCAAGTCCTTCCTCCCCACCCTCAACCTGACTCGCCGGTACTACCCCCACACCCATAACATGGACGGCTTCTACGTCGCCAAGTTCAAAAAGGTGTCGAACCACATTCCGAAACCCAAGGACAAACAGAGCACCGCTGATGGAGACGAGGACCAGGGCGAGAACAGCGACAGCGATGATGCCGAGGACGACGACGTTGACGGCGATGATGTCGATGGCGACGATGACGAGCAGGACGACAACGAGGAGGAGGCCCAAAGCGACAAGACAAAGGCGACCAAAACTGCCAAGACAACCAAGGCCACTAAGGCTGCTGCTGAATCCATCACCTTTGACGATGCGGAGGATGCAGCCTTTATGAAGAGTAAGCAGATGCTTTGTGCTTGGTTCTCGTGTTGCATCCGTGAGCCTGGTCAGCTTCGGATATCGGCTGGTGGTGTCGAGCGATGCATCTGGTTACGCCAGCACTCACACGACCGCACACCCACCATGCTCACTATGACAGGCGCCGAAGAGAAGCGGCTAAAGAAGAAGGGCATCAACGTCAAGGCCCTCAACAAGAAGCCGATCAAGCCCTTCCTCAGCGGCGCAGAAAAGTCTGATGCCGATGCTGGATCCAGCGTGTCTGCGTCACTCAAGGCCATCGGCAAGACCCCAGCGGACGGCAAAAAGACAGCCGGCATCAAAAGAAAGAAGTAACGAGCGCGCGGCTGCTTGACACGGGGGCACTTTACGACTCGCCCCGACTTCACTTTTGCTGCATGAGCAATAAAAAACTGCACGATAGAGCATTTGTGGATGCCCACAACGGAGAGCACCCTTGCAGCTGATGCGCTCGTATTTGCAGTATAAAGCTGTCGTGCACAGCGACGAGATGGCCCGAGGAAATGGGTGTGAATGGGCTCTCGGGGAAGGGATGGGGATCGCATTTTTTTTTTTCCACTCTGGAAGCACTATTCGCGGCAATTACAAAAAAAGAAAAAAGATAATCTATACGGCGTTTCGCAGCAAGGAGGAAGAGATAGAGGGCAGCGATGCGACCGCATGGGCAAGGGGATATCGCCGTCCTGCTCACTGGCGGAGGCATTGTTCGCAGGTCACGGACTGGTTTACATGATGATCGAGGGCTCGGGGATGCTTGTGCTGACGCTCTTGTGAGGGAGGATGCAGCCTCCGTTGATGAAGATCTGTGCAAGGATGGGGAGTGGGGAGAGCGTGAGTGGACGGTCTTGGAAGTGACATTCAGCGCCCATCGACGTGCCCAATGCTCATTTGTCTCGGCGCAAGATATCTCACCTCGTCGGCAATGTGGACGTCGTCACCGAGAACGGACACGCCCTCCAGACGGCTCCAGCGTCCAACGGTCGAGTGCCAGCCAACAATGGTGGACTGCAGCCACGAGTGGTCCTTGACCTGAGCGCCATCAAGAACGACAGTTCGGGACATGCGCACGCCATCGCCAATGACAGCATTGGGGCCGATGACGACGTTAGGGCCGATGCGGCAGTTCTGGCCGATCTTTGCTGAGGGATCAACGAGGACGTGACCGATGAACGAAGGCCCTGTCGAGAGGGACTGGGGCGACTTCTTGGAGACAGAGGTCAGGTAGAGACCAGTGCCGACAAGGTAGTCCTTGGGCTGGCCAACATCCATCCAGAAGCCGGGGAGCTCCATCGAGTGCAGCTTCTTCTCCTTGGCAACGACGGGGAAAATCTCCTTCTCGATGGAGGTGGGGCGGGGCTGGAGCCATCGGAGCAGTGTCAGATCAAGAGCGGAGGACAGCAAAGTTGGCCAAAGCGACCGTGCCGACAGGGTCCTCAAGCAGTAACCGTCATCCGTCGCGTGTGATGGCGTCGCTGGCTTCAGCCCGTAGACACTTGCTCACGCGGATATCGCCGCCTACCTCGATGCGGTCCAGGATGGCAGGGTTAAAGATGTAGATGCCGGCATTGATCTTGTTGGAGACAAACTCCTGCGGCTTCTCGACAAAACGTTCGATGGCCGACGAATTGGGGTGGTTGACGACGACACCGTACTTTGAGGGCTCCTCGACCTTGGTGACAAGAATGGTTCCCTCGCCACCATGCTGCTTGTGGAAGGCCGCGAGATCGGTGAAGGGGAAGTCGCAGATGACGTCCGAGTTCAAGACAAAAAAGGGCTCGTCGTTCTTGGCGAGAACCTCACGGGCCAGGGCGAGAGGGCCAGCTGCAAGATACAGCCGGATGAGTCAGCGACGGCGCGCGATACGATGGTCGGCACGGGGGAGAGGTCGCATCGATCCGAGCACATCCACATTTACTGAGTCGACAGTGCGTGGGTCCACGGATGATCGGATCTGTGTCGACGAGCGGGCACTGAAGCTGCGATCGGGCCAGGCGGCCGAGACCGGGCTGCCCCGCAAGCTGCCCAAACTGCCGGATGTGTCGCGGACTCACCCGTTCCCAGAGGCTCATCTTCGACAGAGAAGGTGATCTTGATGTTGTAGATCTCCTCGTATTTCTTCATGAAGTTGACCATGATCTCGGGACGATAGTTGACCGCCAGAACAATGTCGGTGACGCCGGCCTGCGATGCGATCGCGGTTCATGTCGTCAGCGTCAGTTGAGCCCGATCGCCCCCCAAGGCCGATAGGAGTGTATATGGGGTGGGAATGCGACGCCTACCTTGACGAGAGCCTCGATCTGGTGGAGGACAATCGGACGGTTGGCAAACTCAACCAGGGGCTTGGGCAGGGTCAAGGTCAAGGGCCGCAGACGGGTTCCAAAGCCTGTGGACAGCGCAGAGCGGAGCGAGAGGTGATCAGCCTTGTATCCGGATACGATGGCTGCGAGCTCAGCGGCGGGTTGGATATGCAGAGTGCACGACCGCATGGGCAGGACGATGCCATGCGAACAGAAGCAGAGCCATAGTGGCGTGCCCGCGAATCAAGCCCATCGCCGGGTGGCTGTGTGGGTCGCGAAATGGACCAGCGAGTCGAGTCGAGTACCTCCAACGAGAATGAGAGCCTTCATGTTTGATGAGAGAGGAGTACGGGTAGAGGCGAGAGGAGGGGTGGGTCGGGCGGATGTGTGCAGACGACAGACGCCGGAGGAGAACGGGAATCTCGGGGCTTGGGCAGAGATTTCGGCTGCTGGCCTGGCTGGCTTCCCAAGAGAACCCGAGATGGCAAGATGTGCGTGGGGGGCGAGGCGGGCGGAGGCGGACGCCGAATCGGGACGGCTTAGGTAAGCGTATCGCTGCCGCGCCACAGCACTGGGCGCAGCAGGCGGTGTCGGCAGTGTTGGTGTGAACGGGTTTGGTGCATCGAAAAACAGTCCATCGGGACAGTCGATCCAGAAACAATGGGACAGTCAATCCAGAAACAACGGGACAGTATCCCTGTCCTCTGGCGTCAGAGGTCTGAGGCCTGCTGAACTTTCGTAGGCCCCGGTAAGCAAGCTGCGCGATTGTTTCCAGTTCTGGTTGATTGCGGGAGCATGTCCCGTTTCAAGATAGGTACGCTGTAATGTGATGAACCAATCTATTGCATTTGCGTGGCGCTCGCTGCTGCTCTGCCGGATTGACAGAGCGAGTCCGATATGCGACCAGTGAGCACACGGGTGGTGAAAGTCAGCGAGCCAGAGCATGGCATGACATAGCACAGCAAGGCACGGCATGACATGACAGCACAGCGGGCTAGAGCATTTTGGTCGGGCCGCCTTTGAATTCCTCGATCGGAGTTGTAAAGGCCGTATGGCGGCCAAAGCGTTTGATGGCGCACAGATGCTCATCGCCAACGGGAATGCCCAGGTTGGTGAGTTGCTTGGATGTGGTGCTGCAGATCACAGTGCCGTGGCCTCGCACCGCATGGTCGGACCAGAAGGTGACCGGCATGTCGTGTTTTTGCAGCTCCTCCTGCAGTAGTGGGCCGGGTCAGGCGAGCGATTCATGGCGACTGTCGACATAGCCCGTGGATCAGCACGACTCATTCGGGTCGATGTGGGACTCACCTGTGATGGGCGGACAGATCCTGGAGGGTCCATGAGGTGTCAAGCGCATTAGTAGACTGCATGTAAATCCACTGCTGGATGTCGCGCATGCATGGGGCTCGCATACCGAGATCGCGCACGGGCTCGTAGTAGTCCATGTGGGAGTAGTCCGAGTGGTTGGTAGAAAGCCAGTCTTTGGCCGAACGATCGATTGGTGGCTCCTTCATCTCGTCCCTGGGGTAGGCAGAGAAGGGGCGGAGTAAGACCACTGGCGGATCGGCCTATTGCTCGTGGTGCCCACACACTCTCTGTGCTTTTGCATCTGCATGCCCAGACAGGGTGGATGTGTGAAACCATATCCATACAGCGCCTGCTTCATCAACTCGGCTTCGAGCATCTGTCGCCGTTTGCCAACCGAGTGCTTGCTGGCATCACGATGCGAGGCTGTGAAGGTATCGGTGTAGGACGTTGCCTTTGGAAAGGCTGTCGAGCCGTGCGTGAGAATGCCCTGCAAAGAAGCGATGGCAATGCAAGCACATGAGCCAGCAGCACTGGGTGAAGAAGCAGGCCAAGAGCCTGTCGGCCGGTTGCAGCGCGGACGACGACTGGCGGGTGGAGACCCGGGAGGTGCGGGGGATGCAGGGACACCGTGGCGGCCAAGAGGCATACCGAGTGGCCCATCTTGCTGACGCGTGCCATGTTCTCGCGCTCCTCGACGATCTTTTCGCCGACAGCACGTTCCTCGACCCCTTTTGACGGCAGAGGACCAGACGGCGGGTTAGCGGCCACCGAGGCTTGGCCCTTTGCGGCCAGCACGCGACAAGAGCCAGCCCGGATACTCTGGCACGACGACACCGACAGTTCTCCATTAGAGTCTGGCCGACTCCGTTAGCGCGATTCCAAACCATAGCGGGGCAGATGTGCGAGTCAGGCGGGAGGGAGGGTCAGGGGTTGTTGGTCAAAGAGAACAGCAGGGATGCCGGCGGTATCCGTGTGGGGTGGTGTTGTGGATGGACAGAGGACGACCGGGAGGATTGCTTTGGCAGCGACGAAGCTCTGGGGGGGGGGATGGTGCCGCAGACATTGCAGCGACGGGTTGGCCGACGTCACTGCGGGCAGCATCCGATTCCAATCAGCGAGAGCCGTGGTCGTCGGCGACTGCTCATCACCCCGTGTTGCTCTGGCAGGTCATGGCCGCTCACATCCGCCACCATCCAGCCACCCACGGCCTCGCCATCGACAGCACGCCGCCGATCTGCTTCACGGCCAACCAGCCAAGCCGGTGCCAGGCTGGTGCCAGGCCGCATTGCCTCACAGCGCCGCTCCCGTTGCACCACATCAGAGCACAGCACATCACTGCACAGCACTCCATGAGCTTGCACTGTGCGCCATGCAACTCGCGCTGCGGTCTCACCAGATCACGCCATGGCCTCATGCACACTGCTGCCGCCTCGCGCGACTGCCTGGGAACAAGCACAGGAACACACTGTTGCTGTCTTGGCGGCTGCGCTCGCGTCCCCCCGCCACAGCGACAGCGTCGCCAACAAACAGCCACGTGGGACCCGCTGCCGCACACAAACACCGTCGGCCCGCCCGGTGCCCCCGCGAGTCGCGCACCCCGTGCGCGCATGGGACCGCGCCCATGCAAACACAGGCGGCATGGATCTGCGGCCTGCAAGGGCGCCGCTTGTCCAATCGCGCGTCGCCGCCCTGGGTTTTTCTTCCATGTGCCGGGCCCGCCGCGCTCTCGCAGTGTTCTCGCTGCGTCCTCGCTGTGGCTTTTGGCTGCTCTCGCTCCACTCTCGCTCCCGCTGCTCTCGCTCCACCCGCTCGCTCCCATTGACAATCCTGGCTTGCTCTCCTCCTCGCTCTTCTGCTCTGTTTCCTCATCTCCATTGCCATATTTATTCGCCTCATCCAGGCATCGCTGCCTCTGTCGCCACCTGCCCAAGGTCCATCCCGCTGCTTTCTCGATCGTATCCCGTCTCTGCGATCATCTGCCTCCCATCGCCAGCCCTGCAATCCTCCGCAGTCTCAGCCTCAGCCTCAAACTCTCGCAATCAGCCTTCCGTCTGCACTCCCCCAATGTCGTATCAGTCCCCGAATCTGCCGTTCTCGGTGCTGCAGCCCTCACCCCAGCCGTCTACAATCCGCTCGAATCTCGATCAGGTGTGTTTGCCGTGCGGCTGTCATGCACTTGCTGTCCTCTCGGATCTTGGTGGCCGACTTGGGCCCCCGCAATCCGCACCACAGCCATCTGCGTACACCACTCTGGGCTGGTCTCCATGGCACTCCTGTCTTGGTATACCCTCCATCGCCCCGGTTGCTCTGATCGAACAGAGCTGCTGCTCTGTGATCGTTTTGGCAGCTCCTTCGCTGTCGCCCTGCCCTCTTGTGTGCCGGTTGTACGGTCTCAGGTGGCAGCATGCGCCTCCCCCCGCTCGGACTCGAGTTGCCTCGCTGCTTTTCTCTCGCTGTCGGTCGGCTATCTCCGCAGCCCTGAAGTACCCCTCGCTGATTTGATCTCTTCCATTCCCTCTCGCGCCGCTTGCGGATCCAGCACGAGGTCGCCATCGGCCATTGGGATATGTCGCCGGCTGTCGACCACGGCCGTCCCTCGATGTGCTCTCCAACCCCGAACATGACTCCTGGCACTCCTCCCGTCATGTTCTCGGACGAACCTGAGAATCTGCGGCTCTCAGAACATCAGCAGCAGCAACAGAAGCCTGGCTGGGTTGGCACTCTGCTGCGCAAAAAGTCCATCGCCAACATCGACTCTGCCCTCCGCTCAAAGTTCACTGCGGTCAAGCAGCACTTTCACCGGTCAAAGTCCATGGATGCTTCAGCTGCTGGCGGCTTGCACGAGCATCATCTGTCTGATGCCGATGTCCCTCCTGTCCCCAAGCTCCCTTCCCACGCTAGTCCTCGTCCTCCTTCGGAAAAGTCGGTGCGCCGGTCGCCCAGTGCAAAATCGCTCAAGACTCAGCCCTCGCCCGCCATGTCCCTCGGCTCGATCGGCCATGACCATCCCGTCCACTCGCCAAGCATGCCTGCTGCCGCCGGCCTCGGAAGAACTGCCTCTGCCCCGCCGCCCGAGCTGGGTCTGCGGAGGTCCTTCTCGATGAAGCGCACCCAGACCATTGGTGCGCCGCACGAGGCCGCCAATGTCGTAACAAAAATCTTCCGGAGAAAGTCGCTTGCGCCCTCTGACCCCTTGCCCGGCATGCCCTCTCCCGACGGACCCGAGTACCAAGCCTACCTCGAGATGCTGGAGCAGAAGCGGAGGCAGGAAGAGGCCTTTGACTCTGTCCTCAAGAACCAGGACACGATCCGCGTGACCCTGACTCCCCCCATGCTCCTGCCCTCGACCGGATGCGAGATGTGAGCTGTAAGCCGCCGTTCCTGAACCTCAACCCTCGAGCCTCGGCCCCCGACTCTCCACTGTACGCCTGCCACAAGGTTGACGGGCGGACTGGCTGCGGCTTCCGTTTTGGTGGCCGCCCTCGCACTTGGCCACCGATCTTCGTTCACGCCAGATCCCATGGTCTCTCGTGTTTGCTGATCCTGGCCGACCAAAAGCAATTCACTGCGCCTCTTACTGTTTTCGCTCGATTTGACCCGCCTGCCTCTTGCGCCTGTCGTTGTACCTCACGACCCAAACCCAACCCAACCCAAACCCGGCTGTTAGGACATGCTCCATCGTGTGCTTTTGTATGCTTCATTATTCGTTCCTCTGTTCTTTCCTTCTTTGTGCTATTTCCTTTTTTTGTTCGGTATCGGTGTGCCTCCTGCTCGAACACTGACCAACGGGCGGTGTTTCCATGCGAGGTTGTTTTACGTTTGCTGTTCTTCGGACCTCCTGAGGCCCGACAGCATGATAGATTCATATAGACATTTTGCCTTCTGCTGCTTCGGATGCTTTGACATCCAGTCCCACACAGCCTGTTCCCAGTGACACGGTACACTCTGGATTTTGACGTCGCTCTGGTCACGGCCATTCTGGTTGTTGAATACACATGCCCATGGCCATCCACCAAACTCTTGCCAGCTGTCACAACAGCACCCCATGCGCTGAATCACCTTTGTCGGCACTGGATTCGCCTGCCCGCTTTGCGAGAGCCATTGTCCTGAGCCAATCTCCCAGCAGTGGATCTGTGCAAACTCTCGATGTCGGTGGTTCCCATTGATGCCTGTTTGCATTGATGCCTGTTTGCATTGATGCCTGTTTGCATTGATGCCTGTTTGCATTGATGCATGTTTGCATTCATCTCACGATACGTCATCCGCCGACTCCGTCACAGTTGTGTGAGCGCTGATGGACACCGTTCAGCCAAGCGATCGATCGACGTCATTCCACATATAGTGTGTCTCGTTTCGGTTTGGGTGGGCTGCAATTGATGTGCATATCGCCCTTGCCCTACAAACCCCGGCTCTCGACCCGAACATGCATCTTGGCTAGCATAGCTGCTTGTCGATCTCTCGGCATCACCGGTCCTCGCCCACCCCGCCCCGATTTCAACTCCGTTCCCATGGAGCAAGCGGTGCCAACTTCCCCGACTCGACTGAAGAATCTCGACCTGCCTCCGCTTCCAAATCAGCCTGCGGCACCAGCCAGCAGCCCGGACGATGAAAGCAAGAGCCACACGATCAAGTGAGTTTGGTGAATTGACGGATAAGAGTCGGGTGTCGGGTGTCGGGTATTGTCGCCGTAGAGGTGACCAAGAGCATTTCGGAGTGGATTTACTGGCGACAGGATATGATCTCCACCTCTCCCGACTGGGCGGATATTGTGATTACTTGACGCCGAGCGTGGGAGCCTGCCGGAAATGCGATATCTGCCCGCCGCAATGGACTGATTCACCTTCTCGATCTGCAAACTTCACTCACTTGCATCCAGCCAGGTGACTGAGCTACAAGAATCACTCCTCGGTAAGCACGACGACCAGGCGATGGCGGCAAGAATGGCCAAACCAACGACATCACAGCAACTTCTTGCCCACGCCAGCATATCTGGATAGTCACCGAGGCTTTGGCTGATCGGCACCCTCCTCGCCTTGCAGCGTACATTCAGCGGGTCGACACAACAAAATCCGAGTATATCAAGATCTCAAAGGAAAACGAGCTGCTGCTGGATTACATCAACAACCTGATGGAAGCCTCCGGCACCGCCGTCCAGACAGGCACACCCGAGCCCGCAAAGAAAAAGTACCTGGACCACTAGCATCGATGGCTTCGGCACGATCCCTTTGTTAGCCGCCCAGACGATCCATCTTTGGCAGCCACAGGCCGCTGGAAGTGAATGCATCTGCAAGAGACATGTCTGAGCCGATGTTCTTGATGATGCTGGCGATACTGCCCTTTGAATCACCAATACAGCTTTCGGACGCAGAGCCATCCCTCTCTCCGCGATCGACATCGTCTGTTCTGGCATCGGTGGCTCCATCTGTCCTCTCTGGTCTGGGCATTCTGCGACTGTTGCAGGTCCACCCCCCCAGCTCCTCGCGCGCCGTGCCCCGATGGCCCTGCTCGTCTCCTTGCAAGATCCAATCGTGCCGTTCGCCTCCATCGCATCCTCCTTCTCCTCCCGCCCGCCGCGTATCTCAACCGGCCCCGCATCGCTCCTGCCAAGGCCGTCCTTTCCTCCTCTTGCCGCTGCGATCGACGCCCCTCTTCACGGATGGAGTCTCTTGGGATCTGTGAACTCGCCCGCATCCGTATTCTGCTGGTGCCTGTCGGCCGCCTGAAGCGAGACACATTCTTCCAATATGTCGATCTGGTCTCAAAGTTTGCCGTCGTCTCGGTGTCCGACCTGTCGCCTCCGGCCCATCCTCCGAACCACACCAGTCGGTATCGGCTGTAGCTGCAGCTGCCGTTGCGCTCGGGGAGCCTGCACCGGCTCTTGAATCTTGCTCGCTCACGAGCAGCTGGCGCCGCCCCTGGCTCACGGACGATATCCATTCGACCTTGCCATCGTCTGTTGCTCTGCTGTGGAAACTCGGGACTGACCATTCGCGATTTATTCTCCTCTTTGAATCCCGGAACGCCATGTCGACTCGGTCGGGATCCTGCTTGCTTCCCGATGCCGCTGTCCTCCCTCCTCTTGCAGACCGATTCTTTGACAACATCGACCCTCGTGCCCAGATCTACTTCAACTTTGTGACTTCCTACGAGAAGGACCATGCCGCACTGGAAGATTTCCAACTTCATCGCCAAATCATGGGGGTAGGAGCCGTTCCATATCCGCCCTGTCCACACTTTTCTTCTCCTCGCCGTTATCTGTTGTTTCTTCAGAGGGACTTGGATTCCACGAGCCGGAGCGAGCCAGTGCCATGACTGCTCCTGTCCGCTCGCTGTCTGGTCCTGCTCCTGGTCCTGCCCCCGGTCCTGCTCTCGCTCAGGGCATGTGCACCATCAGGATAGAGCCATCGGTGCCATGCTAATTGCTCGCCGTGTTGCCTGCATCGCTTCGTTTGATAGGTCATCGGAATCATGCACTGCCAGGAAACTGTCGACATCAAACAGAGCTACCAGGCCTTCCAGCGCATGCTCGCTCGGGTACGATTGCCTCGCGACTCGACCGCCCTTGAATGGCGAGAATGTGCTGCTGCATCGTCGTCTTCGGCGGACTGTTGTGAGGGGCTACTCCGAGCCATCCGTCTTGATTCTCTATCGGCAGAAACGTGGGAGAACGAGAAAAGGCTACATCGGCTCACGACTGGTTATCGTCCAACCGACTCCCATCCCTTACGGCTCCCTCCCCTCCCTTTCGCACAACTGGCTCCCATTCCAACCGACACCCCCTCTCCGACATTCAGTATCCAACTCACCTTGTCAGCAGATGCTTTGCCTTCGAACCGGCCGAGAATCAGGACGACGACACTCGCGGCCTCATCATGATTCCCAACGTCGGACAACTCTCGTTCTACTTGACAACCATGATCAATGATTTCTCCAGCGAGCTGCTTGTTTCCCTGGGCGGCCTGGCCGACCGTCTCGAGAAGCGCAGCCTCATTCCTGGCCCAGCATTCTCGCCGGCACAGGCTACAATTCCACTTCCCCAACCCACCGGCGGCGGCGGCAGCAGCGGCGGCGGCGGCGGCATTAGTGGTGGCAGCGGTGGCAGCACACTCTTGGCCCCGCAAACTCCAACGCTGCAGCCAGCAGGCTCGCCAGCGGTCTCTATCAGCGATTCGGAAACAGGTGGCTCTGGTTTCTCGAACCTGGGCGGTCTGTTTCAGTCCATGGACCGGGGTCGGAAGAAGACCAATGGCCGCGTTGCCAAGCTGATGTCGGACTTGTTTCTGCTTGCAGGCCGGCATGAGCTAGCGATGCAAAGGTAATGCCGACCCGAGCGTGAGCCAGGATAGTGCCAGTGGGCTTCGGCTACCCATCCGCTCGACAGCTTGCAGCCGGTGGTTCGGTCGGACGGGTTTGCATCCAGTCCGAAGTGGCATACTGGCTTTCAGTGAGCTAACTGACTGATGCTTTCGCAACCACCATTCCGCGCTGACGCCATCCCACTGTGCTGTTGTCGACATCATGACAACACTCTGCTCTGTCGAACAAACTTCATCAGCTACACCTCCGCCATCGACATTGCCAAGAACACGGCTGACTACACATGGCAGGCCGCAGCCATCGAGGGATACTTATGTGCCACCCTGGTGATGTTCATGCGAAAGATCGTCTCTGAGGTATGCCTATGCCCTTGTGTGCCTGTCTGTCGTGACGGAGCGGCGGCCCTCGCTAATCCATTCTCGCACATTTGCCATCATCGTCTCCAGGAGGGCTCCAACCGATCCTCTGCTGCCGGTAGCCCCCTGGCCACCCCGCACCTCGGCCCCAACGGCACCCTTCGCCCTCCCCTCACACTCAAGGCTGCTATGACAACCGACTCATTGTTCGAGACAGCAGCCAACCACCAACATGTCCGCCAGTTGCTGGCAGAGATCCCGGACCGCTACCGCGAGATTGTCAATCTGTACGAGAAGGCCTCTCAGCCAGGTGCCCCCGGGTACTACCCGCTGCTCCAGATCTCCGCCTGTCTCAAGGTCGCGTATTTCCTCACGGCCATGTGCCGGAACCAGTTTCAAGGGACTGTTCCAAACGGCGCGGGTGTCTCCCTGACGTACGAAGGCAAGGGCGTGGCTGAAGCTGGAGGCAGCCGTGTGGGTCTGCAAAATGCCATGATGATGCCCGGGGCAGCGAATCCCTCGGATCGGATCGTCCTCAACGGCGGTGTCGGTGCCTCTCGGGTCGATGTTTCGACTTGGCTCATGCGCGCCTGGGACCTTGGTCTTGAGTATCTGACCGTCGCCGACCAGATCCACTCGGTCGCTACGATGGCAGCCGTCTACTCGCTCCTCGGCTACAAGCGCAAACATGCATTTTTCCTCCGCCAAACGGCGCTCCTAATCTCGAGCACCTTCAAGTCTGACAGCCAGACGTCGCTCGCGGCTGCACGCAAGATCGTGGAGCCCTACAGCTCGTCCAACATCTTGCTCGTCGATAATCTGGAGGCGGCCGAGGCCAGCAGCTTCAACCTCAGCGCCAGCAGCAACAACCTTACGACAGGACGGCCCGACACTGCTGCTGCCGCTGCCAACGTTCCGGCACAGAGCAACAGCGCCATCGAATGCATGAAGAAGGTCTGCCATGTGTTTGGCGTCGGTGCAAAAACCATCGAGTCGCTCCGGTCGCGACACGCCAAAGAGCCCGGCGCTTGTCCCGACGAGGATGAGGACGACTGGTTTGACGAATACGATCAGGACGTCGACGTCGAGAGCACGTTGGGCAACACCGCCATTGAGTTCAAGAAGAAAATATCAGTGCCCCGACTTCGGTTCGGATGGCCGCACTTGCAGATTGACGTGCTGAAGGAATGCATCAGCATCTCGGAGACTGTCGATGGTGAGCTCACCAGACCTTCATGGCGAGGGCCTGAGGTGATTGATATGCCATCTTGCCTCTTGGAAAGCGATGGTGACTCCCGCATCGATCAACCGTTCTGACATCGACACAACTGAGCTGGCAAGCCAAACTTCAGCCTCGGTCACGACTGACTACTCAGCATAGGGATCGTTGTCGCTGGTATCGTGCTGCTGCCACCCCAAGCAGAATCGTGGCCAGGCTGTTTCTCACCATGTCACTACTTTCCGCTCGGCATCTCGCAGACTGCTCCAGCACCATCCTCTACACCACGCGACTTCTCAGACGGCTGCACTCGTATCTGAGCATGGACGAGCAGAAGAAGCTCTCGGCTACGCTACAGTCGGTCGTGCTGAGGACGCGGGCACGCAGTATTTCCAAGGGCACCATGGTTCCATCGGCAGTCGCGCCGTCGGTAGCTCCGGTCTTGGTCAAGGGTATCATGGGCAGCGTCACTGGGGTGCCAGTCCTGCGAAAGCTCTCGGCTGTGTTGTAAGTGTCAGCCATACAACCGAGGACGATGTTTGGCCTGTGCAGCAGAGCGGGTGTCGGGGCAGGGTCCTGCGCTGTCACCACATCGCTCTGAGATATCTTCTGACCGTTGCCGGTGGATGTGAATGGACGCTGCCATCTTTACCCTTCCATACAGACAAACGCCACGACGGATTCCCTACCCACATAAACCCAAGAAAGACGCTCAACAGGACCGAGCCAACCCGTTCATATACAACCCTGGAGCCGAGAAGGATAACGCAAAGAAGAAGAGCGCTGTTGTGGTGAGCCGTCTGGTGCTGACGGGCGGTGGTGTCGTGTTTACTCAGCCAGCATTGTCCCAGAGACAGGTGGAATCAGTGACATTTCAGCATGGTTCTGACTGCCCGCTCACCCTCCCTCATCGTTGACATTTGCTCACAACTAGGTTGTGCTCGTCGCCGGCGAAGCGGCATACTTTGACGTCGTGCTGGCGAACCCGTTTTCTTTTGAATTGGACATTCAGAGTATCACGCTCAAGTACGCTGCACGTGCTCCTCGTCGTTCTCTCGCTATCTCGGCAGCATTGTGCCGAACATCCCAGGCATTGTGCCGATCATCCCAGACATTGCGCTGAAAGGCGCATTGGTCATATCGGTCACGTACAGCACATTGCTCGTATCGATTCCGACACACGGCTACGCTGCTGACGCACTATTTCCTTCATCATGATTCATGGCGGCTACAGGACCTCGGGCGTGAACTTTGTGCCAAACTCGGTTGCGACGACCCTCCAGCCCATGTCCAGGCTCCACACAATTCGTCTCTCAGGCGTGCCCACGACCAACGGCATGCTGCATGTGCACGGATGCACTGTCAGAATGCTCGGCGGATGCGTTGAGGAAGACATCACGCCCGTGTCCAAGGTCCTCAACGATCTCTCCAAGAGAAACAAGGACGGCACTCGCCGGAAGCAAGACGATCGCGAGCGCCTGGGCTCCAAAGCCGGTGCGCTGATTGTAACCAGACAGAAATCAGTCGAAACGATGTAAGCCACAGTTGCGCCAAGACTTGGTCCTTGCGAGAACCAGAGGAGAGCCAGGGGGGGGGAAACATCAAGCTCGCCGAGCCCAAGACCTCTCCCATGCCTCCGTGCTGATGCCTGCTCCTTGCCCTCTTCTCGATTCAGGAACAGCAGTAAATGGCCCATTCCATTCAAAGTGATTCCGGAGCAGCCCATGTTGCAGGTGGACGAAGCTAGCCTGCGCGGACTTGAGGCTCTCCTGCTGTTTGAAGGCGAAAGGTGCGTGGACCCTGTCGACATCGTCTCTTGCTGCCGTCGTCTGCCTTCCTCATGCCCAAGTGACGGCAGTCGCTTGATATCCAGCTGCCGGTGGTCATCACTACCTTCTCCAGGCGCTGTTTCTTTGCTACTGGCTCCATCACGGGCATCCCATTCTGGGTCATGCCTCGCGCAAGACGATGGCTGACCGGTCTCCATGCCACAATCAAACCCAGGTCAACCTTTTCCATCCAGGTGCAGAACATCGGATCGACCCCCATCAACAACTTAGTCGTGTCGTTCTCGGAAACATACGAGCCCCTTTCGAACGAACCTGCGGCCGAGTACGCCGAAGATATCTATGAGCGCGATGTTCACGACCGCAGCATCTGCGTCTTCTGGATTGCCGATACGGAAGAAACGCTGCGGAAGAGTATGGTTGTCCACCAAAATAGATCCAAGGTTCGCGACTCGCTTAGCAAGGCAATCGACCTCTTCCTAAATCCGGGCGAATCAAAGACGATTAGGATCGGGATGTACGGCAAAGCTGGATGGTGAGTCTGAGTGCAATCTTTGATGGAGTTGTTGCGCATTTGCGACTGGGAGAGGGCCGCCGTTGGTATCTGCGACTGGCACCCTCCATTTCCATCACAGAGCTGCCATTCGTCTGACATGTCCCCTTTCCAATCCCATCTTCGCTGGCAGCACCGGTGGAAGCATCAGCCTGCAGTACGGATACATCGCCGAACACGAGTCGTCATTGACGCATGACGCCGAGAACGATGGCTACACGCGCCGTCTTGTCCTCCCTATCCTTCTGACGGTCGAAAAGGCGCTGCAGCCCATCAACGTTGACTTTATTCCGTCGTCCAGCATCGACTACTTCACGTCCATCAGCCAGCCCCAGAGCAAGCCCGGGGATCTGACGCGGCTATCCTCGATCGACGACATGATGGTGGTGCTCCGGTCTATCGAAAATACGCTTCCTTCGAGCAACATCAGCACAATGAACGACTACTTTTTGCTCACCATGGATGTCAGGAACTCCATGAACAGGTCCTTTGACCTAACCTTTGAGATCTTTGATGGTGTGTGCTCGGCCCTAATCCTTCCTCCATAGCCCACAGCGCAGCGGCAATGTGCACCACTGATCGATGAGCCTGAGCGTGTTGGATCTGCGCCGTTATTATGCTGTGCGCGTGAATGCACGCTGCTGGCATTGCCCCTCGCAACCGACTCTAACCTGAATGCGGTATCCAGATGCCCAGTCCGACATCAGCGTCGATTCGTGCTCAGCCACCATCCATGCCGGAGTTACGAAGCGGTGAGCAGAGTGCCTGACAGCAAGATTATGGCCGCTCGGGTCTTGTGCCGAACATCCGTGGCGTGCTCTTGGCTTGCTCCTACATCTACGCTGAGCCTCATTATTCTCTCCTTGGTCCGCATACGTGTTGCGTATCTCTGGTCTTACAGAATCGTCATCCCTATTCGGCGCTTCACCTTGCCCGAGAGCGATGTTGCACAAGCGATTCCAGCACCCCAATGGAAGCAATTTGTCCTTGGCAAGATCGTGAAGGTCTCCGACAGAGAAAATGCAGATCGAAAGGCCATTTTCTGGTACAAGGAGGCCCTCGTCGGCGGGCTCGCCAAGCGGGGCATTGTGGTTGCAAGATGGACCTGCGTGAGTGCCAAATCCGAGCGCTGTCGGGGACACCAAACGGGACACAAGATGCTTCCCTTTCAATGGGCGACTCGTGGGAATGCAGGCACCATGGTCGAGAAGCTCTGTGCCTGTGCGCATTAACGGGAGTGTGTTCGGTATTGACATAGAGCGCCAGCTAGAGGCATCTGTTAGGTCGATGCATGCTCTGATGCTTAGGCCCCGATTTGGTATTCCAGTCCAAGAACAGGAGCGGACTCTTTTCGCTCCGGTCCCTCAAAATCACCCCGACCATGTTTGAAGTGATCAAGCAGCAACGACTCTCCTTCTCGATCAAGATAACGTCGCTCACCAGTGACGGCAGGGTACTTGAGATGGCCCCGGGCATGGACACGGCTCACTTTGAGGTGCAGCTCAACGAAGTGCTGGAATTTGAGTGGTCGATCCAGAACTGCAGCGGTAAGTCGTGATGCGATAGGTGTGCAAGTGTGCAAGTGTGCAAGTGTGCAAGTGTGCAAGTGTGCAAGTGTGCAAGTGTGCAAGTGGGCAAGTGGGCATAGTGATTACCAAGTGCTAGAATGGGGCAGCTTCCTTGAGGTCATGTCAATGACTCGCTTTGGAATCAGAGAGCCAAGGAGATTCACAAACCCGAGCCTTTGCTCGATCTAGCGCTCGTGCTGATCATATCAGATCAACGATCGCGACGCTTGCGACTCTGGATGTAGCCACTCACTGAACCACATTGTCATCACCGAACGCTTCTCGGAGTAGATACGGATATGGACATGCTCTTCCGCTTCCAGCCGGTGCAGGACTCGCTTGGAGCTGGCACCGAGGACGACATTTCGGGCAAGGTGCTCATCCACGGCACGAACCAGCTCTCGCTGGGCAGTCTCAAGGCCAGGGAGCGTCAGCATATCCGGGTGCCGATGATCTTTATCGCCACTGGCGGATACAGAATCATCTACCACTGTGAGGAGCTGCAGGGCGATAACAACCGATTCTGGGGCCCGCTGATCAACGTGAGGGTGCGGGAGTAGCCCAAGTGGCAGGCGAGTGTGTGACATGATTTGGCGCCCACGATATGCCGTGCGGCGCTCTGCGGTCTCAAATACAGAGTGATTTGGGGCGAAAGGTCGCTTGATCACTGCTCAAACCGGCGCGTCTCATCTCTGCATCGCCCGCTGTTGGCTTGACCCTTGCCCGCCCCATTCACTTGTTTGGCAACCATGAGCGACCATCTGTTTTGGGTTGATCTGGAGGTCTCTTGCCGATCTACTATGGGCTCAGCCGCTTCAACGGCATCAGCCGAACGCAGACGATCGAATGGACTCCACCGAGTCGCTGTTGCCGGCTAGATCAAGCAGCTTCCGATCTCGCAAAGCACTGACGCTGACCTGTTTCCGACCAGATGACCGGCCTCGATCTCGAGAAGGACCACATTATCGAAGTTGCGTGCATCATCACCGATGCTCAGCTGAACATCGTTGCCCAGGGCCCGCATCTGGTGATTCACCAGCCCAAGCAAGTCATGGATGCAATGAACGAATGGTGGGTATTGCGGTCCTCACACCTTCGTGGGCCTCACAGCGACGGAATGGCAGCGAGTGGACAGGCTGTTGACAGACCAATAGATCTGGGTATGCCTGTGTTGTGGGTGATCCATGGCATGACTGTGTTGTGGGTGATCCATGGCATGACTGTGCTGTGGGTGATCCATGGCATGACTGCTGAGGACAACTCCAAATATGTGTCAATATCCGCCGATCCCGGCTGCAACTCCACCCATCGGGCCGTCGACGCTGTTCCAGGTGCATCCAGCACCATGGAGCCTCGGGCCTTACCCAGGCCGTGCTCGAGTCCACGACGACAATTGAAGAAGCCCAGAGCGAGGTCCTCGCCTTTGTCAAGTCGCACTGCTCAAAACCCCGGGTGCTGCCGCTCGCTGGCAACTCGGTCCATGCCGACAAACAGTTCATCCAAAAGGAGATGCCTCAGCTGGCCGAGCACCTGCACTACCGCATCGTAGATGTCTCGACCGTCAAGGAGCTCTGTCGCCGCTGGTACCCGGAGGCCTTTGCTGCTGCCCCTCCCAAGCGTGCGGGTCATCGGTAAGGATCGTCTGCCGGATGAGATCCATAGCGCCCGAAACAGCGGCGGACTCTGGACGGCTCGAGGGGCCAGAGCACCACTTGGTGGGCGACATCTGACGCCGTGCATCAAATCTCCACATGAATCTTTGTAGCGCCCTCGACGATATCATCGAGAGCATCGAGGAGCTCAAGTACTATCGCCGGGCTATTTTTACGGCGCTTCCAAAATGAAATGGGACACTCCTGTTTTTGAGCCATGACAGTGTGTTTTTCTGGAACCTGAATACACCCACCCACTCATCGCATTCATGGCCAAGCACAGCACCATATTGATATCGAGAAACCACACTTTGTCCGGAGAGTCGAGTGAATGCACCACACTCACGCATCGAGACATCAATGCCTCACGGAACATGATCTCGGTATGCCAGTCGATCATCACCACAGGAGATCGGCCGAGTGTATTCAAGACTGTGCTTCCCAAACCAACAAAGAGATCGCCAACGAAGACAGGAGTGTAATGCCATGGCCTTCCCGCTGGGGCCTACAGTCAATCAGCGGGGTTCAGATATCTGAAGCCAGGAAGGAACTGTCCCGTTTTTTTTTCTGGATAGACTGTAAAGGCGGCACTCTGCTTTGAGTCAGGACTATCGCCGGTCAATCCTCCAGCCGTATGCGTAGACGACGCCTTGCGAACAGAGAGAGCACTCCAGCCATGGGATGGGCAGCGTCGGCCTCATCCTGGCTCCTGGCAACAGCGGCGGAAGTTGGTCCCTGAACCGCCCGTGACCGCGTCTGCTGGATCAGGGGTGCGCAGCAGCAACACGTGTCCAAATGCCATCTCGCGAGAGCGGGCGAGAGCCGACGAGAGCGGGCGAGGGCCGACGAGAGCGGGCGAGGGCCGCCTCCACATCACTGCCCTTGTCGGTGCTTCCAAATATGGCCAGCCAGCCCAAATCGAGCCCGCCCGCCAGCACTTCACATTCCCCCCAAACGACCTGCTCCCCTTGACCTTTGCCCCCCCGATCACACTGCATCTCCTCGCAGATCCTATCCGGCATGACCAAGTCTGAAGCAGCCGACACGGCAAAGGCGGAGCAGTCCGGCGGGACCTCCGTCCAGAAGAAGGACGACGGCACCACCAGCACCACCGGCGCCGCTGGCAACCAGAGCCAACAGGCACCAAAGGAGGAGAATGGCCTGATGGGTCTGATCGGAATGGTCGGTCGCATGGCGCTCATCTACTTTGCCGTGCAGTATTTCACCGGTGGATTCAACAAGAAGGCGCCCGCCACCAACCAGCCCGTCGTCGGCCTCGATGGAGAGAACGTCGCGCAGGCCACCCCGGCTGCACCTCCGCAGGGTTCCAATCAAGTCGTCAACTGGCATCCTGGCTGGCCTGAAACGGCCAAAACGGTAGAGATCCCGACGTTCCAATGCTGCGACGAATCTCATGGCGGTGTCCACAGTCATATCCGTCGCTATGGCTGTTGAAGAGTTGACTATTGGCTGACTGCTTCTTCGTCTCCTGGTTGGCCAGAACCTGTGGGTCTACATCTCCGAGGACGAGTACTTTGCCGACTTTACCGACGAGTCGAAGCTGGTTTGGACCGAAACCAACATCAAGTTTTACAAAGACTACACCGACCAGCGCATCAAGAACATTGTCGTTCCCTTCTCAGAGGTAGATCTCCGATCCCGTTGCTCAGGGAAACGCGGGACGGCTGTGGATACGTTGTTGGATGGGAGTGTGTGGCCTTGCGATTCGACTCAATTCGAGCGGTGCTGATGCCCTTGGTTGCCTCCCGACAGAATGTCCAAAACAACGGATCGCTGTATGCACACATCTACCTCACTCTCGACGATGCCTCTCCCAACCCCCGGGCCAAGAGTTTCCACCCCGACAAAGGCATTTACCGCCGGAAATGTAGGCACCACCGCTCCACTGCGCTGCCAAGGCCTTTGTATACATACCGATGGCGCATCGATCTGGCTTGGCCGCCGTGTTCTGGGCTTCTGACGGACATGAGGCTCGGGCGATCCATTCAGCGTCGTCGGGCAAGCCCGAAACCCAGGCGCTGTTGATATGGGATTCGAGGACATTCATTTGTCCACAACCACGTCGTCTCCATCCCACCTCAGAATCTTGACCATGCACACCCTCCCTCTCCGCTGCAGTGCTCACCCGATACATGAAGAAGAAGAAGGTTGTTGCAAAGAAGAACCTCTTTGAGAAGGATCAGCTGACCAACGAAGAAGAGCTGGCCAAGGCTGTCGAGGAGGCCAAGAACACGCCGATTGTCTCGTACTGGTGGAGCAACCTGACGATCCATGGTCTCGGTGACTACTCCACGATTGCATCCAACCTTCCTCCAACCTTCCTCAAAGGTACATATCCCGACGGATCCGCTCCCGTACCATATTGGTTCCGCACCAGTCTCCGATTGGTTCCGCACCAATCTTCCATCGGGCACACGTTGGTTTCGTGTTGGCTTGATACTAATCTACATCCGCGCGGTGCCCGGATCGTGCGCCTTTCCGTCTCCAGAGGTCCAAATCCACTCCAGCGGCCAGCACTACATGCCTGTCGTGTGGATCAACGACTTTTGGATGCTTCAGGACCAGCTCATCCCGATCAACGACACCGTCAAGTGAGTCCAGTGCACGAGCACCAATTCGTGCGCTGCCTCTGGTCGAATCTAGTCCAACTGCATCGAGTGGGCACGAATACGACTCTGTTAGCACTGTAGCTTCGTCCGCGCTTGCCTGTGGCTTACATGCTCCTCTGTCGGGCGTCAGGTCAGCAAACTTGACTCTCCGCTACTCGGCGATTTCCCTGTGGCAGATGCAGATGTATCTGCAGTTCGAGGAATCGTTCCGCGTCCAGACGCAAACCTTTGGCCAGAGCCAGAGCGAGACTGACGAGCTCAAGGTGAGAACGGTCGCCGCTAACCCTTGCATGAGCGTAATTCAGCCTGCCCCCAGCGCTGCAGTCCAAGCAGGAGCGGCAAGCTCATGCATATACCGTCTTTCTGGCTTTAGCGCATGTTCACGGACACGAACCCCATCCTCCTCGGAGTCACCTTTGTCGTCTCCCTGCTCCACAGTCTCTTTGACTTTTTGGCGTTCAAGAACGGTAAGTCCGTCCTGACAGGGAGTCGCACTCGTTGTGTTCGTTCGTTGAGGGAACAGTGGCAGGGGCGATGTGCCGCAGTGACGAGCTGACTTGTCTCCGCTTTCGATCTGCAGATATCGATTTCTGGCGCAACCGCAAGGACATGGAGGGCCTGTCGTTCCGCACCATCGTTCTGAATGTGGTGCAGCAGTTCATCATTTTCCTGTACCTGCTCGACAATGAAACCTCATGGATGATCCTTCTCTCCTCCGGCGCGGGGCTGCTGATTGAAACGTGGAAGATCCACAAGACCGTCATCGTGAAGGTGTGTTGCCCTCTGTCCTTGCATATGCAGCACTGAAGCTGCCACGACCAAACCAGAGCACAGATGAGGACTGGAGATTGCTGCATGGGCTGTCCATCGAGAGACAGAGCGTGCCCGACCGGGTCCGCTTCTGTTTCATCCCTTGTTTTAACTATTGTGCCACTCCTGGCCACGCTCGGCACCCAGTCCAAGCCCGAGTTCCCGTACATCGAGTTCATCGATCGCGTCAAGCCTTCGCGCCTCACCTCCAAGACCAAGAAATACGATGCGGTAAGTCGACGCTCGTTGCGATGGTGCAGCGCACCCTCTCGATCGACAAAGCCAATGTTTAGACGCCGTCGTCATCTATTGCCGGGACCAAATCTTGATTCGCCGGGCCCTCACCCCGCAATCGCCGGAACCTGATCTTCAATCATTCTTGTCTCCAGATTGCTTTCAAGTACCTCTCCTATGCGCTCGTGCCGCTCCTGATCGGATACACGATCTATTCCATGATGTACGAGTCCCACAAGAGCTGGTACTCGTTCATCATTGGAACTCTTGTCGGCTTTGTCTACATGTTTGGTGAGTGCCAACCTGCTTGGGCGCCAGTGCGAATGCTCCACAGCAGCCGTACTCGTTACCGATGTGGAAAGTCTTGCGGCATCCGTGATTTGCAACGCCATGGCTCTGGCTTTGGAGCTGTGCTTTTGGATGGACCAAACCAAGCCCGACTGTTCCAAGTCCCTTTCAGGCGTCAGTACGCTAATCAATCCTTGGCTCTTTGTTCATGGCACCAAGGTTTCATTACCATGACCCCCCAGCTCTTCATCAACTATAAGCTCAAGTCTGTTGCCCACATGCCCTGGAAGACTTTCATGTACAAAGGTAGACGCCTGGCTCCGAGACGCTTTTGAATCTGTTTCTTTGCTAAAGAGCCGCCTTTCCGGCTCAAACCCTCGCTAACATATTCTCCGTATCCGGCGCAACCTGCGTTCGTTCCTCGCCCTTCTTCCAGCCCTCAACACCTTCATTGGTATGAACGGGACGATGCATCGAGCTGTACTTGGAGCTGGTTCTGTGCAAGAGAAGAGACGGCGCGACCTTGTGCCCTCGCTGCACCAGTCTGCTCAACCAACAGTCCTCGAAACACGTCGAACGCATCATGTCCGTCCATGCTGACGCCAATTCCTGCTTGCCTCGCCAGATGATCTCTTTGCGTTCGTCATCAAGATGCCGTGGCTCCACCGTCTTGCCTGTCTGCGTGATGATGTTGTCTTCTTGATCTACCTCTACCAGCGATGGGTTTACCCCGAAGACAAGCGCCGGCGCAACGAGTTTGTGAGTGCTGGTGCTCTTGGTTGTGTTCTGGCTGCATTTGAAGCGGCTCTCGGGCTTTCATCATTCGATCATAGTCGTGCTGTGGCTGTGCGGGAGATATTCCTGCGTTGACCCGAGCCTTTGGGATCCGTCCTCTCTACCTCTCTGCAGGGCCAAGTTGGCGACGCTGATGGCGGAAACGACAGTGACTTTTTGGACTCTGACAACGAAGGAGAAGACGCCTCTTCGAAGGACAAGGTCAAGGCCAAGGCCAAGGACAGCTCCGAGTCCAAGGAATCCAAGGAGCCCAAGGAATCCAAGGAGCCGAAGAAGACCAAGTAAACATCCGCGTGGGCTCCATCACAAGATATTATGACCATCGACGTGATTGTTGAAAGGCGCGGCCTTTGTGGTGTATGCTCGATCCCTGTTGACCCAGACGGAATACAACTTGTTCTGAGCATGATATCGCTTCCGGCATGCCGATGCATCTCGTCCGATGAGGATTCCAAGCGAGCATTTGGACGCTGGCACGACTGACACGACTCCACGAACGCAGTCTACCACAAACATCCCCGTACGCATGCGGAATCGATATACAGGCGATCCAGTAAAAAACGGGACACCCTTGATTTTGACCATCGCGCGCTGGCCATGACCATTCACCGCTGGCACTCCGAGACCAGTATGCAGGTCGATTGTGGAGACCGGAGAGCGACCAGTGGTGTTCGCTCGGAGGCTGCCAAAGTGATCTGTTTGTATTTCCTATGGCATAGATGGACGCATGCTATCACAGACTACGCCGATATATGGGTGGTGTTCCATTCCCCCCTGAGTAAAGTGTACGAGCAGCCAAAAAAAAGAAAATTCCTCGACAGCGCTGTCAAACCTGCAGTGCCGATGAGGGACCGAGTCTGCCTCGCTTTCCAGCAGAGGCGCTGGGCAGAACGGTGGTCGGACAAAGCCAGTCTCTGCGAGCCGAGGGCAGCACAAATGTGCATATATGAACAAGGCAGCAGCAGCGGCGGCGACAGCAACAGCAATAGCCCCATTTGTTGCCAGCCATCAGCCGTCAGTCATCCGACCGCAGAACGGAGGAAGAAGAAGAAGAAAAAGGGAGGAGAGTGGAGCAGATGCGTTCAGTTTGAGCCCAGATTACTTGTCGAGACACAACGAGCAAGGTGCGTGGACGTGATGCGGCATACTTTTGCGACCGACGTGGGCAACCAAGCAGGAGGGGCGGCGCACAGGCCACATTGGATCCAGGTTGTTGTGTGCATCCTGGCGACCGAGGCAAAGACCGAGGCTGAAAGGTGGAGGTACGGGAGGAGACGAAGCCGGAGTTGAGGCGATGATACGTTCATGTGCACGCACAAAGCACAGCAGCGACGCAGAACACAGGCCGGGAAGGGGGCTGGCAGATACGAAAGCGCCGGAATCGGATATGCGGATGCGGGTTTCTCTGTTTCCAGAGAGAGAGAGAGCAGATGGGTACTCAGCCTTTTGATGGAGCTGGTTCTCGAGGACTGTGCATGATCAGATACGAGGGCAGAGCCGACGGGGGAGTGAGGACCCGGCAAGGCGAGGTGGCGCGAGGCCGGCGAGGGAGATGTGCAGAATTAGGAGCACGCGACGATAACAGGCAGTGATCTCCATGCGTCTTTAACGACGCCCCAGTGCGATCAAGCGATGCGGCTGGAGCCATGGCGCGGCATGGCATGGCATGTGGGATGAAGCGGTAAAAGGTGCAAATGAAATGCGAAGGCTGACGAATGGCGGGCCGCGGGCTGGTGGGCTCACAGCGGGGGATCATGAATGCAGGCGGGAAGAATGAGAGGGGCCGAGTGGCGAAAGAGAGTGGGTTAAGCGGTGGACAAAGCGAGGAGAAGCTCAAGGCTCACAGAGCGGTGACGGGATACGGGATACGAGATACGGGATACGGGATACCACGAGCCAGGGGCTTAGGCATTGGCGTCGAAGATGTGCTTTCCGCGCTGCTGGAAGTGCGTCATGGGCTTGCCGGATCCAATGACGCCAACCTTGGCATAGGGATCGTCCGAGGTCGCAAACATGGAGCCCTTCTTTCGCATGACGGAGGTCACCTGCACAGGCTTCTTCTTCTTGCTGGCAGAGTCGCCACCCTTGGTGGCAAAGCTGAGCCAGTTGTTCTGCTTCTCGCTCTGCTCGGCCGACTTTTTCTCGATGAAATCCATCAGCTTGAGCTTCTTTTGCTTGCGCTTCTCCTTCTCGCGGGCCTCGCGCTCGAGCTCGCGCTTGCGTTCGTCGGAGGACGGATCGGACGGAGGAGACGGAACGATGTTGACTCGGGCAGCAGGGGCGGCCGAGGCGTCACGGATATCCGTCAGCTTTACCGACTCGCGGGTGTTGTATCCGCTGAACACGACCGCCACCTCCTCACCGTTCGGGGGAACATCGACGATGGTGGCCTCGTAGAACTTGCCGTCGCCGCTCCACTTGGCTTGGACTTGCTGGCCCTTGGCAAGAGACTTTTTGGAAGCCGAGGAGGGCTTTGGGTTGTCCCGGGAGGAAGCCGCAGCGGGTGTCTGGGCAGCAGCGCGCGGCGGAGAGGCAGACTGGGTCAGCGAAGTATACAGAGTGATCAGCTCGCCGAGATCAGACTTGAGCTTCAGGAGCTCGGCGTTTTCGGGGTCTTTCTCCAGGGCCTCGTCGACCTGGGAGAGCTGGTACTTGTAGGACTGGAGTTCTTCGAAATCACTCATGGCGGACAGATGACGGAGGACGGGTGGGCGGAAGCGGTGCTGGTGGTGCAGACAGTGCGGATGGATCGCCGACAAAATGCCAGGAGGATGGATGGCGGGTGAGATGAGGGCGGAAAGGCGCAGAAGGGCGCAGAAGCAAAAACGAAGGAAGAGAGAGAGAGAGAGAGAGAGAGAGAGAGAGAGAGAGAGAGAGAGAGATGGGTTGTTCTCGCTCTGTGGCAGCAGCAGCAGTGTCCGGAAACGCAGTCAGCCACACATTGGCAGGCACAGTCCCACAGAAATGTCCAGCCCGCCGAATGAGATCAGGACCAAGTCAGCAGATGAATGAATGAATGAATGAGCATGGATGTATTCAGAAACCAGATAGAAGGCAGCAAAATATTTGATCGTTGATGAAAAAAAAAATAGGGCATCCCATTTTTTTTTTCTTTTTTCTTTTTTTTGTTCTGCATTGACTGTAATGAAGAAGCTGCAATATGCCAAAGGAGAACAAACCAGAGAGCAATAATCTAATGAAGTGATCCAACGACGACAAAAACGAAACAAACAAAAAAGAGTGTGCGGATAGTGCGGCGGCGGCAAACAGACGGCGAGGACCGACATCACAGGACAGACGGCCAGTGATCGACGGCGGTATTTACATACAGAAGGATTAGAAACGCAGAGTACATTCGCTCGAGCAGAGAATAAGCATACAAGAACACACATGCAGCGCGGAGCGCATGCTTGGGGCCAGGCGAGCACCGACAGCCGAATTAGATCTATATGGTGGTTTTCATCGTGGCGACAGGAACAAAACTTGATGTCAAGGGCGGCTGCTTGGAGTAGTGATGCGGAAGATGATATTGCTGGATATTTTGACGATATTGATGGTGATGGTGATGCTGATGGCGGTTGTGGGATGGGTGAAGTGGGTGCTGTGTGTGCTGTGCGTGGTGCTGGGGCTGGAGTCGAGACGAAAGTTGAGGCTGAGGCTGAGATTGGAGCTGGAGCTGAGACTGGAGCTGCGACTGGAGCTGCGACTGAGATTGCAGCTGGGGCTGGGGCTGGGGCTGACAGAGGTGGTACATGCTCCAAGAGGGAGGGCCAATGGCAGCAAAGTTGTTGCCGGTCGGCACCTGATCGAACTGCTGGGGGAGCTTGGCACACGCAGCAGACGGGCTCGGCGATGGATGGAAGGGTCGCAGCGTTGAGACAGAAGACTTGGCTGTGTAGTGGAAGGAGGTATAGGCCATAGGGATCGGCGACGGAGGCGGCGTAACAGGGTCGTAGGCATTACTGAGCGAGATGGGCTTATATACATAGGGGCCGAAGGAAGGCGGCTGCACGGAGGCGGCGGCATTGGCGGTCATCAGATCGCGGCGAGGAACAGGGCGGAAGGGCAGCGACTCGACAGGGAAGGCGCACTGGGCCGCGCGGGAGTTGGGCTGGAGGGCCAGGGGCGGGTAGTTGAAGGCCATCTCGGCACGGTACCGGAACATCTCTTGGATGTCCTCTTTGGTGATTGGATCGACATCGATCGGTTTGCGATCTGCAGCCATGAACGGAGCGCGGAGCCACAGGCGTGTCAGCAAGCAGACAGCATCTCGGAGATGATCTCGGCAGACAGACCCACACCGTTCCCACCAGATCGATGCGAGCAGGAATAGTGCCCAGATCGATGTGGGCAGGAAACACCGGGGGCGCCGCACACAAGGCCGTGGACGGCATCAACGAGCAAGACAACCAGCAAGTCAACCAGCAAGACAACCAGCAAGTCAGCCTGCGAGCTTACCATAGTCCAGCTTCGAAAACGTGACGCCAACAGCGACTGTGCTGACAAAAGAGACTCGCTTGGGAGCAAAGGCTTGCTCTGGGGTCAGGGGCGATACAGGCAGCTGGCTCTCGCAGAGCCGGTCGTGCGGGGCGGCTCCACACACAGTGTCCTCGGAGCACCGGGAGGTCTCGGACTCGGAGTCGCAGGACAGACGGGGACAGGAGGCAGGCAGAAACGGAACGGCCTTGGGGTTGAGCGAGGAAGCGAGCTTCATGGCGACAAAGGGGAAGGAGGGCTATTTCAAAGCGATCGACAGGGAGCAAAAAGCGATGGCTGGACCGAGCTGGGGGTCGCGGGGCTGAGGTATTATGGTATTACTTAGAGGCCAAGGCGGGGGGAGGGAGCAGAAGATGAAGCAGAAGCAGAAGCAGGTCGAGACGGCAGCAGAGGACGCTGGAGGATGGAGCGGATCTGGGGGAGGTGATGGTGATGGTGATGGTGATGGTGCAGGACAGAGACCTGCGCAGGTCTGGGGGGAAGTTGGCGACGAGAGAGGGGCGGCCGGACGAGGCATTTCAAAGCCCTGGGGCGACGCGGGGGTGGGGCGAGGCGCTCTCGCCGTGCTCTCGCCGTGCTCTCGCCTCTCGCCCCTCGCCGCGCACAGGCCGCTCGTGCGCAGCAGTTGTCGCACAGACGCCCCTCCGCGCCTCTCTCGCCCGTGGTCTCGGCGGGGCGAGGGCGAGGGCGAGGGGGAAGGCGAAAGGCAAGGCGCATGGCAAGGCGAAAGGCAAGGCGAAAGGCAAGGCGCATGGGTGCTTCAAGGCTCTGGTGTCGTCTCCGATCTGGCTCGCCTCGACCTGATCTCTGCACCATGTCCCCCCAAGCGGCCGACCCCAAGCGACGACCCGCCAACGACAGCGACGACGACCGCGATCCGCAGCAGAAGCGGCTGAAATGTACGCACACGCTCTCTGCGATCCAGAAGGGCCTCTGCTGCTCCTGCTGGGCTGGCTCCTCTGTCGCTGTTGCTCATGCCACGCGGGCTCAGTCGGCTAACTGTGTTGCTCTCGATTCCTGCGCGGATCTGCAATCGCGCCTCAATTCACACACCCTGGTTGGGCCGGATCCCTCCAACTGCGGCACTATGCAACCCAAATCCATCATTCCAACCAACGATCCAACTCCAATCCGTCGATGTTTGCTGTCGGTGATCGTGACAACAACACTGCCCATATTTCACAGCCCGCCGCGGTGATTCCGCCAACTCTGATCTCGGATCGGCTGATCTTCACGATGGCGCGAACCGACAGGACGATGACGATGACAATGACAATGACGATGTCGGGCCGATGCCGGTCTCATCCTCAGAGCCAAAGAAGAGGCACAAAGGTTCGCTCCGCTCGAGACACAATGCATCCCTATGTGGCAAGCCGCTCGGATATACAACTGCCTCTTCTACTGGCACTCACCCTGCATCGCTCTTGTGTCGTCGTGCCGCCAGTCCTGGAGCACGAGCAGCTCTTCCTCGAGAATCTGCCCTGCAAGGACATGTACGAAAAGAGTCTAATGCATCGCGACATTGTCAATTTTGTTGAGGTCTCGTCTCAGTAAGTACATGCCTCCCTTGTGCAGTGCCGTTGGATCACGCCTTGGCCTCAGCCCTGTCAGACTGGCGTGCGAGTCATCTTTGACGACGGATCTGACGCTTCCCTTTCCTCCTCTGAAACCTTCACTCAGAACCGACTTTATCATCACCACCTCAATCGACGGACACGTCAAGTTCTGGAAGAAGACCGAAAAGGGTATCGAGTTTGTCAAGCACTATCGTGCCCACCTCAGCGCCATTGTCGCTGTTGCCCTGAGCCACGATGGTCTGCTGTTTGCCACGGCTGGCGCCGACAAGGCTCTCAAGATCTTTGATGTTGTCAACTTTGGTAAGAATGGCTCGTCGGATGGCTCTCTTAGCAAATGGCCTCTTGGCAGATGACCTCTTGTCAAATGCCCTCTTGGCCCGCCCCACCCTGTTCTTTTCTGACGCTCTCAAACTTTATCCCGACTAGACATGATCAACTTGATCAAGTTGGACTATCTGCCCAACAGCCTCTCGTGGGCATGCCAAAAGGGCCAGATCCAGGCTCTGCTATTATGGTGAGCGAACCTACCAGTAGCCCTCAGCGCGCTTGGCTGCAGAACCTTTGTCGCCCAGCCAAAGAACCCGCAAAGGACTCGCCCATCTCGCTGTCCCGCAATACCGTCGATTGTCAGGAATCAGCAGTTCTGTCGCCCAAGGGCTGTTCCCCTCGTTCTCTGGCTTCAATCTGCTCTGATCACACGGTCAGCAGCGCTTCAGCAGCGCTTCGTGTCCAAGAATCAGCCTAGTTTCCATCACTAACGCACATGTCCACGCTGCCGAAACCCGCTAACCGCCTCTCGGGTCCTCTCGGGTCCTCTCGTCAATAGCTCGGACAAAGAATCGCCCGCCATCCATGTCTATGATGGACGCGGCGGCGATCAAACCATCTGTACCGTTTCCAAGATCCATCAGCAGCCTGTGCATATCATGCAGTATCATCCGGACGCCAATACCATCGTCAGCGTTGACGAGGGTGGCATGATTGAATACTGGGTCGTCAGCACGACCGAGCCACTCCCGCCCCCACCCGAAGCACCGTATGTCAGCTGGGAATACAAGGCCGAAACTGACCTGTACGAGTTCAAGAAGGTGAGCCCCTGACCAACGCAACGGCCTGCTGAACTCGCAATTTGCGCAGGCTCTCCCTGCGTGTATCGCTTTCCTCACCCGTCTCCTTGTCCGTTTGCTTTGTCCAGGCCAAGGTGGTGCCGAGCTCGCTGAGGTTCTCGCCGGATTTCTCCATGTTTGTGACCTTTGGGTTCGGTGACAGGGCCATCCGCATCTTCAATTTCAAGACGGGCAAGCTGATTCGGAAATATGATGAGAGCCTCAGCGTCATCACCGAGATGAAGCAGGCCGGCACTCTCGGTGACCAGCTGGATGATATGGAGTTTGGCAGACGCCTGGCCATCGAGCGCGAGTTTGGCCAGGGCAAATCCGGCCAGGTGTCGACGGCCAACGTCATCTTTGACGAGTCGGGCAACTTTATTCTGTATCCGACGCTGCTGGGCATCAAAATCGTCAACATTGTCACCAACAAGGTCGTGCGGCTCATCAGCAAAATGGACAACCAGCGCTTCCTCAACATCGCGCTCTACCAAGGTGCTCCGAAGAAGAAAAACCTGATGACCTCGGTGGGTATCACTCAGCTCCGTGATTGTGTGTCTGGAGCGCTGGATTGCGCATGCTGCCGCCGCAGATATCCAGCTCGATAACGTGTCCCGGCAACGTATCTCGCCAAGCAGCACCTATGGCAGAGCTAGCAAAGTCCAAGAGGGTTGTGAACATGACGCACCCAACGACACTGCAGCGCCTTTGTCTGCTGGTCCGCCATTCCCTCACTAACAGCCTGGCACCCCCAACACATCTCCTTTGAACCCGCAGGCCATGGCTGCCTCCGACAACCAGCTCCTGAAAGACAGTCTGGCCAACGACCCCACGCTCTTTTGCACAGCCTACAAGCGGAACCGATTCTACTTGCTGACACGGCGTGAGCAGTACGTAGCTATGTATCCGCACTCCCGGCAACATGTGGTTTGGGGAGCAATGTGCCAACGTCGCGACACGGCCACTGCACCCGTTTGCCGCCAATGGATGTGAGGTTGCCATGGCATTGCTGCTGAGACTGCTCGTTCTCTCCTTTCTTGCATTGCGTCATGACTATATCACCCTGCTTAGCGAGGAGACCGGCTCGGCGACTGGCCGCGACATCTTCAACGAAAAGCCGTCTCGCGAGGAACAGACCGTCGCAGCCATGTCCAGCACCAATCTCAAGGCTGCCATTGGCTCTGCCGCCATCATCCACACTTCTTTTGGCGACATTCATCTGCAGCTCTTCCCGCAGTATGCTCCAAAGGCGGTCGAGAACTTCGTTGGACTGGCCAAGAAGGGATTCTACAGCAACCTTATCTTCCACCGTGTGATCAAGGGCTTCATGATCCAGACCGGCTGTCCCTTTGGCGACGGCACGGGCTCCGAGTCGCTGTGGGGACACGAGTTTGAAGATGAGTTTCATAAGGCCGCCAAGCACGACCGGCCCTATACCCTCAGTATGGCCAACAGCGGACCCGGAACCAACGGAAGCCAGTTCTTCATCACGACTGTCCCAACGGTAAGCAATCGTGCACTTGCTCTCGCACCTACAAGAGGGACGTTGGCGTTTGGCAAATGTGGCGACTCGGAATCCTGACGCTCAGTCCGCTTGGTTGCTCACGATCATAGCCGTGGCTCGACAACAAGCACACCGTGTTCGGGCGAGCTACTGGCGGCATGGATGTCGTCCAAAAGATCGAGGGTCTCAAGGTGGACAAGTTCGACAAGCCTTACGAAGACGTTCGTATTCTGTCGATCGAAGTCCGATAATGTGCCGAGGGCCGTTCGGGGAGGACCGTGGCACTGATGGTGGCCCAGAATACTTGCCGACTGTGGCAACACCTCCGAGCAGGTGCGCTATTGGGACAATACAACAGCCACCGATTCCCACTCTTCAGACCATCACGACAGTCCAGGGACATTGTGCGGATAGCGACTTTCCTGGACACCCAGGTCGAGCACATGTATTCAAGCTCTGGGAATCGGGTATAATGGTGACTCACATTGTCGACAGTCGCGGCGGCTGCAGTGCTCCTGGCTTCGGATCAAAATGGTCACACTGCACAATACTGAACAGAGCCATGCAGATGTTCCAGATTGGGGGGGGGTATATACGGTTGGGGGGATGCGTGGGAACGGTGTGTCTTGCTGGGCAAGGTACAGGGTGCAAAATGCAAAATGCAGCGAGGCCGCCGGGCTACTCCGAGGCGAGGACCGCCTTATGTCCCGACCAAACATTATTCAATTCGGGGCGGTGGTTTGGCCCAGCGGTGACTGGGGCCAGTCCGTATCCGGAGCGCTTGAGTATCTTGACATCGGTGATGGTTTGGTGGTCGAACTTGCGACCTGCCATTGGACCTATCACCATGGCAATGGTCATCAGAAATGCCGTTGCGAGCATCATCCAACTGAACGACATCATGAAGTGGTCGCAGCTCATAGAAGGGAGCGGTCGGGAGTGCAGAGCGTAGGGGTGCCTGGGATTGAGCGGCAGCAGAGCCCGATGGCAAAAACAGAACAGAGAGCTGGTCGGTGGGACGCTGGAGCGCCTGTTGATGACTGCAATGTCTGCGAATGCTGCGAATCAGGTGTATTGTTTGTTTTGCTGCGGCTGTTGTTGCGGCGAGCACGAGGGCAAAATGCCCAAAGCATGTATGATGTTGATGCAGCTCTTCTGCACCCGCTAGGCAGACATCTGCTCGGCATGAGCATGTCTCTTTGCAGTAACATGTCGAGACTGTTTCGTGGCCCGCCGCGATTGTCTCGACAGACAGCAGACAAGCATCATCCATGCCGCCGGGCAAGACTGGGACAACACCGAGGCGACTGAGACCGGCACCGGCCAGTGTCTGGTCTGCCCGTCGTCTCGCTTGTCGACCTGATCGCCGTCGCCGGCTGTCGATCTAATCGCCGTCGTCGCCCATCCAGCAATGGCTGCTCGGGCCATCTGTCGTTTTGTCCCTCGCCGCTCAGGGTGGGCCTTGGCCCTTTGTCCGCCTTCCGGTCGCTCGGAGCCCCAACGCCCTGGTCCCCCGAGCAACATCCCGCACCTCCCGCCCAGCCGTTCTCTGCGTCCTTCGTCCAGATCCTTCTCCAGCCACCTGCCCAAGATGAGCATCGACGCCGTCACCGCCAAGGTCAGCGAACTCTCTGTCCGTGCAGAACTCTACCCTTCGGTCGAGCCCTACTCGACGGGCTTCCTCAAGGTCTCGAGCCTTCACACCCTGTACTATGAAGAATCCGGCAACCCTGCGGGCAAGCCAGGTGCGTCGTCGCGGCCGAACCTCTCGCTTCCGAACCTGTCGCCTGAGCGAGAATCCGACACTCGCTCTCGTGGACTGACGACGTTCTTGTGTCTTGATACGTATACCAGTCGTCTATCTCCACGGCGGCCCTGGTGGCGGCACTTCGCCCAACGATCGGTGAGCAAGCAAGCAAGCACTCAAGCAAGCGCAAGTCGCTTTGCCATCTCAGCCATCACCCTCCCCCGGACCGATGCTTGTCCCGATCCTCTGTTGCGTGCTGCTGCATCGCCCGGCCTGATCTTGCTCGTGCTAATCCAACCGTGACTTGGGCACTTCCGTGCAACGGATCTCATTCCGTCCCGCTGGCAGACGCTACTTTGATCCTCAGGCCTATCGAATCATTGTCTTTGACCAGCGCGGTGCGGGCAAATCCACTCCGTACGTTGGTGTGCCCGGGGGTACTGGGATCGCTTGCATGTCGCTGTGCGGTGCCAGTATCCGGTCCAGTCCGATCGCTGTCCTTCCGTGCTGCCGGCTCGCAAGAACATCGAAACTCACGGCGGCTTTCTCCCACAGGAGCGCCTGTCTGGAAGATAACACCACCTGGCATCTCGTCGAGGACATCGAGACGCTGAGGTATGCCACTCGTCTGGCTCCATCTCCCCCCGCATCGCATGGATCAATGCACGGTGCACACGCCGATTCGTGCATTCCTCCGCGCTGACACTCGCCCCTTGACGGCTCCATCAACAGAAAGCACCTCAATGTCGACAAATGGGTTGTCTTTGGCGGCTCCTGGGGATCCACCCTTGCTCTGTCGTATGCCCAGACCCATCCCGAACGAGTCAAGGCCCTCATTCTTCGCGGCATCTTTACCTTGCGCAAGAGGTGAGATCGATCGCGTGGACAAGGCCGTCGAGGAGTTACTCGGATGATCGGCTGGACGCAGTGGCAACACTCATCTGTGCAGCTGGATCCACGAGGCTCTTGCTGTCATCTCGTTGATGTCGTTGCTTCCAGCTTCCTTCTGTTGCCAACGCAGTCTCGCAAGCGCTGCTCATATCCAGCGACACTGAATCGGCTTTGCTTGCTCTCCCTACCACCGCCATCAGTGAACTCGACTGGTTCTACCAAGAAGGCGCGAGCAATATCTTCCCTGATGTCTGGGACTCCTACCTCGAGGTCATCCCCGAAGCTGAGCGTGGTGATCTTATGTCAGTACCAGTCCATCCGCCCATCCGTTCCTTCACTCTGCGAACCGCCGAGGCAGCATTACTACATCGCCCTCCATGCTGACTGTGTCTCTCGGCTACTGCACAATCGACACTGGATGCAGGGCCGCTTACTACAAGCGTTTGACCGGCGACAATGAGGAAGAGAAGCTGCGCTGCGCCAAAGCTTGGAGCAAGTGGGAATGCTCCACCTCCAAGCTGATTGTTGGTACGTTGGCAGTGCCCTTTGATGCCGAGATCTTGCCGGCGACGATACACTGACGCCGGCATCAAACTTTCTTCCCGCAGATCCCGCCATGGTTGCCAAGGCCGAGGCCGACAAATGGGCCGTGGCTTTTGCTCGCATCGAGTGCCAGTGAGTACATACCTCGCCGTCAGACAGGTCGAGTGCGGTCGTATCTGGCGAGGCTGCTGGTGGCCATGGAGGACGGACGGACGGACCTGACATGTGGTATGGATAAAGCTTCTTTGTCAATAAGGGTTGGTTCCGATCCGACGGACAACTGATTGAAGACGTGCACAAGATCAAGCACATTCCATGTGGGTACCCTGCCTTGACTTGCCGGGCGTTGGGCTGTTGGGCTGTTGGGCATGGAATGTATTCAAACATTGGATTGGATTGGATTGGATTGCCGGACATGAGCGAGGCATGGTTATGAACAGGAGGCCGACATATCACTATTCCCCAGGCATTATTGTCCAGGGCCGCTACGACGTCGTCTGTCCCGCCCGCAGCGCCTGGGATCTGCACAAAAACTGGCCCCAGTCCGAGTTGCACATTGTAAGTGGAGACAAGCGACAGCTGGGAGGTTTTGGCCTCGGGGTATGTGGCTCCTAACGACCGTGGTGACTTTGAACCGGCTCACGAAACAGATTCCCGATGCCGGCCACTCCGCCACCGAGAAGAGCATCACTGCCAAGCTCGTCGAGGCGGCCGAGCAATTCAAGACCCTCTAAATATCCTCGATGAGCAGCGGCAGAAGCTCGCATGTGTCCATCCAGGAAGCGCCTGTGGCCGTGGGAGGGGACATGGCTTGAATATACCGCACATTGAGAACGATCCGCTGACTGCCATCTGTGCTGGATGTGCATGGGCCCGCATCCGATAGACAGCTCCCGGCCCTGGAGCACTCCCTCCGTCCATGACGCTTCCTTTCTATGTCCCATCCTCGTGGGATTGGCGCAGGAGCAAGCGCGAGGCGGGCTCTCGCCTGTGCTGTTCTGCCCGCACCCTCGTCCCGTCTTGGTGACTCTGTCTTCGACTCTCCCGAACGCACGGCCGTCCGCCATGAACTGCTCGCCCAAGATGCTGCCGTTCCTGGCAGCACTCCTCTGCTTGGCCATCCAGCTCGCCCTTGGCCTCCCGACAAACGCCTGGAAGGGCTTCCGCACGCTCTCCAAGGGCCTCCCGGTCGACATCCACGGAGTGCTCAACGCCGAAGACGCCGTCGTCAATAAGGGCACATATGCACCCACGATGCTGGCATCTTTTCCGCGCGAGATCTTCTGGCTGACGTACGAGACCGGGCTCTATGGTAATGCAGTGAACGGAAATGCGGTCAGGCCGCAGCGGCTCCTGATCTGCGCAAGGGCGCAGGGCAGCGGGCTTGCGAATCGATCGTCGAGCGTTTGGACACCGCCGCACACTGCATCGCCTGTATCGATCCTCCTAACAGCAGCTGCGACGGCGCCTATCCCTGCCCTTTGACTGCCAGCTCGAACTCTCGGAATCAGTACATCGAGCATCATCCAGAAGGTCATCTTGCGCGACGAGAGTGAGTGTCTGCTCCTTGCCCTGCCCTGCTCGTCGGCGAAGGCTGGTGGTTTGGAGCACCATTAGAGACGATACTGGCTCTCCTGTTCCGCCCAGCACAATACCCTGATACCAATGTGCATCGACAGACATGTCGATTCTCTCGGGCGTTAACCCCATCAAGGTCGATTTGTTCCGAGCCGACAACGGCCTGCCCCTGTGGACCACCAACCTCGACAAGACACTGCCCGCCCTGACCCAACAGACCTACAACACCAAGCAGCCCAACACCGATCTGATCTTTGTTGAGGACGAAGAACAACAGCGACTCAGTGTGGCCGCGCTCATTGATGGCTCACACGTCGCCTATGTTGAAAACGGCAAGGTGCTCTGGAGCTGGAACAATGATCTGGGGTAAGCGGAGCAGTCCTGGCTGGGCAATGTGCGGGACCCCAAGCATGGGCCAAACATGGGTCAAACATGGGTCAAACATGGGTCAAGCATTGGCCGAGGAGCCAGATTCTGACACCAGCTGGGGGCAATCGTCCGTCTCGCCATATCGCCACCAGCGCTCTGGTACTGCATCGTTTGACGACCTCGGGCAACAAGCTGGTCGCTGTCGGCACCACTGGCAGCGAGCTTGCCGTCCTGGGATTCCACCTCGTCGACGGCGACCGCTTCACGACCGGATTCCTCAAGCTGGGCTCCGCGGCCGTCCCGGGACAGATTATTGTCGTCGGAGAGAAGATGGAGCGCTACGTGGTTATCCTGACCGAGAACAACCGGGTTCAGATTCTGGATCTCAGAACCGAAACCCTTACCGATCTGGCGGTACGTGGAGAATATTCGAGGCCGAGAGGGAAGGGGAAGACTGCGGTGCCAAAGTAGTCTGATCCCTCCCCCACAGTTAGAGCACATGTCCCTCAGAGAGAAGCTGATCTGACCGCTTTCATCCATCATTCGTTGCGACGGCCAGACTAAGCAGTCAGACTTTAATCCAACGCGCCGCCTGATCAGCGGGCTGGTACAGCTTGGCACCGAGTCGACGCTGATGCAGGACTTTATCGTGCAATTTGTCGATCATTCGGAAGTCGTTGTCCGTCTCAGCTCCCAGGAGGGCTTCACAGTACTGACAACTCCTCAGGTGAGTACGGCAACGACGGTGCCGTTGTCCTCGATCTGTCCATGCACATGGGCTTTCTGGTTGTACTGACAACGAGCCTCGATGCCCTCGGACACTGTTCCTTCTCTTTTGGATTCAGACCAAGAGTGCCAGCGTGATCCTGACACAGGGGTATCTCGAGGACTTTTATGCCTATGCCAGAGTTGAGGAGATTTCGCCCACCGAGACTGCGCTCTCCTTCATTGATCTTGACACCGGTGCCCTTCTCGAGGCGCACCAGTTTGAGCACAATACCAAGGAACACGGCTCGATCATCAGCGTAAGTACTTTGATCGATGGCATGTCGCCATTGCTTTCTGCACTCTGGCGGCAGCAGTGACGCTGATAGGAAGCTGCCTGCCTGACCAACATCCGGATGACTTTCCAGGGATATATCGACATTCAAATCGACAGCAATGGGTTTGTGGTATGGCAGTTGGCGGCCGCCACTAGCAAGGGAACCCTGGTCTCGTGGAAGGGCACGAATGTCGAGGCAGTTGCGCAGGACGAGGTGAACCCCAGCTTCGCCGCCCTCCAAGATGGCCACGACGAGGCCGACAACATCGACGACGACGACGACGAAGAGGAGCCGTACTATGTCCACTACAGCATCAAGCAAAAGATGCCCAAGACCAAGGCACCCGAGCACAAGGAGCTCTGAGGTGATCGGCGCACGCTCAATGTTCTACCGCACTTCCGAGAGCGAGTTGGCTTGACCAGCCCGCATTTGATGGGCTAGCTATGACTGCCACTACTGAGTGGTGCGCGGCGATGATCTCACGCTGATCCACAGAGACGAGCCCCAAGAAATGCGCTGTGTTCACGAACGCCTGTTCTATATTATCACTGGTTGCGACAAAGAGAGCAGAGTTGGGCAACGCATGCACATGCACATGCTCAAAAGCGAAGCGGGAGGGGCAGTTGTTTTTTGGTGTGTGCAGCCGGGGCTGATTTCCCTTTGAATTGATTGCCCTGTTCCTGGAGACTCCTGAAGAGAGAGGGGAGGGAGCCTCAGGTGTCGAGACCCCTGTAGCTCATTCGCACGGCATCCCGCTCGGCCCTGGCCTTCTTTTTCTTCATGATGTTGTGGCGGGAAATCAAGCCGATGACACCCACGGCCAGCACAACGACACCCAGCAGCGAGCCAATGATGGCCCACGAGGTCGTCGAAAGTCCCTGGCCTGAGCTCTGAGACTCTAATACCAGGTTGTTGTTGCTGCTGGGGCTGCTGCCGCTCGTTGCAGCTGCGGAGGCGGGCGCGGCTTTGGGGCTTGCTGAAGCTGATATTGCTGGACTTGACGTTCCTCCAGCCTGGGATGGAGCTACGGCACTTGGTTGGACCACACTGCTGGTCGACACCACCACCAGCTGCTGGCTCGAGGACGAAGTTGTCGGTGGTGGAGGTGCAGGGGCTGGGGGCGAGGGAGAGGCACTCGAGGCGGGGGCAACAGGGGCCAGCGTTGCACTCGGAGACGCCGAGGGTATAACGCCCGAGGCTTGAGACATGTCCGCGAGTTAGTACCGCATAGGGATTTGCTAGCAAGCGCCACTACCAAGAATGTGAACGCCCGTCGGCTCTGCGGAGTGCCAGGCCGGTGCTTGCAGCGATCTCCGGGTGGGATCCCAAATCCCAAATCCCAAATCCCAAATCCCAAATCCCAAATCCCAAATCCCAAATCCCAAATCCCAAATCCCAAATCCCAAATCCCAAATCCCAAATCCCAAATCCCAAATCCCTTCAGCAGCGCCTTGCTCATGACATATCCACAAACCTTGAGGCATGCGCACAGTCCGGACCACCGCACTGTCCTGACCGGGCCCGGATGCACAGAGGCAGACGGCCACAAGAAGCACTCCTGCGAGGCCGCAGAGCGTAGCGGGTTGGCTGAGCAGATTTCTGGGCGAGCTTTGGGCTCCTCGGTTGCCTCTGCTCCGGTTCGCGGATCTGGTTACTCGGCGCATTGGTGGCGGCAGGGGGTTCGCAGCAATTCGGTAGTGCTTGAGTCGGGATGAAGCAGGAGCAGCGGCTTGCACAAGGTGGAACACCGTCAGGCCGCGGGAATCGAGCGCACTTGGAGAGACTCGGATAAGACAGCATCGGGCTGTCGCCACGGGCGAGCGATGGGATGTCGTCCGCTCCGATCGATCTGACCACGGAACATTCGGCGCGCGCTGCGTTTGCTGCCTCGGAGGCCGGGGCTGCCGTTGAATCTTGATTCCTCGGTCCTGCAAGAGCGCCTGCGTCGGGGTCAGCACAGAAGCCGCCCGCGCACGCTGCGACGTCGCCAGGGCGATCGGGCGTCAGGTATCAGCGACGAGGCATCCGTGCGAACGGTATCTCGTTCCCACGCAGCCAGCCAGCCTTGTGGAAGATACCGGCCTGGACAGACGCCGCCACCGTGGCTACGGTATAAATGGCCCATCCACCCCATCCATCCCATCCATCTCATCCATCCCATCCGTCTCGTCTCATCGAAACTCGCCCAGCCCTTGCTTCTGCCACACCACTTCTCCAGCCATGTTCAAACCCGCCGGGTCGTTCGAAAGCTCGTTCAACAACGCAACTGAGGACCAGTTCAATAAGGCCATCGCCTTTCAGCAACGCTATCCTCCTCCGTCCAACACCACGCCGCCGGCGGACCGCATCCAGGTCGTCCTTAGGCTCGGCTTGGATGCGTGGAGGTTCATCCCCGATCCATCTGCCAGCGGCATTGTCACGAGCACGGATTATTCGGTCACATTCACCCAAGTTGCGGACCAATGCTGCCTGAGCAACCATCCGCTCCTGCCCAGCAACGGCTTGGAATACAGCTATTTTGAGGTCTACGTTTCCGACGTGCAGTACAGCCCTCACACCACGGTCATCTCGGTCGGTGTCGCCACCAAGCCTTATCCTTCCTTCCGACTGATTGGATGGAACGCCTGGTCCGTTGGCTACCACAGGTATGGCCAAGCCCGATGGCGACAGTGACAGATCTTTCTCTGTCTGTATCCGCCATATGTGCATTCTTCCTCGTCAGACTTGCCTTCGCTAACATCGATCCGATTACAACCAGCGACGACGGACGGCTATTCAACAATGACGCTTTTGGCGGCCGTCTCTTTGCTTCGCCTTACACCAAGGGCCACACCGTCGGGTGCGGATACAACCCAAAGACTGGAGCAGGTACGCTAATCACCTCTGGCTCGGACGGCGCTGTGTCTGGTGGTGCTTTGAGTGCGGTCAGTGGCCTGGCCATAGCCATAGCCATAGCCATAGCCATAGCCATAGCCATAGCCAATATGTTTGCGGCGGCTCCGCATACCTCTCGCACACCTCTCATCCTCCTCGTTTCTCGTTCAGTGTTCTATACCCTCAACGGCACTTTGCTAGGCGAAGTGGTCAGAGGGCAGCCTCATCCCTATCACGCCGCCGTTGGTGCCGATGGCCCGTGCCGGCTTCAGATCAATGTCGGACAGCAACCATTCATGTATCTGCCCGCAAATGGCATTGCTACATCGATAGCACCACCCTCCTACTCGGCATGATGACGGCGTACATTGTACACTGCCTCCATTGAGCTCGAGGTAGTAGTGGCTGCGATGGGATCGGGACTGGCTCTCAACCGGCTCTGTTCCGTTCTGTTTCTGCAGTGGCTGTGTGTATCGCTTGCGACACTCATGTTTCCGCTTTGGTATCAAGTGCTTGGAGAGTCCATGTTCAACTGGCCATGGTCAATACACCGGTCTCATCAGGGAGACCTCAACTCGGGCACCATTGCCAGCGTGTGCACGAAGATGATGTTGCGCTGTTATCGCAGATCCACGCCATGCGGCCAGGTCGGCTGGTGTTCTTGCAGCTGGATGGCCAAGGAAATGATCATGCTGGACCATGGACATGTGCACATATGCACTCAAAGAAAGCAAGTATCAACTGTAAAAACAGGGCATTCCATTTCCATTTTGCGGACACTGTGGTCAAGAGTCCGAGACAGCATGATGCGCCGTCATCGGGTATTCTGACTATCTGCCGGGACAACGATCCCTCCAAAGCTCTTGTGGATAAACTAATAAGCACAAACAAAGAATGTGGGTACGTCTCAGAGTCGCGAGGGAAACGGAAGGAAGCTGGGGTCGAAGCCATGGCCGTTGGCAAAGGAACCATCAAGCTCTGTGGGCAAAGACTGGACAGCAAAAGTTGCATCGCCTAGATAACTAGACTCTGTGAAAGTAAATGGATAGTAGCCATCAAAGAGTGCAGGGTCGGCCAGCTGGTTCTGGGGGTCAACGTAGAGCAGGGGGGCGGCAGAGGGCGTGGAGGACGTGGAGGACACAAAAGAATCGGCTAGAATCGCCGAGGCCGCAGGATTGGGGACATTGGCCTGGGTCATGCCGGTGCAAGGCAGCAAAGAAAGAGTCGAGGAAGGCGGAGAACAGTAAAACGAAGGAGAGGTTTTGCAGCGCTTGGCAGGATGGTGTATGATCTCGTCATAAAATCCTTCGTAGGTCGAGAGGGGCGACACAAAGGTCGAAGCCGGGAGGAACGGACTAGCGGTCGAGCCAAGGATACTGCTCGAAGGAAGCTGAGCAACGGTAGTCAACGTGGGATTGGACATTTCTGCGGTTTGACGGAACATGGCAGGATCGGCGACGGAAAAACTGTTGAAGGAGTACTGGCTATTGATGGGCAGAGCAGAGTTGGCAAAGCCGGGCGCATTGATGGGCTGGACCGCCTGAACCAGGGGCGCATTCAAGCTCATGTTGGCGATGGGCATGCTCGCAAGGGCAGTCGGGAGATATCCGGACGAGGCCGAGTCGAACAGGCCACATCCAGACACGATGTTGTTGGGCGGGACATATGCAAGAGACTCTTCTTCGGGCGGGGTTTGGTTGGCATTGGCATTCTGCATCAGCTGGTGGATGCGCTCGTATTGATCCTTGTCCACCGTGTTGGCGTTGACGGAGGAGGGGGCAGACACCATGGGCTGGAATTGAGGCTGGAACTGGGGTCTGGTTGGCTCGGCCCAAATGGTGTTGATGTCCGGGATCGAAAACGGGGGCATCACTGCAGACACAGGCGACGCTGCGATGATCGCATCGGCCGGGACACCCGTCGAGAAGTCATGGACGATTTGGCTGTCTGGGGCCGTTTGGATGAGCGATGCTGGCTGGAAGTCGAGCATATTTGGAGCAAAGCCATAATCGGCGAGCTGAGGGCAAAAGGTCGCGTATTCCTTGGAGTACATCTCCTTCGAGTCAAACAGTGTTGTCAGCATTGGGCCCGGAGTGGCCTCCTGACCGTTCGAGTGGGGAGGCTCGACAGAGGGCTGGAAGCAAGTCGGGAGGTGTTCTTGGGAAGCCGGGGCGATGGGTCGATAGCCTGTCGTGGTAATGGGCTGGCAGCTAGACGGAGAGGCAACACTCGAAGCAGGGCTGGGGGCGATGGTCACAGGAAGCTTGGCAACGCATGCAGGATGCTGGACGCTGTCCTCCGTATGGCTCTTGAGCGAGGACTTTGCGGCGAGAGAGGCAGGCACCAAATGCGCAAACTTGTCCAGAAGCATTTCAACGAAATCGGCGTGGGTCCTTTTGTCATAGCCGAGGGCCTTGAGCTCGTGGAACTTGTCCTTGAGCTTGTCCGAGATCCAGATGGTCCAGACGTCGGATTTGGGCTTGCCCTTTGGAGAGTCTGGCGAGGGAGCGGCGGCGGCGAGGGCGGCGAGGGCGGCGACTGGAACGGCATTGAAGACATCACCGAAATGGTCGGCGCAGGTGACATTGGCAGCGGCAGCGGCAGCATGGTCCTCCACAGGAGCGGCAAGCAGGGCAGCGGGGACTGCAGGGGCAGCGAAAACAGCATCCAGGGCCAGCTTGGGGGTCTGGTGGCCCACGGAATCGGCATAGACGTCCAAGAGCCACTCGAGGAACTCGTCGTAGGGATCCTGGAAGCGGTCTTGAAGCCGCTACAGTGAGAGGGAGAGTGCAAGCAGCACACGGAGCGTCAAGAGCTGCCCGAGGGCTCAGACAGGACGAGGGACGCCCGTCATGTTGGGAACGAGACATGGCGATGGCGGTCTGGTCTGGTCTGGTCTGGTCTGGTCTGGTCTGGTCTGGTCTGGTCTGGTCTGGGAGCCACACCCACCTTTTTGAGCTTCAGGTTGAAACGGTCTTTTTTCCTGCTGTTTGGGCGGTGGGCCGGAGTTCCCACAAGCGAAGACATGTTCCTCTGCGGGGAAGATCAGGCAAGGCCAGGAAGCCGAAGTGGCCGGGGAAGTGCGGACGAGGGTTAGGTCAGGGCAAGCGAGAGGGAGAAACGGGCGATTGTGGGCAGACACGGGAGGAGCGAGCGAGGGCGAGAAGTGAGGGCGAAATAAGGAGCCCCGGGCGGCGCCAAGAGGGTATCAGCACAGCCAATGGGAGCGGCAGTGGATGGACTTGCAGTGGCGAGTGCAGTGGCGAGTGCACCAATACAACACTCCCGGACCGGTGTGATGTTACAGTTGTTGTTATAGGTGTTGTTGTTATTCGGCGGAATGGTGTTGCTGGTGTTGGTGTGGCTGTCCTGTTTGACAGCGCTGCTCGCCCACAAACCCAACTGCAATTGGCATGGCCACCACGACAGCACTCGCTTGAATATAGGTTTGTATTGACATCCACAGCAACACCATCCACCCCGTGAGTTCAAGCTTTGGCTGCTTGGTGAGAGCGAAACATCGCCATCGCCATCGCCATCGCCATCGCCATCGCCATCACCATCACCATCACCATCACCATCACCATCACCATCACCATCTCCTCTCGATTCTCTCCTCTCTGGCACCCATGCAGTCCGATGCATCGCTCGAGGACCACCACCGTCAGCCCGATCCAGCTCGATCCAGCTTGGTCCAGCTCGATCCAACCTCTGCGCACTCCATCGTTGCATACCAAGGACCTAGAGCAGCGAGTGAGACGGATGTGACTGTTAGCAGGGGACACCAGGAAGTAAAAAGACGCTGCACACTGGTCAGCCATCAGATCAAGTGTAATGTATTGGTGAGTCTTCATAGCGACTGGGCAGTTTTGCAGGGAGGGCGGCGAACCAAATATCCAACCGTCTCGACCTGCTTGCCACAGCCAAAATGACCTCGGTATTGCAGATTATTTGGTCATCAGCTGGCTGCCGAGCGGCTCGGTTGAAACTAGAGAGAGAGTCAATGTGGCAGGCAAACTTACCACTTGCACAAGCAGGCGGAGGCCCAGGAAAGCGAGATCTCGCTGCAACGGGAAGCGGACTCGGGTTTTGAGCGGTGGGCTGGCGTGTGGCTTGGCTGCCCCTGGCAACGGAGCCGCATTCCAACCACGACCCACAGAACCAGATCAGGGGTTCCAGATCAGGGGGTTCCAGATCGCAGGATGCAAGAATGAAGTGACTGGGAAGGTCGTGCCAGGATTGATGTCCCTCGGACAAACACCGAGAAAGGAAGCCCGTGCTACTGGGGATACGCACTACCAGCGAGAGTTTGGCAGCCGGACACTCCCTTGATCCTGAATGAGATGCTTCTCCTCCTGGTCAGCCAGGGTGCCGCGCATTCGACTCAGGGTCTTCAGTTGCAAGTGCTCAGCAGGAGGGGCGAGTGTCGCTTTGTTTCATTGTGCTGGCAGAGGTATATTCACACCGAGGTGTCCCATATCGTGGGCGACAGCAATGCACACAGCGCCACTCGCCTGTGCAAAGACTCCACGGCCTCCAGCTGCTCCTCAAAACCTGGCTCACACGCTCTCGTTCGTCTCTCCGTGGGAAGTGATCAGTTTGGTGGCTGTCTGGCCACATTTCCGGCGTGCCATTGGATTTGCTGGAAAGTGCGCATGGACCGCATCATGCGTTGCCGCCGAGATTGAGAACGTACACCCACCCGTGATCCGAGCCCTCAGCACCGCCAGAGCTCCGGCCGGTGTCGTCTCCTGCTTTTGCGCCAAGCATCTTCATGCGCTGGTTCGACGGCAAGCCGACCCTTGGAATCGAAACGATGGTATCGTGTCTTGGGATAGACTGGACATGTGCCGTCGAGAGTGAGGCCGATGCCGTGGCCGAGGAAGAGGGATCGTCACCGAGGTTCTCGAGAATCGAGGCTGCCAAGTCATATCCCTGCTTGGCCGACTTTCGATACCACTGGATGGCTTCAGCCGAGTCCTGGTGGACGCCGGCGCCGACGTGGTAGCAGAGCCCAAGTTCGAACTGGCCCCACGGACTCCCGTTCTCCGCCGACCGGAGATACCACGACACTGCCTTTTGGTAGTCGCAGCGAACTCCGTCGCCATAAAAGTAGCATTCGGCCGTCCAGGCTTGCGCCGTAGCATCTCCTTGGCCCGCCTGCTCTTCGAACAGCGCCGCGGCTTGTCTCAGGTCTTCAGCGACCCCGATTCCGTGGTAGAAGCACAGCCCCAGCAGAAGCTTGCAAAAGGGATCCGTCGCAGAGCCCTGTTCGCACCACCGATGGAACTCGATGTGCTGTGCAGAGTTGCCGGCGACACTGTCGAGGGACTGCTCGATCTGGAGCGCCTTGAACCAGTCTCGCTCCGTTCCACGGCCGGTGATATAGCACAGCTGCACCAAAAGCCCGGCGAAAGCCCCGATGGCGGCACCCGCCGAGAGCAGGTAGGTGTCGTGCCAGTACTCGAACGCTTCTTCGTCTCGTTGGTCGACGGCAATGCCCAGATGGCGCAGCCAGCCCATTTGGTAGCCGCCGTCGCTGTGTCCCTCGTCGGCCCCTCGTTGGAAGAGCTTGGCAGCCTTGATCCAGCTCGGATCCGTCAGGGGCTTGCCCTCGGTCAGGAGCTTGCCGACTCGGACACAGACATCGGCGCTGTTCTCCTCGATGCCCCAGCCGTACCAGGTCGAGGCTCTGCTGTTGTCGTCAGAGGACTCGAAATCGACCACCGCCTGGATGATGTCGTCGATGCAGGTGGCGTCCGAGGCAGCTCCGAATCCTCGGTACGAGCAGACGTCGGTGAGGTACTTGCATAGAGGATCGAGGGGCGAGCCGAGGAGGCAGAGCTTGTAGAACGTTGTTGCAGCCGCTGTCATCGAGGCCGGAACCTGCCATCCCTGCAGGCTCTCTTTGCCAATCGAAAACTCGCTGGTCGTGCTTTCATGCATGAGCTGGAGACCCTTGTGCCTATCTTTCTCCACTCCGCGTCCCAGGAACCGGAGCCACCCAAGCATCAGAGTGGCGATCGGCTTCAGCACAGGGTCGTTGCTGCGGGTGTATACATCTTCCCAATGCACATAGGCGTCAACGTCGCTCTGATCGAGTCCGAGGCCGACCAGGCGCAACCATCCCATTTGGAAGCTGGCTTCGATGCTGCCGGCGTCGGCACTTTGCCTGTAAAGCTGGGCAGCCAAAACCCAGCACGGATCCGTGACCGCCTTGCTATCCGTGATGCGCTGGGCAGCCCGGAGGCAAGCGTCGGCGTCGTTCTTGATCACCTTGACAACAATCGGCCGTGGAATGCGATAGACGGAGCAGAGATCCTGGAACGCGGAGCCAGCGACAATGTCAGCTACGGCATCGTCCAGTTGGCTCAGAGATAGCTCTGAGCGATAGCCGAGTCCCGCTGGACAGATTCCGGCTTGCGAGATTGCGGCTATGGATGGCCGAGTGGATTTGAATGGCTCGAGCGATGCCAGGATCTCGCTGAACTTGGGTCGCTGTGCCGGATCCTGGTGCCAGCAGCGCTCGATCAGAGACCACAGGCTGTCTGGGATTCCGTCGAGCCGCTGCGGGCGAGATCCGCGGCATACTTGGCGCTCGACTGCCGCAGGCCGCAGTTCCTGGCCATCCCGTGCGAGCCATACGCTCCTGCCATCATTGAGGACCTCGTAGAGCACGATGGCAAAGGCATAGATGTCCGTCGCGTAGGATGATCCCACGGCGTGCTCGTCGTCGAGCATCTCTGGCGCCATGTAGTCGAGGGTGCCACCCTGGACAGAGTCCGTGCAGGCGGCCCGGCTCGAGGCGGATGTGTGCTTGGTGCGAGACATTCCAAAGTCGGTGATGACGGCATTGAAGCTGGTGTCGATGAGGATGTTCAGTGGCTTGAGGTCGCCGTGGACGACGCCGCTGCCGTGGAGGTAACTCATGCCCGAGGCCACTTGGTACACCAGCCTGAGCTTGTCTTCCAGCGAGCGGGTGGTGCGGCCCGAGACGTAGTGGCGGAGCGTTCCGTTCGGCATGAACGGAGAGACCATGAAGGGCTTCTCGGCCGTATCGCATGCTCCGCTGAGCGGCAGGACATGCGGGTGGCCGAGGCGGTGCCAGATCCCGATTTCTCGGCGAAAGTCGCCGATTTCCTTCTCGCCACAGTGGACCAGGATCTGCTTGACGGCCACATCAGAGCCATAGTACGATGTCTTGTAGACTTGGCCAAAACCGCCGCTGGCGAACGGATGCAGCGGGAACTTGCCGATTGCACTCCGGGGGATGCGCCATGCCTCTCTCTTCATCGAACGGGCGACGGCTGACTGGCTCTGCAGCAGCTCGAGGAGCGGAGCGACGGTGCCGTCGACCAGCTGCCTGGGCAGCGAGGGATCGTCGACGAGCTGGAAGAGCGAGGCGGTGCACTCACGGACATGCCACTCGGGCAGATCCAGCCGAATGCCGACATGGTCGAGGGCGGTGGCGTCGTGCTGTTTGAGGAGCTGGGCAATACGGTCGAGGTCCTCCCGTTCGCGGGTTTCGTCGGCAAGAACGGCCTGCTGAAGGGCATCCTGTGTTGGCTTGTGCGGGCAGTCGACAGAAAGAGCGCCAGAGGCACTGGTCCAGAGAGCATCCAGATCGCCGCAGAGCCGCACGATGCGCTTCCGGAGCCTCTGTCCCTTGAAGATCCCGAGCGTCCGGGGCTGGGCGTCGACCTCGGTGGCGAACTCGGAGGCCGTGGTGAAAAAGAGGCGGATGCGATCGAGATGGTCGGCTGCAGCCGGGGAATCCAGCGGCGACAAAGCAAGGGCTTGGACGACCGCCAGGGCCGAGTTGGCAAAGAACGTCCAGGTTCGTCTTCCCTCGGGGATGGACTCGACAACGACGAAAAGGCCGAGGGCAGTTTGCAGCAGTTCGCCGAGCGGACCGTCGGTGCTGCACCGGATGAGACTGGTCGTGCTGGCAACAACTGCGGTTATATCAAGAAGCATTGAGGCTGGATGGGAGGATGGACGGGAGGATGGATGGATGGATGGACGAGCGGGGAGAGACGAGCAGGGAGAGACGAATATGACGGATGTCACTGGCGTGACCAGCCACATCACCGCCACATACCCTCGGTTCCCCACACCATGTGAGTCTGTCCAGCAAGTCGAGCGAATGCTCCACACTCTCGTCAAGATGCCAATGCCTCGCGGAACGTGATCTCGGTGCGTCAGTCGATCGTTTGCAGGGGGTCGAGCGGATGTATTCAAGATCGCATTCTCAAAGCAACAACAGCACTTTGATTACCAACCGAGTCGGCCATCAATCCGTGGTCGAGACCATGCGGCCTGTAGATCATTGGGCTCGAGGTCGTGGTGGCTGCGATGGGATTTGGACTGGCTCGCAACCGGCTCTGTTCCGCTCTGTTTCTGCAGCGGTCCCATAAATTCGCCGATTGACGAGTATGAGCTATCGATGAGCTTAACCATAGATGAGCATTCTTCTACCAAATTGCCGCCTGAGGCTCGGACACCGTTCATTCCGTGCCATCTTGACAGGTTTGGGACGAGCCTGGATGCTAGCACATGTTGGACTTGTCTATAGGGTATGTCTGGTCGACATAGAGCTGCGAGTTGGTAATCTCAAACTTGGCGGCCCGCCGCCGGTTCCACGAATACTCATAAAAGAAGAGCACGCAGCATTTGATCCATCCACACGACGGATTGAAAGCCTGGGTGCACGGAGGGGACGAGATGCGATTAGCACCTGGCCTTCTATCGAGCAAACCCAAGGCATTCAAATTGTGCGTCTCGCCCACAGGCACAACTCCCCGCCTTCTTACCGCCTGCAGTACCACAAGCAGGAAAACAGGATTCTCCGGATCGGCTAGATTCTGGAATCGATTGATAGTTGGAGGGATCCACGCGATGAGAAAGGCCACCATGTACAGAGAGGAGCATATAGAGTAGTGCTTCATCCCAGAGCTCATGTGTTCGCCATCGTTGCCAATATATGCCTCGTAGACATCGTTATAGCCATGCCCGATAGACGACGGTGTGGCCGCCGGGACAGGATCCGACGAGGTATCGTGTCGCCCTGAATAGAGCATCAGTCCGACGACAATGTAGATATGGAGGTTGATGATGATGATCAGCCACAGGCCGCCGTAGAGGAATATGATTCTGTAATCCGTATATGCGGAGCTAATCCAGCACCACAGCGTTGCCGACTAGTTGAAGACAAAGCAGCAAGCGCGAGCGGCGGATCGGGAGGGGGTATTGGGTTAGCAGTCCTGGCGCTGTGTGATATTGCGGTTCGGGCCGAAATGTTGCATGCCATCTGCTGTTGGCAAGGAGCTTGCGCCGATACTTGCCCCATATATCGGCGTGCCGCGCGGTGATCCAGCCAACAAAAGTCCAAGAGACGTCGCCAAAGGCGCCATCCAGGACGCAAGATGATCTAAGCGGAAATGCATGTTTGGTAAGCGATGTTATGCAAATGTGCAAGCAAACCGAGCCCGACTGTCGGGATGTGCGATGAATCGTACAATAATTTTCGCTCCGTCGGAGCGCCTCGATGGGCGTGTTCAAGAATATCACCCGGTAGGACTGGATTCCCAGGCACAGCAGCAGATATGTCCCCGCCGAAGAGGAAAATTGAATCAGCGATGCTTGAATATGACAAGGAATCGCTGTGGATGTGAGCATGCCTATTGGGATGCTATGAAATCGGAAAGATAGTGATAAGCTTAATCGGCTGTGCCGAGACGCATCGATGCCCCAAATGCTTTGTCCCCGCCGTCACTCGTCATCGTCGGGATACCTCCTCCCGCCCTCAGGCCAAGCACGAGACCGAGCGCCGACGTACTTTCCGACTGCCATATTGAGGCAGCACACCAGATCGCATGCGATGACGAAAAACCCAAAGCGATGAAGCGAGCGGTTCATGATCGTCTTCCACCGCATAGCGATGAATACCAGCGTGCATGAGCACGCGATGACCGAGAGGCTTCCGGACACAACGGCGACGCCTTGGAACACAGCGAGCTGGTCGTTGGTGAAGGCCATGGTATCCAAGCGGTAGGCAGTGATGCGTAAGTCCACGGATTGCTGGGCGTGGGAGCCTGGCTCGGGAGCCTCGAGCGTTTGGGATAAAGTGGCTTCGTCCGGCCGGCTGCTCTTGAGGGAGCATCGGTGGCATGCGTCATCTCCTTTGGGCAAGTGCTGCTGTAGCAAGTGCTGCTGTGGCAGGTGAGGCGACCGAGCAGGTCCGGCAATTCTCCGTGACGAGTATCACCCCAATCACGGTCACGTTCGACATCGGAAGGGATCAGGGCCTTCTCATGACGCAGACCGAGTCCCTAAGCACTTCGCTTGAGATCGAGAAACAGCTTTATTCCATACTCTAAATGGAGCCAGAGTGTTCGGTTTCGTTACGGATGGGATCACGCATATCGATCTTCTGCAAGGGTAATGCTCGCAGTCCCGTCCCAAGGCAGCCCCGGCCGTTCCAGCACCGACATCGCAACTGCGTTCTTTAACATGTTGCTCCGCGACCGATCTCAGTTGCTCGGGCCCAGTTCATTCTTTTGAATCTGTCTGGACGACCAGTGTGCATTGCCGCAAATAAAGTCTGGTCGGACGATCTTTGCTCGTTTCACCAGCCAGTCGCCACAATCGATGCGGACAACAATGCCTTCGATGCGGGTATTGAGGGCAAAGCCTGACTGGCGGTTAAGGTATGTCAGCAAATCCCGAGAGAGCTCCTGCGGAGAGAGCGTGGAGTGGCTGAACGAGTCGAGTACAGGCGCTGTCTGCAGTGTGGTGTTGCTCAAAGCCCGATGAAACATGTCTCTTGAATAGAACGTGCCGGCATCCACGTCGTAAATGTCAAAGGCGATGAAGTAGTCTGGCAGATTGAGATAGTGGATCGAATGCTTGGCATACATCCATTCGCCAAAGAGGATCAGATTGGCGCTGGACAGGATCTTGCGCAGCGAGTGCTCGTGCTGGAACATCCAGTTCCGGAGCTCCTTGAACTGTGGATGTGACTTGGAGTTGACGTAGTGGGACCGGTTCTGGCACTCGATTTCTCCCGTGGTCGGGCTGATCCGGAATCCGAGATTTGCGCCGTCGACCTTTTCTTCGATCGTGAGAACCTCGGAATGTGACAGCGTGAGAAACTGTGCCATACTCCTTGGATCCATGACAATGTCGTCGCAAGCCACTGAGCCGGCACCAAGGTTCACCAGATGCTCGGTTCGGGGGAATTTGACAAAATTCTCCAGCCGATGCGATCCGTTGATGCTGGACACAGGGGTATTAGTGTCCTCTGTCGAGTCCTGGCCCGCCAATCCAGCGCTACCCGGCAGCGAGGCAGACTGGGACCAGCGTTGCACCAGATCTTCGACATCGGCAAACGACTTGACAACTGCCATTGTGGAAAACCCCTCACTGAGGGAGGGTGCGACGAGGGTGCTCTGGAAATGGCCGACTACAGTTTGCGCTTGATGTGGCTTGACTGTGGCGTGGTTCCAGCGGTGATGAATTCGGTCGATACAGACCGCACTGGAGACGTCAAAGTAGACCACAGCACTGCGTCTTGGGTTGAAGGTGAGGTCAAGCCACGCCCGGCGGTCTTCGGGGGTTGAGTTGCATCGATCGATGATCAACCGGCACTGGGCGCCGAGGCGCTTGGCATGATTCGATACTTCGCGCTCACAGGCCGATCGGCTGCCGCTTTCGTCTTGAGAGATGTGGTGCCAGTGGGGCGATGACTCGAGAAGCTTCTTCGCAAACCAAGATTTGCCGCACCCAGGGAGCCCGACGAGCACCACTAGTTCCGGGATCGCGGAAGATCCATGTACTTGGATCTGGACAGTCAGATCTGCGTCGCTGAGACCCCTCCGCTCGATGCGGAGTCCGCGGCCGACATGCTTCCAGAGCTGCGATACATACTCGTGGACAAAGCTCTCCTGTCGGTCGGTTTCGATACTTCCGGGGCGAAGGTACCGCAGACGAGCGATCGCCATTTCGGCCGACATAATTGGTGCGGAGCCGTAGCAACATGCCGGATCTTCACAAACAACGGCACCCGATGCTGAGCAGAGCGAGCACGGCGATGGAGGAAGCTGAGTACCATAGCGAGCGAGATAGAGGGCCAGCAGCGAGCCCGCCCGCCCCTTACCGCCACCACAGTGAACAAGCACTCCTCCTCGATGGGGTCCGTGGATATGGGTGATAACGGTGTGGATGAACTCTTCGGCCTGAGCCAGGTGCGGCGGGTGGTAGTTTGTCGTCGGCCAAAAGTAGTTGACGACGGCTGTGCCCTCGAACCACGACACTGGGAGCGGCGTCTCTTCAGTCAAGGTTATGATATAGCGGATGCCAATGGCCTCGAGAGCGACAATGTCGTCCCGACTCTTTGGCGTCGACATCCCGGCGAGAAACTGGGGCACGATCCAGCTGAAGAACCGAGGCAGGTGGTATGGCTCGCGGCTGCCGGCGAGGTCGACGAGGGTGCGCTCGCGCGACGCTTGAGCATCGAGGTCGAACTCTTGGCCTTGCAGATCCAGAACGATAGCAGGGAGAAGCGCAGCATAGCTGTTCTGCTCGGCACTGGTCATCTGGGACAGTCGTGTGTGTCCAAGATATGGTATTGCCTGTGGGTCAACGATGGCAAGCGAGATCCAGCCCCGAAGGGCGCAATCCTTGAGCCGAGTCACGGCATGTTCGTGGTGAGCCGAGTCTTTGGAGGAGAGAAGTGCCGCCTGGAGGAAGGCATCGAATCGAGCGGGTTAGCTTGGACGATTGCAGTACCGGCAGAGCTAGGAGCGCTACACAGGCAAATGTGCACCATGCCGAGCCAGGCATTGATGTCCAGAGCACCCCTCGCTTGGTCTACCTTCCAGAAGAACCGATTGGCGATCTGAGGCAGCTTCTGCTTGAAGAAGCAGTCGCCTGCCCGAATCCAGCCGAGGGCCTTTGCGGGGCAAGTTTCGACGAGCCACAGTGCATCTGAGATGGCGTGGCTGAGGTTCGATGACTGTGTATGAATGAAAGCCCGGCATGCCAGAACATCATAGCTCGTTTCCTCCGCAAGGCCGATTTCGTAGGCAGACTCCAGAACCCCCAGCGAGAAGTCAACGAGGCTCGCCCGGACCGAGCCGACCTTGGAGAGCGCCTTCCACGACATCTGGACGGCGTGCACGGCGGCTTTGGCATAAGCATCTGCATCCCGGATCGACGTTCGAGCAAGGGCGGTGGAATCTTTTGCTGGGCCATCGTGGACATCGGACGACAGGAAGCCAAGGGTAGCGTGGAAGTGCTTCCACTGGGTATAGCCAAGCTGCGACCGGATGAGCTGTCCCTGTGGCCAGCAAATGATTTTGAACCACGTCGTCGATGCTGTAGACGAAAGAGTCGCACGTCGAGCAGCGTCAGGGCAATGTGTGAGCATCAGACACAGCAGCTTATCCGTTCGGGCGTCTGTCTGTCTGTCCGCTCAGGGCTCACCTCCACGAACCACCTTGCCGATGCCGAGATCGATGAGCTCGCCAGGCGCAACGTGAGCGGATTGCAGAAGCAAAGTCTCGGCGGGCTCGGGTTCAGAGGGGTCGATGAGCGTGATGTGATGCTCGCTTGATCCATCTCTGCGGATGCGGTTCTCGATGGCCGCTGGCGGGACAACCGATTCAATGAGGCTGGGGTCAAAGAAGTCGCCGGGTAGACAAAGCGCCCATGTTCCCTTTCGACGAACAATCGCGGGCGAGGCCGTTTGGGCAAGGTCAGGAACAACAAAAGACATGATTGGCGAGATGACGGATGAGGGCAGCGGTATGATGGCAACGGGGACTGGGACAGAGAGCCCGGCTCTATAAGTGGCTGCAGCAAAGTGGCTGAGCAGCGGCAGAGCAGAGGCAGAGCAGAGGCAGAGCAGAGGCAGAGCAGCCCCTCCCCCACTCCTGCGGTCTGGATGGCGAGGGCGCATCCTGGGCTGGCTGCGGCGTTGAATGTATGCGATCTTCGGTTAGCCCAAAAGTGCCTTGGGGCCAATGGACCCAGCTCCGTGAGTTTCATCATCGGCCGCAGCCCGCCGCAGCCCGACACACCCTGACGCACCGGACTGGGCCGTGGGGTGGTGTGTGAGATTGTTTTTGGTTATGGGAATGGACGAGGGTTTGGAGCATGGTCACTGCATGCAAGTCGATTGGGGATTTCATTGCATATGGCTTTGCTAGACGCGGGCCATCTCATATTACGCTGACATGGAAGGTGTCCCGTTTGCTGATGTGTCAAGTGTCGTTGCCAGCAGCAGCACTGTACGATCGCCGGTTGGAGTAGATCGTCTCCTCGCCTCGGGCTGTCCTGCGAACGCCGCAGTACTTGTCCTTGACATCGACAACAGTGAACAGGCCGCCCTGAGTGGTGATGATATCGTACTAGAGAGCGCCGCAACAGGGATGATGGAAATGGGCGTTAGCCAGCTAATCGCATCGGAAGTCGGATTGGGCACTTGGTGCAGCAAGCCTCAGTCTTGTCGTTCAGCACCTCTGCCCGCTCCGGCCCGGGCTCGCAAGCGCTCGCAAGTGCGCCACAGCGTAACTTACATAGCTGTTCGTGACGCTCTCGATCGTGACCGAGTCCTGGGAAGAGTCGACCGTATATGTGAACGAATACGGTGGGACGCCAGTGAGGCTGACGCGGATTTCCGCCTCGTCGCCTGGATTCATTTGAGTGAGCGTCAGTAGAAGGCCCCAAACAGAAGCGAGAGTGGGCGGGGACGGGAGACCACAAGCGCAGAAGCGACAAGCATGAGGCGACAGGCTGAGCAAGGCTCTCTTGCGAGACCCACAAAAGATTCACTGCGGATGTCCACAATGCCGTGGATTCGAACCCACCTTCACGGAGATCTGTGTCGCCCTCGGTCATAACAACGGTCGGGATTTGATAAATGTCGTGGACAATGTCGTTCGGGAAGGTGCAGCTTTTGTCGTCGTGTATGCAAAGCTTGATGATCTTCAGGCGGCCGGCCTCGGTCGGGGTGAGCTTCAGCACATCGTCGCGAGCGACCACGATCGATTCAGGTCCATCGTTGATGCTGTAGTGGATCCAGAATGGCGGTGTTCCTTCGAGCGAATAGACAATGGACTCGGTCAGGCAGATACCTTCCAACGAGAATGGTCGGATCTTGGCCATATTGTAGACGATGACTTCGATCGAGCTCGAGTCTTCCTGCTTGCTGTCGCACTTTGTCGAGTCTCCGACCTCCAGTGCCCGGATCTTGTATTTGCCCGCACTGTCGAAGATGCGAGGCCGGTAGTGGTATTTGTGCGTCTCAATGCCGTCGATGCGGTCCGTAAATGGAACCTTGCGACCTTCCTGGATTTCAAATGCGGCGCTGAACGGCGGCTGGCCAAAGAACTCGATTTCTACAAACTCGGCGTTCTTGTCGCCTCCAATCAACGGGAACACCTTTTCCTTGCCATCCGGGAAGGTCACCCGCGGTCGGTCAAGAACGAGTTGCTGGAGCACAAGCTCGCCGCCATCGGTGCGCAGGGTTGGGATCTTTTGCTTGTAGTTGTCGTCGGTGATGCCAGTGAATTGGTAGGTGTGAAGACCCGACGCTTCCGTCGAAAGACGGATGCGGCCGTTGCGCGTAATGAACTCGGCCGAGAGCTGGTCCCAGTCGGAATGGTCTGGACTTTGATGGCTGTAGTGGACAGCAAAGCGTGGGTTGCCGGATAAAGTCACCTCGATGGCATCGCTGTCGCCCTGGCAAACCGCATCGAGGACATAGGGTGCAGCGCCGTCCGCCTTGTACTGGTCGGCCGGAATCAGGAGCTTTGGCTTCTCGACCGTTTGAACTGCATTCAACGATGGGCCAAATGCAATCAGGAAAGCGTCCGGTGCCGGGCTACCATGCAGATCAAGTGCCCCAAGGCAAGCACAACCAGTTCTGGGTCAACTTATACGTACCGGAGCACTCCTTAGGATTGATTACAACGCCACTGCAGTACTCATCCTTGACGCTGAGCAGCTCCCAAACGCCGGGGGTGTCGACCTGAACAAACAGATGGGGTTAGTACGACTGCGAATAGAGGGTCGAGTGCTGTGCTCTGGGGGGGGGGCGCTTCCGCTGGCATCACGCATCCGGACCACTGGACTAGCCCTCGCCCACAAACGCTCCGTACGGGAGTTTGCCGCTACAGCCTCTAATCCCTCGAGTGGGCGCATACTCGACGGTAGCCATTACCTCGATAAACGAGCTCGGCTTCACTTTGGCCTCGAAGATCTTGTCCTGCGCATCTCGTCGGGCATATCGAACCGTGTAAGGAGAGCCTCTGTGGATCCATACATGCCATTAGGGACGCAAAATGTTAGCAGCATGCCTAAAGCAGAGCGAGGACTGCGACTCTGGAATAGCGAGCTCTGTGGCTTGTCGACTGTGAGAAACCACCACCACCCAACACACAAAGGCTCCACGAAATGAGCAAATGAAGGACAGCCGAAAAGCGCACCTGCCGCCGTTGCTCTGAATGGGGATCTTGACAGTGGAGCCTTCAAGCAGAGGAAGGGGCTTCATGCAGTTGAAGAAGCTCGTTGGGCGCTGGCCCAAGACCTCCACCGAGACCGTGTACTTTGGCTTGAGGATACCTGGGCAGTTGTTCTTGTCGACCATTTCGACTAACTCGATCACGTAGGTGCCGGCGCTGTCGAGCTTGCCGAGGCCGATGAACGCTTGGCGATCGCGAACACCCTTGAGCTCGTGGCGCTGCTTTTGGTTCTCGTACATGACTTCGTATACGATATTCCATGGGCCCTCGCCGCCCAGGGTGAGCTCGATTTCTTCCTTGACCATATCGCCAGTGCACTTTTTCACCTTTTGAGGCTGGGCGGGAGCAAACTCCACTGTGGATTGGGGATGGATGGTCTGGGTGATGGGAGCAGCATCCTCAATGGGCACGCCGGCTTCGTAATTTTGGTCGCCAACCTGGAAGGCACAGAGACCGGGTCAACATGTAATGGCAATGATGTGGTAAAGCGAGCGCACCCCTCAGAAACTCGATTGTCAGTACCAGGCCGGCCCGCGAATCCTGGTCTCAGCCAGTAAGTGCTGCATAGCCTCGAGTCAACAACGCTCGACGGTTCCAGAGCGACAGTATTGCGATTGGCACCGGCCAAGCAGACAGGGCTACCTTAAGGAACCGGTACTCGTATGATCCAGGGACCGAGGGCTTGAGCTCAATCTGGTGGCGGGAGTTTGGAATACTGATGCGCTTGACTTCGGGCATCCCGTTGAACACTTGCTCATAGGTGATCCAGAACGGGGGCAGGCCCGTCAGCGAGATATTGACCAGCGCTCCGACCTCGCCGATACATGAGTGTAGTATAGCTTCGGATCTGATTTCGGCTGCAGGTGGCACCGTCTGCTCGATCATACAGACCGAGGCGCGGCCAAAGTCGCCCGGACAGTACTTGTCACGGATAGATCGCAGTGCATAGACACCCGAGCGCGCCACTGGGACAACGACGACATCCGAGGTTGAAGTTATGACAATTTCGTCCTCCGGGGGGATCTTGGAAATGGCGTCGTACGAGTCTGTCGAAGCATACGACAAGGTCCATGGGCCCGAGCCCTCGAGCTTGATTTTGAGATTGACCTGGTCGCGGACTCCGGGGATGATCCGCAGGTTGGAAGCACAGTCCATGAACTGGGCCTTGGGGGCGCCATGCACATCGACGTCAAAAGCATCCCGGATGCGCCGACCGGCAACGCAGGTGCGATTCGGGCGCCCGAGGGGCATGTCAGCAGCATTGGCGGCATCAACTTCGCCGTCAATGTCGCTGTAGACATATGTGTTTCCAAATCCGTCAGTGACGTTGAGAATGTTGAAGGAGTGCGGAAGCTCTTTGTTGAGCTTCATGTCGATGGGTATGACGATCTCCTTGGGCTTGGACAGGGCCACGGCATGTTGGATCTTGGCCTCGATGGTTTCGGGGACCGTCTGGTTCTCCCCGGGCTGCTGTTCCGGAGGCACGTCCAGCCCCTCGACGGTCAGGATCTTGTGTTCGGGGCCGATGAGGCTGGCGTAGCTCACGGTGAGCGGCGGGACACCGATCACCTTGACGTTGTAATCCAGGACATTGCCGTAGCATTGGTGCGGATCGATGCGGTCCACGTTGAACCACACCGCCGACGGACACTCGACGACAGTCGCGAAGGACAAGTAGACTTTGCCCTTATTCCCGCTGGCCTCACGGATCTCGAGAAGTCGGTAGACACCGACTCGATCGACCTCGATGTAATACGTGCCCTTTTTTGTCTTTTTATCTGAGCTGATGGCGGGCTCGTCGATTGTGATGAGCTTGGCGTCCTGGCGGAGCGCAAACGAGCCGTCGGGGCCATAGACCTCGTAATCTACCCTCCAGGGATCGCCCTGGCCGCGGACAAAGATGGGAATGCGTGCGGTGTTGTATCCTGTCTCGTTGGTCAAACAAAAGGTGTGCTTATCCTTGTTCATCTTGGCCTGCGTTGGCTTGAGCAGGTTGACTCGATGGTGTCCCTTGATGTGCTCAGTTCCAAGGATCGAGAACGGAGCTGAACATATGCCACACGAGCAGAGGGAGCGATTTGTCAGGGCTCTTGTTATGAATCCCATTGCAGTGTTGGACATCCCATGCGATCGAAATCGTGCAGATGCGCACGAGTACGGGGCGATCGGGCTGCTTACATGCCGGAGATACCATCTCATCGAATTCGACCTCGCCTCTCCAGCAGAAGCGGGATTTCTGTGGCACAACATCAACACTGATTAACGCAAGCAACGCCGGCGATGTGTCGAGCTTGCGGCTGCCGTGATCGTGGATGATCCGGTCGTTGGGACAACTGGATCGCAATCAGATCCTGGGTGGGGATGGAATCGGCGCAGCGCCGTAGAGAGCGGGACTTACCGTGACGCCGGCAATGCTCATTGTCAGGATCGCCATGCCAATGTACATCAAGCTGATGGTGGTCAGGTTGAAGTGCAGTAGCGGGATACGAGCTTGGTAGATCACGGTGGCATACACTAGCCACACCGTGAACCACAGTCCGAGCGGGACCAGCCCGGGCAGGCTTCCGCTGCCAATGCAGTAGCTAGCAAAGTGGGCGATCTCGGCTGCGACAAGAGAGCCGAAGCTCACAGCGGCAATAAACCGATGCCGAGGGGCGTCGGCCGCGCGATTGACGGGCATAGTGGGAGGCAGACCAACGGCTGCTTGAATCGACGCTCCAGTTTGTGAATAGGCTGTTCAGAGGCGCTGCTCTGCCAGTCTTGGGCGAATGCTAATCCCGGAGCCTCAAGTAGATACGCTGGGTATCGCGTGAGTCTGGTGATTGTGAAGCGATCAGCGATCAGCAAGGTTGTCATGCGGCATGGCCGGCGGAGCGACAGATCTGGATGCAGCGCAGTACGCCTTCTCTAGCCAGTGATCCAGCAGCCGGAAAACGGCTCGATATACAGGCGCCAGATGCCGCCCGGCGCTGCCCAGCATGGCCCAGCATGGCCCACCCACCTGATCGATATGCGCTGGCGACGGGAGGTCAGGAAGGCGGAGAGAGCCCAAGAATATCCCGCCGCCCCAGGCCACCCGTTTTGGTGCAGATTGAGTGCGCGAGGGCTGCGCCACGGCACGTCACTGGCCAGATCCAAGCCAGGGCGGATGCTCGGCCAGTGCTTCGGACCATCCGTCCTGACAAAGAAGCCGGCCGAGCCCTGCCCGGCTTGATCCTGGATCCTGAATACATACCAGCGATGTCCGAGGTCCATAATGCACAAAAGTCAACGAGTTCGATCCGACGACACTGACCTCGAGGAACCACAGAGATGCACAGATGGTCCAAAGTGTATTGTGTCTCAAGACAAGGTTCCCGAGTCAGCAGCAGACGGCAGCTGAACTGCGAAAGAATGCGCTGGATTCTCTCCCGTTTTGTTCCGAACAGGCTGGAATCATCTTCAGCCAGCAGCGGGGGCTATTACAGGCAATCCAATAAAAAACGGGACACCCGGGTTTTTGACCATTCATCGAATATTTTGTTACCCAATGTTATCGCGCGCTGGCCATGACCATTCGCCGGACAGTGTGGAATCGCGACGTCAATGCGGCGCGCAACATGATCGCAGTATGCAGGTCGATTGTGGAGATCGGAGAGCGACCGGCGGTCTTCACTCGGAGGCTGCCAAAGTGATCTGTTTTATTTCTTGTGGCTTTGCTTGACGCAAGCACAGCACATACTACATGTTCATGGAAACGGCTATATTGTCCCGTTTTTTTTTTTCTGAATAAAGTGTATATTGGCCCTGTCCAACGAATGCAGGCTCCGTCCTCGCAGCCCAAGTCTCGCGCTTCTTGGAATTGTTGTCGGTGGCTGGCACTTTCGCTGTGGGTGTGAGTGCCAATCACATGTCAACACTCAGCCCCAGCTGTGGTTCGTCTACATATCGTCGGGTTCGGAAATAGGGAGAAATCGCTCTTGCCCCAACGATCGCACCCATCTCTTGATCCAACCAACATGGCCGTCGTTTCACCCGCAGAGGTCGATCCAGCCCCAGCCCACTCGATTTCCCACGCATCGTCACCAACAGCGGACGGGGTCCTGGCGGTTCTTCGACTCCTTGGACGCATATTGCCTCGCTTTGGCTCGATTTCAAGCCGCCTCGACCAGTCGGTGGTTCCAGGCATCGCATCGCTGGAGTCGGCGCTGATGAATCGCATTCCGGTCCTTGGCTGGCTCCACAATCGCCTCAGGATTCCGCCGTTGGTCGCGGTCGGGCTTTTGCTGTCGGCCATCCTCGGGCCGTTCAAAGACACTATTCAGAGGAACAGTGCCATCGGTGCCAATATTGCCGGAGTCGCCTATCCATCACTCGCCACTTTTTGGTCCATCCAGAGGGCCGGAGATGGAGGCCGGCCAGAGAGCACGAGGTGGCTCTGCTACTGTGAGTCAGCCCACTACCCAGCGGTCATTCGACCTTCTCGCAACGTAGTGTACGCTTCGCTGATGCGGCCGAGACAGATGCCGCTGCAGTCTTGTGGCTGGAGCAGCGCTTGATATTTGCTCCGTACACTGTAGTGATGCTCTGCCCGGAGGTACATGTGGTTGTAGCGGGTCTGTCGAATGAGAGGCCTCTGAATTGCGCTAACCCGTCCTTGCATCGTGCCAGGGCCGATCTTTGGAGTCCTCACGATTCTGGATGAGTGGATCGGTCGCGACAAAAAACGCTCGCTCATCTACAATATCCACAGATCGTTGATCTTTTACTGGCTCTCGAGCGGTGGGGCCTTGATGCTCTACGAGCGATTCGTCGAGCCCATGATGCGACGAGGAGCCAATGTCTCGTCGCCTCAGTCACTACCAAAGTCGGTGCCGGTTGTGATAAGTGAACCGGCCGACGCGGCCGATGACGACTATATCCCTCTGACTGGAGCCTCGACGCCGCTCTTCAACGTGCAGCCCAAGAATATGCTGGGAAGCATCAATGCCGGTCGGGCCTCGGCATCGTTCAGTACCTCATTTACGGATGATGGGGGCGAGAGCGACTCTGCCTCGGCCGGTGAACCCATTCTCCATTGAGCGGCAAGACCTGCTTCCTATCGCGCACATCGGTAGCGAGTGGTTGAGTCAAAGTTTACTGGGGTGTCTTGATGAGTGGAAAGCAGCGAATACACCTGTTTATCGACAAGCCCTGCTCAGTCTTGGATGGCTGGCAGAACAAAGAAACGGAGCCGAATACCTAACGCCGCCGAGCGCAAGTCATATTCTTCCCCATCAACGAGAGTGGGGCCCGCCTGGCCGGTGCCTATTTCGACCGGCTCAGGTGCGGCAGAAGCCCGCGGGTTTCCTGGCAGTGGCTCTTACAGAGCCATCTTGCCGATGAGCTCGGTGAGCAGGTTCTTGTAGGCCCACGAGTCGCCCGACATGCGCTTGAAACGTAGGCCGTTCAGCGACAGGCGCGGCAGCTTGCAAACTTCGATTTCAAACTCAATGTCCTGGAATTTGCAGCTGGCAGCATAGCCCGCCACCTCATGGGTTACGGAGCACTCGGTCAGGACTCGCTCGATCTCGGCCATGATGGCGTCGGCGCTCTTGGAGGATGTCGTTGAAACCGAGAAGGTGAAGCGTAGAGCGCGGGGGTCTCCTTTCTCGCCGCGCTCCTTGCGGAACTTGCTCTTGATTCTCTCTGTGAGCGAGATCTGGGAGTCGTTCGACGCCGCTGGCGACTGCTCTTGGCTATTCATGACGCTGTCGCGCAGGGCATCGTGGCTGGCGATGGTGGTTGCAGTCTTGGATGAGGCGCCGAGGTCCACGCTCGGGCTCATCAGCAGAGGCATAGGGCTGGCGATCTGGGCTGACGCCGCGACAGTGATCAAGTTGCTGGGAGGCGCAATGGAGCTGTGCATTTCCTCGGGTCGGTCGGGCAGCCGAATCTGCGCCGTGGGAACTCCTGCAAACGAGAGTGGTCTCTCTGTTCGAGCAGGGCGCGGCCGGAGCCGCACAGGGACGCTCGATTCCTCCTCGCCTGCAGGAGTTGCGACCGTCGACAGAGTCGCATGCGGAGAAGGAGGCTCAGGAGTAACTGAGATGCTGCGCTGAGGCAGGAGCACAGGCGACAGGGGTGACGGCATCAAGGTCGTTGTGGCTGCAGGCACGGTAACCGATGGGACTCCAGGAACGGCCGCAGCCGGGGCTGTACCGGTTGCTGGGGCTGCACCAGTCGCCGGAGTAGTCGCCACCAAGGCATTGATCTCCTTCTTGAGGCTCATTGCCCCCACCGGGTTCGACACCGTGGCGGCCCTTCGTCGACTGGCGCTGGTCGGGGCGCCCACAGGGACGGCCACCCTGGCAGTCACCGGTGTCTTTGGGGTTGACGGCAGATCGTCCTTCTTCTTGGATTCATACCCGGATCCTTCTGTCTCACTTTGGGATCGACCGGCACGGCCGTCGTCGGTGGCAGTTCGCTCGATCGGCGTCAGCCTGGGTCGCTCTCCGGGACCGGCCACGCGGGAGACTCGTGTGGACTCGCCGCTCTGCTCCTCGCTGATGGCATTCATACTCGGGGGCTCGACTCCCTTGGCGGTGTGTTTGGCGGGTTGCTGCTGTGGCAAGCTCAAGAGTACTTGTCCAGGACGGCCCTGAGCTGCAGCCCCGTCGGACAAAACGCCGTTGATGAGGCGGTCTCCTTCGCGGGCGGCAATGGCCTTTCGGCGGAAGTTCTTGTCGCAGAGCAAGTAGTACGTGGCCGTCAGATGGTCGTATATGCCCTCGTTGAGACTCTTTTTGACTTCCTCGGTATTGAGGCCAATGTCCTCCATCTCCTTCAGGATTCTCTCGTGCTGGTCGGCCGTGACATTGATTGGCGATGTGGTTATAGCCGAGTTCAGTGGTTCGCTCTCGTACCCTTCCGTGAACCACTTGTCGGTCATGATTTCCTCGAGGGTGATGCGCTTGGCTGGCTCCAAGACCAGCATTCTCTTGATCAGCCGCTCGCAGTCTGTGCGGTTCCACCAGAGACAAACGTTAACGGGCGAGGGGAGTGCTCTGCTCACATGCAAGCAGCCCCGTCCGAGCGTCTCGGATGCCAGCGAAAGTTATCTTGCATCGCAGACATTGCAGAATGCGCTGGACTTGGAGGAAGTGGATGTCGCCAAGCAGACCGGCAAGACGACTGCTCATACCTGTCGACATGTAGAACGGCACTTTGTACTTGCCGGCGAGCACTCTGGCTCGGAGCTTGGCCAGGGTCGAGCCGTCGAATGGAAGAGATCCGCAGACAAGCACATACAAGACAACTCCAAGCGACCAGATATCGACCTCCGGGCCAGAGTATTCCTTTCCCTGAAAGAGTTCCGGAGCAGCATATGGCGGCGAGCCGCACCAGGTATTCAATCGCTGACCAGGGGAGAACTGGTTCGAGAAGCCAAAGTCGGCGATCTTGACATTCATGTTTTCGTCCAACAGGAGGTTCTCGGCCTTGAGGTCGCGGTGGATGACATGCAGATTGTGGCAGTATTCAATTGCAGAAATGATCTGGCGGAAGTGACGCCGTGCCTCCTTCTCCTTCATCCTCCCGTGGGCAACGAGATAGTCAAAGATTTCGCCGCCGGCCGCGTATTCCATGATCAAGTAGAGTTCTTTTGGGGTGTCGATGACCTCATACAGCCGTACGATGTGCGGGTGGTTCAGAAGCTTCATGATGCGAACTTCTCGGAACAGCTTTTTGGCCGTAATCTTGTCGAGCTTGCCTTTGTCGATGATCTTAACGGCAACCTGCGACAACGGCAGCGCGTTGGAACCAGCAAACGCACGGCGTCAAGAGCAGCTCTCAGGTGTGGGTCTCCGTAGGCACGGCTTCGATTTGTCTATTTGTCTATTTGCTGGAGATATCCTCGCGGCAACTATACCTTTTCGCCCGTGAGGGTGTGTGTGGCCAACTTGACTTTGGCAAAGTTGCCTTCTCCCACGCTTTTCTCAAGATCATAGTATCCTATTGACGAGACCTTGTTTCTCCCGCCGGCGTTTCGGCTTGCGGCTTCGTCAAGCTCGGGCTCAGACATGGGTTATATTCGTCTGGAGGCAACGCGGTTGGATGGGTATGCGACAAAATGAATTCGACAAAGGTGAGCTGTCGGTTGCGAGGAGCAAGTGGCACTCCGGGGCTGTGCTGGCGGACTGAAGCAGAAGTGAGTCGCCTGGGATCGATACACCAGTCTGGCTGTCCGCCGAGCAGCATTCAGCGGCAGTGGCAATCCTCTGCCTCTCCCTTCCTCCCACCGGTCAATTCAAGGCGACGAAACCCGGTTCTTCGTCCGGACGGAGAGAGAAAGGATGCACGATATGCGAGACGACAAACCTGTGTGGCGATTTGTGATGGTGGGCGGGGGATCGCGTGTGTCTGTCGCTCCAGCTGCAAGTGATTAGCGGAAGTAGCTTGCGAGACTCAAAGCCGGGTTGTTCACTCTGGCTACAAACGGCTGTGCTTTGATGGCAGGAACTCGGCAAGAGCAACGCGAGGAGGGGATTTCTGTCAGTAAAAAGGCAAACGATAGAGACGGCCGCGGCCGTTCAGCAAAGATTCGAGGATGCTCGGCTGCTGCGGCTCTCTGTAGTTGCTGCTGCGATCCTCTCTGCTCAGTTTGCTTTCGGCGCACACCACAGAGCGCAACACAAGTCGGAGCATTATATGGCGTCTATCAAGGTCGATTCGAGAAATGGCGCTGTGGCGGGCATTGTCCAGGCGTGATTGGGGATGTCGTCGGGGGAGGGCGAGCTGCTTGCATCCGGCTCACTTTGAAATCGGACACTCCCATGCACCGATAACTTGTAGCCTTTGTGCGCTGAATGATGTTGAGCGACCATTACCTCCCGCCCGCGTCTTCGTCTCATGCCAGATGTGTTTTCTTGTCCTGGCTTGCGAGCGGTCACCCAATACGTACAAATGTATCACTGGCAATGATACTCTATCGCACTCCGGTATCTTAGCAGTACAGCGACCATCCACGCAACTGACTCGCCTGCCCTGGCCATATCAGTGTCGATGTCGGTATCGATGTAGATGTTGAGCGGTCGCCACCATGTGAGTCTGTCCAACAAGTCGAGCGAATGCTCCACACTCTCGTCAAGATGCCAATGCCTCGCGGAACATGATCTCGGTGTGTCAGTCGATCGTTTGCAGGAGGTCGAGCGGATGTATTCAAGATCGCATTCACAAAGCAACAACAACACTTTGATTGCCAACCGAGTCGGCCATCAATCCGTGGTCGAGACCATGTGGCCTGTAGATCATTGGGCTCGAGGTCGTGGTGGCTGCAATGGGATCGGGGCGACTTTGTTTTCTGGTCCTGAATACTCCCATGGCCAAACAGTGTGTCTGAGGACCCAACACCCAGCAGCTTCTGTGAGCCGCGACGCTGCCGGGAGCGGTGTCGACCTTTGTGTTGTCGAGAACGCTATTTTTTGCGCTTCCGGGCAAGATAGCGTTCTCGTGCGGACTGGATGTCTTGGTCTCGTTGGTTCTTCGATTCACTTGAGGTGGTCAGCGACTCAGGGCGCTGCGAAACTACGCTCTCACAGGAAGGAGCATGCGAGCACGATTGCAGGTCGCGGCTGTGCATTCGTATTGACAGAGCTGCCCCGCTGGCCTGGGAAAGTTGTGTGGCTCCTGTTGCTGGTCGCTCGCTGTGGTGCCCTTCGTCAATGATTTCTAATACGGATTCGAATTCGCTGGCTGTCACCGCTGCCGATATCGAGCTTGCTTTCGCATCACCGTCACTCGCATCCAAGCCGTCTTCAGGGTGGCATCCGCTGCCATCTGCATATGTCTCGCCATTTGACGAGACTTGATCGATCCAGCTTGCACGACGGCTGGTCGTTCCGGGTCGATCAGCAGCAGTATCGCTTGGGACGCCAGCAGCGAGTTTGCTGATGTCCAGATTGTCCGAGCGCCGGAGTAATGCCTCGACCATGGAAAAATCGATCTGGCTAGCGCAGCGCATCACAGCACGATTCACGAATTGAATGTCGTGATAGATGACCCATTCGATTTTGGAAGTCAGTGCGGCAGAAGACAGAGATGACTGCGGATGAAGCGTGAGGCCAAGCAGATGGTTAGACTGCTTGCTCTCCTGGTTTGTGTTGGCAGAGGCCGATGCCGAGCTATCTTGGTACTTGTAGAAAAGCGCTCGCGTGGGATGGCGCTTCGCCGTGTTCATGAAGAAGGCCGCGCAAAGAGCCTTGAGAATGGGGACGTGGTTGAATCGGATGTCGGCCAAGGCACTCTCGGGGTCATCGTCCTGGGCACCATGGCGCGCTTTCTTGAACGGTCGCCGAGGTTGATCAGGCAGAGCACATGACCGAATGACGAGTTTGTTTCGCTTCATGGTCTCTTCGAGCTGGGAGCGAACGCTCTTGGCTGTTAGAAGAGCACGGTGGTGGAAGTACCACGTGCGGGCCCACTGGCGATCAAAGCCGGCTCTCTTCCACTGCTCATAGATTTGAAGAAGGGTCATGTGGTCGCCAAGTGGATGCGCAAATTGCTTGTGGGCCTGTGCGGCAGCATCTTGTTGTTTTGGGGAGCGCGGGGTGATGTAGATGTCTTCAACCGAAAGTAGAGCAACAATCGTCAGCATTTCTTCGGCACAGCCATGATCCAAAGAAGATCCAATCAAGGCTCGAGCGAGGTGTGGAGATATTGAAAATGATGACATTTGACGGCCGAGCGGCGTCAAACCGCCGCATTCATCGAGAGCACCTAGAGTGAGCCGAGCGGCAGAGACAAGTGGGCAAATCGAGAGAGTTCAGATGAAAGGGTATTGCCGTATCAGCGGTGGTCAGGGGGAAGCTTCATAACAATCAAAGTATGCAAGGCGTCGAGCACCTCGAGCACACATACCGAGCAGGAACAGATCTCTCAGAGCACAAATCACAAGCTCGGGCTCTGGCGGATCGATAAACTCAAAGTTGAGAACATCGTCGATGCCCATGCGCTTGAGCGCAAGTACGGTGCCAATAAGAGAGCTTCGCTGGATCTCGGGAGCCGTGTCGATATCCATGGCATCAAAGATTTGCCGCGAATACAGGCGATATACTTTCCCAGCGGCGGTTCTGTAACGATGGGAGGGATAACAGACAGCAGACGCAAGATTCAATCACTCAAACAGCTGTCATTGTAGCCGACTTGGGAGAAGGACCACTGGCTGTCCTTGGTTGATCGAGCATTTTCTCACGTTCTCCGTCGACCCATCCACAGGACCGCCATGATCAAACTGTGATCGTGCGACAGACGCTACCTTCCAGCACGACCGGCACGCTGTGTTGCAGTTGCTTGGCTGATGGGGACCACGACCAAAGCGTCCATGGATGTTTTTGGGTCGTACATTGTCTGCTTGACAAAGCCGCTGTCGACAACATATCTAAGAAGAGTCGAATGAATAGGCAGTGAGCCAGTGAAAGAGTCGGCGTCTGATGGCCAGATGGACGGACGCAGAGGCACCCAGTAAATCGTCGGCGGAGTGCATCCGGGATGGTCCGAGGGCTCTGGCCGCGCCTCGAATATGCCGCTACCTGATGCCCGGGATTGTGATGGAGGTTTGGGCAATGTTGGTTGCAAAGATGACTTTTCGATATCCGCGTTTGGGTGGATCAAAAATGGCTCGTTGGTCCACCGACTCGAGCGACGAGTAGATGGGATAGGCGACAACGTTCCAGACTTGATCCGAGTGGCGGATGTCGCTGCGGGCGAGGTCCTCTGTGGCTGCATAGAGCCTGGAGATGGCCGACTCGATGTCTTGCCTTCCCGTCAGGAAAACCAGACTTTGCAGCCGGGTGGAAGAGACGGTGATTTAGAAGCCGGTCGCCGGTCGCCAGGTGGGTGCTGCGGCGTTGGGCCATGTCCGAGACAATGCAGCATTGATGCTGGCAAACCATCGGCTATTTACATGTCGCCTGGCTCCTCCTCCTTGTGGATGTGAAGGACTGTCTCGACAGATCGCTGGACAAATGTGGATTTGAGAGTCGCCAGCTTCATTGTCTTCTGCCACAAGATATCCACGACAAACATTCGTCCGGGAATGCTGAAGATCGGACAGTCGCCAAAGAAGTCGCTGAACTTGTCCATATCCTGAACGAAAGTCCCAGGAGCCGGTAGTCGTGGGCCCGGTTGGTAGACAGGCCGACGAGACAAACAATGAGAGCACTTCAGAGACCATGGACCGTGCATCGCGGAGCAGGGCAGACATTGCTCGAGGCAAAACGATTGGCTCACCAGTGTTGCACTCATGATCACGACTTTTAGATCTGTCCGGAGCCGCAATGCACGGCGCAGAAGCCCTGTTGAGCGGATAGACCATGCATCGTCAGCCGTGCTGATGGGCGCTGAGTGCCGCTTGTTTGTCGCTTACCAAAGAGAATGTCTGTTTCGAGCGAACGCTCGTGAGCTTCGTCCAGGAGGACATAGTCCCACGACGACAACGAGGGATCCTCACATGCCTCGCGCAAGAGAATGCCGTCGGTCATGAACATGAGCCGTGCCGAGTCATCAGCGAGCTTCTCGAAGCGGATGTGGTATCCAACCTTGCTTCCCAGCGGCACATGCTGCTCCTCGGCCACCCGTTTGGCCGCCGAGACGGCCGCAATTCTCCGGGGTTGGGTGACGGCGACTCGAGGCAGGCGCTTGGGACGAGCAGGTGAGTGCGAGACACCGACCGGGGGTTGCTCGGCGACGGCTTCTGATAGTCCAAGGATATACTGCGGAAGCTGGGTGGTCTTGCCGCTGCCGGTGTCGCCGACGACGATGAGGCACGGATATTCCTGGACGGCATCGAGGAGGGCCTGGCGGAACTGGGCTATGGGGAGGGTGTCGTGCGCATCCATGAAGCCGGAGCAATGCGATGGCGATGCCGGTCTGGAACGGCGACGCCGATCTGGAACAGCTAATCTGGCAATGGCGGTCCCGTGATCCTGGCACGACCACACGTGCCGCGCGCCGGCCAAATCCGGCAACCGAGGCGCATCGGTGTCACGTGTGATGGCCGGCCACGTGGCTGGCGGGGGGACACAAGACCAGCCGCCTCGGTGTTCCGTCTCCGTCCGTCCTCTGCGTCTCCTCCATCGCCGAACTGCCGCCGCTGCTGCTGCTTGGTCTGCCGCCGCTGTCATGACGATGGCCGGCCCCCCGAGCCTCTCGGATCTCCCAAGCCATATCCTGGTCGACATATGCAGGCTGCTCCAGCGGCATGTCCTCTGGAACCTCGTCGACTGCCAGAACCGTGCCATCGCCGATGCTGCCCGCTCGTGTCTTTGGAGCTCGGTACATCTGCGGGAGCTCTCGTGCCGGAAGGGCCCTCGGTTCCCCCCGGTATCGTGTGCGCATTTCGTCACCAGTGCCGTGCTGACGGTCCACTGCGGACACTCCGAGCACCACTCGGACGTCGTTTCAAGCATCGTCACGGAGCTGCCCAATCTCAGCTATCTCCGATTTGTTGTCCATTGCCCGCTCGGCACCATGCGGCTTCCAAACATCCCCGAGTTTGGCCATATCCGCCGGCTCGAGTTCGTCTACAAGGACCCCGAGGCTCTCCTGGACTCGGATGGCGGCTGGCTCGAGTGCATCTTCGAGGCTCCACCTTCGTCCTCGCTCTTGTCGTCGGCCGGCACTGGCACCGGCGCCGTCCCGTCCCCAGGCCAGGATCTTGCACCGACTCTACCGCCAGGGGTCTATCCTTCGTGGTCAGATGCATGTCCGCTCATCCGTTCGCTGGTGACTTGCTTCGCCCTCTTCCACGTCGGGTCCGCTGGGACCTCACAATCGTTCTTCTCGGGGCCACGGGCCGGCGTCCCGCTCTCGGCCGTCAACTCGGAGCTTCATCTGGACTGCGACTGCTGCCGCTACCTGGTTGGTCTGAAAATCCCGGCCGATTTTGTCATATCGGACAAGGTCTTCACCCAGGTTTGTGCTTCGGCGCAGCTGTAGATACGTGCGCGAGCGATAGGGAGAGCCTTCGCAGGAGCACTGGGCCCGGCGACATCGGCACAGCGTTGTCATCCATCGCCATAAATCCAGGAGCATACAGCCCAGTATGCACATCTGCAGAGCACCAAGTAATCCGAGGCACTTTCTTCTGCCCTCTCTCACAACGCAGCTCACCGATCGAAGCTCTCGCCTCAAGACGCTCTCCGTTCCGCACGCAATCTGCACCGACCAGAGTCTCCAGCATATTGCCTCGTTCCACCGTCGTTTACAGGATCTGACGATCCTGTCTCGGTCGAGCTCGCGGATCACTCCCCATTGCTTGTCCGAGGCAGTCTCGCAGCTCCATGCTCTCAAGTCGATCAAACTGACTTCCTACTGCACCAACGACGATGTTCTCGTGGCGATATCTCGGTCGTGTCCTGGTCTCCTCAACATCGAACTCAATGGCGGGAGATCCATGACCGACTCGGGAATCGGTGCGCTGGTCAACGGCTGCAGCGGCCTCGTCGGTGTCTCGCTGATCGGGTGCGGATCGCTGACAGACGCCAGCTTGATCATGCTTGGCCACGGCTTGCCCCGGCTTAAGAAGCTCGATCTGTCGTACTGTAGCCAGTTCACCGATCTCGGCTTTGAGGCCCTTGTCGACACCGAGGGCAACCTCGAGCGCGAGTCGATGCTCGAGTATCTAGCACTCGACACCTCGGCGATATCCGAGTTGCTGCTGACCAAGATCCTGACGCTTCACTGCCGGACGTTGTTGTACCTGTCGCTGTCGTACTGCACACGAGTCAGTGGACTTGAATTCCTTCCGTTCTTGAAGTCGCAGAGTCAAGTCTATCCGCTGCCTCTGCAAGTGCTGCGAACGATCGGCTCGACCGTCAACAATGCGCTCTTCCGGATCTATATTCCGGCTCTGCAGAGCCTGAGGGTCTGTGACATTGCATACCACTGTATCTCGGAGTACCAAGCCAAGAAAGTGCGCGATGCCATGAGGCACGGCAAAGACCTCAAGCTGTCGCTGGGGCTTCGTGCCGCCCGATACTGCAGCTTTAGAGGCATCTTTGTCGACTCGGAGGACGAGTCCAACGTCTTTATCCGCAAGATCTGTGCCTCGATCCAGCTCTCGGAGTTTGAGTCAAGGTGGATCGAACAGAGCGTCTCACCAAGCCTCAAGAAGCAGCTGCAGATCGGCTACCTGCTAGACTCAGAAATGATGTCTATCCTCCGCATCCAGGACCGCGAGCATGTCGCTGATGCCGACAACCAGGGCATGTTTGGCGAGCTTTCGTACTCGTTGGGTGGGCACGTGCGGTCCCTTTATCGAATCCGCAAGGATGTAAGTGGCTCTCGAATGCATGTTAAACCAGCAATGGACTGTGGCCCGACAGGGCGCGTGTGCAGGCCACCGCAGTGAATCGATGAGGTGCCCGGCCATCTCCCTGACGCCTTTGGCTCGTTGTCGTTGCCTCTAGGGCGTCCCGTCACTGGACACAAACAGCTCGACCTTCAAGATGCTCGCGCGATGGCATCCACAGACCGGACGCTCGTATTGGCAGTCCGCACCGGGAATCGGAGGACTACGAGAGGGAGGCTGGTTCGATGTGAATGAAGACTTGAAGAAGGAGCTCAGCGTGCGCGGCCCCCTCCCACCCGAGCGGGTCGAGTGGGTCAAGCAGCAGTTTCCAGCCTTCATGGAGCTGGTGTCGTTCGCAAGACGAGGCTATGTTGAACAGATGTGGGAAGTCGACTCGGTTGCGGGGGCATCGCTCGATCCCGGACAGAAGCGTGACGACTACGGCTCCCCTCTGCTTAACCGACTATCGATCCTGCGCAAGACGCCCTCGATCCCCGAGTTCAGCCTTGATGGCTCCAAGTCGTCGCCCTCACCCGAACCTGCTAAGCGGTCGTCCATTTTCAGCCTCACAAAGTTCCGGCCCAAGAGCCACATGTCGACGTCATCAGTGAGCTCAAGCTCGAGCGCCCCGACTACCCCCACAAATCCGAACGAGCGGTCGGTCTTTTGGAAAATCGTCGATGGCGAGATCCGAGTGTGGTCAACCGAGCTGAAGGAAGAAGCCGAGACAGCCCGCGCGCACGATGGCGTCCTGGACATTGGGCTGAAGCGCGAGACCGTCCCGCGACTTGTTGAAGATCCATGTTTCACCTTTTTCGACTGGCAGAGCATCGTTCGGCGCTTTGTTCCGATTCCGAAAAACGTAGACTATTAGACGGAGCTGCCAGTAACTCAACTGCAGTTCAATTGTACCATAGATAAACACAATGCCGACCAAGCTCCCGTATCTCTGGATCAAGAAAGCCAATATCGATCGAAATACGACATACGACGAGAACGTCATCAAGCCTTTTTTGGAGGGGGGAGGGAGGATTTGGACAGAGGATGCAATCAATGTATACATAGACGATGTAGAGCTTGGTGCGAGAGCAAATTGACAATGATGCCGGATCAGTGTGAAATTAGCCAATACCAGAAAGAAATGAAAGCGAAAGAAAGCCACCGGCGCCTGAATGAATGCCTTGGCATCTTGGCTTCACACAGTGCGAGCTGCATCTGCATCATGGTTCCAGTGGGAGCGTAGCTCGAGAATGATCGTCAAAATAGCCCACATTCTAGGAGAATCGTTCGTTGGGGAATTGCCGCCGGAACCGAGCGGCGGGCATCTTGCGGCGATGGCGTACTGTTCCTGCGCCAAATGCGCATGCTTTGGCTGCTGCTCGCGAGCTACGAATGTGCGGTGCCTGTCGCATTCTGGACATTTCCAACAAGCAAAGCATACGCAAACGGACTCGATATTATCAGCTTGACGACTTCCATATTGGCGCGGTCATCGGCTGCGGGCGGGTCTGCTTGGTCGTTCGCCGCGTAGGTCCCACCGAGCCGTTCGTACATTTGAACCAAGAGGCGATCTTTCCTCCGGAATGAGCCTTCAATGTTCTCAAAGCAATGCTCCAGGTTGATGTCTGATGGGATTCCCGTGGTGTCGCCCAAGGACTCTCGGTATTGGCGAGCATACTGAAGCAGCCCGTGATTTTGTCAGCATTGCCCCGACAACCGTCTGCAGCCAACGAAGCATTGCTCACGCGACCGATATGGCGAACAGCTCTCACCTCCTCGATTTTATGAAGCTTGGCATCCAATGAAATGTGGTCGGACAATCGCTCGATGTCGGCGCAGATGTCCTCGGATGATGAAATGATGGATGAACCGTTTGCTCGGCTCGCAAACGATATTTTGTGTTTCTGTCGAGGAAAGGGGAATACTCGGGTTTGTGATTGCCTATCACCTGACCATTCATTTTGAGCGATAAAAGTGACCCACGACTATACTCGGAGCTATACTCGGAGCTGAAGGGCAAGTTGAGTTGCTCGAACCGCAGAGAGTCACGGACATCAGCCGAGAGTCGCCATGCAGCAGCCCCACGAGCCACCCAGACAAACCTTGCGAGGTACTGCAGCCTCTATGTCGCGAGAGGTGCGCAGTTCGGGCTTTTCGGCCGAAATCTCGTCGTTGCTGAAATGTCGGTTTCCGACGGATGCAGATCCGCTCCGGAGTCTGAGCATCGTCAAAGTACGAAGCGAAAGCTTGCTTAGCCAAGACTCCGAAGCAATTGACAGAGGCCTGTCGACACAATGCTTGTTTCGGATCGAAGGGAACAAGGAGTGCGCGGCTTACTGAGACAGTCGACCCTGGTCTTCAAAGAGCTTCATCAACTTCTTCAACTCGCCTTTGTTGGTCAGGAAGAGCCCATCAAAGTATTCTCTGATAAAGTCATTTGAGAGTGGCGAGCAGACCGAGCAAGGTTGATCAGCCAGGCACTCCGCTACCTCGCACCCTCCATACCCGCACCCCTCTCGCCCAAACACCGATTCCTCTGAAAGCACATGGTTATCGTCGAATACTTACACTTGCTGGACGTACAGCAGGATGAGAATCACAAGCAGCCAGCCGCCAAAGATAACAAAGGGCATGAAGTATAGGGTTGTCCAGTTCAAGGCGCCCCCCACGACTGAAACGAGCGTGCCCCACAACGCCATGGCAAAGCTTCCGGTGAGCAAGCCAGGCATCCACTTGACGTTGACTGGCATAAAGTACCAAGACAGAAACATCATTGTCGCGTTGTTCAGGATCATGATTATCCCGTGCGACCATCGGCTGTGATCTTGAAATCTGGAGCTTACTGCGGCCAGCAAATGCGACAGCACAAGGACCACAGTGAACCATTTAGAGAACAGAATATCCTGGAAAATCCATGCGTAGATGATGAGAATCAAGGCTGAGCTCCGTCGGCGCAATGCGAGGCTCTACAACGAGTCTAGCTCTCACCTGACGCGGGGACAGGTGCTGCCACATGTACGCCGTTGAGAATCCACAGGGTATCATCAGGACGATGAGGAACAGCGAATAGAGCGCCACACCCCAGTGCAAAGGTGTCCAGCACTCGAATGTGCAGTCGCTCTCCAAAAACGCGTACGGCTGAAGCATGCTGTCATAGAGACAGGTCCACGTCGACATCATCGTTGACATGAACGGAACAAGCGCCAGGTCGCCTGCGGTGACGACGTGATATGAAGGTGAGGGACATCCGAATACCATATCGTCCAACTACAGATGGGTGATATGCATCTTACCAACAAACGACAGCAGAATCGAAGCCGGTCCCAGAATCCATTGCATGTACTGCGGCAGGTTCTTGACCAAAGCAGACCGAAAGATCACGATGCACACGACCCACATTGTCGATATCACCAGCACAGCAGACAGGTACCAGATGTTGGTTGATCCGTTCGTGAGGAATGCGCAGTACGATAGAAATGTCGTGAACCAGGATGGCCATGTTTCGTCGATCATCACTGGGACCGAAAACTGTATGATCCGCATCACTGTCGACAGCAGCACCATGTAATTGTTGATGGTTGGTCGACTGGAGCAAAGTACAGCCCAGCCAGTCAGCTCGAACGGGTAATCTCCGGCATGTATGGTGGGAACGCTGGTACGGTGCCGCTTTGCTCTCAGTGGTGCGGGCGACTGATCTCGATACTCACATCTGTATCCGGGCTATTGTCTTGGAATTATACTTGTAGTATTTGTACAAAAAGTATGCCCCAAAAGCGGCTATTTCAGAGAACACCACAATGGCAGCGACAATCGAAACGTAGACGCCCCATGGAGCTATCGATGCGGCCAGATGGAAATTCTCGTAGATGCCATAGCTCCTATCGACACGGTCTTGGCAAGTGACTAAGCAAGCACAGAGGCGTATGTTAGCCGATCTGCGATTGACCAACGCCAACCAGAGCCACTTGCCTACCAAGACCTGTGGTGGAGGGTAGTTGTGACGTTAGATTCGGTTTGTGACGGTGAGGTCCGACGATGCATGTATGTTCAACTGACAGTATTCCTGAAGCAAGCCACTTGGCGCATACGGGTGCCCGCCCAAGGGACAACCCATCTTGACATTCCATGAGGGGTTAATTTCAAGAGAATTCGATGCATAAAGCTCCGGTGCAACACTGACACTGGTTCCGTTGATGATCTGAAACCACAGAATACATGTTACGATCCGCTCGAATGAGGAACACGCGTGTGGTTCTCAATACCTGGATCAGCACGGCCTGGCCGCCAACGTTTCTCTGTGTGTTGTCCATCAGGATGTTCCCGAAGAAGGTTTCTTGGTGCAGCGTGAGAAAGCCTCTGCACGATCGGTACGCGCATATTTGGCAAATATCCGCAAGACTGGTCAAATGCTGCGTGGAAGTAAAGTCCCATCATGCCATTCATATGCGTGCTGAATGCGATCACATATCAGCCAGACCCCTCACCGCGAGATCTCGCTGTTCTGCAAGACCCCTGCGGACTCAATGGCGAGCTGGAGAATGAGACCCGCAGCGGCTCCGCTAGCTGAGAGATACGAGGGAAGTGTGTTGTAAGTTGCGTTGTAGAGACGGACAAAGGCCTGAGACGAATTGAACTTGGGATCCAGGAAGCTCAGCGAGCTGTGCCACTGGAGGAGCGCAAATAACACATTGCACGTGAGATCGACGAGAATCACTGCCATTGAAACAGCAAGCGGTCCGAAACCGGATATCCCCGCCCACCGATATACCTGAACAGGTGACGTGATGTAGTCCGCAGCAAGCGCACCGACATTTTGGATGTATGTGGTCGCGCTTGGGGCCACTGTGATGAAAACGCCGACAAACTCGAGGGCCATATTTTCAATCAAAAGGGTGATATCCTGGCAGTTTAAGCATGGTTTCATCAAACAGTGAGTGCTTTGCCCCTCCCCATCGACAAGTTTGCCACGCTGATATGTCTCATCCAAGTTCCAGCAAACACTCGCTTTCAGTAGCTACTTACATTCCCGTCGGCACTACCCGCGGCAATGACCATCAGCAAATCAACTTTGGCGTGGTATATGGCCTGCAGCTCCGCGGTAATGATCGCCAACGAATGAGTCCTGTTTGTCTGGTAAAGTGCATTGCTCCAAGTGGCGTTCGACACCTGGAATGTCCACACGCAAAATGGGTCAGCCTTTGCATGAGAATGCGTGAGATGAACAGCGATGATTCACCCTCCCCAACTGGCCACAGCGTCTGTCCATACAATGTTCATGCCAAATTGTGAGGCATAGTAGTATACTGCCGCGGTGGTTGTGACAGTGAAGACGGAGGCATCCGAACTGATGAGGCCAATGCGGGTGATGCCTTTGAGGCTGAAGCTCTTCATGAACAGGATAGGATAGTAGTCGCTGGGAACGTGCACTCCCCAAATGTACCGCAGCCCTTGCGAATAGATAGCTCGTGGTCCGGTACAGCATTGCACGTTGATCATCTGCATGCTCTCGCAGTATGGAGCGACTGCGGTCGTGAAAGTCGTTGAGCCTGAGATCCAATACGAGAAGCATTGCTGTGAACACCGCTGGCTTGTGCATATCCGAATCATATCGACTAGCGGCAGCGGAATCACAATCATTTGGTCCTCGCTTGTCTCACTCGTGTTTGGCTGTGTCATTTTCATCGCGGGAACTGAAGCCATTTGGGTCGAGGATATGGCAAGCACGAGCACAGCCACCCAACATGCCCGATAATATCAAAGAGGTATCCGGCCTTGCATCCCAGCTGGGTGCTGGGCACCATCGCACCAACCTCCAATAATGACGTCCACTTGGTCGACGGTGATCAGTCGCTGAACAGACTCGAGAGCCAGGGTCAGGTTGCTCATGGAATCGTAGTTGATGAGCTCGACCTGACGCGGCATGCGATTGTTACTGATGCGCTTCAAAGTGGTGGTGTCGATACCCGGGACTCTTGCCTGTGATGCGTTGCGAATGCAGTGTGGCCTACCGTATAGCTCCGATTGCCGACCATGATGCCACCACGAGCATTGGTGTAGTTGACCCACAGCACCAGCCCGTGATACGCGTCGATATCAGAGGCAGCATTGCCGCCAGAGAAGCCAAAGTACGACCCAAGACGGATCGAGGGACGGCTGACATTCCAAGCACGCACGAGACTGCATACGGCGAAGATGAGAAAGACCTGTAGGACTCGCATGATGGACCGGCGCCGTGTCGGCCGCGCACGCAGCAATCGCGATGGGTGTAGCGCCGACCAGAAGAATTCGGCTGACGTCCAGGATGAGTATTCCCTCGCTGGAAAAGCCCGCAGTGTTGGCTGCTGACAAATGATGCTGGATCTCGATGTGAATCAGTCCTGGCCCGCGGTGCTCGCAGACTCCATCACCCACATTGACACAGGAAGCTGCATTGTCAACATCGATTTCCCATGTCCAATCAAATGGTCTTGGTCATTGACCACCCGGCGCCTGGTGCTCTGCTGGACTCCCTCCGAGCTCATGTCCAGCATCGTACTTGGTTTCAAGGTACACGCAGCCGTTGGAATCCGAACGGAATCTCTGTCGACGCCGCTGTACACGACCCTCGAGTCGCATCACTTGCATCGCTTCCCTCGCTTCCATGACTGCGATTAGAAGCTCATGCGGCAAAGCATCCATCGCAATGCTGTCCATGACTTCGCCGGCTCACTGCAACTTCCCTCGCTGCAGATGGTCTTGGCCACTGCTCTATGGCTCCAGCTCATTTCATGCCCAAGTCATCGACCATTAACACGATCGAAGGGGATCTGCGTCGTTTGGCGCATGTTTTATGGGCTCAGAGCACTCCCGACATACGCAGTGCTCTGCCTACCGGAGTCACCGAGCTTCAGGACCTGCTGAATGTATCAGCCAATGACTGGAGCTTCCCAGATCGTCGCGCCGGGCCAATGCCGACGGCATCAAAATCAAGCATGATCCGCATGGCCTCTGTATCAAGTCGTATGCGCTTGCAACGGCTCCAGAAGCTTTACAGCCTTGGGCGTATCTACTCCTCGTTGCCGACGTCGAAACAGTCGACTGAAATGAGAAATCTTGTGAGCTGGCCTTGTTCTAATGAGTCAGAGTATGATCTGTCTTGTATACGCAAGATCGCAGACTTGAGAGGAAGCAGTCGTGTGTCGGCATTTCTTAGCCGAGGACTAAGCAATACTGAATGCTAGATCGCAACCTTGGCCGGACAGACAGCATGAAGCCTTCCAGTCCTTGGCGGAGACTCGCGCGGTGATTCATGCAAGCTGCACGGCAGCCCCTGCCGATCCGATCCGGTCGTGCAGAGCCCAATGTGGTTGGCTGTGCTCTCGCCATGATGCTGTGCAAATGGTGCATCGTCGGCAGGCTGCGCTGAGTACGCTCGGATCAAATATGAGTTGGAATCGAATCAGCCCGCTGTGCGCACCTGAGAACGAGTGCTGGCCGACAGACGCTTGGAACCCATGCCGTGATTTGGATAATGGTAAGTACCGCAGTAGTTGCGCTCAGGGAATGGAATTGACTTGGATCTGATGCAGCGTGCCACAGTTTGGTACAACTATGTGGAGAGAACCAAGGAAATGTTCCCACAATCCATATTGCAACGAGAGTCCCATGGTGAGCCCGACCCTCGGCCAAGGATTTCGCTACCCTTTCTCCGCTAACCGTCCGTTGGCAGCCATGGGTGGAAGGGATTTGGTAGTCCCGCGGCGGCAGAAAGTAGATTCAGTATCAAGGTGGGTAGATGCATGTTCTCAAGCTTCGTGATATGGCAGCCGGCCGATATGTCAGGATGTTTGGCACACGCATTCACACCTCTTGGCCAGCTATGTTGACAGACTGAAGCGACCGGCCAAGCTTGGGGCCGATGGTGCTTTGTGCCCAGAGGCCAGCATTGCCGAGTTGCTCTCGCTGCTTCAGGAGTCCCAGCAGTTGGTGCTATTGCTTCGAAAAATGGACGCCATCCAATTAGACTGGATTCTGTCGAGACAGATCAAAAGTGGGTTCTCCCTTGCTTTGTGATGTGATTGTGGATGCATAGCCCTGCGACCGAGATCACGTCTATGAGATACTCAAGGGCTCTGTGCGTGCACCATATCGCCCAGCATTCGTCCTGCCGAGGCCGGGCGGATTCAGCCTCCGCGATTCAGCAGCACGCCGAGTCTCGTCCAGGGACTTTCTAGAGATTATGCAATCCATAATGCGGCTATCCCCGGCTCTCAACATCCATGCTTGCGTCCAAGCTCGACCCAGTCTGCTGTGGATTCTGGAAAGACTGAATGGTAGCGACAAGAATCCGGGGCAAGCCCCGCGGTCCAAAGACATCCAAGACGAGGGTGTCCTTGGCCAGTATTATCTTGGGTTCAGTGCGAGCCACGAAGCAAGAAAGTGTCTTGCCGACGCTCGAGGCACCGACATCGGGTCCTTGCCAGCGATTCTTCAAAAGCCGGTTCTACATGCAATGCTACTCGGAGACGTCAAAGTACAGGCACGTATCTTTGACTATTCAGATCGGAGCTCTCCAAGGAGCAAGTCCACACGTCCAAAGAAGCGGAAATACGACGACGAGAAGGCTGATGTGGTGCTTGGACATGCTGCCCGGCCGGAGGAGCACATGCCTTCCAAACTACCATCATGCAGAAACCCATCAAACCTACTTTCAGATCCGATTCAGTTCTCTGCAAGAGGGCAACTGGCTGATTTCTTCTTTCTCCGCGGCGAACCCATTGATCCAGGTAACAGAGAGGCGCAGCATCCATCCTATGTCCATGCTGCACCAGGGCCAAGGACCTCGCTAATGCCCGTACTGCAGATACGGAGATCCAGACAGGCGATGCTCACGACAAAGTATCGGCTGAAGCTCTCGGTGCGCTTGGTACTTTATGTGGTCGCAACGACGAGTCAGTTGCCTCCCGAGTCTAATCCGTGAGCGTTTGGCTACAGATGCTGTGGATCCCAAGTTGCTCGCAGTTGTTTCGAGCTCATCTTTGCCCCTCTTCGATCACCGCCCACTGGATGTCCGGCACGTTTTCTTTGCAAGCTCCAGTGTTCTACTGCGCCCGGAGCTTACCCGATGTCTGGATGAGGAGATGAACATCGAGGTTGTGGCTCGCGACTTTGACTATGCCGACGCAGCACAGGTCAGTCCAGGTGTCGCTGTGTAGGGTGGCTGCCCTCGAGGCCAAAAACAAGCTAACGCTCCTTCTTTCAGAGCGGACTGTGTCCAAACACCACGTGGACGAACATGTCACATACCGGCTTTGTGCTGGACGAGCGGACATGCATATTGTGAGCTGCTCAAGTTTTCGTCGGCGTCACCGGGAGGCGGTGAAACCCAATGAATGACCAACATGCATGGCTTCAGACTTTATCCCCTCTCCATGGTATCACAGTGCTCCGAGGATATATCGGGCGCTGACCTGGCGCAGCTTCTGTCCAAGTGGCATGTTGGACGGTATCTGGCTGGGATTTTATTCAGATTTGAGAGTATATTCATTCTCCTGGAGTCGCAGGGCCACAGCGGCATGCCCGAGATGGCCATAGGAGCTGGTCCTTCAAACAGGCAAGTCTGGGTCATGTTCGGCGATAGCCGTTGGCGGCTCCATTCAGCACAGCAGGCAATGAAATCAGGCCATGAGTCCTACACAGCGGCTTACTCCCATTCTCTGGTGCAGTGGCTTTGATCGGTCGCGAGGACGTGGACCGTTTGTGGCTGCTCCTATCGCTCAAGGCATCTCGAGGATATCGCTACTGGCATCGCTCATGCATCCCCTCGGAGTGCGCATCGAGTTCAAGTACTCACACTCGCATCGAGAGACAGCACAGTGGGTCCGGTACGTTTTCAAAGACTATTTTGTGTGAATTTTCATGTTGTTCACTGGGACACTCAAGCGAGCGGCACCCGCACTATCTGGCCGAGAGCCTGGTCCATCGCCGAGCCCATCGCCGAGCCCATCGATGCCGAGCTCTAACAAATGGAGGAGTAGCCTCATAGGAGACCAGTGCGCTCACGATTGCGAACAGGGCGCTGATGTCAGACGGTCTGCATGGTCCTGCGCTGAGACTTGGAGCGCCCGCCCGTGGATCCGCAGAAACGAGACCCCGGTGAGTCGGATCCGCGAGCCTCCACGATTATCGCCACGACAACGGTGGCCGCTGCATCAGACACCATCCGTCCATCTTGATACATTGACGGTTCCGTGCATGCTTTGGTCGAGACGAGCAATCATACGTGCATTTTCTCATCTCTTCCGGATGAAACATTCACCGACATCCAACTGCCGCGGATCACTCGTGGATGGCTGCTCCTGCTGCGCCACACGATACGACGATGACAGCAAGAGCGGTTCCTGTGCTCGCTAGGAATGTTCAACTGCTTCAACGCCCAGCTGGCCCTCCTCCTGTACACGCCACAGCAGCTCTTGTCGATGAATTTTGATGATCTGGTAGAAAATATTGGGTTGTGGATGCCAAGACATGCGCTGGTAGGTGGGCCAGCGACGGTGGGAGCCCTTTGACGAACTTACTCTCACGGCCCCACCCTATCTGCGTGGCTCGATCAACAGGAGCGGTTTTATCGGGTGGCACGGCAGCCACTATTGTAGCCCAGCCTATCGAGGCTCAAAAACGAGCAAGTGCTTGAAGTAAAACTTTATTGCGGAGCTGCTGATTGTTACTGCTATCTATGGCGAGGCGCCGCATGGCTGCAGAGCTATGTGTCAGTCCGCCAGGGCGACAGCAAAGGAGCAGAATGTTACAGTGGGCATTGCCGCAGCTGATTCATGAGCGGCGGCAGCGGGAGCAATCTAGTTGGTCGCTCGGAAAGCAGAATAGGATCTGGAGCAACTGAGGGTGCGTCAATAGCAGCGCCTTGAACACGACATTCAGGCACGCACGAGGAAGGGAAGCTGCAGAGCAAGTGGTGCAGGAGGCAAGCGTACACAAGGAAGGAGCAAGAGACGGAGGAAAGGAGGGAACAAGGGAACGAAGAGGCGAGAAAACGAGGTGGGAGAGTAAAGGAAGAACCGAAAGCAGAGCTGGAGCAACTTGACATGCTGCAAAGGATGAAAAGTCAACCAAAGCGACCCCACGAGAGAGGCTAGACTAGAGGCAGCCGAGTCCATGCTACACGGGCAAGCAAGAAAGCTAGAATGTGCGAGACGAATATGAAACAAGAGCAAATATCCAGAGCCAGCAACCAGTGCGACTGGTCGGCACGGCCTGCGAAAGAAAGGCATGAAGCGAATTGGCGCCAATGAGCCGATACCATCGAGGAGACAGGCATGGGCATGGAAAACGCAAGATGAAACAAAGTTCGCGGGTGCAGGCGAGGGACAAATAGGCATCGGCATGACCTCGGGGCAAGGACACTGCCAGACAAGGCACACCAAGTGTGGGAGCGAAAGGCGGATAAGCACGCAAGAGGGCAAGGGTCGATACGCAAGCACTAAAGAAAGCAAGATGAACAGTAGGGAAGGCAACTCGACCGGAATGGAATGGAAGTAGAGGGACCGGAAAGAATCGGCACGGCCGCTCATGTGCCAGATCTGAGCGGTTGCCGGACTGGCGGCACCGCCAGCGGCACAGACGCAGCTCTAGTGCTTACTCCGGCGAGAATCACGAGCGGAAGGGGGAGGATGGCGACCAGCGGGATCGTCCGAGTCTTGGGTCTTCACAGGACGGTCGTCGGTGTTATCGTCATCGCCTTCTGTTCGATCATCGCCGTCGCCCTCCTCGTCTCCCTCTTCTTCGTCGTCGTCGTCTTCGTCGTCGTCGTTCGGATTGACCTCGCTTCCCTGTGTTGGGCCATTCGGGTTGTGCTCAGGATCGCCACCGTGTCGAGGGGCGCCGGGCGCTTCCCCAGGCATGGGTGCGATAGGCGGCTGGAGATGGGCGTGAGCCGCCCAGACTTGGTAGCTGGGATAGTAGTGCTGCGGAGCATGGACGCCGGGGTGCTGAGGGGGGACGTAATAGGCAGCGCCATCGTGGGTGGCATACGGATAGTGCGGATGGCCCATCATTGGCGGTTGCCCCATACCCATCATGGGAGGTTGGGCGTATGGAGGAGCAGTGGACGGGCTGGCGGGCGAACCGAACTCGCCGTATCCAGGATCAGCCTCGCTGTTGCCGCCGTTGCGGTTGGACATGGTGGCATAGTGGCCAGGGGCACGGCCGCGGACCACGAGGTTGACCGACTCGGCCGTGGCAATGCGGACGTTGCTGTTGTCCTCCATCCTGGCCCAAAGCTCAAGCACCAGCACATGGTACTGCTGGGCGGCGCGGCGCTTGCCGTTGTTGGCAGTCGCAGATTTGAACTGGATGCGCTCAAAGGTGATCTGCTGGGCCGCATCTTCCGGGCGAGCCAGGGCGGGATCCGATGGCAGGCATTGACGCAGTCCAGGGGTCGTCTGGGGGCCCTTGTCTCGCTTGGCGGTGTGCTGGACCAGCTCAATGTCGCGCTGGCCGTTGGCGGTCTTGGAAGACAGGCCGATGTAGAAGCCCGTGACGGTGCGGACGGCATCGTCCATGTCGATCAGGCACGGCAACTCGAGACGTTGCTTCTGCGAGTCATAGGCGGCAAAGGAGCAGCTGACCTGAAAGTAATTGCGGCGGTAGCACGTCCAGTCGCCCTCGGCCAGGAAGAAGCCGCGGTCGATCTTTGGGTAGAGGACGGCGACGTAGGGGCGCTGGTGATCGCTATCCCAGAGGGCAAAGGCTTGCTTAGTGGGCTTGAACACGGGGCCGACCTCGGATATGTTGCGGCTTCGACGGGAGCCGCCAAGAGGAGACACTGTGTTGGGCTGCATGGCCGAGTAGACACCAACACCGCCCATGACCGGAGTCGCGTAGAAGGGAGCTGCATATGGGTGGCTGGATGGGCAGATGTGGCCGCGACGAGGCAGCGCAGAGCAGACGAGGATCGGGACGAGGATCAGTACAGACCCAGAGGCTCGCTCCCGTTGAAAGGCACAGAGCAACAGGCTGGGGGCAGATGATCAAACGGCAGAGACGGGCATGCGCGACAGGGGAAGCGTACGTACTAGGCGGCGTTGCCCCGAGCCGGATCGTACATCGGGGCGGGCAGATAGGCATAGGCCGGAGGGGGCGCCTGTGCAGGTGGTTGCTCCTGCTCATGGGGAGGCGCACTCTGGGGACTGCCGTTGGTGGCCTGGGGATGCTCGGGCGAGCCCTGGTTCGGGAAAGAGGCGGGATACATGGCCGAGGATGTGCGAGGGGGTCTGGTCCAAGCAGAGGAAGGAAGGTTAGCGAGTGAGCGAATGACGGGACCTGTTTTCGGCACCCAAGTATCGGCAAATGCAGCTGGTGCAGCGACCGGCACCAACGCAGCAGAAACCCAGTCCGGGGTACAGAAGAACTGCAATGTGGATGACGCAGGAGAAACGCAGCTTGACCCTCGCCGATGGCCCCGAGCGATCGCTCGCACTTGCGCTGCCTCTCGCTGCTTCCCGCCCCCCCCCTCCGGCCAGTCTTGACGACGCTTGCCCCAGCCATCGTCCGGCCGACCCGCTGGGGGACCTGTCCGCGGCGGCTCTGCGCTGCACTGCGTTGCTCTGGATGGATCGCCGCGGTGACGCACCAGCAGCCAGGGCAGTCGCCAGAGCAGTCGCCAGCAGCAGTCGCCAGCAGCAGCAGCAGCGAGAGAGTAGCGGTGGTCCGGGCGTAGCCTCGGCATGGCCCAGCCGTCGTGAGTGGCCCCATGGCAGGCCGCCAGCATGCTCCATGAGACCCCGGCAGGGCCCGGCGGTGGGGATGCAGGCTCTCTGGCCTTTGCAATACCCAAGGTCATACACCGGGATGCAGGGAGTTGCAACACCCAAGGTGATACATTCCGGGAACACCACCACACACGGGCAGGCGGCGAGCAAACCATCGCCTGCACCAGCATCAAGCAACACCGCCCGCGGCAGCATTGGCGACAGAGACGCACCGGATTTCCTGTTGCGATGGCGATCGGGTGGCGGGAGAGGGCTCTGGCTGCAGCAGTCCTCCGGAGGGCGATTGCGGCGGCATACAAAGACAGGCCGACAAAGATGTCGCCGCGAGAGAAAACCAAAGCCGCTCCCTGGCCGGCTCGAACCGCGGCGGCGCCACCGAGAGCGCCGTCGCTGCGGTCTCGCTTCTCGCCACGCCCTCGCTGCCCGGCCGCATCGGGGCATATGGACTTTTCATTAGCGCTGGGGCCACGTGCGTGGCGGTGTCGGCGGAGTGCGGCCAATGCGCGTGCTCGGGGACACGGTCATGGCGATGTTGCACTTGGTCTTCTTGGTCTGGCTTGGTCCTCTTGGCCTGGTTGTTTGGCTCCTCGTCCACGCCGACTGCACTCCATCCCGTTCGCATGGCCGGCTTCGTCCGCCGCTCCGGCCCGTTCCTCTACTCCGGATCCGACCCACTGCATGGCCGGCTGCGCTTCGCCAGCTTCAACATCCCGAACCTGCATGTCATCGAGGACCCCGTCTGGCATCTGCCCGATCCCTGGGAGCAGCTCGATGCATTAGAGTCCGTCCGGCTGCTCGGAGGACAGGTGGCCCGCATCTACTGTCTGTCGATCCAGCCGCTCGGCGCCGAACCCAACAGTACGGCCACCCAGCGGCATGTCTCGTTCGACCCCGCGACCGGCGCCATCGTCCTCAACGAAACTCTGTTCAGATCGCTCGACTCTGCGCTGCAGCTCGCCCAGAGCAAGGGCATCAAGCTTATCATTCCCTTCATCGACCGTTGGAGCTGGTGGGGCGGGATCCAGGAGTTTACGGCTTTCTACGCCAAGCCCTTCGACTCGTTCTTTACCGACCCGCAAGTCATCTCTGGCTTCAAGTCCCTGCTGTCGCTCGTGCTCAACCGGGTGAACACCCTCACTGGTGCGTTCTTTCCCGATCCGGAATCGAGGGATATTGGTCGGTCGACATGAGGCCGCCAAATCGCCGGCATATCCGACCGCCGAGCAGATTCGTGCAGGCGCCCAGATTCACTGCTTCTGGCCCATGGCTGGACACCTCGTCCACTCTTGGCACTGCTTTGTGCCATGTTCAGCCTGATGGCTGACTCTGCTGTCGTCTCACTTCCATGTCGTTCGGCTCGCCCTCTAGGCATTGCATACAAGGATGATCCAACCGTCCTCTGCTGGGAGTCTGGCAACGAGCTTGAGCTCTCCGATGGTTCACAAACTCCCGCGGACTGGACCATCCAGATTGCGCAACACATCCGGTCGCTTGATGGCAACCATCTCATTTGCGATGGCAGCTACGTCCGCACTCGCGGTTTTGACCGCAAGATCCTGAGCTGCGACAGCATCGACATCGTCACAAATCACTACTACGACGAGGGGCCGCCGTCGTCTCCGGTCCTACTCCAATGCATCTTGGGAGTGCTGTTTCTGATTGCGCTCTTGATCCTATGCATGGCATGGCTCAAGACAGACTCGGTGTCTTGGATCCAACTCCCTGCCTCTCAGGCCGACCTTGCTCACCCAAGCATCAGCACCACCGCCCGGATCACCACGCTGGCTATCTCCGGCACTGTCGCCGCCGGACTGTTTGCTGGTCTGGTGTATTTGGCTTTTCTCAGCCAAGCTCCGTCTACATTTGGCTCTCGCATTCTTCGCGATGCGACTGCTGCCTATGCCGCAAACAAATCGTTCATCGTCGGCGAGGTGGGTCTGTCAACACAAGAGGAGTTTCAGTCTGCTCTGGATGCTCTTTCATCAGATACCTATTGGATCTCGGGTCTTCTTTTCTGGAGCTTGCGTTTCCACAGCAAGGACGGAGGATTCTGTAAGTGTGTCTGTGGTTCTCGAATATCTGGATTGTCTCTGACCCGATCGATCTGCCATCGGATGGACAGAACCGTGACCGATACCCGTTGCTAACATGTTCGACGGCATGCGCTCTACTCTGAATCTGCATCCGCGACGGGCGTCCTCCGGCTATTACCCAGATACCCATCACGAACAGGACGTGTATTGGGCTTACCACTATCCTGGGCTTCCAGCAAACCCCGATGCTGGGTTTCCCCTTGATGAACAAGCCACCATGAACCTCGTTCGCTCGCACATTCCCAGGGTGACCCCAGGATACCAGTTGGCCACGATGAATCTGTCTGCGCCCGCGCTTCTCTCGCCACGGATAAGTCGCAGCGTCAACTTCAACACTCAGGCAATGCTCTCCGTCGGGCTGATCTGGAAAGGAACTGCTGGTGCCCAGTTCTACAGACTCGCACGACGCACTAACAATACCAGCACCCATGGTGGCAATAGCACCGCAGACTTTGTGGAGCTGGGCGACAAGATATACGACAACCAAGGCTCCGGTTCCGTCTTGTTCTGGGATAACATCGAAGCGAGCCAGAATGTCTCGGCAATTGAGTACCGGGTGCGTGGTATCAGCGACAACTCGACATCGCCGTGGTCAGAGACGCTTGTGGTCACATTGGCAGCAATTTCAAGCTAGTGCAATAATATATGGGACACCCCGGATTTTGGTCATTGAACAAATACTTTGTTGCCCCAAACATCGTGCTGGCCATGACCGTTGCTTCTTGCGATACATTCGCCATGTGTTCGATGGAGACATGCTGGACAAACAGCTATACTTCAGCCTGGCCTGGCAATGGTGATTCAAGCGACTCGATCTCCAGGTGTGCTCACAGTGCTGAGAAGCCAAGCGACTCGAGAAGGCCGAGTATCTTGATATCGAGAAATCATAGAGCTGTCCAGAGGGTCGAGTGAATGCACCACATTAGGAGATTGCCAACCAGGACGAGAACAATCGCATGGCTTGTCCACTGGAGCCGATGGATCAGGAGTCCAATGTCGCTGATGCCAGAAAGTAACTGCCCCGTTTCTTTCTGGATTGACTTCAACATTGCCGATGCCGGACACTGAATATAGACGCAAGTCGCTTGCATCCAGAGCCATACATCACAAAAGCCACAGGTGCGGTGCATGTTCCCAGCTGTTGGCGATGTGATTCGGCGTGTAAGAAGAGGTAGGATCCACGTATGATCAGTAATTGGTTTGATTTAGAAGAAGAGGTGGTCGTTGTCTACAAGTTATATTGGCAGGCAGTAGCTACAATTTGTGCATAAGAAAGAGGATAATCCACTTAGGAAAGAAGTAAGTGGATGATGAAGTAACACGAGGGCTCACATCCAAGCAGGATGCAAACCTTTGTCGTCGGTTGAAGCTTGCGACGATCTTTTGAACCCTCTATGAATGCAACGCCGTATCGACTATGCTCATCAAGGAGGTGGAAGAGTCCCATGGCTCCTCTGATGGAAGGAACGGAGTAATCGCCCCACCAGTCGATGTGGATACGTTGGAGAAGGTGATCTGCTTTGATAATGGAGGAGATTTTTGATCGATAGGAGGGCACTTTGGTTAAATAGAATATGACATGGCCCTCGATCGTGCACATCAAGTTGAGTATTACCCACGCCTTCAACGTGGTGGTTGGTTTCGGTTTTAAAGTCGCCAACATTGAACCAATTCTTCTCTGAAGTCATATGAGAAGAACAACCGCCGTTTAGGTGCTATTTGGCTAAGCATTTGGATGCAACGTGATTGCTGCATCCACACCTGAAACACTTGAGGCTTCTGTTGTGTTTGGTCTGGTCACGGGCATCGGAGATGCTTATAAGTCCGCAGTCGCTGACAACATTTGCGAGGCCCGGTTCGCGCAGGATCGAAAGCTGGCTCGCAGGGTCGTAGGCTTGGCTGTTGATGTCAACAATGCACGCCGACTCTGGGGCCGGGTATTTTGGAGGCCTGCTTCGTCAGATGCCAACATGACGCTCCCCAAGCGACGAACGACCAGAACCGAGAGATTCGCGACGGGCCGCGCGAGTCAATTCTCCGCACGCCCGATTCACCCCCATCGCCATCCAGCCCTTGGATTTTGGAAATGCCTCTGCTCCCCGCCGACCACTGTTGCTAGCTGGAGTTGTTCCTGATCTGCAGCAAGCAGAGCAAGCAAGTATGCCTGAGCTTCCCGAAGGTGTGTCTCTGTCGCTCTCCGATCGCAAATCCGCTGCCGCTCCTTGTGCCGCTGATGCATCAAGATACCCGAGCGATCATATGTGGATGCAGAGATACGGCTGAGGGCGTACACTCGAGGGCTTTGTCTCGAGGTTCTGGCATCGGCGCATACCATCCGAGTCGAATGCAGGCTAACTCTGTCCGTCTCTTGGGCATGCCGCCCTGTGATCTCAGTTGAGCGGGCCCGTCGGCTGGTCGACGACAATCTTTTGGGAACCACCATCGTCGACGCTGAGGCGGTAAGCCGGCTGACATGTATCGCATGAGCTGTGTATTGATCTGCTATCAAAACGACTGGCTTCTCAACACCGCCTGCCGACTGATGCCTCTGTGCGGGACGCCACTCCCAGTATCCCGATGATCTGGTTTTTGTTCATCCAACGACCCCAAGCGGGTTTGTCTCGAGTCTCAAGAACAAACGGATCGTGGCCACCCATCGCCGTGGGAAGCTCTTTTTCATCGAGCTGGACCAGCCCCCGCACCCGGTCTTCCACTTTGGCATGACGGGCTCGATCCAGATCAGGGGGTTGGCTCCCCCGACGTTCATGGACTTCAAGACCGATGCGACCAACTGGCCCCCGCGGTTCGTCAAGCTAGTTCTCAAGACAAGCAATCACCTCGAGCTTGCCTTTACGGATCCAAGACGGCTGGCCAGGGTGCGGGTGCTGATGGATCCGCTGCGGGAGCCGCCGATCTCAGAGCTGGGATTCGATCCCGTGCATAGCTTTCCCGACCTCGAGGACTTTGCCCATATCCTGCGAGCCAGGTCTGGAGCCGTCAAGGGAGTCCTCCTCGACCAGAGCTTCTGCGCCGGGATCGGCAACTGGATTGCGGATGAGGTGAGCACATGCCACCTGCATGAAGACAAGCACCATGGCTTTGACAACAGGACAGCACCGGAAACATCATGCCCGCACGACGATCTTGAACCTGTCTCTCGTTCACAGGTCCTCTTCCAGGCTCATATCCACCCGTCGCAGGGATGCAGGACCCTCACAGACAACGAGATACAGATCCTACACAGCAAGATCAAGTACGTCATCGACACTGCCCTTGCGGTCAATGCAGATTCGGATCGATTTCCGGCAGACTGGATGTTCCACTACAGGTCAGTTTCGTCTGTATGTCTCCGTAACGACCCCCGAGATCTACTCGGCATGCCGAAGGACACGACAGACCGTCGACACGAGGTTAATCCGGATGCTTGGTCTGAATGGCGCGCAGATGGAGCAAAGGCAAGAAGACGCAGCCCAAAATGCCCGATGGTCGTTGGATTACTTTCGAGACAGTGGGTGGGCGAACTTCAGCCATCGTCAAGGCCGTCCAAAAGCTCAGGGTATGTCAGGGATCTGAATCTGGACCAGCCGACGAGGCATCTGCAGGCCGTGGCCGTCATGGTGCCCGTGGCTTATGACCATCAAGCACCCATACGAGCCGACCAGGACTTTTCGTTCACACACAGGCTGGCACGAGCACAGTGTCGACAAAGAAGCGACAGGTTCTGGCTGATAGTGGTGGGGATACGCTCACCGTCAGCGAAGAACGAACCAAAGCGAGCGCCGTTTCTGAGGCCGAACAGCCTGAAGACCGAGAGTCTCCGCGGAAGCTGCCCAAGATGCAGGCGACAGCCAGCAGCCGAGAGACCGAGACTGAGTCGAAGACCACCCCGACAAAGAGATTCAAGAGCGATTTGGACAGCGAGCCAAATGGTGCCCGCCGAAGCAGACCGTCCAGGCACCAAGAGGATCTCAGCGCTGTCGTCAAGGCTCAACACGAGTCTCGCCGGATCACTCGCTCAAAGAGCCGAGGCAGTTCTTGATTTGTGTGGTCTCCGCAGCCCCACTCTGTTGCCACGCTTGCTTATCCCGGCATATCGCTGGCAGCGCCACCCCGAACATGACCTCGTCTCTGATGTGCCCTTGCAGCCAACATTCCCACCAGCATTTGATGAGCACGCGCGCCTCTTCCGGCGGCTGAAATGTTGGTGCGACACGATCCACGGCCCCCACGATCCTCATGGCCGACCATACGAAAGCACGAGCCTCCATCCTGGTGCCGCCCAGAGGACACCGGAGTGCCACTGTGGTCTGGACCAGTCTCCACTGATGGAGATGACCACGGAGCGCCGAGGAGGTGGGCGATGCTGTGCACTGTCGACCCGGCTGGTATCGCAGAGCGGTGGAGCGCTGTGGCTGTGGCTGTGGGAAACGGCCGGATCAGCATCAAAGCAATGTGGACAGGAGAGCACTCCATGAGGGACCAAATCCTCTCCCCCATGACAGCACCTTCGGCAGCACGGTGGACAGCAGCGACCGCACGAGCCCAGACGCCTCGTCGCCACCCCGATCGTGCGATGCCGGAGATCGCTGCTCAGCACGATCATGCATACATGAGCGGGTGGTCCTGGGTGACGGCTCTGGGAATGAACAAGCCGCAAGAGCCGCTGCACAAGGCGCAAGGCACCTCGTGAAGCAGTTCCGGCTGCACAGAGAGCGCTGCGCCTGCAGCCGGAGCAGGATCGACGTGCAGATCGCCTTTCTTTTTCGCGATCCCCTCCCGTCGCTTGTCTTGCGGGCTGGAGCAGCGTGCTTCCACCACCACCAAGCGCACGAGCTCGTCCACCAGCGTGTCGCCGGCACCTGCCGAAGGACGATCTCGTCGCCGGGACTGAGGCGGGGATGCTTGGTGATAAAAGGGCCCTCGGGTCCGGTGCATTCCCAGCCATCGCCATCGCCTTGCCTTGCCTTGCCTTGCCTTTGCCAACACCTCATCGGAGTAGTCCCTCTTCTATAATCTCACCAGTCGCCGCCATGTTCAAGCTCACCTCTGTCTGCACCGCCGCTGTCGCTCTGGTCTTGGCCGCTGACGGTGTCGCCGCCTGGGGCGCCACTGGCCATATGCTCGTCGGCAATGTGGCCCAGAGCTTCCTGTCGCAGGTGCGGTGCCGTTGCCTGTGTCGGCAATGTCCAGACCACTCGGCGCCTGGACGAGACCGACTTTGGCTCGTCGACTTACTCCGGCTCGTCGACTTACTCCGGCTCGGCTCGCCAACCTATCCTGGCTGCTTGTTTCCAGAACTCCATCAATGTCATCAACCAGCTCCAGCTGCTTGCCAGCTATGGCAACACTCTCGAAGCCAGCGTCCCCGCTTCGTCCGTGTGCAATTGGGCCGATCAAGTCAAGTACACTGCTGGCTACACCTGGTCCGCCCCGCTGCGTGAGTTCCAGTCGACTGTCACCTGGATCGTTGGTGACCTCGATTTTCCAAGCCAGCCGCTGACCTCCGACACTCTCCACAGACTTTGTCGACACTGTCGACAACCCACCGGTTTCGTGCTCGTAAGTGTCCCGCTGTCTCCCACCCCGCCCTCGAGCCCTGTCGGATACTGCCTCGCTCGTCCCGCTGACCATCTGGCCACAACCGACTGGCCGCCTGTTGGAATCTACAGCTTCAACTACGCGCGGGATTGCCCCGGAGGCAACTGCGTTGTTGGCGCCATCGCCAACTACACCAGCAGACTCAACTGCAACAACAACTACGGCCAGTCTGCCCAGGTCGAAGCCCTCCGTAAGTACCGCAGACCCGCGTGCGATTCCATGAACGCATGATCCGATTGCCCGACCAGGTGCTTGTATCCAGCTGACTGCTTCGCCGGCCCACCGCGGGTTCTTGCTCTTGTTTCTGTTGTTCCTGCTCTTCCAGAGTTCTTGACCCGTGAGTAACTCCAGTTCCGCCAAGACACCGGTCGGACAGGGGAGATGCAAGCACCATACTGTCGCGCTGGAGTCGAGGATCTCACTGGACTGATGCTCATGACAGCGATCGTGAGATGCTTGCCTCCACCAGCACTGCGCCGAGACGGGACCGCTGGCATTGGGAACTAACACTCCTCACATCGTTGGATGCATGCAGACTTCCTCGGTGACATCACCCAGCCCCTGCACGCCGTGAGTACTGGCATCGCACATCGACTGATGCTCTTGTTGCTGCCAGACACCGACGCAACCGCTGACGCAACCACTCTCTCACCCAGTGTGGCCGCGATCTGGGCGGAAACAACATCCCCGTTGTGTTTGACGGCGTCAAGACAAACCTGCATCACATCTGGGACACCGAAATCCCTGTGAGTCCATCCGCTGAGGCTTGACACTTGTGGGCGGTTTGCAGCAGCCACAATCCTGGAGCACCATCAATGCCGCTTCGAGCCCCACTGACACATGTGCATCTGCTGGCAGGAGAAAATCATGGCCGAGGACTATGGCAACAGCTACACCACCTTTGCCAACGCTCTGATCTCCAAGATCCAGAACGACTATGCCTCCCAGACGGCCTCGTGGGTGGCCTGCACCGATCTCTCGAGCAACGCCTGCCCCTCGGCCTGGGCCGCTGACTCGAACTCGTTTGACTGCTCGACTGTCTTCAACGCCGAGGCCACCTCGGGCGATGATCTTGGCGGCGACTATTTCAATGTAAGCACGCCCTGACCTGATCAAAGGAAGCCGTGGAGTGTGGATGGTACTGATGCTGCTGTCGATTCACAGAACGTCAAGAGCATTGTCGACCTCCAGCTGGCCAAGGCCGGATATCGCCTTGCCATGTGGCTGAACAACGTCCTGGGCACTTGTTCGTCGGGAGGGTCTTCCACCAGTGCCGTTGTCTCCACCAGTGCCGCTGTCTCCACCACCACCTCTGCCTCTACCACCGCTGCTGCTTCCACCACTGCTGCTTCCACGACCACCCCCGTTGTCATTACCACCACCAAGAAGACCACCACCAAGCAGACCACCACCAAGCAGACTTCTACCAAGCAGACCACGACTCCCTCCGCCATCCCCACTGGCCTCCCCACCGCCGGCCAGCCCTGCTCTGTTGGTGGTCAATTCAGCTGCGGCTCGGCCAACGACATCCTCATCTGTGTGGACACCTGGATCGTGCTCGGCACCTGTGCCTCGGGACTGTCCTGCGATCCGGCCAGCTTCACCTGCCGCAACTAGCTCGATCTGTGAGGCCAAATCGCTCCAATATCAGCAAATGTGTGCGAATCCCTGAATAAACATTGATTCCTTCGAGCTTGTCATCCATAGGTCCCGGCACCGTCGCTGCCGTTCTGGAGTTGATCGATCGATCACTGGATGTGACGGATGGCCGTGGGACAGACCGGTGAAGGTGGGTGCGATTGCAACCAACAGGGAAGTGAGCAGCCACCCCGAAAGCAATCGTGCGCCCCACTTGATCTGGCTAATGTTGCAGGCATTGCATCTTTCGTTGATCCAACAAGATATCGCATCCTGTTTGGGGGATACTCCGATGGCGGGAGAGATGGAGCAAAGGCAGAGAGGCAATCGAGGGGTGCGGTGGCGCTTTCCACTTTGCTCCCATCCACTGCATTATCCCGTGGTGCTCCTGCATTATCGGAGCAGAGACAGACACCCACAGATGCCACCAGCGACAGCCGAGCAGCGACAGCCAATGCCAGAGTGGCAGGTGGGTCACTCGCCCCAGGTTCCACAGACGCGAACCCCGAACCAGTCATGGCCATTCCGATCGGCGAGGGGGTGAATCTGCATGCCATCCCACATCCCACATCCCACATCCCACATCCCACATCCCACATCCCACATCCCACATCCCACATCCCACATCCCACATCCCACATCCCACATCCCACATCCCACATCCCACATCCCACATCCCATCCCACATCCCACATCCCATCCCACTCCATCCCGCCGCATCTCGTCTTGCCTGCCCCTTTCCCTCTCCTCGTCCTCTTCCTCCCCCGATCTCCCCTGCTCCGTCGCATCCGCCACCAAATGGCCTCGAGCTCCAGTCTCCCGGCCAAGTCGTCGATGGATGCGGATGTCGATATGGATGTGGATGACACAACCTCGAAAGCCCCTGTCCAGCAAACCCAGCCCGAGCCGTCAGACACGGCATCCTCCAAACCAGCCGACTCCCTTGGTCCCTGGCTCCATCCCATCGAGTGTCTCATCAACGGCGCCCGCGACGAGCCCGATGCCCTCCTGATCAACACATACGAGAGCGGTGCCTCCGAGCGACACTCCTATCGCCAGGTGTGGAGGAGAGCATACTCGATCGCCCAGGGGCTCAGGGCCCTCGCCGGCTGGGACGACGCCGACCACGAGGTCATCGGCACCTTCTGCGAGTCCGAGGTCAACTGGGTGTTCTATTCCCTTGCAGTGTGGATGCTTGGCAAGTGAGTGCTGCTTGGATGCGATCGAGGGCGAGTCCCGCTGCATCAGTCGTCTGCTGCTTGCTTGCTCCACACATCCGCCACCAGCACTGTCGATCCAGTGCCATCGTTCATGCTCTGTCCTGGTTTGTGATCCCTCCTGACTCTGCGATCCTCCCTCCTGGCTCTGTGATCCTCCCTCCTGGCTCTGTGATCCTCCTGACTCTCCTCGCTCGTCCCTTGACCACCATCCAGGAAGACAATCAACTTTGGTCTCAACCTGCCTCCGGCTGCCCGAAAGGCTCTGTGCGACAGGTGTGTTGTCTGTGGGCATGTCTGGATCGTCTGTGGGCATGTCTATTGTCTGTGAGATAGTTCGACCTCAGAAGTGATGATGGCGGCAGAGAGGGTGTCGATTGATAAACAGCAGCTGACAGGGCTGCATCCATCCAGATACTCAATCAAGTATATCCTGCAC